AAAAAATGTCAAAACCTAAATGTAAATATATGATAGTTAAGTAACTAAGTATAACCAAAATTTGAAGAAGTGTATCTCCATAAATAGTACATAGCCAAATTTGAAAAAGTGTAACGACATACTCATTTCGAAATTCCTTAACCAAACACAAAAAAGTGATATAAATAACCTCTTAACGAAATTTAAAAAAGTGTTAAATCAAGCTTAAAAGAAAGATTATTTTAATAAGTTTATCTAAGACATAACCAAATTAAGAAAAGTGCAAAGCTGGTACCCAAATGAAACTCCATAACCAAATATGAAAAAGTGTCACTCCTTATGTAGTACATCACCAAATTCAAGAAAGTGTAAAACGAAAATCCAGATGCCAATATATTACAGTTTGGTATTCATCGATAATTGAACCTACTTCATAAGTAGATGTAACAACAAACTTCCATAACCAAATTAAAAAAAGTGTTGCTCCTTTTGTAGGACATAACCAGGTAAAAAAGTGTAAACACAAAATCAAAATGTAATGCCTCAACAATTGCCTATTTAGGAAGAAAGCATTTTTTACATTATTATTTCACGCACGCGCGTTATTAACGACAATCCGTGCCAAATTGCCCTCATACATCGCCATTTTCGCCAAAAGTACACTCTATGGTCTTAACCGTGCGCGTCCTAGCGAGTTTTTCACTTGACTGCCTGTAAAATCCTTGTCGCTATATTTATTATACTGATCTATCAAATATTTTCTTGCTTCTTTCTTTGAAGTGAAAGGTGGTACATCCAAATGACTTACTTTTTGATGATAATACATCACCACTTCTTTGCTTAAATGATTTTTTTCAAAGTGATCAACTACTGAGTTGTCGGGATACAATGAATCAGCTTCCAAAATTAAATCTCCATTTGAGGATACAGTTGCGTAAATAAAACTATATGTATCTTTTGGTTGACTTTTTTCCCAAATATTAAGTTCTTCACAAGTTTCATTTGTTTTAGTATCCGCTTTATGGACCGTTGATTCTGTCATTTTTGATTACGTGTTTTTCAAAACTTCGTATCATATAATTTTGCCTGACATTTTTGCGTATTTGATGATTTGATAGAAAAAAAAACTACTAGGGATTGTAAAAGTTGAGCATTGTACTATCGTGATTGGTTGAAAAGGCATAACTGTTCACATATTCATTTAAGAAGAAGGCTTAATTTTTTTTAAACCCTCAATTGATTTTCACCCGAATGAAACTGAAGAATGTACAAACCTAACGTACAATTTAGCTTCTTGGGTGATTACATTGGAACGTTCGGCTGATTAACATTGTTTTGAATTATTCGAAAAATCCATATCGGCCAACTCTTTTATGCCAAAAACCCTGGTGGTTTCAAATACTTTTGTACAAAGTTCAAAGTAGGATCATATTCATGGTTTTGTGACACGATCGATTTTGGTCAATGTTTGGTGCAAGTTCTTTTTAGTGCTTCGGATCTATCATCAACAAGTTTAGCTTTGTCATAAAATTCTTTATCCGTGGGGAGACAATCAAGATTAATAAGAAAGATAAAAAAATGAATTCAAATTTTTTGAAGTTCTTATAAATCATAATTAAGGTTAAAGCATCTTATAGTGTAATAAAACTTATAACCAATTTTTGCAAAAACCGATTTTTTTTTTCAAAACTGTATGTTTATTAAATCACCAACGCTTTTGTATCAATGAAGCTTGAAATCTAGAAATCTAGTAAATAACGTTTTATCAACTAATACTATTATTATAATTTCAAATTTTGTTAAATTCGAATATATATCAATATATTACGGTATTTTGCAACTTGTTTAGAATTTATTGTCTTAAAACAAACTCTTTTGCTCATATTTTTTACGACTAAAAATTCCAAATTTGTGTAATATTTACTCTCATCTCTTTAGATTATTCTACATGATTTATCAAATTATCAAATCCATCAGAGTACCACACATATAATAAAATAGGAACAATGGTTAAAAAATTTGATAAAAAGAATGCTAAAACATTTAATATAGTACATAGAGCACATGATGATGTGAAATATTATGACGAAGATGCATCACAAAATGTATTAGTTGAATCAAATCAATCGAAATCAAAATCAAAATTAAATTCAAATCAAACTACCTCAAATAATAAAAAAATATATTCAACAAATGATTTAGAAACTAAATTAAAAAATAAAGTACGAGATAATGAAGGATTAGCAGCACAATATGGTATAACATATGATGATTCAAATTATGATTATATGCAACATTTAAAACCAATAGGTGATTCAAATGATGGAATATTTATAAAAGCTAAAAACGAATCCACGACTGAAAAACCTCAAAAAAAATTAAATCTAGAAGATTTATTAAAAGATAATTTACCTTCGGAAGAAAAACGATATATATCAAGAGATTTAAATCAAAGTATACCTGATGAATTAAAGGGATTTAATCCAAATATGGATCCAAGATTAAGAGAAGTTTTAGAAGCATTAGAAGATGAAGCATATATAGAAGATACAAAGAATGATAGGGATGAAGAAGACGAAGAAGAGGAAGGAGATTTGGAAGAAGATGATGATATGTTTGCTGATTTATTAAAATCAGGAGAAATTAAAGAAGATGAATATAATGAATATTATGATTATGATGATGATGATTATGATTATGAAAATGAAAATAATGAAGATTATGATGAATGGGATATGGATAATTATGAAGATGAATATAATAAAAAATATAATGAAGAATCAGAAGAATTAATTGACAACAAGGAAATAAATAAAAATTGGCAAAAAGATTTTATGAAATTTAAAAAGGATAATAAAAATAAAATAAATGAATGGGATTCAGATGATGAATTTGAAGAAGAAGAAGAGGATAAACAATCAATAAATAACGAATTAGATGAAGAAGAAGAAGAAGAAAATGATAATTTAGGTGAACTACCAGTACTAAATAAAAATTCAAATTCAAAATCTAAATCAAAAACAAAATTAAGAAAAAAAAAAGGATCAATGACAGATACATCATCATTTTCAATGTCATCATCAGCATTATTTAGAACAGAAGGATTATCATTATTAGATGATAAATATGAACAATTAAACAAGAAATATGAACAAAAAGAAGAAGAATCACCTGAAAATAATTCAAATTCAAAATCTTTTAATATGAAAGAAGAAAGAAATGATTTTGAAAATTTATTAGATGATTTTTTAGATAATTATGAATTAGAAAGTGGTGGTAGAAAATTAGTTAAAAAAGATAAAGAAAAATTAATTTTACAAAAAGCTGCAAAATCTGTTTCTAGAGGTAAAAATGGTGATTTAAATAAATCTTTTAAAAATTTAAATTTCAAGGAATAGAGGAAGATGCATAGAATATTTTGTATATTAATAACAATAAATGCAAAGCGAAGATTAATTTTTTTAGTTTAAAGGTCCTTTCTTTCTGATTAATGTATAGAATATTTATCATCTCATGAGTTGTCTCTCAAGATACATGCTCGAAAATTCATAATTTCTAATTTATACACTTTTTTTCAAACTTTTAGATATCTCATACAGTCTATTCAATTTGAATGTTTTTGATTTGATCATTTTTTGAGAGTGTTCAATGAAGGAAAGTGTTTTAATATAGATTACTTTGGCTTCTTTAAGTGAGATTTTTTCTAGCACGGGTTTCAATTTTTGAGTCGACATCTCGCTGTAGTAAAAATAAATTTCACTCAGTGCAAACCGACTTAAATTAATCGATCAATGAGTAATAAATTTAAAAAGTACAAAACTTTAATTAGGAATAAGTCAAGATTGAAAAATTAAATGGGGGGGTGTAAATTAGTTTAATTTGAACGTAATTAATTACTTATTTAATCTTTAAATATTTTTACGAATAAACTTTAAATTTTTTAGTAGTAATTTAGATTGGTCTACTTATACTAAATAATTGATTTTTGTATGCTCTATGTATAAATTGAAATTGAATAATCACTTGATGCAATAATTGAAAGATATGTTGATCTAAGGAAACACAATTTTAGTCAAAAGAACTATCCAATCAAATTTCAAATAATTTTTATTTTTCTTTCTCTATTTTTTTCTAGAATATTGTTTGCTTAATCAAACACTGGAATACCGTTTGTTTGTTGGTTAATAAAATGATGTAGTTTAAGTTACATATATTGTACTTTTTAATCTAAGACATTGATTGAATTGGTAGTGTACATTTGTACTAGAAAAAATAAAAATAAAATAAGGGAAACAGAGAGAAAAAATATTTAGTAAATATCAAACAATCAATCAATAGAACATAACAAATTAATCACCATTAACTTCATTTCTTCATAAACCTTGACCAATTCATCAATCAATCCATCATACACATCAGTATACAACCATCATACATCACGTAAACCAATATCTGTAACATCTTTTACATCATCAACTACATCGTATCATCATCACTTGTTATCAAAAAAAATATTATAACTTAGCGGAGATATTCGAAAGGAAAAAAATAAGTTACTTTAAAAGACCATTTGAAACAACAACCATCAACTTATTACCGAAGTAAGTTAATATAAAACGACACAAACTTACAAACAAATACTTATCAAAAGAAGAAGAGAATAATCTATCATCAACTAATTTTTAACAAACAATAACCATCATAATTCATCATAATTTCATTAAGTTCATCAACCATTTTAACCACTAAATATATTAAATTGTTTTCAAAAGTAATCATCTTAATTTCTTTAATTATATTGCTATATTCAACTTTAAACATCAATAACTATAAACAATTGCTTAATTATCATAAATTTATTAAAACAAACACTTACCATAACAATAAACAACAAAATATTACAATGAATTCACAAAATAGTATATCAAGAGTATATTCAGATGTTTTATCAACAAAACCACAATCATATTGGGATTATGATGATTTAAATATAAAATGGAATCCACAAGAAAATTATGAAATTATTAAAAAATTAGGTAGAGGAAAATATTCAGAAGTATTCTTGGGGATTGATTTAATAAAAGGTGAAAAAGTTGTTATAAAAGTTTTAAAACCTGTTAAAAGAAAAAAAATTAAAAGAGAAATTTCTATATTAAAAAATTTAGTTAATGGACCAAATATTGTTGCATTATTAGATGTTGTAAGAGAACCTCAATCAAAAACTCCTGGATTAATATTTGAAAATGTAAATAATATTGATTTTAGAACTTTATATCCAACTTTTACTGATTATGATATAAGATATTATATGTATGAATTATTAAAAGCTTTAGATTATTCTCATTCAATGGGTATAATGCATAGAGATGTTAAACCTCATAATGTTATGATTGATCATGAAAAAAAAATTTTAAGATTAATTGATTGGGGTTTAGCAGAATATTATCATCCTGGTACTGAATATAATGTAAGAGTTGCTTCAAGATATTTTAAAGGTCCTGAATTGTTAGTTGATTATAGATTATATGATTATTCATTAGATCTATGGTCTTTTGGTTGTATGTTAGCTTCAATGGTTTTTGTAAAAGAACCATTTTTTCATGGTAAATCAAATACTGATCAATTAGTTCAAATTGTAAGAGTTTTAGGTTCAAATAATTTAAATAAATATTTAGAAAAATATGGTTTAACTTTAGGTGATGAATATGAAGATATTGGTTATTATAATAAAAGACCATGGGAAAGATTTATAAATGAAAATAATCAGCATTTAATCTCTGATGAATTTTTAGATTTAATTGATAAATTATTAAAATATGATCATCAAGAAAGATTAACTGCAAAAGAAGCAATGAATCATCCATATTTTAATCCAATTAAATAATAATATAATTAATTAAAAATACTATGTAAATGTTAACTCAAACTAATGTACTTTTTTCCCTTACCTACTTACTTAAAAAATTTTGACATTGATTTCTTTTGTTGTTCTTTTCTTTTTTTTATATTTAATTTAACATCTTCTAATCCCTTTTTAATAGCAGGATCATTTGGTTCTAATTTAAAAGCTTCTTTAAAGTATAATTCAGCATTTTCTTCATCTTTTATTAAAAGATATCCGGACCCTTTTCTATATAAAGCTTTTACTTTTGATTTATCATCAATTAAATCAGTATGTAATGCATCATTTGCTGCCTTTATTGCTTTTTTACCATTTTTTAATTTTAATGAAACTAATGATAAATTTAAAAGACATGAAATTTTTAATTTATTAATTTCTGAAATTTTTTCATTTGATAAATCTTCTGGAAAATAATCATCAAGATAATTTACTGCTTTGGAATATTTTTCCATTGAATTTTTTAATTTTCCTTCTTTTAATAATTTTGTTCCAATATCTTTTATTTTGGTGACTGCATTTATAACAGAATTTGGATCATTTATATCAACTTTTTTAACATCATTATCTTTTAAAATTTCTTCAAATTCATCACCAGTTCCATCATCTGGATTATCATTTAATACATAATCAGCAGGTAATTCACCACAATCTTCAATTTTCCATTCATCAACAGGTTTATCATTTGAATCTTTATCACTTCTTTCCATTTGACGAATTATTGATTTTCCTTGAATTAATTCTCCAAATACAACATGTTTACCATTTAAATGAGGAGTTGGTACTGTAGTTATAAAAAATTGTGAACCATTTGTATTTGGTCCTGCATTTGCCATTGATAATAAAAATGGTTTATCATGTAATTTATCAAAATTTTCATCTTCAAATTTTTCACCATATCTAAAATTCTGTTAGTAACAATCACTATCTCTGACTAAATTTCAAATTACATACATCTAGAAAAAGTTAGTAACCTTCCCAATATTTACTTGTTAAATCTTAATTAATACATACAGATTCACCACCAATTCCAGTTCCATGAGTAAAATCACCACCCTGACACATAAAATCTTTAATAACTCTATGAAAAATTGAATTTTTATAACTTAAAGGCTTTCCAGATATCGGAGAATTCTTATGTTTGTTTTCTTCTGAACATAAAGTTCTAAAATTTTTTGTTGTTTTTGGAACTATATCATCATATAATTTAAATATAACTCTACCTTTTGGTTTTCCATCACAAGTTAAATCAAAATATACTAAACTTTTATTTTCATTTTGTTGTTCTTGAGTTGACATTGTAGAAATTGTAATCAATTGAGTTTGAATTGGGATATTTGATATTGTAGAATTTTTTTAAATTTGGTCTGACTTGTTGAAAATTCATTGTTAATATATAATTTTTCAATTTCAGTTTAAGGATTTTTCTGGAAATTTACGAAATTAGTTTCACAAAGATTTTACAAAATGTTGCAAAAATAAATGGTTGCAAAATGAGGAAAGATAAGATAATTAAATCTACAAGCAAAATACAACTTTAGAGTTTGTTCTCTACTAATAACAAAGAATAACTTAAAAACTTATAATACTTAAATTTAATAATTTTATAAAATACATAGTAAACAATATTTGTTTTTTTTTTTTTTTGTTTTTATTTTTATACAACATGATAAAATTAACTCTCTAATCTTTTTCTTCTTTTGGTTTATAATGTGGTGATTTTGGTGAATAATGTGGTGAATTTGGGGAATATTGAGGAGAAGTTGGTGAATATTGTGGTGATGTTGGAGAATAAGATGGTGAAGTTGGTGAGTAGGATGGTGATGTTGGTGAGTAGGATGGTGATGTAGGTGAATATTGTGGAGAAGTTGGTGAATATGATGGTGAAGTTGGTGAGTATGATGGAGAAGTTGGTGAATAACTTGGAGATGTAGGTGAATATGAAGGTGATGTAGGTGAGTAAGAAGGTGAAGTTGGAGAATAACTTGGTGAAGTTGGAGAATAACTTGGTGATGTAGGTGAATAACTTGGTGATGTAGGTGAGTACGATGGTGATGTAGGTGAATATGAAGGAGATGTTGGAGAATAACTTGGCGAAGTTGGTGAATATGATGGTGATGTTGGTGAATATGATGGTGATGTTGGAGAATATGATGGTGAAGTTGGTGAATAACTTGGAGATGTAGGTGAATATGATGGTGATGTTGGTGAGTAACTTGGAGATGTTGGTGAATAGCTTGGTGACGTAGGTGAATATCCTGGTGAAGTTGGTGAATAACCAAATCCTGGACTTGTACCACCATAACTTGGACTTGTACCGCCATAACCAGGTGTAGTTGAATAGCTGAAAGGTGAAGTACTACTTGGAGATGTTGGTTGACCACCATATGAAGTTAAACCACCTCCATTCATTTCAGTTGGAGCAGTATGAATTGGTGAAAATCCAGCATTTTCATCATAAATTGCACGATCATCTTCCATTTCAACATCTCTATATGGAGTTGCACCACCATCTTCAGCAATTTCTTCCATTGCAACACTAACAGGTGCTTGTTGTAACATTTTATCATCAACCATAACATCAAATGATCCAGTACCTAATGGTGCCATTTGTCCCAACATAACATTCTCTGATATACCTTTACAATCATCTAATTCAGCAGAAGCAGCTGCATCCAATAAAATTTCAACAGTTTCTTCAAATGAACAACGCATTAATGCACCAGTATCAGATCTATTGATACCATGACGAGTAATAGCCATTAAATGACCACGAGATGTCATTACATCAACCAAAAGTGCCATATGACGATAATTAACATATGAACCATCAAATGCAATAACATTCAAAATTTCTTTAAATAATGCTGATCTTGTTGCTTCAATACCTAAAACTGATAAAATTTCAATAAAATCATTTGAATAAGTACGACTTGAATCAACTCCTGGAACTGCCATAACATCTGCTAAATTAACACCATCAGTTTCTAAAACCCATTCTTTACCTTGTTGAAATTCTCCAGATACATCAGGTTTACTAACTTTATGTTGCATCATAAATACTCTTGTAATACCAGGAATACCTCTTAAAGAAATTGATTCTAACATATGTGCTTCAATACGTTTTAAAATTTGATCTTCTTCAGCATCTGCGTCTTCATCTAATGATTTTGGATCTCTAACAACTCTACAACGAATAATAAGTTTATCTGCTGTATCATCTGACCAAATAACAAATAAATCTTCTCCAAAATTTTGTGAAATTTTTTCTGCAACTTGAGCCATAGTTAATTGTTTATCTAACATTTTAGCACGATCTAATTCTAATCTTAATAACCATGGAGATTGTTTTTCAATACTTTCTTCAACTTTTTGATCAGGAATTGCAAAATAAGCTTCAACAGTATCAAAATCTTCTTCAATAACAGTAGTTCTTGGATCTGGATCATAAAAAATTTCAGTTGATGATGTAACATTTTTCAAAGTAGTATGTTCAATTGATGATTGAACAATTTTAGCTAATTCAATATCTTGAGATACTTCTGGATCTAAATATACTGTCAAAGCAGGAGTTTTAATATTTTTAGCAACATTTAAAATTTCTTTTAATCTTGGAACACCCAATGTAACATTTTTAGATGAAACACCAGCATAATGGAAAGTATTTAAAGTCATTTGAGTTGCTGGTTCACCAATAGATTGTGCAGCAACAACACCAACCATTTCACCTGGATGAACAACTGATTTTTGAAATTGTTGTTCAATTTCTCCAAGAATCCAATCAAATGATGATCTATTTAATTTATGTTCTTCAATTACTCTTCTTGATGCTAATCTTGATCTTACTAAACATTGAAATAATAATGTAGCATTTTCTTGAGCTTCTTTAGTTAATTCAGAATCACCTCTAAGAACTAATAATTTTGTACATAAATTTTTAACACCATTTATAATTTCATCTAAAGTTAAATCAGAACTACCAGTAAATGTTAATTTTGAATTTTCAATAATACGTTTAATATTAACAGGTAATGGCCAATTATAATCACCATTTGGGAAAACTTTTCTTAAAAAGATTCTATCTTCAACTAATTGATTATATTCTTCATCTAATAATTTTTGTAATTTAACATCACCTTGATATTGTTTTAATGAATCAATATCACAATCTAATAAATCTATTCTATATCTTCTTTCAAATTTTTCATCTGAACCAGGAATTGTATCAATAGATTGTTTTTCAACTTGTGTAGCATCAATACCATCTTCACCATAAATGAATTGAATTATATCACCTAATGAATTTCTAGTAGTACCATCATAATGTACCATAATATCTTCTAATGCTTTAACTAAACGACGTTGAATATAACCAGTTTCAGCAGTTTTAACAGCAGTATCAATTAAACCTTCTCTACCAGCCATAGCATGGAAGAAAAATTCTTGTGGTGTTAAACCTCTTAAATAAGAATTTTCAACAAATCCTTTTGATTCTGGAGAATAATCATCTTTTGTAAAATGTGGTAATGAACGATCAGAAAAACCAAAAGGAATTCTTTTACCTTCAACAATTTGTTGACCAACACATGCCGACATTTGTGAAATATTAATAAATGAACCTTTTGAACCTGATGTAACCATTTGTTTAACATTATTTAAATCTTTTAAACTCATTTCTGCGGAACGACCAGCTGTATCACGCGCTTGATTTAAAACTCTTGAAACATTATGTTCAAATGATTCTCTTAAAGTCATACCAGGTTCTGGTTCTAACGTATTATGTTGCGCATCAAAAATAATTTCTTGAACTTTTGATTTTGCTTCTTGAATAGTTTTAGTAATATCTTTCATCGTACTAGCATCTGCAATTGTATCACCAATACCAATACTAAAACCATTATGTAATAACCAAAAGTTGACAACTTTTTGAATAGAACTGAATAATTGAGCACAAGCTTGTGGACCTTTTTCTCTAAAAACAGTATGAATTAATCCACCACCAGTTGCACCAACTGTCTTTTTATCAACCACTCCAAACATGATTTCACCATCAACAATCAACATACCACTATCTTTTGGACTCAACAAATCTCTACCACCATCAAATCTTTGTAAATGAATACCTTTTGGAATTGCTAATGATAACATCTGTTTACCAGACCATAATGGTTTTGGTTTTATGATAGCTGGTGGTGGAATTACACCATCCCAATTTGGAATCCAATAACACATATTCATAACTTGATCATATTCTATAAAAATATCTCTCAAAGTCATTTTTCTAATACCACATAATGTATCTTGAACAATACCCATAACTGGTTTATTAGATTGAGGAGAAACAATTTGTAATGGTACTGCACATATTTGTGATAATTCCGATCTAGTTTCTGGTGATTGAGGAACATGTAAATTCATTTCATCACCATCGAAATCTGCATTATATGGTGATGTGACTGATAAATTCAATCTGAAAGTTGAATATGGCATAACTTTGACTCTATGAGCCATCATAGACATTTTATGTAATGAAGGTTGACGATTGAATAAAACAGGATCATCATCCATAAGATGACGTTCAACTTTCCATCCATATTGTAATGCAATATCTCCAGCTCTTTTATTATATCTTAAATCTATTCTATCTCCAGTATCTCTAATTACATATTTTGCACCAGGATGTTCATTTGGTCCATTTCTTACTAATTCAGTTAATTTATGGATATTATATGGTGTTACAATTTCTGGATAAGTTAAAGTTTTAGCAATTGATATTGGAACTCCAACTTGATCTAAATCTAAATTAGGATCACCAGATATAACAGTACGGGCTGAAAAGTCTACTCTTTTACCCATAAGATTACCTCTCAATCTACCTTCTTTACCTTTCAATCTTGCTCTAATAGATTTAATAGGACGTCCAGTTTTTTGTAAAGCTTGAGGTTGACCTGCAATATCATTATCCATATAAGTTGCTACATGAAATTGTAATAATGATTCAAATTCACTAATAACATGTTGTGGGGATCCATCAATTTCTAATCTTTGAACATTAATATTTGCCTTTATGATATCAGCTAATTTGAATGTTAAATCATCTTCACCTCTAGCTGTGTCATTAAATGCAATAGATGGTCTTACTGGTGGTGGTGGAACTGGTAAAACTGTTATTAACATCCATTCAGGTCTTGCATAATCTTCATTAAATCCCAATCTATAACAATCTTCAGGACTTATATGTTTAAAAACATTTAAAATTTCAGAAGGACTTAATAAACGACGTTCTGGTTGATCATTTTCTTCAAAATTCTTATTGTGTTTCCAAGTTCCCCATAATTTTAATCCATCTCTACGGATAGTTGGTTGAGTATGTCCACATCCCCCCCTGATTGGATGATCATTCATTTCATCTTCATTCATAGCCGTTTCACAAACCATTTTAGTTTTACATAAACTCCAAACTGCATTAAATCTCTTTTTAGGATCTCTAATTTTGATTGCTTGAGCCATTAATGGATTTGATTCATCTAATAATAATTTGCTACAATGAGTACAAACACTTTCTAATACTTTCTTAATTTTGGCAATAAATCCAATATGAAAGACTGGTTTTGCTAACTCAATATGACCAAAATGACCTGGACACTCTGCCATGTTCCCACCACAAGACATACATTTGTATGCTGCATCAATAGTCCCGAGTCTTGGATCATTTAATCCTCCTTCTTTTGGACGTTTTGATGTTTGATCCATAGTCTCTGGAAATTCTATCTTGGCAACAGATATAGCTCTGACCTCTTCTGGAGACAAGAGGCCAAACTGAACCTCTTTGACTTCCCTAATGAAATTCATGACCTATACCTTTGATGTTGTTGAGGATAAGAATGAGATGTTAGGTTGTGTTGCCTTTGTTATTTTATATTTATTTTTTTTCACTTTTTTTTCTTCATTAAATTATTCTGGTGGCCAGCCAAAGAAAAATCACGTGATCGGAGATTAAGAGCCATAATGTTAGAATTGTCTCTTATATTAAGCAAAACACATAGAAAGGTCTTTCGAATGTGTTGATGTAGAATGGATAAATCAAACTATTGTATTCATTTACTTTCAATAGAAAGTTGTTGCTTTGTCTTGGGATTTTAAATACAATTTAAAATTAAATTATCTTGAAAGTAGTGTAGCGATTAAATTCTTATCTACAATTCACAATTAAATACAGCATAAGATGATATAACCAACTACTCAAGTTCAATATCTAATCAATCATGCCGCCAAAAAGTAAAGGAATAGTCAAAAAGACAGATCAGGCGATGGGTTCATCCCTCAAAGCTAAGAATAATAAGAAGAAACAAGTTTTTAAAGCACTACTAGATAACCCGTTCACATCAAATAATTGGCCATTTATTCAACCAAAAGATTCCGAAGATATATTGACTGTTTTCAAGGTGCTAATAAAGCCACATTTTAATCAAGTCAATGCTGAAGATAAACCTAAAATATTTAAAAGTCCTCATGAAGGGGTATATTTCGGTTTTAATTCTATAGTGGAGACATTAGAAAGACAAGCATCGAATTTTAGAGGAAAGAAAAAGGATTCAATAGAACCTTTGAAATATTTATTAGTTTGTAAGAATGAATTACCTTCAGTTATGACAGATTTATTACCAACATTATGTTTCACAGCCTCAAAAGATCAAAACGATAAGGTTAAGTTGATTCAATTACCTAAGGGGAGTATGGAAGTACTATCTAATTGTATCGGTAAACCAAGATGTGGAATAATTGCACTTAATAAACGGGAAGAATTTGAATCGTTGAACATTTTGATGGATAAAGTTGATGATATTACGATTCCTTGGTTAAATGACATATTTAATTCACCAACACAATTTTATGCTCCAAAGATATCTACAAATAAACCTAACGTTGTATAGTTTTCATTAATAAATAGTTGGTTAATGTAAAAAATATGTGAAACATTTTTCAAATCAATTCTATAGAGATGTGATCTAAACGCGTACTGATTTTATTATTTTCTCGTGTTTCATATTTTTCATTCACTCCATCAACATCAGTGATTTCACAACAAACTCAAATGTCCAAAACGTTAGAGCTTCCATGGGTTAAGAAATATCGTCCTCATGTATTGAATGATATTGTTGGAAATGAGGAAACAGTGGAACGTTTGAAGGTCATTGTACAAGATGGAAATATGCCAAATATGATTATAAGTGGGTTACCAGGGATTGGTAAAACGACCTCCATACATTGTTTAGCATATGAGTTATTAGGAAAAGAATATTATAATCAAGCAACTTTGGAATTGAATGCATCTGATGATAGAGGTATAGATGTTGTAAGAAATAAGATAAAACAATTTGCTCAAACCAAAATCCTGTTACCACCAGGTAGAACTAAGATCATTATATTAGACGAAGCAGATTCAATGACACCAGGAGCTCAACAAGCCTTAAGAAGAACCATGGAACTATATTCAAACACAACAAGATTTGCATTTGCTTGTAATCAATCATCTAAAATTATCGAACCGTTACAATCAAGATGTGCAATATTAAGATATAATAAATTAGCAGATGAAGAAGTACTAGCAAGATTATTAGAAATAATTAAAGAAGAAGATGTTAAATATAATAATGAAGGATTACAAGCAATCATTTTCAGTGCGGAAGGAGATATGAGACAAGCTATAAATAACTTACAAAGTACTGTTGCAGGATTTGGATTTGTAAACGATATAAATGTCTTTAAAATTGTTGATCAGCCTCACCCGTTAGTCATTCAAAATATTTTATCACATTGTTTGAAAAAAGATATTGATAAAGCCATCAGTTTATTGGATGGTCTTTGGCATAAAGGCTATTCCGCAATAGATATCGTAACATCTAGTTTTAAAGTTGCTAAAACTATACCAAATGTTGATGAACTGAAAAGATTGGATATGATAAAAGAAATTGGATTTACACATATGAGAGTATTAGAAGGTGTTGCAAGTTACTTACAGTTATGTGGTTTATATGCAAAAATTTGTGATCTTTAAAATTCAAGTATATGCTTTGGCTAATAATTTAAAATGATTAATTTGTGCTTCATTATTTTCTGATTCATTCGTAAGTATTGTTTCCACTAATGAATAATTTCTATTCAAGAAAATTTCTCTATCAGCACCTTTAATTGATGAGCTTGCTTTTGTCAAACTACTTTCAAAGTCGTTTCTTATTCTAGTTATACATGTTTCCAAAGGAGTCCCATCAATTGATAGCTTGACTAAGTACAGGTAAAATAATCCGAATTGTTGTGTAGTAATTAATGGAGCTGTTGATTTGGGACTTTTTGATATATGCCTTTTCATCGAGTCACAATTTAAATCAACAATTTTTGTGAAAATTGGCCAAAGCATAAGAAGAAGTGAATTCAAATAATCATCAAGTACAGGGATATGGTATTCATGGATTCTATTTTGAAACTTGTAAATTAATTTGATGATTAATAACACCGCATATATGTCAGTTGAGCCAGTTGTAATGAACGTTAGAAACTCCTTACTCATTTTATAAACCTCTTCAAACATTTTATCAGCCCAAGAATTATCTTTTTCATTCCCTTTGTAAAAATAGTCAATCACAAAAAAATATTCAACTGATACATTGTCAATTATTGCTTCCAAAAGTTGTAAGAATACAAATTCGATTGTGTATTGATTTGTTATCGTTTCAGCTAGTTGTGATGGCATACAAGATTCTTCTTCATAAAGGATTTTACTTCTATTTTCAAACGTATTGATATAGTTAGGTGAATCAAACACGGATATTTCTATGTGTCTTCTGGAAAGTTTTTCCAATGAATATATGTACTTTGCAAACCTACTCTTATAATACCATTTCATCGTAAGGAAATAAGCTTGTTGTAGTTGCATCCCTAGATTTGGTTGTTGAGATTGTAAAAAATGGAATAAATTTGAAGAATCCTTTAGTTTTTGTTGAACTTTCTGTGATGATACTGATCTTGGAGACCTTAATAACCGTATTTGATCTATTACAAAGTCTCTAATTCTTTCTACAACTTTTGCTTTGATTGATGCTGAATCCTTATCGTTCATCTTTTCTAGAATGAAATTCACTTTCTCCAAGTATTCATTTGATAGTTCCTCATGTAGTATATCTTTTATCATCTCTGGTGGAAGTACTTTTTCGTTAATTGTTTTCTCCAACTCCCTGGTGATCATTTTATTGACATTTGAATCCTTTGACAAATCACTAGATTGTTGCTCCAATGAGACTAAACTTGATGACAAATTTTTTAGATCTTTAGAGAAATCTTCCAAGATGACTCCAACAGGGTCTAATTTTTGTTTAAATTGTTGTATTGCCTTGTTGTATGAATGAAATTGTGACATTGTTTCTGCTAGTTGGATTTCATTTGTTTGTTCAAAGATCGAACGGCAATGCTCCAACATCAAATCTGGTTCAAAGACGTATTCATTGCTGTCAGATTTCTCTATTTCATCTATCGGTAGTAGATTGTCTAGCACTGCTATACCCATTGGCACTGCGGTTATTTTGATTGTTGATAAATTTGATATTTTTCAAATAATATCCAGTCTTTTTTTTTAGGCGGTAAAAACTAAAGTAGAATAAACACAGGTGTGATTAAATAAGTGATTGAATAAATGCTACATAAATTTTAATCTGATATCCCTCTTTTAAATATTTTGTACATTATCATCTTTTTATACAAGTTTTTTCAATAAATCCATGACAGATGGAGTTTCTTCTTTACTATATACTTCCTCCTCTTGTTGTACCAGATCACTTACGTCATTCATCTCTTCATCATCACCATCTTTCAAATCATCTTTTTCCTCAAATTCTTCTGCTTCTGCTTCTTCGTTTTCATGTTCATGCTCATGCTCAAATTCATTTATTTCAATATTTTCTGAAAATGCTACTTTTTTAGCTGAAGGACTTGGCGATAGTTTTCTTCTTTTAGATGGAATTTCATCATCAGATTCACTGTCTTGATTTTCATATTTTGGTAACTCATCATCATCTTCTTCTTCTAATTGCTCCTCAATTTCTCTATCCTTATCATTATTACCATCATTATTATTACTTTGTTCTGTTGAATTTTTCAATTCACCAGATAATGCCGCTCTAACTTCTTTTATTTTATTTATTTTATCACGAATAACAGCTATTTTAGTATTATCTGTTTTAATTCCATCATTTATTACATTTAACAAAGATTCTACACTATTTTTTATATCTTCTCTAGTAGATTTAATTTTTTCTACATTAGAAATTGAAACCATACTTAATTTTTCTAAAACATTTAACTTATTCAAATGAACTTGAGTTTTGGGTAAATTATCAGATTCAAGATTAAGATATGTCTTACTTTGAATACCCAATTGAGTTAAATTCCCCTGACTTATATCTGTCAATTGATTTATATGTTGAAATAAATCATTTATATGTTTTAATTCTGGAGTAATAGTCGAGACTTGTGCTTCAGGTTGACTAATGACTGGTTCTTTAGCAGCTGGTTTATTAATCTGGTCTTTCAAGTTATTGATTGTTTCAGTTTCAAATACAAATCTATCTTCCCATACTGAAATTAATCTTGATATTTTCTTTTTTATATTTACATCCACCGCATGGTAAGTTGGATTGATAATGTCCAATAAAGTATCGCTGAATTTTGATAAATATCTCGATTTATTCTGACGTTTAGCTTTTTGAACAACATCGTTACAAAGATATAGGAGCAATAATTTTCTACTACTGTCTGCTCGAAGTATATGTGTTTTCCATACATTTATAAATTGATCAAATAAACTATCGTTTAGAATCATATAAGTCGATAAAGCATTAATTGAATCTTGTGTTTCATTGATATTATCTAATCTAGTGGTAAAAGACTGAACTGACATGGCTTTGTTGATGTGATGATGTTTAAAGGCATTGACTGAGCTTAGGTAAGGAATAATTTGGTTGTAAAATATATTTTTTGTCTATCAAATTTTTGTTGCAAATACTTTTAGTATGGACAATCAATTACTAGTCCGGGCTAACTATGAAAGGTTGAGCTATTAAGCCTTAAAAATATTTGTGATCGTTAGGTAAACTGTCCTATGTGACAGATCAATGCTTACTGTATATTCTTACTCAAGAAATAGACATATCTGGAAGAAATAAAATCCAGAGTAATAAAAACAATTGCACTATCAATCAAATATTCATCGACGTGGCTTTATATATTCTTACAAATACATATTTTAACAAATATAATGTTCATTGCACTTAACGTTTTCCTTTAATAACTTTAACTAAATCATCAACATCAACTTTTTTCTATAAAGACACAAAAGAAAAAAAATATTACCGTTATGTTTTGATTTGAAACATCAACAAATAACCACATTAAATAATTACATAACAAATCGTGAGGTAATTCAAAGACTAGTTCAATGAAGATATAACAATATGGCACCAAAAAGAAGTAGTAGGAGCAACACAGCACCTATTAAAAAGTCAAGACCTATTTCATCCACATCAAATTCATTTACAACATCAGATTTAGACGTGTCATATTTTACAAAGGATTCAATAGATGATACGAATATAGATACTTTAATTGATTTAATTAATGATAATACACATTCAAAAGCAGACATAATACATTCGAAATATCGAGATATCAATGATCAACTACGGGAGAATGATCACATATTAATACAACAGTTACAAGAAGAGAATGAAAGATTACAACAAAAGATAGAAGAATTGAATTATTCAAATGAATTTACATCACCAATTAGAAAAAATAAGATAAGAGATATAGACATTGATCAAGAAAGAGAGAATATAAGCTTTTCATTTGATTTATTGGAATTAATGACTGGTTTGAAAGTAATAAATTATGAAGAAAACGACAATGAAATACAATGTGATATAAGACAAACAAATTCAAATAAAAATATATGGATTGAATATCAATTAATCATTAACAAGTTAGATACTAAACAGATCAATTATATTCCTAAATTTTTACATGATGATGAAGAAAATGAACAAAACAAATCAAATTTAAAGAAATTGAATAAACTCCTACCGGATTATTTGATGGAATATTTGTCATTTCCTGGTGAATCATTGGCACAATTTTATAGTAAAGTTAGCAAAGCTTTGAATCAAAAGTAATGATTATGACTTTAGCACAGGATTGAATCTTAATTTCGTGTCTGTTGTTAATTTCCTCATCCCGATCTCCACCAAACTGGTTCATCTTCCTTCTTTCTTTGGATTCTTTTCATTTCATAATCATGTTCAACTTCTTTTTCCACATGGTCTGTCAATAACCCTTGTAATCTATAATAATCATTTTTTTTATCAACTGTTCTTTTATTTTCGATCATATCCAACATTTCTTCTTCTCCTAATTGTCTATATTTCTCATCATATTGCTCCCATTTTATGGAGGTAAATTTTTGTAGATAGATTGAACCGGCAACTATTGATATTAAAAATGGTAAACCTAAATATAGAAAATGATTCTTTTTGACTAATTTTGAATATTTTCCTGCTAATGTCTTATCATAAGCTTCTTGTTCTTTAACCCCTCTAAACACTCTAGTTCCAAATCTAGACATTTGAAAAGAAGTTCATGGAATAGGACGTAGGGTAAGTAAATGAAGTAAGTAGAATAATATACATTTAATTATCTTGTGTTTGTCGCGACTCAAATCAAAAATCACCTCATCTACGATTCAAGTTTTTTTTTGCAACATTTAACAAACAAGTTGTAACGTTAAAAAATGGTATCCTTTTCCTGTGAAGTTTGCAATGACACAGTTTTGAAGAAAAAGTTGGGTCAACATCAGCAAAGATGTTATGGGGCTTATTTCACATGCATAGATTGTTCCACAACTTTTCAAGGAGATGACCATAATAAACATACAAGCTGTATATCAGAAGCAGAAAAGTATGAGAAAGGATTGTACAAGGGTAAGAAGAAGCAACCACAACAACAACAAAAACAGCAACCACAACAGCAACAGCAAAAACAAGAGCAACAGAAAGAGCAGCAAAAATCACAACCAATAAAGTCAAAAATAGATACAAAAGATGACACCAAACCAGTTACCAAGTCAGAAAAGAAATCTACTTCAGGTAAAAAGCAAAAGGAGGACTCGTTTTTATCACCGTTTGTCAATAACTCTTCCCAAAATCTATACAAAATTTTGAAAAAGGCATCAAATGATGATAATAAAAAATTGAAAAATATTTTGAAAAATATGACAATCATTAGAGTAGATGACAAGTTGGTTGTGAAAGAAGGATGAGTAGAATTAGAGAATAGTATTCTTAGTATTATTGGTAGAGTGTCATGAATTTGGTCCACCTCAGAAATTTGGTATAAGCTTGTGCTACACCCATTCATCATTACTTTGTATTTACTATTTACAGTCTATAAATTTCTAATGAGCATCATGCATGTTATGAGAAGCAATAACAATTGATTTCCAATCACTTGTTAATATAAATCCAGCTTGACTGGCTGCTAAACATAAAACACCTATAATTAATCCATACCATAATCCATTTAATTCAAAATTAAATTTGAATGCCAATATATAACCCAATGGTATAGCAATAACATAGAAACAAAAACAATTTAATATTGAACCTATTTTTTGTCTACCTTGTCCACGTAAAACTCCTGTAGCTAACACATTAAATGAATCTCCAATTTGATTAATACCTGCTAAAATATTCAAACCTATCGCGAGCTTCAAAACTAGATCATCATCAGTAAATAACTTGGCTAATTTGTATCTTCCTAAAATAAATATCGAACAATTGATAAGTCCTAATACCGGAGCACATGCAAATAATACTTTTGTATCTAATATAGCACCTTCAATATCATTTTTTCCTATATAATTCCCAATCCTTGTGTTTATTACGACTGAAGTTGCAAAAGTAACTTGATAGAACAATGAAGCTAAGTTTGAGACAATTGCTTGAGCTGAAACTTTTGCAGCTGGATCTGCAAAATTAGCTGAAAAAAGTACCAATATTTCAAATGCTAAAAACTCACTTACTGCCATAATAGCTCCAAAAATTGAAATTCTTAACATGGGTCCCCATTTTTGTAAGGCTTGCTTGGTAAATCCACCCCAACATTGCATTCCATCAATAAAATATACAAAGCCAAACATCAATAATGAAATAGTCCAATAGGTAATAGAAATTGTTATAGGAACACCAATATAACCCAATCCATAAGGACTAATTACTAAATACCAATTTAAAAATATATTCACTGGTACAGCAATGATTAAAATATAAGTACCAGCATGAAAAATATGTTGAGCTTGCAAGAATCTTTTACCTGACTCAAAAAATATCAATCCAGGAACTCCTAGTATATGCCACCTAAGAAAATTTTGAGCCAATTGAACTAGTTCTGTATCACTAACAAATAATCCCAAAAATGAACCAGAATACCACCAAAAAAGAAGTAACGGGGCCATAAATGCAAACATTATTAACGTACATCTCTGAAAATATAATCCTACTCCAGTAATAAGTCCTGCACCATATGCCTGAGGACAAAACAGATCCAATGAAGATGCTAAACCTTGAAAGATGGCTAAACCTGAAATGTTGAATGTAGTCAATGCTAAGGAAGATGCACCTAAGGCAACTGGTCCTAATTTACCAGCAGCTATTAATGATGTTATTGAAAAAATATATTGTAGAAAGAATGTTATTGTTAACGGGACAGTAGCTTTGGATATAACATTAATTTCCTTCCAAAATGAATGTGGATTCTTTGATTGGATTTCGTCTATAGTACCATAACTATTATTTGATTCGTCTATTAGTCTCTCTACTGCACTCATTATGAAAATGATCTCCTCTGGTTCATCTAATCTTGTAGTTGATATCAGTGAAATTTTTTCATTAATGATATTTACTTTTATCTTTATCAATTTCGGAATATTTTTCCATTATAGGTAATTTCAAATCGCGCTTCAAAAAAAATATAGATCTAACTTATACTTTGACATATTATTTCATTAGCATTATTACGTTAAATATATATATACAAAAACTGTTTTACTTGAAAACATTGTATGTTATGAAGTTTCACGTCCAAATCTGGGGGAAGTGGTATAGATAATTGTCGCCCTTGACTAAATCTTCTATCAGAAACACTTGTAATCAATAAGGACGCGTTCTCATATGATAATTCTAGCATATAATCCGAACTATCTGATTCGAATATGACACATAGACTATATTCATTATCATCAATTAACTTTTTGAATTGTATTGTGAAATTGATTGGTTCTCGAGGTTTTTCTTCAACGGTGTCTATTCTTTTTTTTGGTACATAGTCTATCTCTTCGATCAAGTTTTTCTTTGAATTTGATGAGCCTCGATTGAATAAATCCGGTAGTTCCTCTCCATCAGCCATTTCTATATCGTCCAAACTATTTAACTCTTCAAGTACTCCTAAAGTTTCATTTTGTTTCAAATCATTTAATTTTTTAAATCCTACATCATTTAACTCATCTTTTGTAATTTCAGTTTCAGATAATTCCCCTTTTGATAACATTTTTGGTAAGCTATAATCCCTTTCCAAAGTTATGCTATTTATCATTTCCACCAGTTCGATACACCACTCTATTACTATTAGCCTTAGATCCTTGTTCAATTGACACCATTGAAAACATTGACTGTTGATGCAACAATCATATACTAAAGAAGGAAAACCTTTCTTGTCTTTCGATTGTTTCACTTTAGACACCACAATCGGTATTTCCCATTGATTCTCTATAATCAATGGAAATACAACCTCCGGCTCGAAATCAATTTGAGGTTTCGGCACTTGAGAATCATGACATATGTTTATGAATACTTTTGTTAAGATTTCTTCATTATTTTTGGACTCAAGTATTTTAGTTTTAACAACAAATCCAGGTTTAGGGTGTAGTATGATTTTCTCTTGATCCGCTTCAATGATTGACATTTTTTTGTTGGTTGAAAATGATTCAGAATCATCTAAAACTCATTTCTAAATTTGTATTTAATTTCGCGATTACGATTCATGGAACATGTACAAACTTTACTACAACATTGCAACTTCAACTTCAATTGAATGAACGTCTTGGTATATTCTGGACCTGGAACTACTACGGAAAGTGTAAAACACTGTTTAGAATCTTTGAGATTGCATTTAGCAAATTACTATGCGGTGTTGCCAGTCAATGAGACAGTTTTATTAACTGAGCCTTGGATGAGAAAAACATCAATGTTGGTAATTCCTGGTGGAGCTGATTTACCATATTGTCATGTTTTGAATGGTGCAGGGAATAGGAAGATTAACAAGTACGTTAAAAATGGTGGTAAGTATATGGGATTCTGTGCTGGTGGTTATTATGCTTCTTCAAAATGTGAGTTTGATATTGGAGGACCATTAGAAGTAACAGGATCAAGAGAATTGGGATTTTACCCTGGAACTTCGAGAGGATGTGCATTCAAAGGTTTCAACTATGAACTGCACGCTGGAGCTAGAGCTGCCAAATTAGTTACAAATACTCATTTCTTACCAAAAGTTGCTGAACATGTATATAATTATTACAACGGAGGCGGAATATTTATGGATGCTTCAAAATATCAAGATGTTGAAGTACTAGCAAGATATGAGGAAAAAACTGATATTGAAGATGATGAGAAGGCAGCAATAATTTATAGAAAAGTGGGGAAAGGTGATGTTATTCTTACAGGTACTCACCCTGAATTTTCACCACATTTATTTAAGAATGTGGAGCCAGAATTTGAAAAAGTGGTGGAGAAATTGAATGAAAATGATCACGATAGAAAAGTTTTCATGAGAGAGTTGTTAAAAAAAATTGGGCTTAAGGTGAGTGAGGATGTTGATTCAAACGTCCCAAAAGTAACACCAATGTTCATAGCTTCGCCATTTGAGAATAACTCCAAAGACTTGTATAAACTTCTAAAAGATAAATTGAATATTGATGGACCATATAAGGATAGCAACGACACTTTTGTCTTTCAAGATGAGACTTCAAATGACCAATATAATGAAAATGAAGAAGATGAAATAGATGACCCAAATAATGTTACCAAGTATATAAATTTCATTACCTCATCTAATGTCCCATCAAATAAAATGACTCCATATTTCAATATGCAAAAATATTTTGAAAGTTTGAAAAAATTGTCATCAAATGCTCCTCTTGAGTTTGGAAATTATCTAGGCTACTCAGAGGTAATAACATCTACCAATACAATTCTTGACAAAAACCCAAGTTGGCTAGAGCACCTTCCTAATGGTTTTACTTTGACTGCGTCTACTCAAATAGCTGGTAGAGGAAGAGGGGGCAATGTTTGGATAAATCCCAGAGGAGTCTTAGCAACATCAGTATTATTTAAAGTACCACAATCCCCAGAAGCATCTTCGTCAATTGTTACACTTCAATATCTTTGTGGTTTAGCATTAATCGAAGCAATTTTAGGATACGGTAGTGATATTTCCGGCAAAGGAGTTGGTTATGAAGAAATGCCAGTGAGATTGAAATGGCCAAATGACATATTTATTTTAAAACCAGAGTACTTTGATAGCCTAAACCATGAAGTGAGTTCTACTGTTGATGGTGATGATGAAAAATATGTCAAAATATCAGGCGCTTTGATAAACTCACAATATATTAATGGAACTTTCAATTTGGTATGGGGAGGTGGTGTGAATGTATCTAATCCTGCTCCAACAACTTCCTTAAATTTAGTATTGGGAAAACTAAACGATATTAGAAAATCAAATGGCTTATCGACTTTGCCTCCATACGAACCTGAATTATTATTAGCTAAATTGATTTTCACAATAGATCAGTTTTATAAAGTATTCAAAAAGTCTGGATTGAAACCATTTCTACCATTATATTATAAAAGATGGTTTCATTCGAATCAGAAAGTTGATGTTGAAAATGATGGAGTGACAAGAACTTGTATTATAAAAGGTATTACACCAGATTATGGATTGTTAATTGCTGAAGATATAAAAAATAAAGAAGTGTTACACTTACAACCAGATGGAAACTCTTTTGATATCTTTAAAGGATTAGTGTATAAGAAGAATACATAATTGTAGAGATTTTCGAAAGCCACTTTAAATGAAGACAAAAAGCCTCTTAAAAAAAAACTATAAGAATTATAGATTATTTTCTGAATCGAATTATAGCGTTGCAAATTATTCATTATCACTCACTTGTCAGTCCAACTTGTAACAACCACATGAAAGTCAAAGTACTAGAATGGAAAGGCTACTGTACATGGCACTGGGATCTAGCGTCAGCATCAGGCTCTGAAAGTAATGAACAAAGTTATGTGGAAGAATTATGTGGAATTTGTCGTGTTTCATTTGATGGAGCTTGTCCCAACTGTAAGTATCCCGGTGATGAATGTCCAGTTATTCTAGGTTCAGGATGTACTCATAACTTTCACCTTCATTGCATGTTGAAATGGTTGGAACAAGAGTCATCAAAGGGATTATGCCCAATGTGTAGACAAATATTTACGTTCACACCATTAATTACACAGAATGAGTCAGTAGACGAGTACGTTAATCTTAAAACATTAATAGACGGACATAAAGTAATGAGAGAAAGAGTTCTGGAGAATAGTGAATTTGAAAGTGATGGCCAATTTAATTAAGTTTGTTTTGAATTTGGAAAATCCGATTGGGAAATAAATAAAAAAAAAACAAAAGAAAAAAATTGGAGTTTGGAAAATCTCAAGAATATAGGTGAATCAGTGAAATCAAAGGAATGATTTTTACTTACACTCGTTTTACTAATCATGTATATCGAACTACTTGTAGATCGATAATCAAAAGATCATTTTCAAAATCGATTCTTTGTCAACTACAACAATCCAAATCTTCACGTCAAACACAATTGGAAATAGCTAGGTCTAAATTTACCCCACAAGAATTAGAATTAGCTAGATTAACAAGAGAAGCTAAACTAGGTTGGCTTAAAAAATTTCCTGAAAGCTGGATTCCTTACTTGGAGTTAATGAGATTGGAAAAACCAGTTGGAACATGGTTATTATTAATACCAAGTTATTGGGGAATTACAATGGCAGCTTACTCCATAGCAGCACCATTAACGACAACATTGACTGCAATTGGTTTATTCTCAGCCGGTGCTTTGATAATGAGAGGAGCAGGATGTACAATTAATGACATCTGGGATAGAAATTTAGATAATCAAGTTGCAAGAACAATGGAAAGACCTATTACTAGTGGTAGAGTCTCGGTTCCTCAAGCAGTGGCATGGCTAGGAGTTCAATGTTTTGCAGGATTAGGTGTTTTGTTAAGTTTACCATGGGAATGTTTTTACCTTGGAGCTTTGTCATTACCATTTGTTTTTGCTTATCCTTTATTTAAAAGATATACTTATTATCCACAAGCTGTTTTATCAATATGCTTCAGTTGGGGTTGTTTATTAGGATTTCCTGCAGTAGGTGCTCCCTTGAATTTATTTGTTGCTGTTCCATTATTCATATCAAATTGGATTTGGTGTTTGACTTACGATACTATCTATGCTCATCAAGATAAAACTTTCGATATTAAAGCAGGAATTAAATCTACAGCGTTAGCATGGGGTGATAAAACAAAACCAATTTTGAAAGGATTAACAGTGGCACAAGCTGGATTTTATGGATTAGCAGGTGTTATGAACTCAATGGGACCAGGATTTTTCATTGGTGGTGCTATCGCAATTACAAGATTGTATAAGCAAATCATAAATGTTGATTTGAATAATGAAAAAAGTTGTTGGGCTGCTTTTACTTCAAATATTCAAACTGGATTTATCTTCTGGTACGGTATATTGTTTGACTATCTTCTACAATTGTTAGGGTTTTTATGAAAAATCGTTTATTAAATTTTTAATACGTGCTAAATCTAATTTCGTTATCGTTTTTCTCATTAGTTTTTCTCTTGAATTTAGTTTAAACTCCTTGAAACTAGTTTGTAGATAATTGATCATATAAATCAACGGTAACTTATCAGGTAATGAATTTAGGATTTCAGATGTGGAAAAATGTTTTCCATAGCTATCAATGAAATGTTGAATGGCAAACTCCACTCTCTCATCTTGTTCAAATTTCTTCAAGTAGTATTGAAAAATTATTTCAAGCTTGTCTTTATCAAACTCGATAGGTTTAGGATCAAGCTGCTTGTAGATTTTCAACTCCAAATGCTTGCCAAGAGCTAAATTTTCAGCTGTTGAGAAATCTCCAAATTCAAGTAGTTTTGAAATATTTTGATTTCGATATATGTGATGATATTCAAATAAATCAATTTTTGTCTCACTGCAAATAGCTAATTCGAAAGATTTGAGATATAAATTGATGAATGATTCAAAATTTTTATTTTCTATGAATTCACCTGAATTTTTCAATAGTCTCAAAAAGCTGATCCAATTCCTTTTTGGCCATTCTTCATGCTGCAATGAGTTTAATGTTTGATATTGCGTATGAGTATTGTTTATTTGGGCTCTTACCAGCTCATCATACATTGACTTCAATGTAGACATTATGAGATCAAGTAATTCATCTTTCAATGAGACGTCTTCCAAAAATGAAGTCTCTAACAATTCTATTTGCAATAAAGCAAAATCTTCATCCTTTGAAACATCCGACAAACTATTCAAGATTCTTCTATTGACCTCGTGATATTGTTTAGATTGTCTCATATATTCATAACCTTTAGATTTATCTAGCTTAATTATACTTAATAATAGTTTGCTGTATTCAATTTCTTCGAGACTTGCGTGCCGTAGAAATTCTAATGCATCATCAATTAATTCGTGGTTCATGTATTTCAACAAATATTTGCGATAATCTGGGCTATTTCTATCCGGGAGTAGCTTATATATGTTTGAGACTAAATATTGTTTGTTTGTGTCCTCTAATAGAATATTAATTATGGAGTGGTCAATCTTTGAATCGCTCCAAATATCCCTATCTATAAAATTTTTGATATGACTTGGTGATGACAATTTATAGTACAATTTTCTAGCTTCTGGAGTCATTTCACTTGGCTCTAATGACTGAAGATATTTCTTAACCATTTCTTCATCTTTGTAGTCCCATTGTTCTAATGTTTCCTGTAAACCTGGAAAAACTTCATATATGACATCTTCACCCAATAATCTGAGGGACAAGTTGGGATTGATTTTGAGGCTTCCATCTTCATTTTTGGCCAATAAAAAATCCACCGGATCCATCTCTTTTAAAAATGCAACGAGAGTTTTTAAAAGATGAACATAATCTGAATCATCATGTAAATTTAATATATTATCAAATTCGTTAGATTCCAAAGATTCGTGGAAAAAATTGTTTGCTGAAATAATAGAATTTTCCTCATTTAAGAGGAAAACTTTGTCTTTATTGAACAAAACTATGTTTGAAGTGAGTGTTTTAAAATTCCCAATCAATTCTTGCAAGTGTTTATCTTCATATAAAATATTAACTCTGGAGATATTGAAATCACATATTGTGCTAGATAAATCATTGTTTTCCAATTTCTTTTCAAGCTCAGTTAATTCTATTTTTAATGTCTTTTCTAAAGTTTCCAATGATGAAACGATTAACGAGTTATCGAAAACCGCAAAAACATATGGCCAGTTTATCACTACGCCACCTTTCGGATATCCCTGATTTATCCAAGACAAAGTTCCTCTAGTAGCTTCACCATTTGAGTTAATAAACATTGCAATTGATGTGTTTTCGTCAGACAGAATAGTCAATAAGCATTCTTTTCCTCTGAGATCATCAGATGATTGGAATGGTACTAGGTAAGGAGATATCTTTAAGTCCGACTGGTATTCAAATAAAGTGGTTATGCTGTTGGTAGTTAAATCCAATGCTGAATAATTTGTCTTGTTCGCTAGTAGCATTAAATCTTTCAATGGGGGAGTGACTTTCACTGCATCAGTATAGTCAATATTCTTAACTACAATCCATTGGTTGTTTTCTAAATGTAAAAACGAAACCTTATTTGACTCAATTGCAATTATTGAATTTCCATCTTTGTAAGGCAGTATTGATTTAACATTATCTAATTTATTAGTTGCAAATGGTGAAAGTTCTGGTAGTGAAAATGTCTCAATATGATCATCAATAACTAACACAAGTTTTTGAATATTCTCCAAACACGAAATATCTTTTACACCTTCTGATCCAATTGGTAAATGAGTGATTAAAAAATAACTGGTTGCATCATCAAATAAATGATAATGAAATAAATTTCCTATTGAAGTGCCAATGTACACATTTCTTTCAAATGATGATATCGATGATATTTGTTCATTTAGTTTTAACGGTAGATCATTAATCAATGGTTCGACGGAGTAATTGATCATCAATGTTCCAACATCGATCTTTGGAAATTGCAGTTCTTTTTAAAAATAATTCCGAGAGTTCTATATATTAGCGCTCAGAAAATGAAAATTAATTTTAAAACAAATTGATCGGTTTCATTCATTCTGAATATTATATAATACATAAAATACAATGATCTATTTACAAGACAATGCTAATTAAGAAGATGATGGTGGTGGAGGGAAAGCAAGGTTGTCTCTATGAGCAATATATTCACTATCTGCATATCCCAAGATTGATTCAATTTCTTGACTTTTGTGTCCTTTGATTAATCTGATTTCATTCGCAGTATAATTAACTCTACATTGACCAACCTCAATTAAATCATTGGGGTTCTCAATGTCATCATCTTTAACTTTTATAGAAACACATTCGTTTTCATGGAATGTTCCAATGACATCAACTATACCAGCAGGTAAGAGACCAGCTCTATCTCTTCTAGTTAATGCTTTAAAGCATCCCTTATCTATAATTAATGTTCCTCTAGTCTTCAAACCATGTAATATCCAAAATCTTTTATCAGACCGAATCTGAGTATCTTGCGGTAGACTTAAAAACCTAGTATGTAATGGAATTTTTTTATCCAAAATGTCTTTTTGAAGTATATTTATTTGTTCTTCTATCGATACCACATCTTTATCTTGAGATTGTATATGACTGACAATATCCAATATGTAATGAGGTTGACTTGATAAAGTAATAATCGTAGTAACTCCAACGTTTGTTGCTAAACCAGCTGCAATTAATTTCGTTGTCATTCCTCCAGTTCCTACATTTGTACCAGCTCCTCCATCATCATTTGTATTTACATTTAATTCATCTATTTTGTCCACCACCAAGATTGGTTTTGCATTTGGATCCGTTCTTGGATTATCTGTATATAAACATTCGACATCTGTCATCAAAAACAAATAATCCGCGTGTATCATACCAGCAGTTATTGCAGATAATGTATCATTATCTCCAAATTTAATCTCTGACACTGATAATGTATCATTTTCGTTCACAATTGGAATTATACCCATATCTAGTAGTTCATTTATTGTATTTTTTGCATTTTTATATTGAGTGTAATCGATGATGTCATTTCGGGTAATTAATACTTGTGCAATAGTTTGATCCATTTGTCTAAATAAATCATTAAATAATCCTATTAATCGCCCTTGACCAATTGATGCCAAAGCTTGTATTGCAGATAATTTGGTGGGTTTTCTTTCTAATTTCATTACTTTCATTCCAAATGCAATTGCTCCTGATGATACAATGATAATTTTATGACCTTGTCTTCTTAATTTTGTTATTGTTTCCACTATATGTGACATGTTAGCGATCCTTGGCTCTCTCGTCGTAGCATCCACCAACGATGAAGAGCCAATTTTGACCACTATCGTAAATTGCTTCTTCTTCACACTTGTCATTGGGATTGTATTGTTTGGATCTAAAGATTTAGCAGAACACCAAACTGTTTCATAAATTTTTCATGATTTGAGTCATCAGATATTTTGAGTACTACCAAATGGTTAACTAACATTAAATACTTTAAGACTCTGACCCGGTTCTAATGATTTTAATGATGTCCGCAAGGAAATGTAAAGGGATTATTTTCTCATTACAGTTGTTAATAAATCAACAAAGTTTTTACTCGAGAATGATAATTTAACCTTAATGTTGTTTTAGGTTTAAAATTATAGTGATTCAAAACATAATTATAGAACAAATCGTTTAATTTATCTGCACTCTCTCGAACTTTTGCAACCACAAAAAAATAACAATATAATAAAATTATACTCCGGCTGATATTTAGTGTCCCAGACAGCAATTGATATCGTCGAAGTCACGTAAGCAAGTGTGTTCGTCACCAAAATGACAAAATTTCGTTTTAAGTCGTCGCTGACCATCACGGGGTTTCTGTTGATTAAGGGGTATTTTTTATAGTCAGAAACAAACTTGCGTAAAATTAATGATTACATAAATCGGTTGCTCTATACTGAATCTAAATTAGAGTTCAAACTTTACTCGTCGTTTAATATTGAATGTCTATTTAGCTTCTTCTAAATACTTTCAATCGAAGAAGCCTCCTTCGATTCTTCCAACAACTTTGCTTTTTTTTCATCTCTTTTAATCAAAAAATGAACGACAGCAGTAACGATCAACCCTAATGCAGACAAACAAGCAGTATATGTAAAACCAATAAAGTACTCCGGCTGATATTTAGTGTCCCAGACAGCAATTGATATCGTCGAAGTCACGTAAGCAAGTGTGTTCGTCACCAAAATGACAAAATTTCGTTTTAAGTCGTCGCTGACCATCACGGGGTTTCTGTTGATTAAGGGGTATTTTTTATAGTCAGAAACAAACTTGCGTAAAATTAATGATTACATAAATCGGTTGCTCTATACTGAATCTAAATTAGAGTTCAAACTTTACTCGTCGTTTAATATTGAATGTCTATTTAGCTTCTTCTAAATACTTTCAATCGAAGAAGCCTCCTTCGATTCTTCCAACAACTTTGCTTTTTTTTCATCTCTTTTAATCAAAAAATGAACGACAGCAGTAACGATCAACCCTAATGCAGACAAACAAGCAGTATATGTAAAACCAATAAAGTACTCCGGCTGATATTTAGTGTCCCAGACAGCAATTGATATCGTCGAAGTCACGTAAGCAAGTGTGTTCGTCACCAAAATGACAAAATTTCGTTTTAAGTCGTCGCTGACCATCAAGGGGTTTCTGTTGATTAAACTGAAAATAAAAGGCTGGCCCCAGCTACAAGGCACTCCAATAAGGAAGTATAGGAAGTAGTGAAACCCTATTGGAACATCCCATTTGGCAAGTAGACTGCAACCTATGATCAAACAAATAAAAAAGCTGCTTATGAAAAAAATATTTTTTTTACCCCCTAAAAAGTCGTTTATGTACGAAAAAAAAATTACCATGACGATACCAACTGCAGAAACTATTGGAGGCCACAGATTATAAACTGATGAAGGTTTATGCAAGTATTGTTTCAAAAATAATTGGAAGGTGGGTTGACCACTGGCATTGCATGAGTTGTTGTAACAAAGAAACAATATTGGGAAAACATATACATGATAGGTATTGAAAAATGATTTAATTTTAGCCCATGAATAAGATTGTTTAGTATTTAATTCAGCTTTTAATAACCTACGTCTTTCTAATCCAACTAATACATCTCTTTCTGAGAAATAAAATGTATCCTTTTTATTTACTTTAGGTATACCTGGATGAACAATCACTGTATATACTCCAATAACAAAACTAATCATGAAATCAAATACAAACATTATTTGAAAAGGTTCTAATGAAGAATGTTTAAAAGTCTTAATAATAGCTTGTTGTAAAAGTGGAGTAATAATACCTGCTAATCCAGAAGCAATCAGAAAATAAGCACTTCTTTTTGCTAATTCAGTTGTTCCATAATTTGATCCTAAAATATATTCAGTTCCACTAAAATAATTACTTTCTGCACTTCCAATAAGAAATCTTAAAGCATATAAGGCACTAATATTATCTCTTTTAACACCAATCATTGCTAAAGTTAAACAACTAACAATCATAATTGTAATTCCAAAATAATATCTTGGACTAACACGATGCATAAGTAAACCTAATGGAATTTGAAATATTATATAACCAATTGTAAACATTGTGACCATATAATTATATTGATTTTTATTCATATTATAATATTCTGACATTCCATTAACATAAGAAGTTGTAATATTTGATTGATTTAAATATTTTGCAGTATATCCTAAACATGAAGATGATAAAAGAAAGAAATCAAGTTTTAATAAATATGATTGTTCAATTGGATTTTTACCAGTTCCATCCCAAAAAAATCTTTTAATTTTAAATGATAATGATTTATCTCTTTTTTCTAATTCTTCTGGTGTTAAATTAACTGATATATCAATATATTGTTCAGGAGTTTCATCAATTTCGACTTGATGAAATTTTGTATCTCCTGTTTTATTTAATGGTGAAGTTGATGAATTTGAATTTATAGATGTATTTGAACCATCGGATGGACCATAATCTATAGTCTTTTGATTCCCATTAGGAATAAATTTATTCCAATTTACCATTTTCTGAAAAGTGCAAACAAGGAGACTGAAATTTGATCTTATCAAAGGTATAGTTGATCTGAAACTTCTGGTTTTATTGGAGTCTTTATATGATCAATGAAGATATTTCAATTGAATCATTCTATTGTGGCAGAATCATATTGAAATATGCAAAACCGATAATGATATTTAATTCCTTTTATATTAGTAATGATGTTTCATAGTATAATATGAAAATTGTATAGAAAGCGGAATAATGAGATCTAAGTTTTATTGTTCTAAAATTTGTTAATTAATACATCAATGTGTTTAAATGATTGTGGCTTCTTAACTGAATGTTAGGCGGTAGTTGTTAATATTAATTCTAATTAGTTTGCTCATAATCTCGAACCTGCTTCGAATAGAGTGGTATAAGATTCAAAAACTCAATTGTTTGAAACATGATAAGAATTTCTCACTGGTAAAGAGTTTTTTGAAATATACAAATGTCAAGGAATAATAGATATTCCGAAACAAAAATTTTTCTTGATTCTAATTGATTCTCTCGTAATTTTAACAAGGATCAATTCTTAGTTCTAGAATAGACAAATATGTTCATGCAATTCGTTGTAAGTTTTATATTTCATTTAAAGATCATACCATTTTTAATTGAATGCATTTATCAACAAATTTTGAAAATTGTACCTTATCAATTTTGCTACAATTTGCAATTTTCAACTGTGGTTGCAAAAAGAGGGATAAAAAAATTAAGGATTCAAGACTGCATATAATTTTGATAAGTTTTTGGTTTCAGATCCCGTGATTTTAATTGCAATATGGGGGTAGTTCTGATAAATGTAGATAACCCTATACCATAGATAAAAAATTAAGAAGTATTAGTCAAGGAATAAAAGAGTCTTTTTAGGATCAGGCTACGAATTTGAGAGTTAAACAAGGACAAATTTCTAAAAACTAAAATCAAACTCTACTTTTTTTTTTTGTTTTTTATAAATCTTTTATCAAACTCAAGAACAATCAACAACAAAAATCAACAACAAAAATCAACAACAAAAATCAACAACAAAAATCAACAACAAAAATCAACAACAAAAATCAACAACAAAAATCAACAACAAAAATCAACAACAAAGAACAGCAACAATCAACAACAAAAAGGGACAACAAGAAGCAGCAAAGGACCAATTATAAATGAAGCACCACTAAAAGAATTTTTAATTTTCATCTAACCCTGGAAGGACTAAATCAATAGAATTACAATCAGAATTTTTCAAATCAGCAAATTCAGATGACATAATTAATTGATGAAGATAAACTTCGAATTTAATATGACATTCTAAAGTCATTCCGTGTTTTTTCTCAACAACTGATTTTGCCACTTTAGCAATATTTTTATTTTTTGAATATGAAAGTTTCATTAATTTATTAAATTTTGGTTTATCAATATCTTCATCTCCATCTTCATATAAAGGATTAATTATATTAATATATTTAAGATTTATAATAGAATCAGCATATTTAAGTACAGATTGTAAACCTTTGGCATCTGAGTCATAAAGACAAGCAGTTAAACAATCAATTGTTGAAGTTAATTCTTTAATAAATTTGTTAAAATCAGTTTCATAAAGAAATTCATTACTTAATAACAAAACATTATCGACTTTATGAGCTTCAAAATATGCAGCAATTTGTAAAAGTATATGTTCTTTTTCAATAATTAAAATAATCAAATTTTGAGGATTCAATTTTTTAACTTGTTCAATTAATTTTGATGTTAAATAATGATTTGGAATAATACCTTTATTTATTACATCTTTTGATTCAGTCCCGAGAATTAAAGGTAATTCTAATTTATAACCTGGAATTTGAAACGAGCACCAACCAATGTGTTCCATAGATGAGAAAATTAATTCAGTATCTAAAGATTTACCTAAATGTCCTAATTCTGAAGTACAAGATTTTGAACCTAAAATTTTTCTATTAAAATAATGAATAGATTTAAAACATAATTGTAGATTATGAATTTTTTTAATGGTTATTATTGCAATCATTATCATATAACTTAATTTGGATTTTTTATGTTTTGGTGTATTATTAACAATCATATTAAAGTTTGGATTTATAAATTGATGAAGTAATAAATTCAAACTAATATAAATAAAATTATTTAAGATTGAATAATTTGAATTTTTTGTAACATTTATTGTTAATGGTTTCACTTTATTAGTCAATAAATTATCAATGATTTTTGAAACAGAAGGATTTGAAATTGATGATGATGATAATGATGATGATGAAGAGGATGATACTGGATTTTCGTCCTTATAAGTTCCTTGCATTGGCACTGGTTTTTTTGAACGAAAAGAACTATCAAATTTGTAAAGATTGTGATTTTTCAATTTTTTACTTTTTAAAGCTGGACTTACTTTGTAATAATTTTGGTATCTTGTGTCAACTTTTCTCTTTTTAGTAGCCATTTTTATGTTTGAATACTCTTTAATAATATAAGTAGTTGTTAATTATATGAAGAATGAAGTTAATATGTTGAGTAAGATGAGTAAACTGAAAAATTACAAAAAATATGGGAAAAATATAATGATCTGAATTGATTTGAATTATATTAATGATATTTCATGAGGATTTTATAGTCAAAAAATCCTGTGATTGTTAGGTACAAAACTAGACAATTACTGTATTAAATAATAACTGCAAAATAATAAGACAATAAGCCTTATTTATCTTAAACAAAAAGTACTATAGTATTGTAAAATCTAAATTAGGAATTAAATGGGTTTGATTTGAGACAAAATATTTTTTATAATATACTATTTTCATTTAAAATAATTAAAGCACCTTATAATTAATTGTATATAGATTAATGATTAATTAAATCCTTTTATAATATCCATACTTTAACCCATACCACTTTTATAAATTTTTTGTATGGGGAAAAAAATAAGAAATTATTTAAGAAAAAAGATTGTTTCAGATTTGTTATTTACGAAAACCTTTATTATTTATTTGACCGAATAAGTATTAAACGTTTACTTTTGAGTTTTTTAATTTCATTATTATATCTAACTTATAGTACATATTAAAACTTTCTATTAGATAAAATACGCGTATTTTGCAATTGGTTTGCTTGGTTATATTTGTATTGACTTATCACTTTCTTCCCAAACTTTAAATAATAATTTTGAGAATTATTTGGCACACTTCAATCAAATACAATAATTTAGGTTTTGTGGACTCAGTTTATATTCGCCACCACTTCAATTTGACTTGCTAACTTTAATTCAATTTTTATCTTTAATACCGTTATAAAATATCACTTTAACGGATCATTTATTCTCTCATGGATTAATCAGAACATCAAATTAATTTCAATAGGTTTGGTTCAATTCGTGTATTAAATGTAATGTAAATGGCAAGAAGTGTTATTTCCTAAGTATATCTATTAATAGGTAGGTCTATAATTACTAAATGAATCATTAATAAAGATTTTTTAATTCTTTGACTAACCCAATATAAATTTTCGTTGTCAAGAGCTGCTTTCACTGGTACACTTGAAATAGTCTAGACTTTTGTTCGTTTTACTTGATTAAGAAAAATTGATGTTGTTGCAAATTCGTTGTGAACCAGAAACATTTTCATCACAAAACGAATGAAGCCTTATGTAAAAAGGCATAAATTAATTCTGAAAATAAATATAGTAGACTAAAGATGATAACAATTCAAAACCGTATTAGGGAATGGTAAATAAGAACAGTTTATTATTATTAAACTTGATGGAATAGATTTGTTGTACGATTTGGTTGATGAGTTTAGAAGGTTTTAAATTGAGTAATTAAAGTTTTTTCAATTTGTTTCAGAATTAAAAATATGAAACAAATATTTTTCACATAGTTTACACAAAACAAAAAAATTTGCAGTAAAGTTTAAAAATTAGTTTATAAGTATTAAAATTAGACGAAATTGAAATCTGAAACTTCATTAATACTTGAATTACTCAACAAATAAATCAATTAATAATGAACTTCAATTTATGATTTTAAAATATTGGCTTAAGATTGGTATTAATTTTCTCAACAAATCCTTATATATAATATCAAAATCTTGCAAAAATTAAACATAAATTCTAAAAATTACTAAAAAATTCAATATCAATAGAACAACAACACAAATGATTTCAATTGAAAAAAACAATTTTGGAAAGATAAGTATGAATTATGAAAGATTCAAAGGTGAAGAACCTAGTACTTTATTTCCAGCTAAGGCAATGAATTTTAATGTTCATTTTAATTCAAAAATTTTAAATAAAGAAATTATTAAAGGATTTGAAAAATATTTTTTAAACTCATTTTATGAAATTGAAAAACAAGATTGGAAAGAAGATGGTATTTTTACATTTACATTAAAAGATCAATTATTAGTTCATGATAAATTGGATGGTTTATTTTATGCAGATTATAACATTGAAATTAATTTAGATATTAAAGAAGGTAAAGAAAAAAAAGAAGAAAAAGATATTAAAAGTTGTTTAAATTCTTTAGTTGTTCAATGGATGATGTATTGTGATAGATTTTGTCCTTTTATTTTTGCAATTCAGGTAAGATCAAAAATTAAATCAAATTTATTTTCAAATCTTGATGATAAATTATTTCCATTCAAACCAGAACATTTATTACAACATTTAGATGAAGATATTGATAAAAAAAGAGAAGAAGAATATATGAAAACTCATGGTAAACCTCCAGGAAGTATTTATTTAGATGAAAATTTCTTGCTTCATTTTGATTTATGGAATAATAAAACTATAGATGAAGTCAGAGAAGTGTTTGAATATATTAAAAAGGCTAAAGAAAATGGAGAAGATAATTGGAGAGATTGGAATTCTGAATTGGATGCATTACTTGATGATTATTATGAAAAACATGCATTATCTATCGTCTTAAATCAAAATACTATAAGATTATATAATACAATGACATCGGAATTAGATTACGATATTTTAGAATTTTTAAATTATTAAGTTTATATAAAATTGATAAATATATAATAAATCTTTTTCTATCTATAATTAAATATCATTTGAAATCTCTACTTGTATTTTAAGATGTATGTAATACTAGCTTAATGAGGTTTCTTCTCATTAATTTATGATCAGTAATCAGATCTATCATTCTATCATTCTATTTAAATATTGATTCTAAATTATCAGGATTAATTTCTTTCCAATCTGACAATTTTGTAGGTAAATTTTCCGGTAATAAATGAGGATACTTTGTTTTAATAGCTTCCAATATACCATTAAATAAAATCTTATAAGCTTTTGGAGTATAATGAATTCCATCATTCAAATAAGCTTCAAAATTTCCAACTTGCCATTCATTTAAATCTCCACTCACTTCAAATATTTGTTCTTTAGTCCATCCACCATCTTTTCTAAATTCTTCCCAAAGATCAATAAATGGAATATCATAATCATTCGCTACTGATTTTGCTGCTTTTGAATATTGATAAAGTCTTTTATTTGTTGTAGCATCCTTACCTAAATTTTTCTTTTCAGAATTTGTAAACTCTTTTACTGCTAATTTAGGATCATGTAAACCTGGACCAATTAATATAACTTTAATACCATAACCAATTACGGTTTTCACTAAAAATTCAATATTATTCTTATATTCTTCCAAACTTACTGGCTGTATTGAATTAATATTCTCAAAAGCATCATTTGTTCCAAAAAATATAGTCATCAATTTAATATTATCCTTTGTAGAATTAAACTCCGATTCAAGTAATTTTGGTAATATTAATTTTGCATGTTTGGAATTATATCCACTATATCCACGATTAAGGATATCTAATTTTCTAATATATAAATTTTGTAAACTTGGTTGTAAAGCAAAATTATCAACTATTTCATTACTATATTGAGTTATTGAATCTCCGAATAAAATGAATTTATTGTAGTTCATTATTGGTGATATAAGATAATTTAGTGATGGTGTAAGAGCATTAGTATTAGTAATACATCAACATTTGTGAATCATGGAATTTATAAATTGTTAATAGGATTTGATAATTAACAAAGATCCACAATTCGGTTAATGAAAACTTCGTATCTTGTTCAACCTGTACATAAAAGTCAACCCTAACTTCTTTCTACTGAGTATTTGTCCCTTATTCCACAACACAAGGTAGTAGATTTGTAGTTCATCAAATGCTGAAGTATCCTTTAATATTGTGTAGATTATTTTACATATTTAGTATGTACAAGTGGTAAAATTCATCTGAAAATAGTAATACTGCTAGTGAAGTGTTGTTTTCAGTAATACTTATTAAGATCAATTAGATCTAAAGTCAAACATTATTAATCAATCATGTGACTTCTCTTCATTTTTATATCCGAAGTTCCTACGAAAACTTACAATATGTTTTGATCAAGTTCCAAGTGATATCATTAACCTTGAGAGGTAAATTTATAGAAATAGTTCAAAATAGAAGCATTATATATCATCAAAATTTTATTAATTAATTACTATACCCATCGTCTAAATTCTCTATGATATTATTAAACCAAAATCCAATTAATACAACAAAATAAATTAATATTAATATAACTCCTTTAAAATAATTTGATTTACCTTCTGCATAAATATATGTAAAAAGATAAATTGAAATTAAAGTAGCTATTATATCCCATCTTGGAAATACTAATGAAAAAATTTGTTCAACATTTATAAAATTTTTAATCATTGAATAAACAACAAGACTTGGAATTTGAATAAGAACAACTTGTAAAGCATATGCACTACCAATCTCCATTGAAAGTGCAACATTTCCACTAATTGCAAATGATATAGCATTTAAAAATTCTGTTGTATTTGGAACTAACGCAAAAATTGTTAAACCTAAAAATTTTGGATCAATTGGAAAATCAGCTAAAATTGCATCAACATTATCAACTAAAATTTCAGCAATTATTGCATATAATACTGTTGCTCCTAATAATATTACAGTTGATTTATTTCTTGACCAATTTGGTGCATCATGTCCTCCTCCTTCATGTTCATCTTCTTTATGTTCTTTTCTAAATTCTGTATCAGATGGTGTATTTAATCTCTCAAGACGATCAAGTTGTGTTCCGGCCGGTTTTTTGGATTGAACCGGTGTATTAACACTGGTAACACTGGGAGATCTAAAATATTCTTCTCTTTTAACTTCATGAGAATTTGTAGCCCAAATTAATGATGCATGAGTTCTTAATGTAAACCATAATCCACAAACATAAGCAGCAAATAAAGCAAGTGCAACAATAAATGAAAAAGGTTTAATAACAGTATAGTATAATGGATCCAAAGTAAATGAAGGTTGAATAAAACGACATTTAGTACAATCATCTAATCCAGGATTAAATTCACAATTATTACATTTAATTTCATAAGCACCATAAATTTGATAAAATAATGAAGGTGCAAACATAATAACCATTGCAAATAATAACATGGTTGAAGAAACACCAGCAGATCTTGGATTATAACGTTGAGTTTTTCGTTTAAAAGCTCCACCACACATTGATAAACCAGGTAACAATAACACACCACCTAAGATTGAACCAATCATTGAACCTTCAACTAATTTTCCTTTAGCTTGATTTAATGCAACACAATATAAGAAAATCTCCACAATTGTTGAAAAAAATGCATTAATAACAGCACCTACTCCCATAGATGATTGAGCTGAAATAGATGCAACTGCTTGACCAATAAAATAAGCTAATGGAATAATTGAAAACAAACATAAACAAAAAATTACAGTTGGATTTGTAAGAAAAATATTCCATTCCAATGTTTCTTTGAGGAAATAATAATCAACAATAACAAATAAAACAACTGATATTAAATTTATAAAAAAGATATTTGTACCATCTATAGTATATTTATAATAATGCCATCCACAACATCTATAAGTACATAATAAAATCATTTGTTTTTTTCTTTTCAAAGCTGGATTTTTTTGTCTTCTTTCATAATATTCTTTTTCCCCTTCAAAATCTAATGCTAAAGGATGACGCCTTAAATGATCATTAAGAGTTGCCGTAAGATTAGCAATTGGGATTGTAAAAACCAAAAGCCAACATAATAAACCAATAAAATATGATAATGGTTGTACAATCACATAAAAATAAAAATAAAATGCAATTCTACCAGCACTCCAATCACCTCTTCCAAAAAATCTTACTTTAATATCATTGGCTTCAGTACCATCGTCAGTTTCTGGAATTGTTTCAGGAGTTTGGCCATCATCTAATGTATTATAAGCATCTCTTAAAGGTCTTCCTCTATGATCTTTCATTAATGGAGTTGATTCTTCAGCAGAGGCAGTATAACGTCTTGGAGGTGCAAAAAACAATCTACCTTCTTCTTGAGCTCTCCATTGATGAAATTCATTTAATGTTCTACCTTCTAATTGATCTTCATCTAAATAATTTTTATCTTTATTTAATAAAACAAATTTTCCAAACGGCCATAACCAGTATTGACCTAATTTTAAAAATGCTTTTACATAAGCTCTCAGTCTTTTTTTAATAGCAAATCCTGAAAATAAAAATACAAATCCTGCTCCAATCAAGCAAGCTATGAATATTAACAATCCAGCTGTTAAACTCCATATAAGATTAGTTAATTTAACACCCCAAAAAATTCTTGATGAAGTTGGACGTCTTGGATCAAAATCATGAATATCTTCGTCAGCTCTTGTTGCAACGGATCTTGCCTTTTTATATAATGATGGTTTCCAAATTTTTATACCGAATGGATGAGTCGAATTAATTGCATTTTGTCTTTCTTTCAAATTCAATGATTCCATTGATGAAGTAGAACTAATTGAACCATTATCAGCAGAATCGTCATTCTCATCACCTTCTTCTTCTTCCTCTTCGTTGTTTTCATTGTTTTGCTCCTCCGTTTCATCTTCATCATTAACTTGTTTTTTTTTATCGTTTTTCTTCAACATTCTCAAATGTAATTCAGCATCTGATAACTCTTTTGCAATTGTTGATTCAATACTAGGAACATCTTGTCCATCCTGATAATGCCTCATTGGACTTTTACTACTTCTTCTTTGATATAAAGCTTTTAAAGCATCGTTATATCCTTCAAGATACTCTCGATCCGTTTTTTTACTATTAGCTTCGGTTGGTTCATTTTCAGTATTATCGTCTCCTTCTTGTTCATTGATATCATCATCAACTGAATAAATCAATTTTGGATGACTTTGAGTGACACTTTGACGTTTTCTTAAAGTTGGTCTTGATTTTCTTCTTGATACGCTAGTTGACCTATTTCTCGGAGTAGAAATGCTCGTCACGCTTGATTGTCTTGATTCTTCTAATCTTGTTGGATCAGAATTAGAATTTGATGGACCCATTTTTGGATCAGATGACATGTTCTATTCAATCAACAGTTGGCAATTGAAAGGAAAGTTGTTGATTAAACTTTATGGTTATCTATTTTAAGTTTACCCTACAAATAAAGTATTATTAATAGAATATTATATTAAAACAGTTTTGTGTAACCGTTATAATTTATGTACAATTTTGCAACTACGTAATTGAAAATATTTACTTAAACATTTCATTCAACTCAATCACCTAATCTATGACCTCTACCTCTAAAAGCATTTCCGTCATTACCAAACCATGAATATCTACCGGTTACATTAACTTCTGCTTCTTGTCTTTTATTAATATTTATTGTTGGTGCTTTACCAACGGTAGTAAATGCAGTAGTTCTAACTGAAGTATTAGTCGGGTAAGATAACAATTTATATAACCAAATTGGTGCTTTTAACCATCCTTTATCATATATGCTATCAACAATAAAATCATCCAGATATCCACCAATTTTTTCTTGATTATCAATGTGAGTCATTCCTACTCTTCTACCTTCATGATTCTTTTTGGTATTAAATTTTCCATATGCTCCTGGAATCAAATTATAGAATGGAAGAGTTTGCAGTTGAAGACAAAGATACAAATATCCACTCAATATTCCAACTAATGTATCAACTAAGGCGACTGGTCCACCAAGTATCAATTTTACAATTAAATTTCCTAATGGTAAATAATAAGCTTTAATTGGAATTATCCCTAGAAGATTGATCTTTGCATTTTTCAAGCTTCTTGACCAAACATAAGTTATACAAGCCAATAAATTTTCATGTGGGAAATAACTTATACTTGTAAAATTTCCAGTAATTGCATCTATTAACAAATTCAATACTTGTATGAATGTACCACATAATATAATAAACCATAAATAATCAGGAAAATTACCTTTGAATTTACCTTCATGAGCCTCCAAATGATTTGAAAATGTGTAGAAAAAATAAGTATCTAATAATGCACTCATACTTGGTGGAAATAATCCAGAAGGTATTAAAAATGATGTAACAAATCTATACCAACTTAGCACTGTAACAACTACTACCTTAAGTAATTGAAATTTCAGACCTGTTTTTGAAACAAGTCGAATTAATGCATATTCATTGAGTAATGTATTTAAATTAATATATAAAGACTCTGATGCTGAAAAATTTGTGACTGCAAAGCATGCTAGAACCGTTGATATTGTGAAAAACCTTGTAACTGGAGGAATTCTTTTTATATTGGCAATTATTGGATTACTCATGACAATTGAGCTAATGAATAATTATATTCAAAATGTGCTGTTGAAAAAGTGGTCAACACAAAATCTTCATAAAAAAAAAAACAGTAGGATTATCAGTGTTTATGCATTAACATCAATCACAAATATTACGACAACACATCATATATAATGAAATTAGTACGGTTTTTAATGAATATACCGAATTCAACTAATCAACCAATAACAGTAGAATTGAAGAATGGTAATATCGTCAATGGTACATTATTATCATGTACACCTACAATGAACCTAAATTTAAAAAACGTAAAACTACAACAATTATATCAAGATCCAATACTACTACAATTCATAAATATAAGAGGAAATCAAATAAGACAGATTTTATTACCTGAAGAATTAAATATTGATCATGTCTTACAAAAATCAGAAACTAAAATAAAAGGTCATGGAGCAGGTCCCAGTGCAAAACCAATGAAAAGAGGTGGTAGTAATCTCAGAGGGAGAGGAAGAATTAGGAATTGAAAATATCAAATTAGTCCCTTCACTATGTACAATAACAATATACAAGCATCTTATTAAAACCATGTTTGTCTTCTTTCTTGTTTTTTCTTTAATAATTTCTTATAACTTGGTCTAGCTTTAGTAATAATCTTATCCATATTCTTTATAGCTTCTTCTCTCTTTCTGAATTTTTCTTCTAATTCAGCTTGATCAGATCTACCAGCAGGTTGTATCATACCTTGCATCCATTTCTTATTATTATATTTATCTTCATGGAATTTTCTTGGTGTTGGTGGTAACAAATCATGTATACCAAATTTTTTGGCTAATTTAAATAAATCTGCTGATCTTCTTCTTGAATATAGTGAACTATGCCATCTACCAGTTTCTGGGTTCTTATTTGGGAAAAATGGATTTTTGGTTGGGTCTGACGTTATTGATGGTCCATCTTGATATTGTGAAAATGGTCTAGGTGGATATTTGATAAAAAAGTTATGTAGTTTTTGAGGAAGCTTTGCAAATGCTTCTTTTGAAGTTAGCGACATAAGTTCTTGATTGTATTCCTGTGGATATATGTTAAGAATTGACAAAATGTGTATGCATAATTGAAAAAAATGAAAAAAAAATCCATAAACTTACTATGGTAGCAATATTATAAGAATAGACTATTAATCATTACTATTACACTCAAAAACTGAGTTTCTGTCGTCTCAAAAAACTTTTCTCGCGTCACAACAAACGTCGTATTGAATTTTACATTAGCAATAGCTCTTCGTTATTTACTAGTAATGTGTCTTTAAAACTTAAATGCTAGAAATTCTCACTTAAGAATCAAATTTCACTTGGCTTCCTAATTGTACTGGTACAATTTGAAAATGTCTCTGGCTACAAAGCCTGGGCTCAGTTGGGCAATATTTATCTTATAGAGAAACTGATTTAGTCTTAACTTGTTGTACAAATTCATCAATTTTTAAATTTCAACGTTTCGAAGTAAAAAAAAAAACTATAGATAACAAATGGAAAAGAGAGCTGTTCTTAGAAAATTACAGCTGAACATAGAAAGTGAACAACAGAGTTGAAGTTCAGTAACATACAATCATCAAAGAGTCATAAGAGTTTGTGGTATCTTTCCACTTGCATAAATTGAAAAACGAAGACCGTTATACTTTGCAAGAATCACTAGTCGGTGTCAAAAAACATAAACGTTATTTTGATTTTTTAAAAACAATATATAAAAAGAATAAAAACTGATAAAAAATAGGATGTGTAAAGTCCTAATGGCATGGGAACATACTGACCACAGCCGAGATTGGGCGACAAAGCGGGACCGGTATCACAGAATCGTTCAGTGATAATGTAACTTAACTGTTACAATTATACCATCCTGTCAAGCTACCACAACCATTGTCATAGCAACCCTTGAATTGACCACCACAATCGGCATACATTGCATCTGATGAAGGACCAATTAATAAAGTACCTTGCCAGGTACCACCATGTGTCATCGTAATACAGTAAATATTACACAACCAATCACCATCATTTTTGTGTACCGCAGCCATTATTGCTCCAGCAATTGTTTTTTGCTCAGCTGTTGAACCACAATCACCACCAATTGACCAGTACCTATAATAAACACCACCCATTTGACCATGTATTTCTGAACATTGTTTTGCTGTCATCAATTGTCTGATTTTAAAAGAAATATTCCACACATCATTACCAAGATCCCAGATTGCGTTGACACAGCGACCTGCACCTTTTACCCAAGTAGTGCAGTCGTGGATACTGAGTCTCTTAACAAGACCCAACTCACCTTCATAATGACTGATGGAATTGTTGCTAATTGATAATTGTAAAAATTGTTGGAGTAACTCATCATTATACTCAGTGTCAGTCCTTTTTACATCATCACCATGGATATTTAATTGCAGTTCTATATCTTCGAGCTGGATGACAGCTTTGATATTGGCAATTACTTTACCTGTAGCATCAGTTAAAATGGGAAAGGTGTCATTACCACCTTCAGATTCAGGACCGAAACTAGCTATTGCACCAGTGAAACAAAAGATGAAACCAAAAATACCGACTTGAGCATATTGTTTTGTAAATAGATTTTTAACCTGAAAGATTGATTGATTTTATTGAAAAAAGAATAAGTTCAAAGTATTCATGGAGGAAATGTCATCTTTTTATAATCAAAAAAAAATTGCTTCAATTACTTCAATTCATCAAAAAATTGAGATTTATATCTAAGATAACTTCATACCCCCATTTAGTAAAAGTGATAATGTACCAAAAAAAAGTTGATGGTCTTTTGTACCAGTAAATTTTGCCTAATTTTGGTGAAGATGTATTACAGAATAAACTTTTTTGTTGCTCTGGTATCTTAGTTACACAAATCCAAGGTGCAGATTGACTTAAAGCGGCCCCGACATAAGAATTTTTCTTGGCTAGTTTTCGTTTTGTGAATTATTTTTTTCTTCTTAATATTCTACTTACTTACCTTCAAGAAAAAATCGTTTTTTACGAAATCTTTCGTATATTTACGATTCTCAAGTTTAAGCCAAGATCAGTGAAAGTTATAATTCATCTCAAAACAAAATAGCATGATTCTTAAAGTTACAAATTATTTGACTGACAATATATCTGTTGAAAATTTTCCAGAAAATTTAGCTCGTGTTTTTGCACATTCTTATCAGATGATTCTGTCGAATAAATGAAGCTTTCATATACATATCTTCCAAACAATAGATGTTTGCATGTCTTAAACAATAGACGTCTCTCATAATATTGAAACTATAACTACTATAGTTTTGATTGTTTGATCTAAACATAAGAAAGTTCATAACCTCTAATTAATTAGTCTTCAATGCTCAAAACCCATTAATTTATTTATTGTTGAGTAAGTCGTTCATTCAACCATTTTGAAAGTGGAGAAGTTGTTCGTTTTTTACCAATTACTGTAAGTATCTTGAAAAATCTCTATTGTACATCCATAATAGTAAACTGATATGTAAGTATCTTAAAAAATCTCTATTGTACATCCATAATAGTAAACTGATATTACCACTGCAGTTTGTTTTTGTGAGTTATAGAATTAGTCCATCCTACAGATTACTTTGATCAACTATTGGCTGGGTTCTATCGAGTTAGTATTGAACAAACCTAAGCTTTTCCTCTATGTTAGTGTTATTTTTTTTCCCTTGTTTCATCTATTCGTATAATTATTCCTCTATGTAAGGCTTTATTACCTTCATCGGTATTTTGGTTTGATTTATCACTTCCAACCAATTACAGTTCTAATGAATTGAGCAGCTCGGTTATATGTTGCAAAACAAAGCAGATTTCTTTTTCTTTTACAACAAATAATCAACTCTTCAAACAACGAAACGTATTTAGAGTGGTCCCTATGTCAATGAGTCATTTACCTTATGTAGAATGCACATTTAAAGCTTTTGATACTGCCTGGTCAGATATTCGATGTATTCTTTGTCAAGTTAGACGTAACTACGAAAAGCAATTGAGAGATAAAAATAGAACGAAGCGATTGACATTATGATTTTAACTATTTCTCACAACAATAGATGTCCGAATTAATTACTTTTACCTTTCCATGGCAATTTTTTTTTTTATAGTTTATATGATACAATTAAAATTAGCCTAATACTTTTGATGAGGTTAGGAATAAAATTAGGCGAATACACATATCGGGGAGACGATTTACATTTTATATATTTTGGGGCACAAGACAATATCTTAGGGCAAGGTAAAATCGTGTGAAGGTTATGAGATAGCTATGGGCATTAGAGATTGAGCCGTACGGAATCAGCTATGCCAAAACAAACGTAATATTGGAGAACAATAGATTGAAGGGGCAGTGGGCATTCAAACTATGTTTAAATATATTTGTGGATCCTTTTCCATCTTCATGGCATTGTACTCGTAATAGAAACGAGTTATATCAAGTTGATAGACCATTTTGTAATAAAGGTTTCCATCGCGCAGAAATTCACTAAATTCATCTAACTTCAAACAATCATTATCATCAATCATAAACGATGTAATACAATAAGAACCTTTTGGAGTAAATTAATTAACGTATGATGTATAAATTGTTCTCAAACAATAAGATAAAAGTCGTGTTGATGAAAAAACAATTTGCTAATATTAGAATTTTTTGAAGGTTGACACTTGAAAGGCGCAATAACCCATAACAAACATAATTAAAATATCAGAAGTGAGCTGAACTATCTATACTCCCGAGGTACTATAAATTAACAGGTTCACTAGGTAATTGCTTAAATTTTTAACTTCTCCTATATTATCATTTTCATATAAGAATATATACTTAATGATTTTACACTAATTTCAAATTTTATTAATGAAAGAAAAAAAACCTTCTGCACAAAAGATTATGCAAATGCAAATACGTTACTAAATTTAGATTTTCCTCTTCTTCAATATAAAATCTCATCATTATATTCGAGATTTTGATTAAAACTATATCTTTGCTTTTTTCAAGGTATCTTTTTCTACAAAAAATATCTTAATTTTTTCATTTTCAATTCGAAAAATTGTCCTAATTTCAAAATAAAATTCACAACTTTGAATCATTCAAGTCATGTCGTCACAACTAATCGGTTACTTATTATTAGCTTTAATGTTTCTAGTTTTCATTTTCGCACCAAATTATTATTTACTCCTGAAATTTAGCTGGCCGAGATTAATTCTTGTTGGGATTTATGATTATTTTGTTGTTTCTACATATACTTCAAGTAAATTTGCCACAGGCTAAGAGTAGAGGAAATTACATTTTTACTTGAAGATTATAACGAAAATTCAAGTGGAGTGCATTAATTGAAAAGGATTGATATAATTATTTGATTGAGGATCTTGAGCTGAAATATAAGTCCAAACACTATGTAGATTTATAGTTACATAGAATTAGATTTTAAAAATACAATAACAAAGAAAATGCTAAAAATAGTGTTGCCAGACTTTATTTTCGTCCTTCTTGCTTTTACAACGAACAACGAATATTAAATTCTTTTTTTCTTTCTTATAATCTGCTTATTAAGTCTTGTTATCCTCCTTACCAATAAATCTTTAATTCGCTCTCTTCGCTAATTAAATTGAAAATTACAAAATTTGTGACATATTGTGCGTTATGATTGATACTTCGTTGAGTATATTATGTAAGCTAGATTATTATATCGGCTAAACCTCTCGTAATGTAATTCTGCAAATCGAGTCGAATAATATTCTGTCGAGTCTAATAATATTCTGAAATATCAATTATAGTATAAGTGTATATACTCAATATAAGAAGTGGTTGTTGATATATAAAACTATAAAAATTGTTGAATTCGAGGATTACTATAAATTAACTGTTAACCATTTGGTATCTATCAGTTAGACCTTAGATCTTTTTTTTTTTCCTACTTCAACATATTCGTTTATAATATATTGTGTGAATTCTAATTTTGAGTGGTTTTGTACTAGATCTATTAGCTCTTTTTTTTATACACTGACCACAGAATACATACATCGAATCTATACTTAAATTAACATATGTTGGCCTCCTAAGCGTATGAGGACGACAAGCACTCACATTGTGGGAAAATACGAAATCAAGGTATGAACTTAGTTTTCGCTAAATATCGAACTACTTATTTGCTTAGCCTAAAATTATACTGTCTTTGTTTTTTATTTGTTGGTAACTAGGGTTACCCTAAAAATTTTTATTTAATTACAGTATTAGTTAGAAATCTTTCCTCTGTAGATTAAGTTGATTCTTTTACTGTTTACTACTGCTCTAATAAACTTAATAGAAAAAAAAAAATTCATTTGAATTTACTTGACATAAGTGAGACAAAATGTGAAACACAGTATTTTCAACTTTAAAAAGTGTTGCAAATCAACCTCACTAAAATGCAAAGTTGAACATAAAAGTGGATCCAATATTTCGAGAATTATCAACAAATTGTAGTATTACGGTAAAGAAAGTGTAGCTATTATTGAAGTTTTGTAAAGATATAGACATTACGGTTTCAAGGTAAAATCAGATAATAATACTTTGGCTCGCTTGATACATGGTAAAGATACACCGATTGCAAGCTTATCAAGTTGGTAAAGCCTATGCATTTTTGTAAAACTTAGCTTATGGATAGACTCCCCTTCTCTAATGCTATAATTTCTTTGATGTTCATCTAAGCCATTACTGCAAAATTCTACTCCACCATCTATGTCATTCGTTACTACCTAACATCTTGATAATAGTCCTTACTGCAAAATTGAACGTATATGTTGTAAACAATACGTATTGTGAGGTAAAGGAGTTCTAAGAGTCAAGAACATTTCCGGGAACTCAGGATATTTTTGAAATTTGATTATCTGATGATATAATTGAATATGGTAAAATTGGGAATGATATACATAAGTGAAAGTCACCTATGAAATCTCGATTTTTGGTTTAAATCGTCCCCCACATGCGCATTCAAAATTTTGGAGCATCTTTGGTAAGAAGAAATTCTAAAAAAATCTTTCTAAAATAGTCTATACATTAACTTTGCTATTTTAAGAATATCGGAGTAATTGCATATAACATAGTACAAAATATATGATATGAATCCTATAAATATGAAAAATGGAGTATAAAAAATTACTTGATTTTCGTTCCAACGATTAATTGATCAAATATTGACAATCTTCAATCAACTTTTTCATCAAATTTCCTAATTCCTAAATTACCCATATGTCAGAAGAAAATCCAGGTGTTGTATTAGTAAAAGCTGGTGAATTAAAATTCGAAGATTTACCAATTCCTAAAATTGAGAAACCAGATGAATGTATTATTGAAATTAAGGATATAACAGTATGTGGTTCAGATACTCATTATTATAAAGCTGGTGAATTAGGACCTTTCAAATTAAAAGCACCAATGGTTATGGGTCATGAATGTAGTGGAGTCATTTCTCAAGTTGGTAAAGATGTTAAGGATTTAAAAGTAGGAGATAGAGTTGCAATTGAACCAGGAGTTGTTAAATCTAGAGCTGACAAATTTTATAAAGAAGGTCGTTATAACTTAAGTCCAATGGATTTTGCAGCTACTCCTGATCCAAATGGTAATAATCCTCAAGGTGCCTTATGTAAATACTACAAGTCTCCTGCTGATTTGTTATATAAACTACCAGATAATCTTAGTTTGGAATTAGGTGCATTATGTGAACCATTAAGTGTTGGAGTTCATGGTATTAGAAGATCAAATTTACAACCTTTACAACCCGTAGTCGTCTTTGGAGCTGGTCCAGTGGGAATACTATTAGCTGGTGCAGTTAGGGTTTTATATGGAAGTGAAGTTTTATTGGTAGATATTGTTGATGAGAAATTGAAATTAGCAAAAGAAATTGGAGCTTGTACTCATACTTATAATTCAAAAGATGGAAATGTTGACGACTTGATCAAAGCATTTGATGGAACAACACCAATTGTTTCTTATGAATGTACTGGTGCTCCTCCATGTATTGATTTAGCTGTAAAATCGGTTGAAACAGGTGGGAGTGTAGTACAAGTTGGAAATGCTCTGTCACCAACTGTCCCATTTCCAATCACTGATTTTTCAAATAGAGAATTAACATTATACGGTTCATTTAGATATGCCTATGGTGATTATCCAACTTCAATCAAGTTATTGGAAAAAAATTATGCAAATGGTAAAGAAAAAGCCCTTGTTGATTTTGAAAAATTAATTACGAATGTATTCCCATTTAAAGATGCTATAAAAGCTTATGAATTTGCTGCAAAAGGTAAAGATTACGTCAAGATATTAATCAAAGGTCCAGAATAATTTATATAGCTGAGATTCTGGTGATTTTTAAATATACGTTAGTATGAAAAGAACTTAAGTCCTACCATGGTAACGATATCTCTAATGACAACTCTAGGTCTTATAACAACAGGCTTTTTCATCCAAAGTAATATTGAATCGAAGAGAAAGCACAAGAATGCTATAATCAGTGCTCAAAAGACATGAAGAAGTATCAACCGGTAACTATAATCCTGTAATTTTTTAAAAATATACAACTTCTATTTCAAACGTTAACACATTTTGCCACTCCTACCTAACACCTTCAAGTGCTATCTACTTAGCAACATGTTGTAATGCTTCTAAAACTTCCAATTCAATATTAGCTTCAGCTGCAACTACATCATCACCGGAATCAGCTCTTTTTTGTGCATCAGCAATTAAATTTTTTACGGCATTAGCATCAATTTGATCTGGTTTGAAAGCTTCGATTGCACTTATAGTTAATTTATTACCTGGTTGTACCATTGCTAATCCTCCACTTACAAAATATTGTTCAGTTTCTCCTCCTTTTTGAACGACTTCTAATAAACCTGGTCTCAATTGTTCAACAATTGGAATATGGTTGGCTAATATACCTAAGTCACCATTAATTGATGGTAAATTTACTTGTTCGACTTCTGCATTAGCATATAAAGTTTGGAATGGTAAAGCTAATGATAATTTCAATGCATCTGATGATGGAGCTGCCTCAGTAGCATATGATCTTCTTGCAACAGATATGGATTGTTTGGCTACTTGGCGTATAGATTGTCTGAACATTGTGCGGATGGTATGAGTTATTATTGATGCAGACTGAATCGATGATTTTCAATTGATTCTCTCATAATTGACATTTTTTTTTCAATTGGTTGACCGAACTTTTGCAAAAGTCACTATATGCAGGTACACATAATAAAGTTTGGAAATTTTATTGGTTTAATATAAAAAGCTAGACTTCCCAATTGGGTAACCTATTACAATATATTTTATACAAAGACATAAGCTAAATAGTGCTTTTTAATTACTAAATTGATTCAAAAAATTATCAACATCAAACTCATCACCCATTGTAGCATTATTGTTAGTGTTTTCATCTCCCTCTATATCAGAATCCAACAAACTCATATTTAAACCATCTAATATCAGTTCATCATTACCTAATAAATTGTTCATGTCTAAATCCATATCATCTTCATTCTTATTTTCTCCATTATTCAAAGAAGATTGTAAAATATTTTGATCATCATTTGAAGTTTGTTGTTGATCTAAGCCGCCAGTGTTACTGGTAGGTTCATCGATATTCATAAATACATCATTATCTTTATTATCACCATCCATGGGTATATCCATATTCATGTCATTATAATTGATCGAGGACATGAAGTCATTATCATCATTCATCTTTTGATCCATTGATTGCGGCATTACACTAACATCAAATCCTAATAAATCATCAAAATTTCCAAATTGACTCGAATCTTGTTGCTGCTGCTGTTGTTGCTGTTGTTGTTGCTGTTGTTGCTCCCTATGTAGTCTTTCCCGCTCTTCTTCTTCTTCCTTTTTCTTCCGTTCCTCTGCTCTCTTCCTTTCTTCATCTTCTTTTAGTCGTTTTAATTCAGCTGCTTCTTTCTCTGCTTGTTTCCTTGCTTCAGCTTCAGCTTTAACTTTAGCTTCAGCCTCAACTTTTGCCTTTGCAGCTGCTTCGGCCTCGGCTTTCTTCTTGGCCTCCATTTCTTCCTGTAGTCTCTTAGCTTCTGCTTCTCTTTTCTGTTTCTCCAATTCTTCTTTTATTTTTAATTCTTCTTGTTTTTGTTTATTTTCAATCATGGTATCAATGCACCATTTTGCATCTCCAAATTTGAATATGGTTTCATCAAGTATTTCATCAAATTTGTTGATATGATTCGTTAATTGTTGTATGATGGTTGGTTGTATCAATTGATTATTTGGCCCTGTGATTAAGCTACTTTGTTTCTTGTTATTATTTATTATTTCGAATATGAACCCTGAGGTTTTCAAAATATCGTTTAGTGAGTTGTCTAGTTTCGTCTGTAGGTTTGCTGACATGTGTGATGTGATGAAAGATATAACCTTGAAATATTCGCACTTGATTTATTGTTCTAGTTTTATTGATTGATCTTTAGACTATGTTAACAAAGAATATGTAGATAATATATTTTTTCTCTCGTAATTATTAACCGAACAATTTAAATTTTGTAGTTTTAATACCCCTCCGTTTAAGATTCATAGAAACATCTACCTTGTTTCTTCAAAACTTTACATTATTTGGCTGTGGAATCTTCACTCGTATCTTCTGATAATATAGGTTATGAGCTAAAAGAACACTTTGGCAATGAGGCATGAAATTTATGAGAATGTATACGATTCAATTCTACTTATCTGAAAAAGTGACTTTCTCGTGCCTCACCCAATTTCTTAAGTAGGCAAGGTAAAAATTGGCTCACATAGAAGATTTGAAGCTAATGTGTGTTAAGTCTAGTGCTGTACTATGGCCGAAATTGAGGGGGTGTGTCAAAAATCAAAACATCAACGTCCTATGATTGGAAAATCAAATTATGGGTGAGCTTTAAAATCTCCAATTCTTATTTATTAACTTTAAATCGATCAAGTTCTTGCTATAGTTTAATTCGCTAGAGACTCTGATAACACAACTAACAAAATCTCAAACACGATTTGGTAGCCACCAAATAGGTTATATTTCAGAAATTCAAGATGTTTTCAAAAATATAGAATAGATATTTGTATTGAGTATATTTTGAAGCATTTATTTAATTATCTCGTAGATGAAAAAAAGTAAGTAACTTGATTTTGTTCAAATGGTTTGTTAAAATGGATAGACTACTATTAGGTCCTTATTTGCATTAAAATTAAACTAAACCAGCAAAATTAATTGAAATTTCGAAAGCCTTAAATCCTCTAAAACAAGTAGTTGATTAACATTAAATTATGTAAAAATAAATTCTCAGTCCCATTTGCTTTACCAATTTATCTTTTAACACAACAGGCAGCTTCTGTTCTACTTTTCGAACATATCATTCACCTCATCATTGATATTTTTGGTCAACATCCGTACCTCAGATTTATAACCTTATGCTACCAAACAAAATTTATATTTTATAATTTCGCGGTACAAAAACAAAAATTTAAAAAATCAAAACAAACACCAAATATCGCGTTAATACAAATATTGAATTTTTAAATAGGAAGATGTAAAGATTTAAAAAATATGAACAACTATTTTATCACCACCAAAGCAATTTAAATCTTAAGATCAATATTTTCAATTATTCTTCATTCAGATAACTTTAATTCTTCAGAATAGATCAGAATTTTAGACCATTTTTTATTAGGAAAACAAGAAACACGACAATCAAATATTTCATTAAATCACTACAACCTTTTCCTTCAATCACATTCAAAGCAAAATGATACCGGAGTCTATAATAACAAAAGAGGGACCATTGAGTAATATATGGTTAGCTGCCAATTATGACAAGAAATTAACGAAACACCAATTACTAAATACAAACATTGTTCAATCAACTAAATACATAAACAATAGATACAACAATCAAGAAAGTTCAAATATTGAATTAGATGCAGTAACTTTAAGATTATCTGGTCAATTATTATTAGGAATAACCAAAATATATTCAAGAAAAACCAAATATTTATTAGATGATCTTAATGATGTTTTGTATAAATTAAGAACAGTATTTAAATCATCAAGTGGTGTTCAATTAGGTTCAGATGGATTAACTACAACAAAAGTAAATTTACCACCACAACAAACAACCATTCAAGATATAAATAGTATTTTGCTAAAAGATCAAGTGACTGGATTTGATTTATTGTGGCAAGATGATTTAAACTTAGAAGAAACGGTACAACCTACGATTAATACATTAGACACGGTTTTCAACACTACCGATCAACAAGTTGATGCATCCATGGGGTCGATTGAATATGGTAGATATGATGAAGAATTTACAACATCATCACCACAACCTAATATGAATATGGATTTTGATTTGAATGATATGGATGATGACTTTGGAAATAATGATTATGACGCTTCAATCGAGATGGGTAGAAATGTATCAATGAATGCTGATAATGATGACAATAACTCATTATTAGGAGAATTAAGTAAAAATGATATATTTTCAGAAGGTGCTGAATTTGGAGATGGCTTTGATTTAAATTTCGATGATAATGACGTACTAGATAATGAAACTAATGAACATGAAGTGAATGAAGCATCCGAACAACTGCAAGAACCACAAGAATCAACAGAACCACAAGGACCAACTAGACCAACTAGACCAAGACAAAGAAGAACAAGAATCACAGACGATGGAGAAATGATCATTGTTAATAAAAGACTCATAGTAGATTCAGAAGATAGTATGACCATTTCCATAGACACATTAAGAGAAAATCAAGAAAATATGATGAATCGTAACATAAACAACCATACAACACCTAATAACAGACCAATTCACCCACCATTAACCAATGAAGAAAAATTGAAAATAATTGAAGATTTAGCAAATCAAGTATTCAAAAAAAGGAAATTAAATGATCTAAGTACCGAATATAGACTTCAAAAACAAAGAGAAGAAGAAGAAGAAAGTGAAATTGATACAAGTTCAGATTCAATGGATTTAGATTTATCGATGTCTGATAGTGAAAGTGAAAACGATGCACCTTTAAAACCTAGAAAATCCTTAGATGAAGAATCAGGTGATGAAGAAGAAGACGATAGTTTTGGTGATGATAGAATTGATAATATAGCTAAAAGTACAAGACAAATAGCAGAAGAGGTACAAAATTTATTCAGATTAGATCATAGTATAACTTTCAATGACATTTTGGAAGAAGATACAAAAGCAGTAAAACCACTTGGATTGAAGAATAAGACGATAAATACTAGAAGAGAAGCGTCTAGATGCTTTTTTGAAGTATTGGTATTAGCAACAAATGATTGTGTCAAATTACAACAAGATGAAAAAACGATTAGGATCTCTTCAAGAGACAATTTATATGATTTCATTTAGTATTTATATAGATAGACCTTTATCAAATGTATTTACATCATTAACAAATTTATAATCTTTATTTAACTTGTAATTTGTTATTTCTTTTTCATCTCCCACACACAACTCATTAGGGCCATTAAATTGTAAAATATCAATAGATTTATTTTGTTCCACAATCTTCAACAAAGGCTTGTATAGTTGTATCGTAAAATCCCAAAATTCAATGTACTGTTTATTTTGATACTCACTCAAGGTCAAAAATTGGAAATCGTTATCTGGCCGTGCTATGACTTTCAATATCTTTTTTGAATAATTTATGATCTTATAAGGTAGGAATTGATCTTTTTTCCAAATTATTAATCTCCAATCTAATTGTGCAGTTATAATATAGTCTCGACTCAAACTGGCTATTGACGTGGTCAATAGAAGACTTGAATCTTCGTGTATTCTTGAAAGTGCCTCATCATATATCTTGTTATCTACACCTATCAAAAGTATCTTGAACACATCAGATTTGACCTCTCCAACAAGTTCTTCATCGCCTATGTATATTGCATCCATTATTCTTTGAAGTTTAACCTCTTTCTTATCATTTAAATCGAACGAATACTTGGGTGAACTTAATAAATTCATTGACCATATGTTTAATATAAGGTTTTTTGATAAAGTTAACAAACATTCATTAGTATCTATCTTGATTTGTTTAGTAAGGACTATGGTATCATTATGAGAAAGCCAATCTTTTCGTTTTAGTAGAAAACTAGAATTTGTCATTATTGTAGGATTTTGAATTAATGCACTGGAATCTAACTCCCATATACAAAATTTATCATGATTTGAAAAACCTAGTGTTTTTTGACGGTTGAATTTATCAAATTGAATATTAGTTATTGCTGGTATACAAGTCAAGTAGTTTGTTGGTATTAATGATCCTTCTTCGATGTGATATATTATTGCATCATGATCGAATTTGGAGGACTTTTCGAATGAAACAACTAATGATGAGTCTTTACGATCTACTGATGTTATCGGTCGATCAAATTTAAAATGCTCCGAGGATTCGACAAAATTTAAATTGACTTTAACTTCCTCTTCTTTTTTCTTCAAATTGACAGTCTTAGTGATTTGTAATTTATTTATTAATTTTATTGAGTCGATGATAGATGTATTGAGTTCATTTGGAGATATTTCTGATTTGTTTATAAAATTTGGTTTTATTGGCTCAGATTTTTCTTTCGGTACATCCTCTATTGCACTTGTAGTTTGAACTCCTGCCTCATATGTAATTAGTTGTTTTGTTTCACTCTCAATTCTAACTTCACTTTTTTGTATGTTGTTTACTTCTATTGGATCGGTTTGAATTGAAACATCAATACTTTGCTTAACATGATGAGCAGCATCAACATTGGCATTTGCATTAGAAGCTCTCTTTTGTCTTAACTCTAATAGTCGTTGTCGCTTTTGTTGCAATAATTTTTGTCTTTCCTCAGACATATCTGGTTGTATTTATCAAACGCGTTTTAAATTTATTGATCTTTTTTCACAACCAAAACATCATTGAAAATCATCATCATCATCGTCAACAAAATGGATATTGATGATATATTGCAAGAATTTGAAGAGTCTACGGCCAAGCAATATCAAAGCACGTCTGCATCTATACAACAGGATTTAATAACAGCAATGATGAATGAAAGAATGTCTCCAGAACTACTACCTTATAAAACTGAATTATTAAATACTGTACTTACTCATATTTCAAATCAACAACAATTTTTATTAGATAGTCATGAATATGGAGAAATAAATAGTGGAAATGGAATTATCTCCAGTGATTTTAAATTACAATTGATGATTATAGAAACCGATATTGAAAGAATAAGCTATATTGTTAAATTGTATTTGAGAACAAGACTACTGAAACTTAATAAATTCACTATATTTTACATAAACATATCGAATGATGATGATGATTCGGAATATCTATCACAAGAAGAGAAAGATTATATACATAAATATTATCAACTTTTAACATCACTTTACAACAATTGTTTTTTGAAAAAACTACCACAAATTTTAACTTTTTTAGATGATAGTTCTGGAGGACAAAATATGATAGTCGAACCGGATTTAAATCAATTTGTATTTGTTAAATGTATCACAAAGGATCCGATATTTCTACAGTTGGAAGATGAAGAATTGGAATTGATAGAGAATGGAGTTTACGTTATCAAATATAATCTTATCAAAAGATATCTTGAACAAGGAGATCTAATATTAGTCTAGATAATCTTTAAATCACAACCACCAGGACATTCATAATTTTCTTCATCAATAAACCAACTTTTCAAGCATCCAAAATGTCCTCGATGTCCACAATTTAAACTTACATTAACCACTAACCCTTTACATGGTTCATTACAATAAATACAAGTCAGTTGTAAATGTTTGCATTCATCACAATACCAATAACCAAACTCACCTTTTTGCAGATGTTTTGAATTTTCATTCACTAATAATTTCATACAATTAGAACAATACAATCGAATTAAATCAGATGAAAATGAATTTGATAATTCTTGTCTAATCGCAAAAGGAGCTGATTTTAATACATTTATAGCACTGACATATAGTTGTTTTCTTTGCAATATTTCAATATAAGTTGAAAGCCAATCTAAACATTGATCATATGAAATTATGTTATTGGTTATATCATAAAAAATAAGACTGATTGTAGAACAAAAAATTATATCACCTTGTAACATGGCGTACTCTAATGATTGTTTCAATAAATTCTTTATACTCCATGCTTTCGAGTCATTTAATTTTAATTTATTGGTTAATGCTGATTCTTTTGGTAACTCTTCAATCTTGTTAAGCAGTTTTTTTCTCATGGCTAATTGAGTTTGTGAATATTTACGTGATAAAATTCCATTTGATTTTGGTGAAGAACCTAAACTTGAAAATGTTGAAATGGCACCACCGGAATTGGGACTTGATTTTAAAAAAGCAGAATTCATTAAATTTGCATTTTCATTATTATAACCTTCATTGATCAGAATAGGTTTAGATTTTGAATTTTGACTTATGGCATCTTCATCCATATCCTTGTTGATACGAAAGCTTTGAGAAAAACTATTTTTACGACTATTATTAATGGCATCCATCAAATTCGAACTACTTCCATTCCGATCAGTCATATTCCTGACACCATAATTTGTGGTAGAAGTCGAGTTTGAATTAAATGACCCTACGATATTTCCCAAATCTGATTGAATTGATTTATTATCATGAGATTCGGAATTTTCATCCTCTTCCAAAACTTCTTCATCTTGTTTAATTTCTTCTTCCTTTGGCTCATTTAACTCTTCTAAAGTCAAGGCCAATAATCTCCAAATTTGACTCGTTCGATGCGATTTTGCTTGTTCTGCAATGTTAGCGTTTAACAAACATACATCAGCAACATTGAATCCATCAGGTACTTTAATTAGATACTCCGAAGATAATCTTCTAAAAAGTTCATCATCATTCAAGGGTAATGGCAATTCAACTGGAATAGCATATGGACTTGAAATCCCATACTTTTGTAAATTTGGTAAATGCTGTCGCGTTTGTTTTTTATGTGATGGCGGAAGTGAGCCATAAGATATTGATGATTCTTGAGTGTTTTGGGAAGGATTTCTTGTTAATTTTGGCCTGGAACCTGGAGTTGATGATGATAATTCAAAACCATTAGTTCCCGATCTCAAAATAGGAGAAGGAGATTTAGCGCCTAATTGCAGCATAGGATTATGTGTAAAAGATCTTATTAGTTGAGGTTTTTCAATGGGTGATGTCGTTAAAGATGTTCCAAATTTATCATCAAAGTGGTCATCGTTTAATAGTTCTAAATTTTCCCTGGATTGTAAATCATCTGATTCATATCCATCATGTAATTCAAAATCGAGTTTATCTTGGTTTACCATCATGAAGTTATTGTCATTATCCCAAGTCATTCCTATACTATTTAAATCGTCCAATGGTTGCTTAACATCTGGATCGTTCTCCAGATCCAAGTCATAAGCTGTGAAAATATTGGATTTTGAAAGGGTCCAAATTTTTCTTGATTGGGTGGCATTTTCAGCCCAAATAAAGTTAGCCATTGGTTTGTGTAAATGTGAAGTTATTATTTGCTTTGGTATAAATTTTCTGTTTAGATTATATACTGTAATGGTTGGATCATCAAAATACAGACAAGCTATATCATAATTCAATAAAACATTTCCCTCATTAAATTCATCCGAGTTCTCATATATCGGATATGCACTCCAACGCACTTTCAAGATTGATCCATAAGTATTTATCATACTATCAGTAGCAGATCTTGTAGTTGAAGATTGGGAATCACTATAGTTTAAAACACATATTTTTTGATCTCTTCCACCTGTGGCAACATATTCTTTTTCTGGATGAATATGTAATGATAGCACGGGACCAGAATGTAAGTTCCATTTTCTATCAGGCGAATACATATTACCTGCTACATTTGATCTAAGATCAAATTTACATAAAGCTCCAGAATCATGAACTGACAAGATACATGTTTTATTTCTTACTAAGGAATGTGGACTATACTGACAAGCTCTTATTGGATCATTGTGTAAATTAGCTTGTAAAGTTAAAACTGGTTTATTCACACTAGCCCTTAAATCCCACAATTTAATACTACCATCTTGTGAACCAGAAATGAAATTGTTCTCTGAATCAACAAAATCAAGTGAATTTATAGTTCTTTTATGATCGGTTAATTTTGCATATAATTTTCCTTGACCAGAAGGTGTAATTTTATATAATGATATGACTCCACTCGATAATCCACATGCAATAGTATTTGAGTAAGTTTTAATAGTATTTACATTATTTAATTTTGTAGGACCTCGATAAATCGATCTCGAATCTAATAAATTTATATCATGAACTATTCTCAGTTGATCTTCATTCAAACACAATAGTCGTAGATAATTTTTACCACCTATTACAACATGATGACTAATATCATTATAATTCCCAATATGTAAACCATAATTCAATTGAGATAAAGCAGTTGTTTCACGTTCACAATTGAAATTTAATTTTTGATAAGTAAAGTAATTTTTTGAATTTTTAGAATGTATTGATGAATTTGGAGACACTGAATCATTAGAATTTGAACTATTTAATGTTCCATAAATATTGAAAGCAAATTTGGCTAAGTTGTGATTGCCTTGTATATTTTGAGCCATTGACCATACCTTTGGTTGTTGTTTTTTCAAGTTGGTTCAAGGTCTAAATCAAAAGAAAAAAATAATATACTTATACAGCGGTTATTGATATTACACAAGTCCATTCCACAACTAGTTTGAGATCAATTTAATGTTAGGGTCATTATACAAGTTAGCTAAAACATTGGCTCAATTTGGATTGGGGATAGCAGCATTAGCATTATCAGCTTTATATTTTTATCAAAATACTATAATTTATCCTGCACTGGTGAATGATGGTCATGGATATTGTGCAACCCCAGATGAGTACGATATACCGTACGAATTAGTTCAATTAAAGACTCCAGATGGAGAAACCTTACAATGTTATTCGATGAAACAAGACTCAAAAGATCCATCATATACAAACAAGACTATTTTGATACTATCACCTAATGCAGGAAATATTGGGCATGGTTTACCAATTGCATCAATTTTTTATAAACAATTTGGATATAATGTTTTTATTTATAGTTATAGAGGATATGGTAAATCTACTGGATCACCGAATGAAATTGGATTAAAAAAAGATGCAGATACAGTTATGGATCATTTAACATCCGATTCTCAATATCAACAATCATCAATTATATTATATGGTAGATCATTAGGTGGAGCAGTTTCAATATATATTGCAGCTACAAAATCTTCATCAATTCATGCAATAATATTAGAGAATACATTTTTATCAATACGTAAGACAATACCTCATATTTTCCCAATTTTGAAATATGCAGCTGGATTTGTACATCAAAAATGGGAATCAGAACTATTAGTTATAAATATTCCTTCATCAATACCAGTTTTACTTTTAAGTGCTAGAAAAGATGAAATTGTACCGCCAAGTCATATGGACGAAATTTATAATTTATTACAAAGTGATTATAAACAAATGTATAAGTTTGAAAATAGTTCACATAATGATACAGTTTTACAAGCAACATATTGGGATAAAATTCATCAATTCATTAGAGATAAAGTTAATCCAGTAGGTTTGTAGTTTTTAATAGAACGATAAATTAAATGTAGCCAATAATGTAGAAGCATTCTTGAATTTCTATAATTCTAAAAAAAATATAAAGAAAGCCGAAGTCTACCACAGCCCATACTCATGGAATATACTTAAGGAAAATCGCTATTCCTCTTAAATTGACTAGGAATCTTTCCTTCAATATATAATATCATGGATGGTTCCCTCAAAAATGAAAACATTGAGGTCAACCTCCGATTTAATATCCCATTCGATTTATAAATCGCTGAGAATATTCTTATCATGTTGAAATGGAAAGAAACATTGTCCAAACAAATTGATTCAACTTACAAGCTGAAAGTAATACTTCATTTCATAGTATCTCTAAAACCTTGCAATTATTATGGTGTTCATCGAGAGTACATATGTAATACTTCACTCCGGTCTAGAAAAATCAAACATGTTCCCATGTCCCCATGTAGATGCATCTTTAAGCCAAAAATGATTAAAAGAAATAATATTACATAAATCTATAATGTCTCACAAGGAACGTCCCACATGCCTACTGAAATGCAAGGTGCCAATCTCCATGAAGTAACCCTTATTCTAGCATCCCAAGTTCTTTCATCATTTGTAGAAGATGTACAAAATTGTACTAAATTATTGTCATTATATTCAATCAATTTTTGAATTACCGCTTTCTCTATTTCATCATTTAATGACTTTATTGAATTACCGTTTGTAATCTTTACTGCTACTGCTATGAAATATGCTTTCTTTTCATTAGACCCAGGAATTGTGATTTCAGTGGAATATGTATAACCAACAAATTTATGTTTGGATCCCAAAAAACTATTGATATATGAAATTAAAGGTTCGAAATACCATTCTATTAATCTGAATACACCCATGACTTTATATGATGGACTTTTTTAAGTAGAATAGTATCATCCAAATTATTATACCAAGACCGTGAAGTATCATGACTATTAACTTTATCAGTTTCAACTCTTGGTGAAGTTACGTTATTCGATAATGAAAAATCTTTGATTTTGAAATCTCTAGTCACTTTATTTTCCACGTAAATATTTTTATTTAAGTATTCATTTTTCATTTCAAGGAATTTACCATCCACTTTTAAAATGTTATATAAATTTTCATAAGCAGCTAAATTAATCGTTAAGTCTTTATTAGTCTTGTAAATCAATCTTTGATTTGGTAAATCTTTATAAGCAAATTCTGGTATTCCCCAATTGAATATTTGAATATTATCAGTATCTCTGATAAAATTAATATTTTGTTGACAATTTATGAATTTTATGAAAATTGAAAAAATTATCCATGGTAATAACTTATTGATAATGTTCATCCTAATTAATTTTGTATATTCACGGGTATAAAAAACCAAATACCATTGACAACGTGCTAAAAGAAATATTCAAACTTTAACTAAGCATACATAGTTTAAATAGAAGTAACTGATATGAAAAATATAAAGCCGATCTGGAAGTTTATGAAAGAGTATACTCTTTGTATTCAGTTATAAATCCTTTTTAAATCAGTAACCGTAAGTAAATTTGTCACGTGTTTTACCTTCTGTACTTAATGTGAAATTACGACTTTGTGATACACTTTTCTTCATTAAAGAAACGACTGTTCACTTTTTTTGATATATTTTTTCCATTGCAAAGTTGATAAAATTTTCAAATACAAACACAGTTTGATATTTCACTGATAGATCGAATAAGGTATGCTTACATAGAGAGAAAAATCGAAATTTTAAAAATTGAAGAATTAACCAATACTAACTAATTAAAGTAGATGTCTGAAGAAATAACTCAAAAAACTGAAGATTTATCATTAAATTCATCATCAGATAAAACAGTATTTGATTCAAAAGATGAATTTACAGTAAAACATCCTTTAAATAATAGATGGACTTTATGGTATACTAAACCACAAATTAATAAAAATGAAAATTGGCAAGATTTATTAAAACCTGTAATTAGTTTTTCATCAGTTGAAGAATTTTGGGGTATTTTTAATAGTATTCCTCCAACAAATCAATTACCTTTAAAATCAGATTATCATTTATTTAAAGAAGGAATTAGACCAGAATGGGAAGATAGTAATAATTCATCTGGTGGTAAACTTCAAACACAATTTTCAAAAAAAGATACTGGAATTATAAATGATTTATGGCTAAGAGGTTTATTAGCAGTTATAGGTGAAACAATTGAAGAAGATGAAGATGAAGTTAATGGAATTGTTATAAATATTAGAAAACAAGCTTATAGAATTGGTGTTTGGACAAAAGATTGTGATGAATCAAAATTAAGAAGTGTTGGAGAAAGATTAAAAAAGATTTTACAATTAAAAGATGATCAAAAAATTGAATTTACTTCTCATGCTGCTTCAAATACAAGAGGTGCTGAACCTCAATTTGTTTTATAATGTTGTTTTTGTATAAAAGAACATATCATACTAATGTTAAATTTTACGATTTCCAATATGTTAAACTTGTAAAAGATGGTATCTGCGTAATACTGAAGATTCTTTAAATGAATTTGAATTCTGTTTAACAAAAATTTGAGTTGGTCAAGTATTACCAAAAATTGAATACTCTTGATATGATCTTTTGAATGCAAATCTCTCTTTAATCATTGATGCAGTTCCAGCTCTTTTTTTTTTTTTTGGTTTTTCGACATACATTCAAATAACTAATATATACACTAGATCTATATAATTACAATTGTATGTAGGATTCCTAAGCGTATGGAATCGATAAGCCAGTGGAAAATTAAACTTAATGTTCAGTGTTTTAAAATTAACACTATGTCAAGACTCATGAATTAATTCATACTACTTGAATAAAACCACTTTTGTTTGTTGTACTACTAATTTATTCTTTTGGTTGAATCCCCATAGTATCCCACATTGTAAGAAATGCATCACATGAGAAAAGATGATGTAAACAATTGTCAGCATTTTCTTGTGCACAAAAATTACAGGGATTATGTGATCCATAGCTGTAGTATGGTTCTTGATGAAGGAATCCTAATAGAAACAAATGAAATTGTTGCAATATTCCTAAGGGTGAGCTTTAGAAGCTGTATAAGGTAGTCCAAAATTTTTTCCATGCTTGCTCATCGTAGTCTAATCCTTCATTGGAAATCCAATTGGGAATAATCGGCTTAGTAGTTGCTGTTTTCCGTGATATATGATGGAAAGTTTCACTATTGATTTCTTTGTCCTTCATGTCACATAAGTTTTCTAACTCTTTTTCTCTTGACTTACAGATGTAGTCATACATCTCATTTCTATCTACCTCTATTAAAAAATTCCGTGCTAATGGTGTTGGTTTATTTTTAATTATTTTAAACCACGCATCTAGCCATGAACTTTCTGCTGTTGTTAATTCTTTCTTAACTTGATTTAAGAAATTATTAAAACTTAAGCCTCTCATTCCAGATTCTCTTTGTAAAAATTTAAACCATGGTAAAATGTGATTTTGTCTTCCTACCTGTAAACTTGAAGGATCCAAGAATTGCACCGTGGTATTTATCGCTTTTTGTAATTTAAGTTTGAGTAATGTTGAGCTAGTATGCTCTTCTTGATGAATAAATAGTTTGTAAATTTGTTTGGCTCTCCTGCCTAATAGTTGTGACGTTAGGTTTAATAATGAAAAACCTCCAAGCTGTTTTGGCACATAAAACCTTGTTGCTGCTATTTTTATAGCTCTTTATAGTGTCACTTTTCCCCTATTGATATGTTTCCTCTGAATAGTCATTGAAATCTCGATTTTTCAGTATTGAATTGGTTGTTTTGAAGCAATTACCAAATTGTTTTATCTTCAAACTTTATTTAACAAATAAATTGGCATGATTGCAGTGCTTTTTAAAGCCATAAACACCTGAACATATGATTTGATGGAGTATGTCATTCTTATTATAATTTAAATTGAATTTTGCCCTCCATATAATAATTATCATTGAGTAATTGAAGTAGAAGAACTTTGATTAATTTCACTTAATATACTTGGATTTTTTGTACTTTCAACAGAAACAATTGATTTTATAGGTATTGTTGAAAAATTATCACTATAATTTGTAATTCTATCTGAATTACTTATTTGATCTGTATTTATAGTTGATTTTTCTGCAATTAAACTTGATGAATTATCAGTAAATCTATTAATATATCTTTGTGAATGGAAACTTGTTTCATCGAATTTTGTATGAATACTATTTTTTTCAGATATTTCTGAGTTGATACTAGTAGGATGATGATGATGATTGTGATGATGACGCAGTTGTTGTGGAGGTGATTGAGGTGAACTAGGTGAATGCGGTGGCTGTTGTTGTTGTATTTGAACTTGTGTAAAAGTCTGAGGCTTTTGTTCATTAGGTTTTGATTCATTGTGATTGTTCGTTCGATGGGTATGATTGTTTAAACTTTGATTATGTGAATGATCATGATCTTTGATTGATTCATGTTTATCATTTCTTTCATTTGAATTTGATACATGATTTAATTTTTGATTTTGCAGCATTATCTTCTTAAACCATCCAAATTTTCTTCTTTCTGTTGGTACATGATTTTCTGTTCATTTGTTAGTAATTGAACTTAAGACAATGTAGCCATGATTAATACATACTTGTCTGAGACATTTGATTTTAATCGTATATTGTTATTCCTTTTTTTTTTTTGTTTTTAGTTATACTTTGTTATTTATGAAACTTGCACTTGCTGTAATGGTACTTCTGGTCCTTTGATTGTTAGATTATCTGTTGTTGAATGATGATTGTGTGATTCAACTGAATAATAAAGTGTTACAAAAATTATATTTTTATAAGAAATGATATTTTGTTTCATTTTTTATTTTTTTAGTTGAAGGTGATAACCGAAATTGCAACTTATGATTCTAGATCCCAAATAAATTCAACGAAAGAGTTGTATTGAAACGTTAGTTGCATCAAATAAATTTACATGATCATTAAGGTTAGTAACGCTGCTTATCACGGTGATAAGTGAGATCAGTCAGCGGTCACAATAGAAAAAATTCCGCTTGTGTGTTTAATCAATATATGGTTAATCGAATTGAACAGTTCTCAATGAAGATATGGTCATACCGTTATTTTACTAAGATTGTGCTCGTCAGGATTATTCAATAATCGAATATCAGTGAGACCTAAGCAATCCGCACCAACACTAAGCGTTGGTCTTGGTGAATTGATAATTCAAAAATTGTTTTCATTGATTGCAGACCCATTACTATCTCGATGAATGCAATAGAAACTAAATTCAGTCATTTAATGGACCCATGGGACGGTTTTGATGAGTTTAACGACAGAGAAAAAGTGTCAAGTCTGTTTTCATGAGTACAAAAAATCAAGATAATATGATTAAACAAGTATTGTAAACAACAAAAATAATAACGTCATAGTTATTCTAAATATTCGGTTTTATCAGAGAAAGAACGTATTGATCTGGATCGGAAAAACCTAATCAAATTCAAAACGTCTATCAACATCAACTGGAATTACCAATGTTAACCGAATAATTGTTTCCATAATCCGACTTTATTAGCTTCATTAGCTTCATTCCATTTTTTTTCAAATTCACCACCTAAATCATGATAAACTCTATCTAAATCCAATTTAATATCAGAAGGAATAACATCTGAATAATTCCCACCATAAATTAATGTTAATATATTATGAGATAATTCTAATAAATTTCCATATTTTTCAATTTTAAAATTTTTTAAAAATTCAGTTGATTTATTAATTGATTTTTTATTTTGTTCTTTTAATCCATGCCAATTTGATGAAAAATCTGTTTTTTCATTATATGGTTGATTTAATAATTCAGATATACTTGCGTTAACAACAATCAAGTCATTCGTACCATTATCAATTATAGTCTCGCCATTTAATATTTGTTGATTAGATGGGACATCTTTTTCGAAAGCTAATGTTGTAAACAGGAATATCCCAACTATTGATAAAAAGACTTTAGAACATGAAACCATTTTTGAAATTATTGTAGTATTATAGGTTATTGATTGTGAGATACCAAATTTAAAATTTTGAAAAAGCAAAGGTGAATTGGTTTATTTATATAATAACTTAGTAAAAAAGTTGTAACCACGTTACTAGTTAGACTTAAGGAAAGATATCTAACTAGTAATCTATATAATTTATTAACTTTAATTTAGTTTTCATTAGCATCTGAAAGCCTCGTTTTTTTTTTTTTTTTTTAGGAATGTGCTATTAAATTGGTCAGGAGCTCAATTCAAATTCAATTATCTAATGAAGGAAAGATAAGTTTTAAACGATTTTAATTCAAAGTCACTAAAAAATTTTAGATATCCCCTTCTGAATTGAAATAAAAGAGAATGAGACCAATAAACATATTTAAGAGAAACATAACCATTTGACAGACTAAACTGTCAATTTTATTAATCTTTTTCATCTGATTAAGTGGCTTTAACTTTTACCTATTTTTAGAAAAAATTTAGATCTTTCTATCATACCACGAGTTTTAAAACACTCCGCTCAGCTGCAATTTTCATTCCATTTTGCGAAGTATCATACAGGTTTCAAACACAAATTGTTTAATAAGTTCGTTATGCAAATCTAATACATTCATTTAATGTACAAGAAATATTTCAAGTTAAGCGGTTTTTCATACTTTTAATTTTTAATTTTAAAGATTTGGTCTTGATCTTTCTTAATTTTGTTTCTGGAATGAAAAATATAATGTCCAGAGTCTTTTCGTGAACATTACTAGTAAAACTCAAAAGATTGAATCAAAAGCCTGAAACCCAATTTGAGTATATTTCAGAAATTCGATTTGGAGGAAGATAAATTGGATTGAGGGTCTATATCATCATTGTGACGTAGATTGAATACACATTGAAGTTTAATTTTCAAGATAAGCTACCCACAAATTACTTTCGAAAGCATTGGAAGAGTGCAAAGAATTCAGATTGGATAAACATACTGACTCGTATTTTCGAAAAGTCCAATAATATGAAGATCAGATAAGAAAGATCAAGAGAGTACAATAGATACTCTCATCAACGTTTCTTAAACATATAATAACTTTATACCTTTAAATTATGCAAATATATATCTCTATAATTAACTTAAATAGACAATAATAATCCACAAATTAAACTAATCGATATAGAATCAAACAATCCAATTTTTTTAGAAGGTGCACCTGAATTTCCACTATTACTACTAGATCCACTTCCTGAACCACTTGAAGCTTGTGCTGAACCCGATGATCCCGAATTTGCAGTAGTAGATAATGAAGGAATATTACTATCAGCAATTCTTTCATTATACCAAGGTAATTGAGTAGCAATATTATCAACTTGAGAAATAATTTCAGAATTTGTTAATAACCCGCTAATATAAGAATCATCAGTATAAGTTTTTAATTGATTTAAAGTACCAATTAAATTTAATGGTATTGGAACATTTTCAGCAGTTTGAAAAAAATTTTGATATTCTTGTTGATTTGTTTTAACATCTGATATAATTTTAACTAAAAGATCTGATTGTTGTTGACTGTTGAATGATATTGATTGAGAATTTGTGATATTAAATATGAATGAAAGTGATATTAAAAAATAGTAAGTGATTAACATGACTACTTTTTATTCTAGGTTCTTCGAATTGGTATTACTTGTTCAGCAAAAGGGGTATGTTTTTAAAACTTATTTTCAAAATTGACTTTTGATCTACCCTTTGATTTCAAACATTTAGGGTTTTAAAGAAGTTTAAATATTCCTGAATCAATCAAGATTTAAAACAGGTAAGTCCCCTTTTGAAGTTTTAATTTTTTCTTGACATAAAATTTGAAACTCCGGCTGATCTATTATTAGGATGTGAGGCGCAGGTAAGAGTATCCAGAATATCCAACTATACAAGTTTCAGCCAACAGGATTAGATTGTTTCCGAGAGATTAAATATTCAAGTGATGAAGGTATGTTGCAAAGCATACTTCGTAGGCTTTTAACTTCAAGCCATTAAGTACATTGCTCCAACTCAACTGTAAATCTAAATATATATATTAATAATGTAACAAATTAAGTATAAACAAATTGTCTAAACCAATTTGAAAGTAAAAATACATCAAGTAAGTTAACTTCCAAATTGTCAATTTTAAGTAAAATCAAACAACATCAAAACAAAAATTAAAAGAAAAATATACAACCACTCACAAAAGAAACTCTTAAAACCCTCATCATTATCATTATTAATTATTATACTGTTTATTCATAATCTTCATAAAAATTGTCATTATTTTTACTATCCCCACTCTTCTATCTACCTTGGTGATCCAATTCTTAATTTTGTATGAGGATTTATAATTTCTAAAGGTTTTTTAATTCTTGGAGTTGTAACTCTTGGTGAAGTTTCAATATGATGAGATCCTGAAGTACTATTATTTAAATTTTGATGATGTTCACTTGGTGAAAATGTTTTTGATGAATAAGGATTAAATTTTGAACTTGTTGTTGAATGATTTTTAATTTGTGGTAAAAATAAATCATCATCTTCAAATGATTTACTTGCATAATATCTTAATGAAGATGATGAATAATTGAAACTGTAATTGTTTGATAGATTGTTTGATTGTTGTTGTTGAAGTTGTTGCAGTAATATCCCATCAGATAAGTTTGATCCTAATGAACTTGATAATGATGAATTTGTTGAAGATGAAGAAGGTGGTGTTATATAGGAGATGTTATTTAAAGGTGAAGTATTTTGATAATAAGTATTACTATTATTGTTTGTCATCACTTGTTGTATGTATATGTTTGTTTTGTATGTATGTCTATATTAGCTTATATATCTATTATATCTAGTAGTATGAACATTAACTTTGTATTGATATTTGATAAATGATAAGTGGTGATATTTTGTGATATTTAAAAATTGTTGAAATAATTATTAACATGACAAAAAGAATAAGAAGAAAGAATTTCTTTTTATTTGTTTATCAGTACACTACCCCATTACACAATTGGCTTTTTGTATCGACGTAAATGAAAACATGAGGCGAGAGAGATTAGTACTATTTGGTAGCTTTATAAGTCGTAACCCCGCACTATTTTATAATTAATCGCGTCATATCTTTGGAGTAATTAATACCAGCACTGTTGTTAGTTTTTTGCCAAATTAAAAAAATCAATAAACAAGTACAAGATTACAAATGAAATAATAGTACAAAATCTACTACAAATCAATAACACCACTTCACAACTAAACTTAAAATTGTTTATCTGGAGTAACAATTACTTCAATAGGATCAAAAAGAGAGTTCAACTGAAACAGTAATTAAGATGATGATGATGATGATAGTTAGATCAAAAATGTAAGATGAGTATATAGATATACTTTAAAGAAAACGAGGTCACTTACTAAACAACTTAATTAACAATAGTACACTACTCAGTTAGTTATAAATCTACACCCCCTAATTGTTATCTCCACTTTTTTTTATCTATCAATACCTGGTATTTGTTTCAAACGTAGTACTTCATTCTGCTAAATACTTGCACTCTGACCAAAAATATATACATGGCATCGAATGAAAAATTCTTCGAAATGTGACCGAATCTTGTCCAATTTGAATAAGATGTTTCAAATACTTGTCGTGTCTTTTTGCCAGCGTCACTGCACCGATTTCATGTTTTTTTTTCGCAGCCAATTTTTTGCAACAAAATGAGAAATTTCATTGCTAGCATAAATTTACATTTGTAAAACTGATCCTTCTAGATGAACATTTGTAAAACTGATCCTTCTAGATGAAGTGGTATAAATAGTAGATAATCGGAGTCATTTTGAAAGTCGGTTCTTTGGGGCCAATTATCAAGCATCTGCTAATATAAAATGGAGACTTTAGATATAAAAGATATACTCAACACAAACAATAGTGATAAAAATGCTGCAAATTTTTCACACAAGTCGTTGCAAAATTATGAGTTGTTGATCGATCTTCTCATATCGATCACAAAAGATCCAATTCCATTCATTCTACTCGCAATTAAACTTAAAAATTTGAAATTAGATATCAACAATCCAATATATATGAAAAATGATAAAAGATGTATTGCAATGGCAAAGAAAACTAATGAAAGATGTAAGAAATTTAAATGCTGTGGTTTTGATAAATGTTATTCCCATTTGGATTCGGATGAAAAGTCAATGAAAGATAAATTAAAGTATGAAAGACAAAAGAAACCAGCAAAAGCTTCGAAATGAAATGTTTAAAGTTAAAGGAATTAGCCCAAGCACCGTTGATAAAAAATAGATTTTGTTACTGAAGTAAGATTTCAGTAACTTGAGTCTCAATAATGAAGGATTATTTTAACTGTCATATTTCTAGGGACTAAATCTATGTCGAAATCGATCAAATCTTAACTGATACGGTGGAGGCAACAACGCCTTCAGTTGGGGTCGGAAAAAAAATCGTGCAGTATTTATATGAATAAATATAATGTAAGTATTTTAGGTTTACTCCCATTAATGAATAATTCTCGACTTTTATACTGTCTGTTTGATTCTCATTAGTTATATCCAAATTTTGTAAGTAGATTATCAATTTGTGCTTCTTAGATATCTATTATTTAATTTTATTTGGTTATAATTAAATTTATGCTTTGTCTAATAAAGCGTCGTATAAATTTGAGTTAACTTAAATCCTTTGATTGTTGTATTATAATTAATATTAATTTAACAATTGATTAAGGTTGATTAAGTATATTATATAAGTTAATATATATTAAAGTAGTTTGTAAAGTAGTTAAGGTTGTAACTATAAACTTCTTAGAATTGTTAGGATTCTAAATATTATAAACCATAAAGGTAGTGTAAATATAACAAAGGTATATTTCACATAATAAATGTTGTGACAATAAATATGACAGAATATTTGTAACAACAAATTTTGATTACCAGGCTACCAAATTATGTTTCTAATTGTCAAGTCTTAATTAGGAAATATTAATCTGAATCAAAATCAATTGATTAATTCAATCACTAATCACCATGAATAAATCAACCAAGCAAGATCAAAAAATAAATTTAAGTTCCAATGACTTTCCATATCACAATTTTTTTCCTCTTTCTCAATTTTAGAGGTTAAATGGATTTTTTATCAGTAACTGAAGTACAATCAAATTTTAAAAAGCCTTTGGCATGCTCATCAAATGGCTATAAATTACTCAAATTAAAAAACAATATTACAACATTATTAATATCTGATCCAAATAGTACATCAACATCAGCTTCAATATGTTGTGGTGCAGGTTCTTTTCAAGACCCAGCAAATTTACCAGGAATGGCTCATTTTGTTGAACATATGTTATTTATGGGAACTTCTGAATTTCCTTCACCAAATGATTTTTTATCTACTTTAATTTCATTAGGTGGGAAATCAAATGCATATACTATGGGAGATTATACTTGTTTTTATTTTGAAGTTCCCTTGAAGAATACTTCAATAAGTGATGAATTTGGTTTAGATTATTTAATGAAAATTTTTAGTTCATTTTTTAGAAGTCCCTTGTTTAATGAAAATTACATGAAATTGGAAATTTATAGTGTCGATGATGAACATCAAGGAAATTTAACTAATGATAATAAGATTTTGTATCATGGAATGAGAATATTGGCGAATATAAATCATCCATTTCATAATTTTGCAACGGGAACAAAAAAGACTTTAAATTCCAAAAAATGTAGATCTGAAATGATTAGTTATTTTGATAAAAATTTTGTTTCTGAAAATATGGTTCTAGTTTTAAAAAGTTCATTATCATTAAATCAATTACAAAAAATGGCAATTGCAAATTTTGGAAAAATTGAGAAAACCAGGAAATTGAAACGAAGTTCATCAATTAGAGTACATAGACATACAAGATCAAATTCTAGACTTTCTGATTCAAGTTTGGCTTCAAAGGATTACAATTTTGAAATTTATCCAAAAGACTATACACTGAAAATTTTATTCATATCTCAAAAAGAAACTAAGAAGATTCGTTTAATTTTCCCACTTTATAACCTTAATGACTCATTCTTTGAAAATCTTTGGTGCACGTTACTTGGAGATGAATCAAAAGGTTCCTTATGCCATCATTTGAAGACCATGAAGATGATTGATTATATGTACGTCTTCATACAATCATTATCAAAAGAAAATAAGGTTTTAACAATTGATTTTGACTATAAACCTTTATTTGAATTGAATTTAGTGATTCAACTCATCGAAACTTTTATCAATCAAGTGCTTAGTATGGAGAAAGAATCAATGAATGAAATGTTATCTGAATGCTCAAGAGTTTTCAAATATCAAGCATATTATTCTTCAAATGATCCATCTGGATCAATGGATGAAGTATCAAACTATGCTTCATTGCTTCAACAAAATCCCAATTACAATTTTGAGAATCTAATTATTGGAGAGTCTTTCAATTATAATGGTGATGTAGATCAATTTACGAGCAAATCTATAGAGATAATGAAGATCAGTAATGCAAATGTAATAATATTAGCTGAAACACCACCAAAAGGCTCGAATATCCTGGTCAATGAAATGTTGAAAGATCCATACTATAATATAGATTATCAAATTTACGATTTACAATATTCACCAATTGAACTAAATATCCCAAAATTCCGAATTTGTGAACAGAATAAATTTATACAATTAACACATCATGAACTAGATGTCAAAATAAACGAATCAATAACATTCAAAAAATTATATGCAGATGAAGCAAATGATCCACTACCTAAATTATTAGATTACTCAAAATATCATGAAATATGGCATTCTACATCAAATTCATTATATATAACATTAACATTTCAAATATCATTTGCAAATATTTCAAATACCGTAGAAAATTTAATAAATTTTGAATTAATTATTGAATATTTAGGTTTTTTTTTAAAAATTGAATTTTATCAAGGTGAATCTGCTTTATTTTCATGGGGTTTATTTGCAAATTTTATTAGTTCAAATACTTTATCAATTGAAATTTGTGGTCCACAAACTGGTTTCATTGAATTTACTAAAATTTTTATTAAAAAAATTGAAAATTTAATAAGTAATTTCAAATTAGATTATAAAGATTTTGTTAAATTAAAATCAAATATTCGAAATAATTATGAAGAATTAGAAAATGGAGAAACTAATAAAAAAGTTTTAGCTGGATCAACATTAATATTGGAATATGATATAAAAACAATTCAAGAAAGATTAGAAGTTTTAGAAATCATTGATAAATCAGATTTAGCTTCAATTTGTCAAAAAATAATTGATGATTGTAAACATACAGATATATTAATTACAGGAGGAGATAAAAATTTAGCTTTTAAAATTTGTAAAATTATTAATATATTGACTCATCATGAACGAATTTATTTAAATCAAAATTATTTTGAATTTGGATCTAGTCTTTTCTTAAGACCAGGTAGAAATTATGATGTGATTCAAATGAATACAAATTTAAAAGATCAAAATGATGTTGTTTATCATTATATTCAATTATGTGGTCGAAATGATGCAGAAAGAAAATATGTTGAATTTTTTGTGTATTTATTGGATCAAATTGTAAGGTATCAATTACGTACTAGCAAACAATTAGGATATTTAGTACTAAGTGGTTTGAGAATCAATAAAAGTACAATTGGATTATATATCTTAGTTAATTCATCATCATACACTTATAATGAGATAATGAAAGAGATTGATAATTTAATTTTTGAATTTGAATTAAGACTTTTGAATATGACAAAAGAACAATTTGCAGAACAAATCGAATTATTTGCTGCAAAAGATAATTCTTGTGAAGAAGGTATTCCTTCGAATATTGCAGTGGGAACAAAGCCTGGAAAATGTAGCGATAATAGGTGTGAGAACATTGTACATCAAACATATCTAGAAAGTATTTTAACCAAAAATTATGATTTCCAAAAGCCTGGAGACAACATAGTGTCCTTTGAATATGAAGATATGATGGAATTTTTCAGAAAAGTTGTATCAATAAAATCGAGATCAAGATCATCATTATCGATATTTATCTCCTCAAAAATTGGAAAAGACAAAAGGAAGCATGATGAAAGTAAGGAAATGATAGAAAGTTTGTTACTTGAAAAAAATTATTATTTAAGTTCATTACAATTGAGAACATTATTATTTGAATGTGAAAATGATATTGGTTTGGTAATAAAAAGATTAAAAAATTCTGGATACAAACTATCTGTCAAAGATTCAGGTAAAATTTCAAAACTTTTAGTGCATTTAATTAAATTTCAACAACATTCAGATGAATCAAAAGAAGTAGAAAATTTGCAATTACAAGCAGTTAAAAAGAATGGACAAATTTATAAAAACAATAAATTGGTAATACCTCATACTGAACTCAACAACATATCTGAATTACAAGATGAGTCAGTTGTTAAGTTATCAAATGATTATCTAAGTAAATTACATGAATTATTCGAAGATGAAGATGATTATTTCGATGATTATAATTGATAAAATCATAAAATGTCTCATTTTTGTGTTTTGTGTCACTGTCATTTTTGTGTTTTGTGTCACTGTCATTTTTGTGTAGGAAATGTCAACTTTATATGCAGTATTAATATTTACATATCAATAAATATGGAACCAAAAAAACTAATAGAAGAATCAATTGAATTCATTAAATTCATCATCGGCCAATCATAATGTCATTGGTTACCAAGTTATTGATATTTATTTTATTTGTTACCACATCTTCTTCATTAGCAGATGTATCATTTATTTTAAAATCTGAATTTTCAAATAGTACAACGCAACAATCAAATATAGTTAAAAGATCAAAACATCAAGAACAACCAATGTTTTTAGTTGAGGATACCAGTGATGTCTATAAATCACCAGGATATTATCCAAGTCGTATGTAAATTTCAAGAGTGTAGAACTTATTGAGTCAAAATTACTAACTCCGTATAGCGCTTGGAGGTAGAATTGATAATTGTTGGCAAAAAGCTTACGAAAAAGCTAGAAAAATTCTTGAAAAAATGTCTATTCCAGAAAAAGTTAATTTAACAACAGGTACAGGTTGGGGATCTGGTCCATGTGTTGGAAATACTGGTTCAGTTCCAAGATTAGGAATTCCAAATTTATGTTTTCAAGATGGTCCAAATGGAGTTAGATTTACTGATTTTGTTACTCATTTTCCTTCAGGTTTAGCAACTGCTGCTACTTTTAATAAAGGATTAGCATTTTTAAGAGGTAAAGCTCTTGGTAGAGAACATCGGAAAAAGGGAGTTCATGTAGTATTAGGTCCAGTTATAGGTCCAATTGGTTTAAAAGCTCAAGGTGGTAGAAATTGGGAAAGTTTTGGTTCAGATCCTTATTTACAAGGAGTATTTGGAGCAGCAACAGTTGAAGGTATTCAAGATGAAGGAGTTATTGCATCTTGTAGACATTTGATTGGAAATGAACAAGAACATTTTCGTCAAGTTGGTGAATGGGATGATTTAAATTCTAAAAATGATTGGGATAAATTAGAAACTTCAATAAGTTCAAATATTGGTGATAGAGCAATGCATGAAATTTATTTATGGCCATTTGCAAATGTTATTAAATCAGGTTGTGGTAGTATTATGTGTTCATATAATCAAGTAAATAATACTTATGCTTGTGAAAATTCTTATTTAATAAATTATTTATTGAAAGAAGAATTAGCATTTCAAGGTTTTGTTGTAAGTGATTGGGGAGCTCAACATTCAGGTGTAACATCTGCTTTATCAGGTTTAGATATGACAATGCCAGGAGAAGTATTTGATGATTGGTTAACAGGTAAATCATTTTGGGGTCCTTTATTAACTAGAGCTGTTTATAATGGTACAATTTCACAACAAAGATTAAATGATATGTGTCTTAGAATTTTAGTTCCATTTTTTGCAATAGATACTGTCAATTTACCTCAAGAAGATGATGTACCAAATTTTAGTTCATGGACTCATCATACTTATGGTCAACAATTTCCTTATCAACATTTTGGACCAATTGTACAAAAGAATTGGCATGTTGATGCAAGATCAGAATTTAGTGATAATACAGCATTAACTGTTGCAAGAGAATCAATTATTTTATTGAAAAATTCACATCATCATTTACCTATTGATAAAAGTGATGGAGTTAGAAGAATTTTTATTGCAGGTCAAGGAGCTGGATATGATCAACATGGAATTAATTGTAAAGATCAAAGATGTACAGAAGGGTGTATGACTAGTGGTTGGGGTTCAGCAGCTGTAAATAATCCTTATGTTATAACACCAGTAGAAGCTATATCTAAAAAATGTAGAGAAAGAGGAATTGTAGTTGATCATTCATCAAATAATTGGGATTTAGATACTATGGGAGATTTAGCAGATTATGCAGATTTATCAATTGTTTTTGTTAATAGTTTTTCTGGTGAAGGTTATATAAATGTTGAAGATAATTTTGGTGATAAAAAAAATCTTTCATTATGGCATAATGGTGATGAATTAATTAATAAAATAGCAGATAGATGTCATAAAACGGTAGTTGTGGTTACTTCAACTGGTCCTATCAATTTAGAAAGATTTATTGAACATGAAAATGTTGTTGCAGTATTATTTACAGCTCCATTGGGACAATTTTCAGGTCAAGCAATAGCAGATGTATTATTTGGTGATACAAATCCAAGTGGTAAATTACCTTTTACTATTGCTAGAAAAAAGCAACATTATGTACCAGTTATTGATGATTTAGGAGGTGAAGTTGAACCACAAGATAATTTTGATCGTGATATTTATTTGGATTATAGATTTTTTGATAAACATAATATAAAACCAAGATATGAATTTGGATTTGGATTATCATATACAACTTTTAAAATTTCAAATTTAAAAATTACTGAAATTAATCCACCAAGTGAATATCTCCCTTATCCACAAGAATATTCACCAATTGTTAAAATGGTTGAAGATGATGTTTGTGATCCAGAAGATGCTATTTTCCCACATGATGAATTTTCACCAGTTCCAGGTTATATTTATCCATATTTATATAATGAAAATATTCATTCATTAGATCAAGATGAATCATATGATTATCCAAAAAATTATACTCCAGATCAACCAAATTCACCTTCATTAAATTCAGGAGATATGGGTGGGCATCCACAATTATGGGAAGTTTTGTATGAAGTATCAGCAGAAGTTAAAAATACAGGAGATATTAGAGGTAATGCAGTTTTACAATTATATTTAGAATTACCAAGTACAATTGTTGCATCACCACCAAAAATTTTAAGAGGTTTTGAAAAAACATTTTTAGAACCTGGTAAATCATCAAAAATATTTTTTCAAATTTTAAGAAGAGATATAAGTATTTGGGATTGTGATTCACAACAATGGATTATTCAAACTGGTAGTTATAAAGTTTATATTGGAAGTTCAAGTCGTAAAATTGAATTAACTGGAGAAATTCAAATAGGTTGCTAATTTTAGTTTTCGAAGTAATAATAGCTAAGTGAATTTAATTAAAAAACTCTCAAAATTCTACTACATTAATGTATTTTCACCGTTAGCTCTTTTATTTTACTATATCACTTATTGTAAAGTGATTGTTTAAAGATTGTGTAGAGAATATCAAGAAATCATTTCGACGTTATTAATATAAATAAATTATGCAATGTGTATGAAAAATCTAAAAAATGTTTAAAGAACTGAAATTTGAATGAATGACTGAAATAAATGACCACTAGTCTATACTCCCAAATAATATTCCTTTTTATCAAGTACTCATTCTTGCAGTTACTTGTAAAGGAGTAACAATATTTGGAGCAGCTAAAGAATTTGAATTATTTGGATTTGAATTAGTATCATTAGTGTTATCTTTTTCTAAATCAATAAAAGTGGATGTTGATTTCTTCATTGATTTTAAAGATGATGGAATTGATGAATTTGAAGAATTTAAATGAAGCATTTTATTAGTTAAATGATGAGATGGAGATGATGTAATTTTTGGTGATGTAGTTGTCGTTGTTATGATAGTATTCTTACTATTATTATCATGTATACTAGTTGTTGTTGAATATGGTGATGTTTCTATTATTTTATTTAACATATTTTGATTATTATGTAAAGGAGAACTAGGTTGAGATAAATATTGTAATGCTGTATGAGATAAGTTTTTAAGTTTCCTATTATTTGGTTGTTGTTGTTGTTGAGGAGATGTTTGAACTGAAGTTGATGCAGAATTTGTTGTTATTGATCTATTTGGAACAACACTAGGAGAAGGTGATGTTGGCGGTTTTGAAGTATCGATTTTTAAATCTTTAATACCGTTGTCAAGCTCATTTATTTTTGGAGAACTTGGTACTAAAGTGTTTAAAGTTGCAATGGTCTCATCATCTTTATCTTTATCATTAGAATTACTAAATTTTTGTTGAATTTCTTGTAATTGTAATTTTAATTTTGTATTATCATCAACTATTTCAGCACCTAAAAATTGATTTAAATTTTTTAAAGCTGATTCTTGATCTAATAACATAGCTTTTTCAAAATATCCTGGTTTTGAATCATCAATTTTTATATTATTATTTTTATATTTAACACCATTAAATAAATTAAATAAATCAACTCTATAATTTTTTGGTAATGAATTTTGAGATATATAAACATTATCAAAATTTTTAACATTTTGATATAATAAAACTAAAGATTTACAATCTGATAATTCAGTAATTTGATTTCTTCTTAAATCTATTTTTTCTAATGATATTAATTTTTCAAGGCCATTTAAATTTATAATTTTATTATTATTTAAATTTAAAGTTAAAAGATGTTTTAAATTTGATGGTAAATTTTTTAAATCAGTAATATAATTATCTGAGAAATTTAAATATTTTATATTTACTAATTGATCCAAACCTTCTGGTAAATTTTGTAATAAATTATTTGATAAATTTAATTTAACTAAATTATGTAAAGGTTTTAATACATTTTTTGTGACATGAGTAATTGAAGTTTCAGAAATGGTTAATTGTTTAAGTACAGACCATTTTGCTTCTGAAGATGAAGAATTTTCATTCAGTTGTTGTTTCTCAATAGAGCCAGCTCCATTGGATGCATTTGTATTTCCACGTTCTCTTTTATTTCTAAATATATCATTTGAATCATGAGTTAAAGTAGATTCATCAAATTGTTGTTGTTTTCTAGTGTTAGAATTAAAACTTGATCTTCCATTTTCATCATCAACAACTAAATCATAAATTATTTCAGACATGTCATTTATCTTGCTTTTTCTTATAATTAAAATTCTTAATTGATCACTTAATAAATTCCAACCAAAAATTTCATTTGGTTCATATTCAATAATTTCCAAAACTTGTAAATTTTTAAAAATTTTTATTGGAACTGAAGTATCACAAGGATATTCTTCATACGATTGTATACTATTTATTTTAGTTTTTGGAGTTAAAATTAAACATGGAATTTTTGTAAAACTTGAATATAAATATTTTAAATCCTTTTTGATAAGTTTGGGTTCTCTTTTAATATTACTAAAATTTTTACTCCATATAGATACCATTGAATTTATACTTTTTATAGATTTTAAAGAAATTGAATCTGATTCAATAATTCTTGAAGATCTTGCATTATTTGCCATAAATGATATAAAAGTTGGTTCATGATTTGGATTATCTAATTTTATATTTAATGGCCCCACATCAATACCTAAATTCGATGATTCAATTCTTTCAGTTAAATAATATAAATGATGAATTGTAAAAGTTAATCTTAATGGTTTAATTTTATGAATTGCAACTTTATTTTTACTAAAACATAATAATCCATTAGCTAAAGATTCTTCGTTTTTTTTAATATATGATGATAATCTTTGTACATATAGATCTCCTTCTATTGAATTATTATTATAACCAAATGAGCCCATGGTTGTAATGTAATGTGATGATTAGGATTAATCTATGTGATTAAGGAAATTGGCTCAGAAAAGATGCAGTTTTGGTAATAAGTCAAATTGAAATGAGGATGATGCTATTGAATCTTATTACTTTATGATAGTATGATTTGTTCAAACTTTATTATTGATTAACTTTGTTCTAATCTTATTCTAATCTTAAATTTTTTATTTTGTTTTGTTTTTGTTTTAAGATTTTTTTTTTTTCTTTTGATTTCCAATTTAAGAATCTTTTGACTCTCTTTGTTTACATTTAAAAAGAAGTATACTTTTGAGGATAAGATGTTGACAGGCAAACAGGTAGTTGCATCGATAAGTTAACCAGTTAAGAAAGGCTTGTTATATCTTATAAGCGACTCTCACCACCCAGGATAAATTAATTTGCAATATCTATGTGTTTCCACTCGATCTTCTCAGAAAAAATTCTAATCAATCATTTAATATGAATGACTGATTAAGAGCCACATTAAATCCCCTTCAAATGAGGAATGAATAGCTCTAACTCGGATTTAATTAATAAAACAACCCCAGAACCAACTCAATAACACCTCTACTTTAATATTTTATATCTTTCATCGCTCAAAAGCTTTTAGCTGATAGTAAAATTAAACATATACTTCTATCTATGGCATATGTTCACGAGATAATTAATTAAGTCCGTGTCGCAAATAAATGTTTCGGATTGTCAAGTTTTATGTTTCATGACAAGCACTAAATTACACAAATAGAGAATTCTGAAACCTCTAATGGATTCTTTTTTCTGATTTTACGCTAATTATTATATTACGTCTATCAACTGTCCATTTAACTTTACAAATCTAGGGCATTGAGATAAAAAAATTTTAAAAAATGAAAAAAAAAAGTTGAAATTCAAGGTTTTTTTTTTTTCATACAATAGCGGTTGCAGCCGAAGACATCCAATTTATATCACATTTTACTTTCTTACACGGTAATTGGCTCAGAGGACTTACAGAATAATCCTAAACATCCACCAGCTAAGTGGTATCTCATAGTAAACCAATTTCAAATCAACCTGCTGAAGGATGATATGTAATAGGATTTAGCTAATTCATTCATAAAACCTGCTTTTAATTTCATATATTTGTGAATTGATTTTTTACAACTTAAAAGGCAAAGATAATTTAGTTGATCTTTAGACATCGTTGTTAAACTAGGTTATGACGGAGGAGCCAGCTGATGAACAATTAACTATGATGTACAATGAAATCATTATCAATCTATATTTATGGTTCTCTCCACTATTTTCAAGTGTACCCCAGCATTCTAAACGAACAATTGATTCTGGAGCCATAGATTTTGGTAAACCATAAAATAAAAATATGAGCCCTTTGTAAAAGTGGTGATGACATAGAATTACTACGATTACAAATAAAATTACTAACAAATTTACAACTTGTATTTGTCAAATCAGTAATGAAATATGTCACACAAAAAGTACTGTTATAGCACATAAAGGTATTGCTATTACTTGCGCAATTATCCAGTAAAAAGTTTGCGCTATTGTTCTTTATTGAAAATTATGTAATTTATTCCGATTATTGCATAAAATTTTTGACTACAACGGTTTTTTTGTTAATGAACTACATAACCAACCAAGTATTGCCACTTCACTATTTACAGATGTCAAATGTGTATGGATCAAACGTTTGAAATATATAATTTACATTATAGATGAAAAATCAGAACTTTTAAAGTAAATATTGTCATATCTTGAACCAAAACTATTTAAGCCATAGTTGAATCTAACTTTAAGACCAAATTTATTTTACTCCACCATCTTGATGATGTTAAAAAAGAAACGGTCAACGGTCAGTTAAATCTTGTGTGATTTCAACCCCTGAAACTCTTCTAGAAATGGCTCCAATTTCGAATGAGTTCAAAGATATTTATTTTTTGCAAATTACAAGCCCTCTTGTTTAAGCCATGATGATATAAATTATTATATTTGAATTTGGTATTTTTTTTGGAAATATAATAGAAGGTTTTTTGTCGAATTACATGCTGAATTACCTAATTTAGTTAATATTATGTAAGTTCATAACTATACCTTATCACCAAGGTTATGTATATATCTCTTTGATCCCTCTCCGTAAATTGTCTAGGATTTTCAGCAACAACATCTCTTAAGCCAATTTTATCAATTGCTCTGGTATTCATTCAGAACCTTTGGCCTCAAGTGAAAATTTTTGATGAATTTGAAAATACTAACTACCCCTATTTTAGATACCAATCTAAACAATAGATTCGCAAATCATAAATTTAATAAACAATACAAAGAGAAAAAGAGGCTATTAATCAAGAGAAAATTTTTTAATCTTTATCTGGTAAATCCCCTTGCAAATAAATGTAGGCTGAAATTAAAATTTTAAAATTGAGATATTTTTTAACGTACTAAATCTCCATATGGGATTTGAAAAAATGTTTAAAATATTTAGTCTCCCGGAGAGTTGGGCCAAATAACGTTATCATCAAAATAGTATCAATTGACTAAAAATATGATCAAGAAAAAAATCTCTTATCGTTTTATTCAAAGATAAACTAAAACAACAGTTTTAAATTTTAAACTTGAATTTTCAATCTATTTATTGAAATCGCTTTTTAATAAAAAGACATGGTTAAATATTATGTCAATGTCAAAAAGAACAAAAGTTTAAAATTTAAGTTTATTTGAAATTTATTTGTGTACTGTATCAAAAGGGTAGAATGTATTGATCAGAAAACGTTTATAGAATCTTTTTTTGAATTATAATTAAACCGTTGAAAATAAAAACTTAAGTTTTGAAACACGGTTGACAAAAATATTCATTGAGCTTGTGGTGAGAAATGTGGGAGTAGTGTAATGGACATACATTTACCTTGGAAGTTGTTATTGTTCTTTGGTGAAAATCTCCCTTTATCTTTACAACTCCTATTTAACACCCCCCAATTCTAATTGTTATAAGTCAGCTTGACTAGTAAACTTTGTAATAATTTCTTTTTTCAAATCTTCAAATCTAAAATGGCTTACAAAACCCCCCATGCTTATCTATTATATTAAACAAGATGAGATCAAAAACTAATTGAAAGCCATATTTATTCATATTTTGTGCTTCACCGAAATATGGAATTCTGAGACTACTCCGTAATCTAATCTAATCTATTAAACGAATTAATTCATCAAGTAATACTAATTTATTCATCTTTTTAGTGTTACAAATTAAAGGATGTTTGTGTAATTGCGCAAATAGATTTATCAAAACTTTTAAACACTTGAAATTTTGAGTTCTTGAAAAATATGATTAACGAATCCAAGAAAATTATCATTATGTACAATTGACACATTTTTCACGGGTTAATTTGTCAAAGCTTAATTCAAATTCTCATATCTCTCAATTCTTAGCTTTTTTTTCTTGATGTAATCTTGATGTAATGAGTTATTGTATTGTCTTTTTGTATTCTTTTCTTGATTATTAGAAATAATTTAACAACGTGTGTGATGATTTTTAAAGTTCAATTGTATTCGTTTAAAATTTAAAAAAGTTTAATGTTTTATAATTTAGTATTACCAAATACATAAAGTCTGGAATTGAAATAAGTCTATAAGAAATTTTATAGGGGTTTTACAATCAAAACGATTAATAATACTCAATAATGCTCATCTACGATTAAATGCATGTACTGGAATTACTTGCATACAGCCAATAAATTGATTGCATACACTTTGAATCAAATTCCGTGTACATGAAGATGTCACTCATTAATACATATAAATTTTTCCGATTGACACAAGTACTAGTAAAGAACTTTAATTCAAATACGAACCAAATTTCAGCCAATAACGACAAGGTTAACATCAATTATTCACAATTGCTAAAATGCGAACAAGTAATTTTGAGAGATATATAATTAAACAATACAGTGCACAGTTTGAACTGTATATTATTAAAATTGTTATGAGTTGAAACTATAGAAAGTCAATTATTTGACTTTTTAGTCATAACTCATTATAAAATTTGAGCAAAATATTGTTGTATTGTTTGTTTCAATATAGCATGTGAGAAAATAAAAATTTTTAGACTGTGTAAATTTTGAAAACTAAACTTAAGTTAGTTGAACGCCTGTCTGTTAGATCCAAAGATATAGTCGGTTTTTCATCAACAAACGTGAACGTGGATCATTTGTTGAAAGACTATATCGTATTCCTGTTCCTATCTGAAACAAATTACAATTTTTGTGATATTGATCGAGTATGAAAATAACAAATATTACACAAAAATAAAAACCGTTTTCACGTTTTAATGGTTATGAGTTTTTATAAAGTAATCAAAAATCCTATTTTCATAACCCTTATCTTTCTTTTATGCCATTCCTTTGTTAAAGATTAGTTTTCAAAACTAGAACTGAACGTTTCGACATTCAAATGTATTTGCAAATACAGGAAAAAATAACGTTCTGATTAAATATCAAATATAATTCAAAATTACCTTCGATTCTACTCTAAATTTAATATCACTTTTAATGAAAAGATAATGTATTTTGCGATATCCATCTTCAAATTTTAAGATAACTTTAGAATATTTCAGAATTTAAGGTTAAATTTCTAAAACAATAGAATTAGTAAAAATTAATATAATAGTTATATCATAAATACTTGGGCTTTGTACACTAATATAAAATTCATCTTAATACTAATCTATATATCCTTACTATTGAAATTTAAAGCCCTTTCAAGTAAATTAAAAACACAATCTTTGAACGTAGGAACATTAGATCCTTAAATCGACTTAAAATTTATTTTATGCCTCTTTTTAAAATTTCACTATTTGGTCAGCTCATAGTCTAATTTAATTTATTTAGAATTTCAATATCAACATCAACGTCAAGATAAGATAAGAAGAAATTAATTTATTTGTTGGTTTAAAACGGCTAAATACTAGTTCCAAATAATTTTCTTGTCTTACTTCATCAATCTTATAATGCATATTGCGCTTCGGAGTGTGTAGGCTGTACATTTGAAAATCCTTCTATTTTGCTTGTGTCAAATTTTAATATAATTTTCTTGACTCTATTGTTTTAAAGAATTTTTGTGCTACTATGTCACATCTAGGTGTGGTTGGTTATATAGTAAAACATATTCAATTGAGACATTTGTTAGATCAAGGGAATAAGAATTCTTATTACACTGCCTATCGATTTACAATCAAAATGTCCAAATTTCTTTCAGTGTATTAATCAATGTAATTTTACAACTCAATATGTTGAAACAATAGATGAGAATAAAGTATTAAAATTAAATCTCTCAAATTGTATACTTAATAGTGAAAACTTAGATCAGAAAAACAGTTCTATAGACTACTTTATCTTTAATAAATCAACTAATCTAAGTAATTTCACCTCTTCTATTGTTTGTTGAAAAAATTAAAATTTTTTTTTATTAAAAAAAGTGGTTCTCTATTATGCAAAAACCTCTTAACTATTTAATTATAAACAAAACTAATAAAAATTATATTCACAATGTTCAAAATTATCCCTTTTAATTTTTGATTTTTTACTAATCTTACATAAACAGCGTTAGCTACATGGGTCCCACTATTGTTTCCAAATAGATTGTAATTATAACAGTTTCCGATTTATTCCTAGATGATGAACGATCTTTAGTTGCAAATTTAAAATATAATTATATTATATATTATGATATTTTGCAACCTCTTTTCAAAACCCGAATTAACATTATCATTTGTAATTACCAAACACCAAAAATAAACTAGATCAAGATTTCTCACTTATTTACTATGAATCCAATAACAAATCATCAACAATCTAGAAATAACAGTACCTCCTCAAATGAAACTGTTTATAGTTCAAATGAAATTGAAGAAAAACATATAAAATTTAATAATAATGTTGAATTTGAAAAACATACAAATAATTATGGAATAAGATTTACAGAAAATTCAATACCTGAAACTCCAGCAGAAAGTATAAATAACGTTAATAAAAATTTAGATTCAAAAGAATTAGCTGAAAAATTAGGTGATGCTCATTTCAATCAATTACAAAGTTCTCAAATTATTATTATATTATGTACTTTAGGTTTAGCTAATTTTGTAAGTTTTGCTGATCAAACTGGTATAACTGTTGGATTAACTGAAATTGGTAAATCCCTTGATGCTCAACAATCAATAAATTGGGCAGGTTCTGCTTCTTTATTAGCTAATACTGTTTGTCAAGTTTTATTTGGTAGATTATCTGATATATTTGGTAGAAAAAATGTTATAATGACTTGTCTTATGATATTATGTATTGGTGATATTGCATGTTCAGTTGCAAGAAATGATGTTGAATTTTATGTATTTAGAGCTTTAGCAGGTATTGGTAATGGTGGTGTTTCAAGTTTATGTATGGTTATACTAAGTGATATTGTTTCATTAAAAGATAGAGGTAAATATCAAGGTATATTAGGATCAACTGTTGGTTTTGGTAATGCTATTGGTCCATTCCTTATGTCTGCATTTATTAAAAGTTCAAGTTGGAGAAGTTATTATTATTTTTTAGCACCATTATCATTTGTTGTTAATATTGTTTTATATTTTTCATTAAAAAATAGTAAAAAATTAGATGATGTTTTAACAAGATCAGAAAAATTTAAACAAATTGATTATTTTGGTATATTAACTGCAACTATTGGATTAACTTTGATATTAGTTCCATTAAATGGTGGTGGATCAACTTATGCATGGAATAGTACTTTAGTTATTGTTATGTTTACTATTGGTGGTATATTTATGTTTATATTTTTAGGAGTTGAATGGAAAATTGCAAAATTACCAATGGTTCCATTAAATTTATTTAAAAATATTTCATTATGTTTAATTTATGCTGCTACATTTTGTTTTGGAGCTACTTATTATAGTTTTACATATTACTTACCATATTATTTTCAAATTGTTAAAGGTAAAGATGAAATTCATACATCAATATTTTTATTACCATTAGTTTTATGTCAAGCTGGATTTTCCGTTGTTGCAGGTCAAATAATAACACGTACTGGTCATTATGGTTACGTAGTTATGAGCGGATATGTTCTTTGGTGTATTTCATGTGGTTTATTAGTATTATGGGATCAACATTTACCAGATGGTATAAATATTTTAATATTATTAATTATGGGTTGTGGTGTTGGATTTTCTTTTCAACCTTCAATGGTTGCAGTACAAGCTCATTGTAAAAAATCAGAAAGAGCTGTTGCTATATCAACAAGAAATGTTTTAAGATCATTAGGTGGTTGTGTTGGTATTGCTATTGGATCAGCCATTGTTAGTAATTCAGTTTTAAATACTCTCAATAATTTACCATCAACTACATCATTATCACAAGATACAATTGATTATATTAAAACTCACATTTATAATAAAATCAACACATCAACTTTATCAATACTAGAAACAAATGAAATTAAAACAATTTATTCAAATGCATTAAAAAACTATTATTATTTTTTAATTCCATTAATGGGTATAGCTGTAATAACTACTATTTTCGTAAAAGATAATGGATTATGTGCAATTGATGAAAAACCACCAACTAAAAAAAGAGAAGATTTGGAATCATCTGCAAGTTCGATGACTTTAAAACCTTAAATCTTTTCAAATATAAAAATTTCAATTCGTTATTTATTTTCAAATTTTATAGATTACAATATACATTACATTGTTTAAAAAATTTAGTAATTTAATAGTTTACCACTTTATTTCCTCAATGGTTGCAAAATTTCACTTTTATGTCGTGTTTTAATGTTTAATGTGTCCCTTCAAATTTTACGACAAGCAAACTCAAACGCGCACAAAATTTGAAAACATAAACAGTAAATTTAAGTTAGAGAATTCTTAGAGTTTTCATTCCATGATCAATATCAGGATGTCGGATTTGTTGAACAAATACAGAGAGTCAAGAGCGAGTAATGGGGTTTTAAGATCAAGTCCGGCGAGGAGAGTTTCTTCACTATATCCAAAATTATCATCATTGGACAGAGACACTTCAGATTATTTAGATCATGATCATTATAGAAGAACTTCAAGATTAAGAAGTGAAGAACATGAAAATGATAGATCATATAGACCAACCACAACTTCATCAATAGCTGACAAATACAATTTTACATCTCAACCAAGAAGAAGGACAACATCAACAACAAACCCACAAGAAAGTTTTGCGACTAGAAAAAGGAGATATGATTTAGATGATACTAATAGTAAAACGACAGAGAGGATTAGCGGTAAATATTTGGGGTCACCGATAAGATCAATAAATAATACAATACGAAGACGAGATCCGTCATATACAAGAAGCTCAGTAATTTCAGATAATTATAGGATATCCAAACCATCAACACCTTCACATGGAAATGGATTTTTATCAAAACTTGTTAATTTCTTTACAGCTAATGGAGACGAAGAAGATCAAGCAGAAAGTTCAGAATATTTTTTAAAATCACCGAAAAAAGTATCATTTGATAAGAAATTTGATTTTGATGAAGTTGATGAAGTGATTAATAGAGGGAAATTGAGAGAAAAGGAAGAAGAATTGGAGAAATATAGAATACTACAACGTGATCATCAAAAATTATTAACACAATTGGAAAATGAAAATTACGAAAAAAAGAAATTGAATTCAGAATTACAAAACCTTAAAATTAAAAATGATGTTCTTGAAAATGATTTATTTAATAAAAATGTTGAAATAGATCAATTAGTTAATAAGCATAGACAAGAATTAGAAAGATTAAATAATGGATTCGAATTGGAATATAAAAAATTACAAACACTATATAATAAAAACTTGAAAGAATTAGAATCAACTATTGAAAAAAACAACCATCAACACGAACAAACATCTAATACTCAAAGACAAGAAATTACAAAATTAGAAAATAAAATACATGAATTGGATGAAAAATTATTTGATACAAATTTTGAATTAAAACAACAAACAAAAGAATTAAATTCACAAATATCAAGAAATAATTCAATTCAAATAGAAATGTCATTAAAAGATCGTTTTAAATCTTCAAAAGAAGAAGAAATAAATAATTATTATTTAAATTCATCAAAAATTGATCAAGAAATTAGAAAATTACAAAATAAAATTGGAAATAATAATGATTTTCCTACTCAATCAACAATTTTTCAAAAAACTGAAAATAATATAGAACAAAATTTAAAAATTTTAAATGAAATGATTCAACATTTAAATTTTAATCAATTAGATAAATGTGAAAATTATTATGATAAAGCTTATGAATTTATAAATTCAAATACTAAAGAATTAGAAGACATTATAAAAAGTTTAAAACAATCTTCAAATCCAGATTTAGAATCAATATTAATTGAATATTTAAATTTAAAAAAATTAAATGAATTAAATTATCATCTAAGTGATGTAAAAGAATTAATTAATGATTGTAAAATATTGAGAGATTTTGTAAAAGATTATGATTTAGATACGGTAGATTTAGCTGAGATATATTGTAAAATTAAAAGTGAAACACTATAAAGATCAAACACTTAATATAAGTAATTTTGTCTATCTGCACTTGTAAATGGCAAGCTCTCACATCAATCATTCATTACTTAATCAATCATCACGGACCAATTTTAACAAGCACAATGATCAGTTCTATCGGACACTGCTGTAGACTTTCCACCAACAAATTTGGAGACTAATTGTTGGTGTGGTGTTTCAGAAATATTTGGTAGCTCACAAATTATGGAAAAACTTGTTTACAATATTGAACCAAAACCCTAAAATGGTGAGATATTCATGGATGCTTGGTCAATTAATATGACATCAATAAGAATGTAAGCTGTAAATACAAGATAAGTTCAAATTTTATGTATTACAAGGCCATTGCTTGACGTTTCATTTTTCTTTCTCAATAATAATCAAAGATTTCCATGTACCTGCATATAATAATTTATTGTGAAAATAATTTTAGACGCGTTTCTTCTTTATATCTCTTCAAGAGTGTATTAACTTAAGATCTATCATTCAAACAAACAAACAGTCTCAACATATCAGTCAATAATGATTGATTCACAACGAATAAACACATCACTACCTATACAACTACAACCATCGAACCTTCGGCCAATAGTGTTTCGAATATTAACCAAAAAACATGGATTAAATGTTAATTCAGAAGCATTATCTATATTAACAGAAACAATAAGTTTAAAATTTGGATTTAATTGGAAAAGTATACAATCAAATAATTTTTTAGAAGAAATTGCAAAATATTGGAAATTAGAAGATAGAGGAATATTTATAGATGGAAATGGTTTAAAAGATATTTTAAAAGATTTAAATCAAAAAGATGATACTTCAAAATTACAAAAAGCTAAAAGATCAAATACAATTATTGATGAAGATGAATTTGATACAAGTTTTAGATGGGAAGATTATTTTCATGTTATATCACCAAATCAACAACCTATAAGTATATTTGATAAGAATAGAAAACAATTTAATGTATATTTAAAAAGAAATAAAACACCTATGTTACAATCAATTAGTTCAAATCTAAAATACATGGTAGAATCTAAGAACAATCATTACTATTTAATCATGGATAGATTGTCAAGGAATGAAAATTTTCAAAAAATGTCAATGTCAAGTATATCAAACCTTAGTTCAATTGTAGATGAAAATAATGCAAAACATAATGAAATAACTATGATAAAAAACGTTTTAGGTAGAGATGGTCAAAAATTTTTATTATTTGGTTTATTAACTAAAAATTCAACTGAAGATTATATATTGGAAGATGCAACTGATTATATTGAATTAAATTTAAATCAAGCTAGAAAAAACCAAGGTTCTTTTTATTGTTGTGGGATGTATGTATTGATAGAAGGAATTTATTCAGCATCAGGTGGGACTTTAAATGCAAAACCAGATTATATTGGTGGATGTTTTTATGTAAGTAATATAGCTCAACCACCAGCAGAAAGAAGAGATAAAAGTATAGATGCATATGGTCATCTTGATTTTTTAGGAGTTCATAAAAATAACGTTCAATCAACAGTTAATGATAAAGCTATTAAAATACCAAAAGAATTTAGAAAAAAAATGAATCAAATGGAAAAATCATTATTGGGACATAAATTGATTGTTCTAGGGAGTGAATTACATTTAGATTCCAATAGAGTTTTGGAGGGATTAGTTAAATTTTTTAAACATTTAGAAAATTCAATTATTGAAACTAAAGATCAAGAAGATAATTCAATACCATTAGCATTAGTTCTTATAGGTTCATTTTCATCAATACCATTAACATCAACAAATTCATCAAGTTTAGCCATGTCAAATTCAGAAATTTATAAAAGTAATTTCGATCAATTATCACATATTTTAAATGATTTTCCAAATATAGTATCTAATTGTAAAATAGTACTAATACCTGGAAATAATGATCCTTGGCAATCTTCATATTCATCTGGTTCATCATATTCAAATATTTATCCACAATCATCAATTCCAAAAGTATTTATAAATAGATTAGAAAAATTATTGCCCAGAGGTAATTTAATATTAGCTTGGAATCCAACTCGAATTAATTATCTTTCTCAAGAAATTTTAATTTTTAAAGATCAATTAATGAATAAATTTAAAAGAAATGATATTTTATTTCCCGTGGATTTAGAATTAGAAGAACAACAATACCTTGATTCATTAAGTAATGAAGAAAGAATAAATAAATTAATTCAATCAAAAGACGTGAGATTAGATAACAAAACAAAACAAGCAAGAAAATTAGTTAAAACTTTATTAGATCAAGGTAATTTACAACCATTTAATAAAAATTTAAAAATTATAAATCAATCAATGGATTATTCTTTAAGAATTGAACCATCACCAAATTTAATTATATTAAATGATTCAAATTTTGAAAATTTTGAAATTATTTATCAAGGTTGTAGAGTTATAAATTTAACACTGGTTGTTAATTTAAATAGTAGAAAATTAAATTATATGGAATATTATCCTGCTACAAAAAAAGTTGAATTTAATGATTTATATTTTTAAATAGAAGTATTTGAATGAATGAGTAATGAAACGTAAAAGGAGCGTTAATTTGATGAAATTAAACTCTTTTAAACCTTCTCTCGATGCCTGTTCTTGTACAGTAAACTGAAAAATGTATTGAAGTTGAAATCAAATTGATACTGTTTGGTAGCCACATTCCGTGTAAGAAAGGTAAAACCAAAATTATATACGAGATTATTTTTAAAACACTTAAGGTCAGACACTTCCAAAACGAATATTTCAACATAAACACATCCTTCACCAAACTTTCTCACTATGACCTCCAACAATGATGTACCACCATTTGTGAAAGACAAACACATACATTTCATAATTGAACAAGAATCAAATCGATCTTATGAATATTGGCTTAGTGAACATCTACGAATGAATGGATTATATTGGGGAATTACAGCATTAATTACAATGAAAACATTAAATAATACAACATTACCTCAGCAAAAAGTAATTGAATATGTAATGAGTTGTTGGGATTCTGAATCTGGAGCATTTGGAGCATTTCCTAAACATGATGCTCATATATTATCTACTTTATCTGCATTACAAATTTTAAAATATTATAATTATGAATTACACCCATTAACCACAGATCAAAAACAAAAAATAGTGAAATTCATAAAGTCTTTACAATTACCGAATGGAAGTTTTCAAGGTGATTCATTTGGAGAAATAGATACAAGATTTACATATACTGCAATATCAGCATTATCTTTATTAGATGAATTAACAAAAGAAATTACAAATCCAGCTACTGAATTTACATTAAAATGTTTTAATTTTGATGGAGGTTTTGGATTAGTTCCAGGATCAGAATCACATGCTGCTCAAGTATTTGTATGTGTTGGAGCATTAGCAATAATGGATGAATTAAATCAAATTAATAATTTAAAAATTAGTAATTGGTTAAGTGAAAGACAAGTATTACCTTCTGGTGGTTTCAATGGAAGACCTGAAAAATTACCAGATGTATGTTATAGTTGGTGGGTATTAGCTTCATTATCAATATTAGGCAAAAAAAACTGGGTTAATTTGGAAAAATTAGAAAATTTTATTTTAACTTGTCAAGATTTGGAAAATGGTGGGATTAGTGATAGACCAGATAATCAAACAGATATATATCATACATGCTTTGGAATAGCAGGATTAAGTTTAATTGATTTTAAAAAATATGATTTTGATGAAATTGATCCTGTTTATTGTATGCCAACTAGAATTGTAAAAGATTTTAAAAAATGGAAGAATAAATGATAAAATTGATAAAATTGGAGATTTTGCATGTACGAAATTAATTAAATTTAAGCTTTTTTAAATTTGCAAATTAAGGAATACTAAACTCAAATCAAACTAATATTTAAGAGTAGATACACTTCCCCGATATCAATTTGAAGGCTCTGCATTTAGGAGTCTAAGGACGTACTTGTAGAACTTTTTAAGGATTTAAATAGAACGCCCTTAGCATAGCTGATAAAGTCAATAGCTGAAGACTTAATAAGTAAGTTAATAAGAGAAAAAAAAGGGTCATATTGTGGAGTTCATCATATGCAATTTTTGCTCATCAAAATTGCTCTTTGATCTGCTTGTTTGATAGATTCGATGAGTACAAATATTTTTCAATATTTTCTAATACATTTAGGGGTCGCAACTCAAATAACTTTTTTTACATCACTCATTTACACACCTATTGAATCAATTCGCCCAAAGTTCAAGAGTTTGATCTAAAGAATTGAATGGAGTTAAGAAAATTGATACTTAGTTGATAAATAAATTCTTTTATAAACTATATTTGTTATCTCCACAAAATTGAAGTACTCTCTTATAATACTTCATATTATAGCTATAACTTATATCTAAATTGACAAATTAATAACAAATGTTGCCTTACTCTAAAAAATAAAAACAATGCAAAGAATCACCTTACATTAAAATTTCATATGTATAGTGACATAAATATTTCTACATGTTCTGTTCAAGGCGGGTTAAATATAATGATCTTGGTAAAAATTGTTATTGCTAGCTCTAATTTATAATAAAAAAGCCAATTGATTGATTAAGCTATTGTTGAGTATCTAAAGCTGACTATTTTTTTGTAATTTTATTTGGTATAGAAGTATCAATTAAGAATGTGTCAGATCTATTCTAGATCTTAAGTTAAATTCAAATAGGTTAAAGGTTTTTCCGAAATATAAAGGAGTTACAAAACCAATTTATATAAATAAAAAAAAAATAATAGAAATCTAATTCGGAACGACCTAGAAGACAATACCAAATTGAAATATAATATTCATATTCGTACTTTGCACTGAAAATTTCTCCGATAAGAATAGTGATTTTCCAAAATAGACAACTAAATCAGATAAGTCTTGTTTGATCTGTTTATCGGTTATGTTTCCTACTCAAAAATTATCAAATTTTATTTTGTGGTTTGGTTTAATTTTCTTCAATTACTTAACTTCATTACAAAATGGAACAGGGTTTCCGTAAATACTTATAAATGATCAGGCTTGACCTTTTTTTGGCGAAATAATTACTATATGCGCTTGTTCGACTAATACGAGGACAGAAAAGAGCATATATAACAGTAGATCCATCTACTCATACCTTTCTAATTTTGACATTAGATCTGAGTTATAATAATTTATTATTCGGTACCTTACATAGTAAATTTGTCAATAAGGCCCAAAACACTATTTATTAATATTAAAAATTAAACAGTTTTATGAATGATCATCGAAATTTTGATTTGATACATTACTTAGAGAATATTTCGGTTGCTTGCTTTAAGATAGATAATTGAAATTTCTTTACATAATTTGGAAGATCTACTGATTCTTTAAATTCAGTCTGGACCCTTCTTCGTATTTGTTTTAAGTTCCATAATATTTTATTTTTTTAATTAAGTTTATTATTTTGTGTAACAACTGTCTAACGAATTATAATTTTATTAAGGCTTTGAATTTTCTTACCATTTCAAGATTAGTTCTTAAGAACTAAATTAACTAAAATTTACCATAATTGATTGAAAGTTTCGTAAGTTTTATTTATTTAGAATTTCGAAGAAGAAGAAGAATTGGAAGGTTTTCAAACCATTCCTATATTCGAACATTCTTTTCTGAAATCAGTTGTTTAATTATATAACCTTAGCGAAGGTTATGAACTTGAATGACAGCAATATGAGTGCTTATTTAACATTTTGTGGGTTTTAGATTAGATTAGATCTTAATTAAAAACTATCAAACGGGGATAAATAATACTTTAAGCTTAATTACTCCCCGGTAAAACATTTAAATTTTTTTATCTAAAAGTTCATTAAAACAAGGATACTTTGCTACAATTAAACAAAGCTTTAGCAAATTAAGAGGGGTATACCTCTAAACACATTCAAAAGTAAAATTAATCAATTGTACAATAAACAATAACTTATGTACATTGACTTAATTTACTAGACAAAGGCTTTGTTGATCGCAAATAAAACAATTTTAATTAAATTTAAGAATTAAAATTAAATTAACCTTCTTTTTCGCTGATAATTTTAAATCTAAGCTTAGAAGTAGATGTGGTTCGCCCTAATGAATCTAGATGTTTTTGATACTATTTGATATCAATAAACTTGATGCTTTTGATTTCTTTTGATAAGTACATTAGGCTACTTGGTAAGCCAGTCATCGCCAAATATTTCTTCCCTTTTCAACGAGACTGGAGGGTGAATATATTAGACCTTGGGGTTTTTGAATCTTATCCATAGAAGTGACTAAAAAGCAAAAAAAACTGAATCAAACGAACTTTTCAATAATGTTTCGTAAGTCAATTTTTATTGATGCTGAACTGTTTCCAATCGGTATTTTATGAAAAAGCTTCTAGACCATCATGTATAATTCAACTATTTGGTGAATACTTGCATCAGAAAATTTGAAATAAAAAAGTAGAAATATAACGCTTACAGTTTAATCATGTTGAATCTGATAATGCAAATTTCCAAAAAAGAAAAAAAGTTTTACTAGTAATCTATTTTTAGAATTACTACATTAGGGTTTTTAAAATTTGAATGACTTAGGCGTATAAAAGTTGTACCTAACTCAAAAAAAAATATTGCTTTAGTTTTGAGATCTAGGTACCAAGAGTGTGGTAATTCTTAATCTGAAATTATGGCTGGTTTGTTACTTTTCTAATCTTTTGTTCCTTTTTGTTTTGTTTTGGCTTTGTTTTGTTTATTTTGAATTTCCCCTTAATGTTTTTATCAAAATAAAAAATCCGAGCCGGTGCGCAAAATCTAAAAAAGCAAATTTGAATATTGAGAGTGAAAGAGTTGGTTCAGTGCTTACAATGTAGAGCTCATTACAGATGATAAATAAGTTTCAATACTTTTTAAATTATCTATAGATCAGTATTTTCATTGAATTATTAATTAAGCAAGAAATTAATCTTATGTTGTTTTTTTTTACTTGGATCTTCCTCTTCCTCTTCTTCTTCTTCTTTCTCATCTTTTTCTTTGATTGAACTTTCAGTTTCAATATTTGTAGATTGAATAATTGGTCTAATTGTCAGAGACGAGCTTGAAGTAGATTCATAAACTTGATTATCTGTTAATACTTGTTGACCACTTATCAGTTCACCAGAAATACTAGTATCACTTCGTTTTCGAGATTCATTTGATTTTGATTTTTGAGCACTCATTAATCTTCTCCATCTAAATTGACAACTATAATTAGTTCTATTACCATCAAAAAATGTAGCAATATGCAGCCAACCATATTTTTTTTCTTCTTTTAAATATCTTAATAATGAATCTTCCTCTGGTGTCCATGTAGTTGATCTTTTAGATCGTCTTTTTAATGGGATATTATCATGATGATATGGTAATGTTTCGATAGGGCTTTGAACATTTTGTTGAATTTGTAAAGCATGAGGTGAGAATTGATTTGGAGGAGAAGAATAATTATAATATTGTTGTTGTTGTTGTATATTTGATGGTTGTTGAAATTGTTGTTGAAATGTTGACGTATAAATAATTTGACTATGAATTTGATTTTGAGAAGACGATGATGACTGTTCTTGGATTGGTGGATATGGTTGAAATTGTTGATTGGGATCTAAATGTTGTGGATAAATTGGTTGAAGTGAATCTGAAGTGAAAGGTGGCGGTATTGCTTGTTGAACTAAAGGTTGTTGTTGTAAATATTGCGTGTGCTGCTGAGGTCGAAACTGAGGTTGTAGCTGAGGTTGTAATTGAGGTTGCAAAATTATTCGATTTGAAATATTACTTTGACTAAGATTCAGGTAGGATGATGATATATTCGGTATTTCATTTGACTCACTTGAGATGTTTCGATGATGTAGAACAGGGCTATTAATTTGATTTTGTCTAAGAAGTGAAGACGGACTTGGTAATCTAATTTTAGGTGTTTCATGTGATTCACCATGTGATTGAGAAGTTTGATGACCAATTGTTTGTAATTGTGATGTAGAAGAAGTTGGATTTGTTAAACTAAAGATTTGATTTGGTGATGGAAGATTTCTTGGTTCATTATCTATTGAATTACTACTGATTTGATTATGAATACCTTTTGAAAATTTTTCTTTATTTGAATTTGTCATTAAAAGTATGGTTGTCATATCAATTCAGATCTCGTTATCATGAAATGTGTAATATTGGAATATAATATTGAAAAATGAAGGAATTGGGAAAATGAATGAATTTGAGTGAGATTGAAAGACTTTCAATTAATAACAAATTTATAACTTGAATTGGGATTGAAACGATTGAATTGAATTTAACTGGTGATTTATAATGAAAAAATAATGATGAGTTTTGGATGGAAAAAAATTGTTAAGAATAAAAAATTTCTAAATTTAATTGATGTTTTAAATTTGGGGGTTGAAAAAAATGTTAAATATAAAAAATTTTGTAATTAAGCGATTGTAAAGTATTTGAGTAAAAATTGAATGAGTTGATAAAGGTCAATTGGAAAATTTATCATTAATCTTGATGCCATGAACTTCCATACAGCTATATATATAAGTACCAACTATTACTAATTTATATTAATTTTTAAAATTAAAAAAAAAAAATGGATATGTACAAAATTTGTACAAAACGGAAATTAAAAAATAATCGATTTTAACGCAAGTTACATACCTCTTTGTTCTTCAACCATTTAAATTAACTTAATTCATTCTACATAAATAGATAATCATTTTTCTACAATAATAGGGTAATAATACCCAGAAGTGAATCTTAAGTATAATAAGATTTTAGACCAATTAATATTGAAAATCAATTCGAAAATATAAATTATAAGAAAATTAAGTATCTTTTATCAAAACATTTAACCGCTCAGAATAAAATTTCATACTTTCTTTACTTCTTCCATTCCACACTGAAACTTTAATTAGCCAGGACTATTTTCGTTCTATTTTCGTACAATTGAGGTATAATTAGACGAGACGAAAAAGTGATTTGTTAGTGGAACAACTTCTTCACCTAGTCTATTTGAAATTTTTTTTTGAAATTCTAAATTTAGATTAATAGCCTACTGATTTTAATTCTTCTAATTTAACTTCATTTCTTCAATTGCATCTGAACCCTACCTACCTTTCTTTAAGGAGTTGTTACTGATATCAAATGCATCGATGTCATCGCAATTGAAACAATTTTAATTGTGCTATGCACTTTTTTTTATTACTTTGAGTCAATATTTAACCTTATACTTTTTTTTCTTTTAGCTTTTGAGTTTTACTCTTGAATATATAACTTTAATTCCCAGTTAATCGAGTAACAAACTTTATTTTCAATTTCATGTATATATAATGTGGAGCCGTTCCCACTAATTAGAGAGTAAGTGAAATTTTTCAATTTCAAACTTCTACCTTTGCTCGTAAGTCTTCACTTTTTAATTTCAAACGTATTATTCTTTTGCTTGGTTCCTTACATATATTTATGACCTTGTCAGGAGTAACTCATCGAATGAAGTAACACACCATTTAATTCTTTTTAAAGTTTAGATCTCTTTTTGTTCTCCTTTTGATTTGAGAAATGTTAAGATTTCGACATTTGTCCGTGAAAGTTTCATCTTCGAAATGCCTCGTAATGACTAGTGAGCAAATTTTAATGTACTTAATCAAGAAATTTAGAGTTAATATCTTTTTTTTTGGAACACTAAAATAACTAGACGATGCTTCGAATACTTTGACGAGGCAAACAAAGATGTATTATTGGGATCAATGATATCAGAATTAAAGGAGTGGCTAAGCAGGTCCTTTCAATTAATTTATGCATCATCACCTGCATTTCTATTAATATCTGTTTCTGAGACGATGAACGTTATCATTATGATTTTTATTATATATGCAGAGTGAATTCAAACTTCCTTCAATTACTCGTGAAACTAACTTATTTAATGAAATGCACTTTGGTTTATTCTCCTTTACCCAAACTATCGGCAGACCTTGCTTTGAACCCTTTATTCACAATCTTTCGAATAGTCTACCCTTTTTTACAAAATTCATGTTTGTGAAGAAAAAGGTAAAAATAATATTTTGATTTTGTGTGTAGAATATTTTTTATTCATTTTTCGGGTTCTACATGTTAGGGGACTCCAAGATGGGTGGAATATTAAATTTTTTTTACTTTAGGGATAAACATATGTAAAATAATTATTCCTTTTGAAAATCTCATTACATATGTTAAATGTATTCTAGGTTTGCTCATACGCTAGCTTGGTGATGATTTATAGAGATAACCGCAAAGCTTGTAATATCCGCGACCATCCCAAATGAATTGGGAAAGATGGTCTTTTAAAACGTCATAAACAAAATTTTGAAGTTGACGTTGGTTTGAAGAAAAGTTCAGATCTGAGTACATGCTAATTGTCTGAATGTAATTTGTATGAGCATAATATTTGTGAGAATGCTAAAGCAATATTAATAGTATGTCTTAAATATTCTTCATCTTGATCATTAATCCTGAAAATTTAAGTTGTGGGATAACACCTTTTCGGATAGGAGAGAGTTCGAATAATATTTAGGATATATACTTAAGAGATTTGCTACAATATTTAAAATTTATGCTTAAAATGACATGTATTCATTACTATTTACGCACCACTTGATCCAAATTTATCAGCCCAATCTTCATACTGCTGCAACCCTTCTTTAGAAACACTTGGTCTAATATATTTTAAACTATTTTCAAAATCTTCTAAACTTATTGGTCTTATTTGATCTGTTGGAGTCAGTAATAATTTATCACCCAACGATCTTAAAGGACCCATTGCTGAATCTTTTGCTAATGCAGTCATATCACTACCACTAAATCCTTCAGTTAATTTAATTAAATTTTCATAATCTTCATTTGATAAAGTATGTTTTTGATATTTTAATAATTTTATAATTTGTGATTTTCTTGCTTCATCTTCAGGTAATGGAATATATTGTCTTCTTACAAATCTTCTTCTTGCTGCTTCATCAATTGACCATGGTAAATTTGTAGCTCCTAATATTAATACTCTTGAAACATCTTCATTTGATTCTCTACCTGCGGCAGCACTTGATAATTCAGACCATTGAATTAAAAATTCATTTTTAATACGTCTTGTACTTTCAACTTCTCCTTCAGTTCTTGAACTTAATAAAGAATCAATTTCATCCATAAAAACAATTGATGGAGCTAATTTTTTAGCTAATAAAAATAATGCTTTTACTAATTTTTCAGATTCTCCTAAATATTTTGAAGTTAATGATGATGAACTAATACTGAAAAAAGTAGATTGTGATTCTGTTGCAACTGCTCTTGCTAACATTGTTTTACCAGTTCCTGGAGGTCCAAATAAAAGCATTCCTCTTGTTGGTTCTCTTAATCCTTTAAATAAATCAGGTCTTAAAAATGGATAAACAACTGCTTCTTTTAATGAATTTTTTGCATTTTCTAATCCAACTATATCATCCCAATATACTTCATCACCATGAACAACAACATCATTTAAAATATTTTTTGCTGCTTGTGGATCTATCCCTCGAATAGATGCTATAAGTTTATCTTGTTGTTTAGGATCAGTTAATGAAGCTGTTATTGTTGGTTCAGTTAATGGTTCATCATTCCCATTTGTTGCATCATCATATCCACTCAACAAATCATCCATAGTTGGTGAATTCATATTTTCTTCTACTTCTTGTTTTTTAACAACATTTTTCTTTATATGACCATTACCATTAGTAGTAGTATTTGTGTTTAATGGTTTTGATTTCACTAAAACCTTTTTTGATGGATTTGTTGATTTTACATAATTATATGTAATATTTGATTTTGGTTTTGTTTTATTTGTTTGCAGTTGTTGCATTAATTTTTGTAAATTTAATGGTTTTGGTTTATTATAAATATATGGTTGTTTAGTTTTAGTTCTTACATCAGATGTACTTTTTGATATATGTTCAATTGATGGAACATTTAATCCATTTTTTGGTTTTGTTGTTCTTGGTGGACTTTCAGAAACAGGTTTAATAGTTAAATCATCCATTGATCTCGAAAGACTATTTGAATCAGGATTAATTGTTTCTTTTTCTCGTATCAAGTCTATATCTTCATCGATATCTATTAAATTTGCATTTGAAGAAGTTTCAGATAAACCGGAGGATGATCTTGAATCATATTTTTCCCAATTATTATTTGTAGATGTATTATTTGTTGTATAAGTATCTTGATCAAAATCTGCAAAATAACTAGTTACATCAACTTTTGGTGGAGTTGAAACTTCAAATTTTTTAATTGATGGTTTAACCCATGATTTAGATGCAGCTTGAGATGCTTGTTGTACTGAAGTTGGTTTTAAATTAGTAGTTGTTGGTGAAGCTTTTGGAGTTGATTGACCATTTGAATGAGGTCGTAATGATTTCATCATTGATCTTTGATTAGATATATGAGAATTTGAAGAATTCTGTGGCAGACTTATTCTTAATGAGGGAATAGTTTTCTCTCTTACTGCTCTTGGTGGTGGCGAAGGTGGTGCTTGATTATATCCCTCTTTTTCCCTTTTCAATCTTCGATTTTTTTCATCTAATCTTAATTGAACTCTTATTAAATGTTTTACATTTTCATCTCTTATTCCCTTTAATTCATTAAGTAAAGTTTTTTCTTCAGAATCTAATTTTGTTGTACATTTTTCAAAAAGATCCAATTTATATAATAAAGTTGTATGTAGACTTTTCCAACCTTTTAATGCATCATCAACATTATTATCTTCTTCTAAAGTTAGATTTTTAATAGTTTCATTACAACAATCATTATAAGTTTGTTGAAGTTCTTCTACTGTGATTTGTGGTGGTCTTTTTCTAAACATATAAGTATTTAATATTTGTTGAATTATTAAAAGAAATTGCTATTATAAAAATGAATTGAAATTACGATTTACTTGAAATATTTTGAATATTTGTGATTTACCTTCAAATTATTGTTAGACTGAATTGATTAGAATTAAAAAGTAGTACAATTTAATAAATATGAAGTAGCGATTGGGTATCCTGATGTCAATATAAAAATAAAAAAGTTGGTGAACTTTATAAATATGGTTAAGAAATATTCAATTATTTTTTCCATGTTTTATTTTATCAATCTTTAATTTAATCTTTATCTAAAGGAATTCATTTAAATAAATTTCAATACTACAAAAATGAAGAGTGTAATACAATTGACTACAAAGATCCAGTTCATGTTCTTCCGAGATCTCAACTGACAGTGAAGGCGAATATTTGAATCAATCGTTAGATCTATATTGAGGATCTATAAATTTAGGGATATCATGGCAATTGAAGGGTCTTACGGACCAATACTTTTGTATAAAGTTAAGAGTACCTTGCAAACTAATTTTCAATTGACATGAAACACTGCCAACTATGTCAATAATGTTCTCTTATCACTGACTTAGCCTTATGTCATTCAGTATTATATGAAAAGTCAACGCATGGAAAAACTCCACAGCCGCATGATCTACGAAAACGGAAGTTTAATTACATATTATATTATTTTCTTAAAAATAATAACCATCTTACATCATTTCCTGAGCTTACCAACCTAATCATAGTCAATTTAATTCATATTTTATTGCTCAAACTCGAAATGAATTGCACTGACCATAACCTGAATAATAAAAGAAATCAATGTCTAAAACATGTTAACAATTTATTCCAAGGCTTTTGCAAAAAACTCCAATGATTCTGCACCAGATTGTTCTCGTGGATTCAACAGTGATTCCTTCAACTCTTCAGATTATGTAAAAACAACTCATATAACAAAACAGAACAAAATGAAAAGAAACTTAAATCCAAAACTCAGTAATTCAAAAAAAATGTAGTGATATAACGGGATACGTTAAAGTTTCAAACCTTTAAAAACATATTCTTTTTAACCACTTCAATGATCTGTCCGAACAATTTATCAACAATAATTCAACAATATTAAATACAAACAAACGTTCAAACTAGATTTCTTAACGAATTAAATATCTTTCCCTAACTTAATAGGCGAAAAAAAAAAACAAATTCATAATCAAAATCTATCACTTTTCGAGAATATAACTCACAAGAGTTAATATTCCCTGTTTGATTTAATATCATAACTGTAAAAATTGCCAAATTTCAAAATTCGGAGGTCAACTTTCTGAAGAAGAAAAAGAAGAAAAAGGTGGAAATTTAAAAAGTTTTTTTCAATTTTACATTTTGTAATGATGATTGATTAAGGTAGTGGCTACCATATGCTGGGTGATTTTATATCACCAGGTAAAAATCAGATAAACTTGAATCTACTGTATGATTTTATTCAACATTTCTTCATTTGAGGATTTCAACTAGCTGGTTATATTATCTATTTGGGAGTGAAAATTATTTGTGTTGTTTGTAGAGATTATTTGTGTCTAATCTAGAAATATTTTTAATGTGCTTGAGAATTGTATGGTGAATGTATTGTTTGGGTAAGTTTGACAAAAAATGTTTTGTATTAGATCTTGATCACTAATAATTTTATAATGTTCAAATTCGGGTGTTTGAGTCACCAACGAATTCGATCAAGAATAAAATTTTTGTTCCAACAGTCTAACTAATAAGAATTGATAGAAAATTTAACTTATCGATAGATAAGGTAATTGATAAATTGAAGCTTCTATCAATTCTTAAAGACCAATATCCTGTTTGAACTTTTGTACACCTTGGTATAAGATATCGAAAACGATAAGCTCACCGTATTAAAACATCTATTGATAAATCAATACATGGAAGCATTAGTTTGCACCAAAGTTAGCTGGTCTTTTGTAGAAAAATATTGCTTCCATCTATTTGTTTATTTGTAAATGTCCTAATCATTATCGTTTCCAATACCACCGAAAGTAAAATCTGATCCTGTCCATTATGTCATCAAAATTTGCCAGGTGGTCAATACTTCAAACACATTATGACTCGTTGCTGGGATAAATTTAAGACTGGTGAACGATAGCAAAGCAAATATTAACTTTGACATCATAATTCACAATTTTAAATAATATTTTGAGTGGAGTATATTAATGTGGAAAAACCATTGATCAGCTGGCAGCTTTTGATTGTAATTTTAGACTTTATTCTTAATTAAGTTAAAAAAAATGCCCTAAATTTATCACTAAATATTCACTCCCTTCGAATATGACTTTTTGTCTAATCCATAATTGTAGAAATTTATTCCATTGTTTCAAATAATTTCTAGTATGTAACTCCTTTTACTAGCCCCTGTCAAGAAAACTTTTTCTACCTTGTAAATTGACTGAATTAGAAAATTAGGTGGCAAACTTTTGTTTTGTCTTTGAAGCCTGGCAAACTGTCGATATTTCTCTGAAATAATCATGTGTGCAATCTTATTTTATTATCTGCTTCGTTCATTCTTCAAATTACTTGACCTATTCTTCTGTATGCTTCGACCAACGTGTTGAACCATGGTATAGAATGATTTTTGTCTAGTAGAATACATTTAACAAATTTTGAAATTTTTATTTTTCATATTGACAACACGTCAAATAAAAAAATTAAGAATGGAAAATATTTAGAATATACAATTTACATTTCCATTCTTATTTTCACTTCTTTACAATCTTCAACTTAACAACTAACTCATTCATTCATTCAATCTCGCATTCAAATTCACACTCAATCTCACTCTCAATACCTCACTTAAACTCAAAAACATACACACCCTCACACTAAATAACACATCCAACTAACTAACTCAAATAATTAATTCAAAATGGATATTAAAGATATACTAATATTTATAGGAACATATTTAATAGCAATATTACAATTTACATTATCAAATACAATAACCTTAATAATAAAATCACATCAAAATTATCCAGATTTGACAAATTTTATTTTCTTTTTGGTGGGGTTGTATTTATTTTATAAATTTTTAATAAAATCTATAAAAACATGGTATAATTTTTTAAAAACAACTATAAAGTTGTTGATTGTTGTGTTTTTCATTTTTTTAGTATTTATTATTTATTTACGTGGTTGGGATCAATTCAAGAATAATGATATACCATTTATTAAAAATTTAAGTTCATTAATATATAATTTTGGAAAAAAATTTAGTTCAACTACCACCAACAACGAATCAAAAGATGATAATTTTTCAATTTTTAAAAATTTAGGAAATTTAGGATCTTTTATAAATCAACTTACTCAGAAAAATGTAAAACATGAAACATTTGATGAATCATTAGATGATTCTCAAGCTTATTTAAATTATATAAGAAATAAATTTGGTGATGATTCTGATTCAAGTTCTTCTTATGGCACCAAAAACACTAAAGAAAATTTAAATTATGAAAAATTAGTTGATGAAGGTTTAAATTATTTAAAAGATAATGTTAATATAAATGATGTTGCTAATAATTTACAAGATATTTTAAATAGATTTCAATAGAATAGTATTAAATAGATTTGACAATTTAATGTATATATATATTTGTTTTTATGATTATGGATGAAGTAGTGAATTCAAGTAGGTTTTAAAATCATCGAAGTGGTATTTCCTGACTAACTAGTTTTACATTTACATCTTCATTTACGCAAAGTATCAATTGTTCCAAGAACTCTCTCTCTCTCTCGACCCCTTCGATCAGTCTAGTTCTTCAATTTAATTTGTCATGAAAAGTGAGTAATGAAATAGTCCAATGCTAGTGGTTGAACTGTTTGAAGAAAAATGTGGTTTATTCTTATCTTATCGTAATTACGTAGACAAACGAAAAATTGTACGCAAGCGAAATTTCAATTTTAAATTCCGTTTCTGATTACTAACCAAAGGATCTAGTTCTAAATATCATCAATACAACTCATTCTAATCCAATTGATAAAAAATACCGATACAGAAAAACCTTAATTCATCCAAAATTCAATAACAAGAAACAAAGAAGATTATGAAAGTTGCAATAGGACAATTATGTTCATCATCAAATATTTCAAAAAATTTAAAAACAGTTTTAAAAATTATTGAAAATGTAATAGCAACTAAAGATGTTAAAATTTTATTTTTACCAGAAGCAACAGATTATATATCATCTTCAGCTTCACATTCAATTGAATTATCAAAAAATGTAGAAAATTTATTTTTAAATCCTTTGTTATCATATATAAAAAATTTAAATAAAAATCAAAGTGTTAAATTACCTTATATATCAATTGGAATTCATTTACCATCAACAACCACCACCAAAACAGAAAAAGTAAGAAATTTAAATTTATTAATTGACCCCAATGGAGAAATAATATCAAAATATCAAAAATTACATTTATTTGATGTTGATATACCACAAGGTCCAATATTAAAAGAATCAAATTCAGTAGAAAAAGGTAATGAAATCGTGGATCCAATATCTATTGAAAATACTCCTGCAATTCTTGGATTAGCTATATGTTATGATATAAGATTTCCAGAACTTGCTCTAAAGTTACGAAAAAAGGGAGCTAACATAATTATTTTCCCAAGTGCTTTCACTGTTAAAACTGGTGAAGCACATTGGGAAATATTAAGTAAATCAAGAGCTATAGATACTCAAAGTTTTATAATAAATGCAGCACAATGTGGGAAACATAATGTTGGATCAACTAATGAAGGTTCAAATAATGGTTCAACAAGAATAAGTTATGGAGATTCTTTAATTATTGATCCATGGGGTAAAATTTTAAATCGTTGTAAAAAATTTAATGAATTAACTAATGAACAGAAGGAAAATTCTGATGAATATTATGAAATTGTAACTGCTGATTTAGATTTTAATGAATTAGACAAAATTAGAATTAATATGCCGTTGATTGATCATAGAAGAAATGATATATTTGGTGAATTATAGAAAAGTTTATAGACTACATTAGAAAGTAATGTTACATAAGATTGATTGAGATATACTTCCTTTTTTTAAAAAATATAGTCTCACATCTGTATTTTAAAACATGATTAATTAGTTCCAGTTACGTTTGGAAAACCGACATCTTCTTAAACTTCTTAATGTAGGATTTTCAAGCGTTACTAGAACTAATAAATCATGTATTAAAATAAATTCCATTAATACTCCGCAATTTATTTAAAAAGTTTTATTCTGAAACGTTTTGTTTTTGTATTTCAAATGGTAAATTGGTTGTAAAAAGATAAGAAGATACTAAACTTTTTGAAAATGAGGAGTTAAAATATATTTTGATTGATCCCTTTAACTTGAGGTAAGTAAGACTTCTTCTCTTAATTAATCTGATCTAAAATGATTGTAGAAAGTGTAGAAAAGTTTCAGATTTTGAAGTAGATTTGATTTGTGGATGTGAAACAAATCGAAAGGATTTACTTGTGAATCAACAGTTGATGAAAATAATTCTATTCATTGAGGATATTATTTGTCATGTTTGATTGTAAGACATTGATTCTGGACATTTCATACATAAAACAAATAAAATAAATATTGCCATAATGGATGAACGGAAAAAATTAAACTTTAATATAAAATATTATATTGAATGTAAATCCATTAAACCGAAGTAGCAAAAATAAAATAACTTTAATGTCACAATCTCCTTGAAATTTTCAAAAAGGTACAACGGAGTAATATGATGTAATTTTCAACAAGATGTAAAATAAGAAGGATAAATGGAGAATTGAATTGATTGAATCAAGTGTAAAAAATGTTATGATATTTAAAATATACTATAAACAATAATAGTAATCACCACCAATAGTAAGTAGTAAAAGTTGAATTAAAAGTTATACAAAAAAAATTGTAATTGAAACGTAACATCATCATCATTTAAAGGATATTCCTAAGTAAAGAAATTTTCCTTCTTCTTTAAGCATTGGAAACATAAGCTGCGTAATTGTTCTTTTAACTAGCTCTAATCTAAGCTCTATTAACTGGACCAGCAGTAAAAATATCTTCAGAAGAATTAATAGTTGGTTCAAATATTTCATTATCTTCTGAAGAACTATTGGAGGTGGTTGTATTTGAATTATTTGAAGTATTAAAAACATCATCATTTGAAACTAATGAAGTAGAATCATTTAAATTATTATAATTTATACATCTTATTTTTGATGAATAAAATTGTTTTGATAAAATTATATGATTATTTGATGTAAGTGGTGATGATGATGATTTTGTTGATATATTTGATATTGATATGTGGTTATGATTTATTAAATTTTTTGTTGATGATGATTTGTTTAAAGTTTGCTTTATTGGTATCCAATGTCTTGAAGCAGTTTTTAAATTTGATATATTAAGTATTCTTTGAGTAACCATCTTTTATATTGTGTGTTTGTTTAATTGGAATATATATGAGATTCTAATAGTTTGAAAGTATAAGTAATTGTTGTAAATAAGTTTGTTGTTGTTGATGAAAATTGAATCAAAATAAATTGGGAATTTAATGATTAATTTATATTTTTAAAATTTCATATTGAAAAGAGAGATCTACATAATAGATATAAAATTATCCCCAGATTTTTCTATTAGTCACTTTTTTCTACTACTTAATCATCATGCTAATCATCTTGCTTTTGTGTAACAAATCAAAATAAGGACAAACGGCCGGTATAATGGAAAAATAAATTTTAACATATGAAAAAATTAAAGCTCGGTTTTAACATACATACAAAATACATACTAACAAATTTATACAATACAATAACCTGAACAATAAGCGTACCAATTAACCTTAAATTTATCTCCTTATTTTAATAGTTAATTGGTATTCCAATTGTTTTTTCTATCTCATGGTTTGTACATTGGAAATCCACAGATACAAAGAGATAGGGAGAAAAGGAGATAAAGGAGGCAAAGGTTATAGAAATAGTATGAATGAACCTGACATTTATAATCAAGGGATAAAACGTGGTTTCGTTAAACCCATATATTACATATTTTCCCTTATCTCTCTCACTGCATAAAAAATTTTATTGTAATTCGTTTGTAAGGCTGATTTTGATTTCTGATCTTTGAAAATCTCCGAACAGCAAAAATTAAAAAAATATTTTTTTCCATTATGACGTTTTCCTTTATCAATAGAATTCTACATATTAATTTTTTTTCACCCTAAATTTCAATTATCCTCGTCTTAAATTTTTTAATAAAACGGAGATTTAATTCCATAAGTACGTAGTAGTAAGAAACAATCCATATTATTGCGGTACAACTTAATTTAAGATATTATCCTTTGATTTAGAACGTATAACCAGAGCCATACTTACTTTTTTATTGTTTAATTTCTTTGTCTATTCTATTCTATTATCATTGGACTGAAAAATTAATTTTGAAAATTTCATACAAACTTCCGTACGATAATTACAATAAAAAAATATTTAGTCTGATGATTTAATTCAATATTCCGACCTAATCAAAATATTTTTTCTCTAATTTGCTTTTTCACCGTTTGACCTAAAATTTTTTAATTATTTAGAACAAAGATCCTATTGTTTTATGCTCTTTATTATGAACATTGTATCTTTATCTTCCTTAAGTCCAATTTTTCTAGTTTTTCTAAAACTCATTTTCTGAATTTTTCATAGTTGATTTCGGTATTTAATTTCCATCATCTATTTTCTTTTGTTCATGAAATTAGTTTTTCATTGTATTATTGTAAATGGTATATGAAATATCCAAGGATAAGAACTTAACAAACCTCTGATAATTAATCAATTTTTACTTTCTTATTTCTTTCATTCACTTAGTTCTTATTCTTTCAACTTTGGTAACTCCTCTTCAGTTTTTTTAATTTGACGACTCGAAGGAATTGTTTTTTTAATTTGAGTTGAAAGAGAACATGAAATATCTTTTGGAATGAATTTTGCTGCAAAAAACTTCAAAATTTTGAAAAAGTATGCCTCTCGTAGACCAACTTCACATGTTTGAAAATTTGTAATAAATCTCTGACAAGATGGCTCCTATTGTTGTTCAAACTATAAATTACATGTATTATCTAAATTTAAATAAGAATATGGAATGCTAGGTTATAATGGTTCTAATAACCTATATTGTTTTCACTCATATTGTTTTTCAATATTGTTATAAAGTTTTAAATTCATTTCTCTAAATATTACTTTAAAGCAATATCCACCTTTTTTTTAAAAAACAGTCATCAATTGGTTTCATTTAGTCACAACATCAATATTCATCATTCAAATCTCAATTCAATCACTTTTGTGTCTTCACTTTGAGTTAGAGTCATATGTTTCAATTGAAAGTGTTGCAAAAATGATTTTTAACTGTAACTACCCCAGGTAGTGTAATTACACTCAAAAATATATATTTAATTTTTGTTCAATCTTTTCAAATCTTAAGAGACATTGACTCGAATAATACAATAACTATATACTAATACCAAACAATCATACTATCAATCAACCTTTTTTAAACTCACTTACCAACATTTACTTTCCTTAAATACCAATACAAAAACAATAGAACCATTACATATTACACTGTGTAATTGAGAGATACAAAAAAATAAAAACTACCTCGGCAAATAATTTTCAATCATTCATTTATTAATAGATCAAAATAATTCTTCTAATCATACCGTGAAAAAATAATGGGTACTGGATGGGAATTAACTTCAAAATTAAAAGATCAAATATTCAAATATGCATCATATAATCAAACACCTGTATCATTAAGACAAATGGTACAATTTGGACCATCACCATCACCTGGATCAATATTTTTAGCATCAAAATTTATAGTTGAAGAATTACCAATAAGATTAGCTAAAAAAGTAAAAGATTTAGAATTTGCTCCTTTAGGTTTAAATGAAAGTCCTTCTACTATAAAAGTTAAAAATTGGTATGCTCAATCTTTTCAAGAATTAACTGAATTAAAAAAGCCAATAATTGATGAAAATTTAAAAAAATTACTATATAATAGTAATGGTAATAACAATAATAACAACGATTCTAATGAAAATTCAACTACAATACAGAATCTAGAAGATCAACCACATATAAAAGAAGAAATACATAAAATATCAGATCTGTTAGATGATAATCCTGCAATAAATAATATTTTTTCAGATGATGGAATAGTTGTTCGACATCATCATCATCATCACCACCAAAACCCAAATCAGAACCATTCAATAGGTAGAACAAGATTCTCAAAAACAAATGCAAATGATAATACAACAATACGAACAGAATCTCCAACTTATGGAATGACATATTTTCAACCATGTCCATTAAATATAATATGGCCTAAAGAAGTTTATGAATATAATAAATTAGTATGTGAAGCATTAGAAAAAATTAAAAAAAGACATGATGCAACTGTAGCAACAATGGCTCAAGGAGTTCAAGAATGGAAAATTAAAAATAAAACAGTATTAGTAAATTCTCAAATTCAAACTTTTTTAGATAGATTTTATATGTCAAGAATTGGTATTAGAATGTTAATTGGTCAACATATTGCCCTTAATATGACAACAAATTCTCCAACAAAACAAAGAATTTCTACAATAATAAATGGTTCACAATTACCAAAAACTCCTCGATCAAATTATGTTGGAGTTATATGTACTGATTGTAATGTTGGAGAAATAGCAGAAGATGCAATAGAAACAGCAAAATATATATGTGAAGAATATTATGGATTATTTGAAGCTCCAAAAATTCAATTAATTGCACCAAATCAAGATATAAATTTTATGTATGTACCAGGACATTTAATTCATATGTTATTTGAAACTTTAAAAAATTCATTAAGAGCAACTATAGAATTTAATACTCCCAAATTAAAAGAAAAATATTTAAAAGATCATCCCGAAGCAAAATATGAAGAAATTGATTTAAATGATTTAGAATTTCCTCCCATTAAAGTTATAATATCAGAAGGTACAGAAGATATAGCTATAAAAATTTCAGATGAAGGTGGTGGTATACCAAGAAGTTCATTACCATTAATTTGGACTTATTTATATACAACAGTAAATGAAACTCCTATTTTAGAACCAGAATATAATCAATCAAGTTTTAAAGCTCCAATGGCAGGATTTGGTTATGGTTTACCAATAAGTAGATTATATGCTCAATATTTTGGAGGAGATTTAAAATTAATTTCAATGGAAAGTTATGGTACTGATGTTTATTTACATTTAAATAGATTAAGTAGTTCAAATGAACCACTACCTTGACTATTTAAATTAAAAGGTTGTAAATTAAGTTATTTTGTCATTGTTTTTATGGGATATACTGGTATTATTGGTTATATTGTTTGGTATAGTTTATAAAAAGAATAGAGGTATAAAGTGAAAGAATAAAAATTTTGAATTAGATAGTTTACTTTAAGTTTGTAGTTGTATCTACAAAGATAATTTATAATAAAAAATTTTAAATGCCGAGGGGGAAACCTTTTGGTGCTTTGTCGTGTCACAAATATTGAATTACGTAGAAAATTGTAGATGCGACACTGTTACACCCTCTTTCCATCAGGTCTTACCAAATTAAGCAAAGAGAAAAAAAAGAAATCATATCGATCGATTAATTAATCATCTCTTTCATCATCAAATTTCGCCCTTGAGTTTAATTATTAGATTGAGAGAAAGATAAATCAACAAGGGTTTTCATATCATCACAAGTTAAGTCTTACACAAGTTAGAAATCAGACTCAAAAATAGACTTCATTTGAGACTTTAAAGCTTTTTAGAAGGGAAAGAAAAATTCTTAATTCTCCCCACCTTATTTAATTAAACAACAATAACAACCTAAGAATATACACATACATCACAACAAGTAACCCAACAAATCAATCAAAATAACAAATACAAATATGTCTACTTCACAACCTAGAACGAAACCTTGGGAAGTATCACAAGGTACATCAGCAGCTTCAACACAATCTCAATCTCAACCCACAACAACCACCACCACAAACACATCAACTAATCCAAGTATACCTGATAGACCTACTTCATTAACATCTGATTTTAATAATATGGCTGAAACTTCACCTTATGGAAATAATACAACAACAAATAATGCATATGGTACATCATCAACTTATGGTAATAGATATGGTTCATCTGGTTATGGATCATCAATGTATGGTAGTGGATATGGAAGTGGGATGTATGGAGGATATGGAAGTGGATATGGTTCATCAATGTATGGAGGATATGGATCATCAATGTATGGTAATTCAATGTATGGATCAGGAATGTATGGAAATTCAATGTATGGATCAGGAATGTATGGTAATCAAAATGGAATGATGCAAAATGGATTCGGGGAGGGAACACAAGCTACATTTCATTTAATTGAAAGTATAATTGGAGCAGTTGGAGGATTTGCACAAATGTTAGAAGCTACATATATGGCTACACATTCAAGTTTTTTTACAATGATTAATTTAGCAGAACAATTTGGAAATTTAAAAAATGCATTGGGTAGTCTTTTAGGAATATTTGCATTAATTAAATTTTTAAAAAAGATATTTTGGAAAATTACTGGACAATCTTTTAATAATGGATTAAATTTAAATGAATTTAATAAATTTGAAAAAAATCAAAAAAAATTAGAAGATAAATTTAAAAAATCATCAAACTCACCAAGTGGTGGTTCAAAAAAACCAAGAATTTCATTTAAACCATTAATTTTATTTTTAGCTGCATCTATTGGATTTCCTTATTTATTAAGTAAAGCAATTCAATATTTAAATGAACAAAATAAAAGAAAACAAATGGAATTACAACAACAACAACAACAATTCCAAAATCCAAATGGTTTGGTATCACCTTTTGATCCAACAAATTTACAATTTGCAAAAGCTATATATGAATTTAATCCAGAAAATCCATCAATTGAATTGGAATTAAAACCAAATGAATTAGTTGCAATATTATCTAAATTAGATCCCTTGGGTAATGAATCAAAATGGTGGAAAGTAAGATCAAGATCAGGTAAAATGGGTTATGTACCATCAAATTATTTATCTGTTATTGAAAGAAAATCTCAGCAGAAACCTGCATTAACATCATCACAATCACAACCATCACTACTGCCTGCTGTAAAACAAGTTGAAAGTGCTCCTATAATACCACAAACTAATGAATTACTGGATATAAAACCAGATCAATTATTACAAGAATTTAAAAATATGACTTAATAATATATAATTTTAAATTATTATTTACTATAGAGACAACTGTAAAGATCGTATTTTACTCTTAAAATCGTGAAATCATTTATGCATTCATTCTATATTCATTCTATATTCATTACTATTTAATTCATTTCTGGATTCGAGTGAGACGGTTCCATTAATGTTCTCATCCATATTCTCATCTACAATCTCATTCTTATTCTCATTATTGTTCTCTTTACTATCTTCTTTAATGTTTTCATCAATAATCATTTCATCACTAATCAATGAATTTAAATTAGGTAAAGTATTCAATAAATTAAATTCATTAATTAAAAAATCTCTATATTTTAAAAATTTTTTAATACTTGCTTTTCCCAACTTCAAACTTTCATTTTCAAATTTATTTATTTCAATTTGAAAACTTGACCAATTTCTAACAAATGGTAATAAATCTAATATTAAGGTTTGTGGTGGTATATTATATAAAAATGAATTTTCAGGTATACCTTGTTGATATTGTTGTTGATGCTGATTAATTTCAAAACTATTATTTGATTCAATACTACTTGATCTTGTTGCTCTTGAATTATCAATTTGATAAAATAATTTTGAAAATTTTTTTAACCTTGATCCTATAAAATTTTGACAATCATACATTAAATCATTTATTTTAAATTTTAAAATTGGTTGATTTGATAAATTTGTTGTAATTAGCGGTTTCAATTCTTTACCACAATTAAATTCAAATGGTAATGTTTTAAAATTATTTAAATCATCAATGTAGTATAAATCAATAAATTCATTTTTTTGAAATTTAAAAGGTATTTGAGTTTTAGAATTACTGGAAATTACATCACTTGCTGAATTAAGATCAAATTGTTGAGCTTGAAATAATAAATCATCATTTCCTTTATCAACTTCATCATCTTTTATCTTTTCAATTTTAATAATTTGTTGTTGTAAATTTTGTACTTTACATAACATTTCACATTGATTTAAACATCCTTTCAAATTATAATTATTACCATTCCAATTATTATCAATAATTTCATTAATTATATTATCATCAACATTATAATTTTCATTTAAACAACATAACCATAAATAATCAGAAATTAATTTTTTAGAAACTAGGTAATCATCAATAAAAATTATTGAATTATCATCTTGAGCAAATTCAATTAAATTTTTTGGAATATTCCAAATTTCTTCACAAGTTATAATAATTGGTCTCTTGGAAACATTTATAATATCTTGTACAACTTGCCAAAAAGTTTTATCTTGTTCAAATAATATATTTACATCTTCAAATAATATTAATCCCTTTTGAAATTCTTTTGTATCATTAACTAATTGAGTTGTACATAATTCTTTTAAAATATTATAAATATCTTTTCTACTTCTTGATATACCTGTATTAATTTCATGAACATATCCATTTAATTCTTTCATTGCTGTATAAACAGATGTTGATTTTCCTGAACCACATGAACCTTGTAAAATTAAAAATGGCAGATATATTTCTTCTTCTGTTTCATCATCATCAATTAAAAAATTATCAATTTTTCTTTTTTTCAATTTTTGTTTTAAATCTTTTACTGGTGCTTGATTTTTTAATTTTAAAAATGAATTTTCTATCCAATTTTTTATTTGTTTTATATTATGTTTATGCATTATTAAATTTGACATTTGTTCAGGTTGATATTTATTAACCCAAGGTTGTAAATTTTGTGATGCATTTGTAGGTTGATTTAATTTTTCAAATATAGTTTGTAATTGTTTTGCTTTATGAAGGTTGGATATTTTATTTAATGCTAATTCTGATTTGTTTATATTTGTATATGTATAAGTGTAATGCAGTTTTGATTTTGGTATATTCAATGGTGGTACAAGTCCAGATATATCTTCTGGATCTTGTACATGCAATTTTTTTTGTAGTGCTGGTAATGTCAGCGTTGGTAAATATGAAATAATTTCGTCCGTAACATGAAATTGACTTTTTGAAATACTTGGTAATTCCATTTCTTTAATCTGTTTAGTAGTTAATGATTTATTGTTTTTACTGGCAGTCATCATCGATGCAAAAACTGATTTATAAGATGTCCCATTCACATTATTTCCTTTGGTACGTAATGGATTTTCTTTAAATTTTGCTAGATACTTTGGTTCTAATTTGATTGTTACCATGTGAACGAGTTTTAATTGTTTAATTTCAGATTGTTGTTTGATTTCTGTCTCTTTTGGTTTAAAGTTACTAAAAATATCTCTTGCTGATGTTCTTTTTGCATTTTCAAACATTTTAAATTCATTATGATCAATAGTATTCTTTAATGGTAATTGTTGAGCTCGTCGTATATTCCGAAGCTTTTCTGGTGATATTTGAAGTGTAATAAATGAACTAAATTCCTTTTTGCTTTTATATGATGAAAAAAAACTAGTTATACTAGTTGATTTAATTTTTGAATATATCTTCTTTTCTAATTCTTCCAATGTTTCAGGTTCAGGTATTTCTTCTTCTACTTCTACTTCAACTACTTTTCGTTTTTTATTCCTATTTCCATTCAATATCGATAATAATCGATGAGGTTCTTTTGGTATTATCTCTTCTTCTGATACAATACTAGACATATGTAAATTAGATTCTTCTCGAGGTGGAGTAGCATCAATATCTGTTATATCACTACTTTCAAGTGTATGCAAATATGTGTCTTCCTCTCCTTCTCCTTCTCCATCTGTAACACTAACTTGTTTATTTCCAACATCTTCCAGTCCATATAATTCCATGTATTGTTTTGTTCTTGTAGGTAGTTATTAAAGGAAGAAGTGTTGCAAACTATAACACATTTTTAAAACATTGATAAATAATTTCGGTTTTTTTTCTACTGAAACAAACGCGTCTTAAATTTTGCAAAATCTAACTCAACCAAGAACCATGACAACTTTGGACAGACCAACCCCAAATTTCTCGAGTAAATCTGCTACATTTTTGTTCAAATACAATAACTAATTGATCGCTTGGGAGTTGTTCGCATCAAATGGTTGGTGAATGAAAGCTTATATTCAACAATATATATTTGGTAGCGTACATTACGGAGTATGAAAAAAGAGGAAACCACTTAATCTTTTCAAAATAGATGTGAATGATTTTATATTCATTACTTCATAATACACAATGAATAGATAATTTGAAATGTCATCGGGTTTAAAGATCAATCTAAAGAAAAAATTAGGTACAAAAAAGCTTAAGCCAACATTAAATTCCAATTCTGCTGAAAATGAATCAAACTCAAAGACATTGATTGACACATACACTAAAACAGAACCAGAAAAATCAGAAGAACCTAAAAAATGGATAATAAAACCAAAAAAGATAAGTAGTTCAATCAATGTTGAACCAGTTGTAACAAAAGAGGAAGAAAAATTGAAATATGGAGTTACTGAATTTGACAAAACTGAAACTGTCAACCAAATTTCAGTAGTTAAGAAACTCAGGTATGAATCAGATGAAGAAGAAGATGATGATGAAAATGATCAAATACCACCAGAAGAATTTGGAGCAGCTTTTCTACGAGGTTTAGGATGGGACGGAAAAGATGGAGCTGAATCAGAAGAAGAAGAAGAAGAAACAAAAAAAGAAAGTAAAGAAATACGAAATAGACAAAAGGGAATAACTTTAGGTATTGGAGCTAAACCTATAAATATTGATTTAGCAAAAGATTTACAAAATCAAGAATCAAATGGAGTACCATTAATAAAACGACGAAAAATTGATAAAAAAAGTGATGAAACATGACATTATATTCGTTAATAAGAAAGATTTTATATACATATTTAAAAAGGTTGTAGAATTAAGCTAATGCACCTAATCCAATTAATATTAATTGAGTAGCTATAGTTTTAGTCCAAGTTTGAGAAGAAACAATTCTTTTCTCATCTTCTTTAACCATACCAGTTAATTCTTCATACATATCAGCAATTATAGAATCAAACATCTTGGTTTGACCTAAATGTTCAATATTATATAAATTTGAAATTTTTTCAATAATTGTTGTTTTTAAAGTTATTGGATTTTTTTCATGATTAATAAATCCGATAATGGTTCTTAAATCTGATAATGAAATAAATGGTAGTTGATTTGATGATAATGGTAAATTTTGTGGTAAACTTGCTTGTAAATCTGAGAATTTAACTTTTACATTAACCATAACATATGATTCATTTGGTAATTTATCTTCTGATTCTGAAGATTTGAAAGTTTGATAAATTGCATTGATTGCATCTTTTAATAGTGAATCTTCATTAGATTTTTCAGAAGGTTTATTCATATTTGAAATATTGTTAAATAATTTTGTTATTACTTCACTTATTGATTCATTATTTTCTTCATCTTTAGGTAATGTTATATCTGCAATTACTTCTGCTTTTCCATTAACAATCCAATTAAATTTTGATTTTGGATTAGCTTTTGAAACTTTACCTAAATCAATAGTATCTAATTTAAATCGGATTAATTTATCATCAGGTTCACTTTGAGGATCTAAGCTTTGTCTTTTATGTATAGTAAATAATGAATTATTAATTGCTCCTGAAGCATTATTTGCATTGAGAAAATCAATTACTAATTGATCACCTCTTAATCTTGGTAAATCACAACTAAATATATTTATTGTAGTAGGTTCATCTGAATTTGCTTCATATATTTCTAAAAATGAATCACGTATTTTGATATGTTCAAAAAGATAATTTTTATCAATATCAACCATATCATTTTCGATATTAGACTTTTTAACGATTTTAGCATTTAATCCGAATATATCCATATCGTATATCAATCCTTTTCCTTCATACCATTTGTTAAATGATAATGTTAAATCCATAGTTTCAACATTTGCTATAACATCTAATTGACTATTATCTTTTGAAATTAATTTAAAATTATTGAATCTTAATTTTCCATCTTTAAATTCAGGTAATACACCTTTTTCAAATTGTAATTTAAATCCTAAACCATTTGATAATATACTACTAGCAATATACCCAAACACACTATTTTTATGCTTTTGTTCTTCTTTAGAATCAGAATTTGAAAATATATTATCCAAATAATGTAAAGAATACATAACTACTAATCCAAATGTAGTAGTACCAAGTAAGATCCATAATAAGTTACCCATTATCATTGTTGAAATAAAAGCTGATGACACGTCCCATTTTGAGGTTTTGCCGTCTCTTATTAAAGGCCATTTAACACTTAGCCATAATCGTTGTAGTTTTGAATTTGTTTGAGCTAAGATTGATGCTTTGGTACTAGATATATTTGAAATTTCTTCTTTGTTACTTGACTTTTCATTACGCAACAGCTTTGATGTTGTGAATTTAGTACAAGGTGAGTTGGTAAAGTGCCGTATTATGACAGATCTTGAACTAGGTAGGGTTTTGAGTGAATTATAATGAGTTAATGACTGTATAATGTTTTTTGAAATGATTTGATTCCTGCATCGTAGAATATTGCTGGTGGCTAACATTTTCAAGAAATCTGATAAATAAGTTGTTGAAACTTAATTATACTAATCTTTTTCTAAAAGTTTGACCTTGCCTTGAGGTAAAATATGGTTCTGTAAAGTATTAAGGACCAATTATGAAAAAATTTGTTAAAAATCTGGGGCAATAATTTGTGGAATATAAAATGAAAAAAAAAAAAAGAAAAGTAACTGGTTAATCTTTATTTAATTAGCAACTGTAGCTACCAACTGGTTTTTCCCTATTTTAAAGGGTCCGAATTTTAATATCAGTAGGTATATAGCTCGTGTAGACGGCTACTCCTTGGAATAATTAATTTTTTTAGTTATGCTGATGAGTACTATGAATATTTGGTGAAAATCAAGTGAACTAGTATTCAAATAGTCAAGTCCAAATCAACTCGTAAATTTCGAACTAATTTGAGCCTCATTGCTTACCTATTTTGTAAAGTTTTTTTTGTGTAATTTAAATTTCTGATTTTCAAAAAGAATTAATAGAGAAGAGAAGAGAAGAGGTAGAAATGGTTAATAAGGAATAAACAGTACTTACATCAACAAATAATAGTGAATTCACGACAAGGCTTACCAAAATTTTGCATAAATAAAACTCAAAACTTAAATACTAATCACAATAAATATAAAAATAAGATATTCATAATATTGATAATGAGTGCTCCTACAGCTTTAAAACAATCAGATAATATAGATCAAAATCAAGATCAATCACAATTTGAAAGTAAAATAATATCACAACACGCACAACCAACTTATGAAGATGATGATGATGACGAAATGCTCATAGACACTGAAAATGTACCAATTACATCCACTGACTCAACTACACAAATTTCAAATACAACACCAGACCTAGATGAAACAGGAAAACCAAAATTCACAACTGAATCTAATTCAAATATGAAAGTAAAATTAGAAAGTAGGAAAGTACCTGTACCACCTCATAGAATGACACCTTTAAAAAATGTATGGACAAAAATTTTCCCACCTTTAGTTGATCATTTAAAATTACAAGTTAGAATGAATCTAAAAACAAAAACAGTAGAATTAAGAACAAATAAATTTACAACTGATCCAGGAGCTTTACAAAAAGGAGCAGATTTTGTAAAAGCTTTTACATTGGGATTTGATGTTGATGATGCTATTGCATTATTAAGATTGGATGATTTATATATTGAAACTTTTGAAATTAAAGATGTTAAAACTTTAACTGGTGATCATTTAAGTAGAGCTATTGGTCGTATAGCTGGTAAAGATGGTAAAACTAAATTTGCTATTGAAAATGCAACAAGAACTAGAATAGTATTGGCAGATTCAAAAATTCATATATTAGGAGGTTTTACGCATATACGAATGGCAAGAGAAGCTGTCGTTTCATTAATTCTAGGATCTCCACCAGGTAAAGTGTATGGTAATTTGAGAACAGTTGCAAGTAGAATGAAAGAAAGATATTAAATGAAGTTAATGCAGATTTTTTTTTTTAGTTAAAACTATATTACTCTATTATTACACTAGTATATCCTCTAGTAAATCCTTTGTTAAATCATCCTCTATTCCCTTTTGTGATAATGACGGCAACAATTCATCTATTTTCAAATCTAATCTCATAGCATAAGCATCTTCACCATCTTGATAATAAGATTTTTCAATCAGTTGAACTTCAAATTGTAAAGAATCTCTATACAAATGTAAAGCAGCTCTATTTGATTTTCTAACATGTAATGAGACATATTGAGCATCAAACAGTTCACACATTGCATAAAGTGATTGTCTCATTAATTTCTCTGCAATTCCCATACGACGATATGTCCTCATAACTGACAAAGAAGTTATATGACCATGTAATGTTTTATCTGTTGCTTCCGGATCATCTTCCATTTTCCCCAATACATAACCAACAACTTTTTCTTCTCCAGAATCTATTGTTGTAGTGGTTGCGACGAATGAAGCTTGTGGCCAACTTAAAATATGATACATGTAATATTTTAATTGATAGTTTTCAGGTAAATTATGTAGATTCGCATTTTGCATCGCCTGAACATCTGTTATATTGGCCTGGCGTATCGTTATACCCATTATAGATGGTATTCTATAATACTAGTTGAAGTTGGTAACTTTCGTAATTTTCAATTTTTTCAGCGGTACTTTAATCTTAATACCGCGAAGTTAACTTAAAATTTCAAGATCGAGTGGAATATCACGAAACTACTTTTAGTGAAGTTTCAAAAAACAACAAGAGGTTAATTTCCGCAGTGAAAAGATTATAATTGCGATGTGCATTTATTTGTTAAAGCTTGTAAACAACTCTATAATACTTGTAAAAATGTCACTAATTAAATCTTAAACTTTCTCTTACCATTACCAGATCATCAAATTTAATCAAAAAAACAGTCCTTAACGGGTTAGCCTCAGTAAAAGCATTATGAGCTGTAACATTAGCATTAAAACCTGCACTGTCTAATGCTCCCTCTATTATTCCTGCAACAAATGCAGAACAATTTAAATCTCCATAATCCTTAGGTATACTTATGAACCTATTTAGTAGAGGTACATTATCAGTAATCATATATTCATTATTAATATCTTGAGATTTTTCAAGTTCATTTGCAATTTTACCAAATATAGTTTTCCAAAATTGTCCATGAATGAATTGTAGTATTCCGATAATTTTAATTTCTCTTTTATTCAATTTGAATCCTTCTCGTAGTTTAATCAATTCTAAATACCTTTGACCTATTTGATATCCAATCCCATTCAATCGGTTCTCAAGATCTTGTATATTTATTGATTTTTGATGATAATGACTGATAATTGCACTGAATAAAAAAGATAATGATGATAGATTGATTATATCTGGTTTTTTCGATAGCACATTAACGCTACTCAATGATTGTGTTCGCCTGTTGATTGGTATGGTATTATTAGACATGTTGATTTAATTGTGGTGATTAAGATCTGTATTAAAAGTTGGTGATAGATCACTAAAATTATTTGGATCAACAAAATTTTGGTAGCATTCTCATCTTTAAGTATCTCCACATTCAACTGATTTGGATTGAATTTGAAATTCCACAATATCTTGTATTTGGGATAGTTAAAAATTCTTCGAGTATTCATGCTTGATTAGCTAGTTTTGTTTTTTTAAGTATCAAACTTAAATTTAAATTATTCAATATCAGAAACATAAAGTGTCATAGTAATAAATTTATAAAGTGCAGTTTCAGTTTTTCGTTTTTTGCAACACATAAATATCATTAGATTTCAAGACAGTGAAATACATGGCCAAACATCGAAAAAAGTCATTAACCTTACACGAAATTTTTAATGATGAGCCTCAGGAAGCTGGTCACAATCTCGTTAAAATTCCAGCTACATCTACACCAATTGATCTACAATTCACTTCTAAAAATTATGCTGCAAAAAAGAAAATTAAAAAATCTAAACCATTACAAGATAATACAATTAGTATACTACATAACCAAATAGTTGCAAAACCTCAAAAACTTCATGCTAAATCACAACTAAATGAGCAATTACCAACTATTAACAACTTACTCGATCCATTATATCATGAAAATTATGTTATGTTTAACCGCACCAAACCATTTCAACCAAAACCAATTGGGACAAAAATTCAAAATTTAAACACCAAATATGAAAATCCGAACTCTCCACAATCAATCAAGCCAAAAAATAATATTACATCAACTCAAAATTTGTTGTCAATTCCATATTATCATCAACTAGATAAAACTTTTGCAGCCGTTCATATTGAACCACAAAAATCAATTTCACCACGAAGAAAATCGTCATTATCTACTATTTCCGAAAAGCATACAATAAATTATATTTTAAATGATTCTGATGTCAACTTACCTGATCACTATCAAAAGTCACCAGAGTTAGGTCGCAATGAAAAGGAGTTCAACGACTCTGCGGAACTCGATTTTGATTATGGAGGAAATGAATTTGACTCACGTATTGAGGCTTCTGATGGTGAAGAAAAAGACTTGACTTCAGGTACAATTAGGCTGTTGTTAGAATTAGGTGGTTATAAATATTCTGATAATGAGGAAGATGTAAAGAAAAAATTCAATATAAAAAAAGAGAAGTCAGATTCGGATAGAAGTTTGAGCTACAGGGCAAATTCAGAAGACAAGCTATTTGTTAGTTCCGATGATAATGGTCCTGATGAAAATTATTACAACATTATACAAGACAAAGTTTCTTTCCCTAGGTCTACGAATTATACGATACATGACTCAATGGATTTATTAAGATGTGAAGAACCTATTATAAAAAAGTTTATGAAAACCTTTTTGTAAATATTCAAATCCATGTTCAGTATCATTCGTTACTTATCCACTTGATATTTCATTAATTAGATTTTCCTTCACAATGCTTACATAAAATCGTCATCATCAAAGTCATCAAAGTCATCGTCAATTTCATCCTTTTTGAATCCTCCAACATTAGGTCTAGCAGCTGGTTTAGCTTTTTTCTTTCCAGCACCACCTGTTGCGGTTCCACCAGTTTTCTTCAATCTTGCTTGTCTCTCTTGTCTTTCTTTATCTTTTATTATAACATTTAATGTACTTATGACTTTTCTTGTATTTTCTACTGATAATGGTTGAGTTAAATCTCTGATTAAATCAATTGCTAAACTTGATGCGTATAATAATGAACTATCTTCATTCAATGCCGTTAATGATGTTCCTACAGCTTTTCTTAATCTTTCATATTCTTGTTTATTAGCAGGTTGGAATAATGGATGATCTTCCAATGGTGTGTCTTTAGTCAAAGCAGGTCTTCTTTGTGCAGCTTCCAATAAAGCTGCTTTTCTTGCTTTCTCTCTCGGATGTTCATTTATATCAAAATCACTTTCTGTATCATCTGCAACACCTAATCCACCAAATAAATCAGCTGCGTTATTTAAATCAGCATTTAATTCAGCTTTTTTTAATAATTCTTTTCTTGTTCTTTCGTCCAATCCATCAAATTGTTCCATTTCTTGTTTCTTCTTCTCTTTTTGTTTTTTCAATTCATCTTCTTTAGCTTTTAATTCAGCTTTCTTTTTAGCTTCAGCTTCTTTTGCTTCTTTTGCTTTTTTTTCCTCTTCATCAGGATCAACATCCCAATTACTTATGAATTCTTCATCTGATATCTCTTCGTCTTCCCAAGATGCCATCTCTAAAGTGTCTTTATTCTATGTAAGTTGAAACAAATTGTAAGAATATCCTTTGAATGATTATCAATTTTTTTTTTTTTTTTGCCAAATCTTCGTAAATTACACAACAAAACCGAAAGATTAATGGAATCAACTAAATCAGGCAAGATATGCCTTATAAGGAAATCTAAATTCAGGGTAGACTCTAAATTTTAAATGCCAATCAAAATACCGAAAGGAACGGTTATCCCTGGGATAGAGAATAATGAACAATTCAAGGTTTGGGTTGATGCCAATTCTCATTCTAATTTAACAATGGATCATAGTCAATTAGGTGGTATAGGATTGTTTTATGAGTCAAAAGAACCAATACAAGATGAAGAAGACCCGGTTATACTAAGGGTTCCATCAGACTCAATTGTTGACTTACATAAATTATTTGACATGCTAGAGGAATTAAAAGTTAGAGATCGTTCTCAAATTGATGGTCAAATCTCAGAATCTAAAGTAATTGTTGAATCGATACAATCTATGGTAATTAGAACAGAAACAGACATATTGATGGCATACATAGTGGCATTGAAGATTTTGAAAAGTTACAGAGAAAATTCAGGGCAAGTGAAGGAGTATTTCAACTCGCCAATTAGTAAATATAATACCTATTTGAATATTTTATCAAATACCAATGTTAGCAATCCTCATAAAGACGATATACTTAGTATGGAACATAAAGTTAAGGAAAACTATATAGTCAAAGCAACGATTGGATTTAATTATGAAGAATACATTACTAAAATGACAGACTGTTTTCCGCAGCTAAATATGAAAGAATTAATGCCATTCGAGACATATTATCAATTACATAGAGCGGTAATGTCAAGATCATTAGAGATACCTCGAGGTTTGGAGGAGGAAGAAGACTCAGACGATTATGTTGTAGATGTTTCTTTGGTCCCAATTTTAGATTTTGTTAATCATAATAGATCAAGTAATTCTTACTTTGACATTGACAAAGATACCAATGATGTGATTTTAAAATTAAAGTCCAATGAAGTTAAAAAAAAAGTTGGTAAATTCGAAATAACTATAACTTATGATGATCTCGATTATACAACAGACTTTTTTATAGCTTACGGATTCAACATGCCGTATGAATCAGAAGAATGAAGTAATTCTACTTTCGATTTCGGTGAGGCTATTCGAAGTTTTGTTCTAAAATCTGAAGACTGCAAGATTAGTAAGATTCTTGTACCTTTAATCATTCTTGTATATATTTTTGAATCTTCGAGAACAAAATGATCATTAGTAAGAAACTAATTTGTCAATAATGATCCAAAGTCGGAATTATTTATTCTCGGTCTCTCTTACTATTTGATTTCTAATCAGAATGCAAAGACTGCACGTGACTTGCTCCTTCAAGTATGGACATAAAAGCAAAGATATAAATATAACATTAATTTCCCTGTTGTACAATATCTTTCTTTAAAAATTTAAGAAACTCAATTGGTCTCAATAATCAATCAAATAATAGAAATATAGAGATATCAAAATGGTCAAAGTAGTTACATCAGCTTCAGAATTTAATGAAGAATTAAAATTCAATGGTTTAGTAGTGGTTGATTTCTTTGCTGAATGGTGTGGACCATGTAAAATGATTGCACCATTATTAGAAAAATTTTCAAAAGAATATTCAAATGTTAAATTTTTAAAAGTTGATGTAGATAATTCAAGTGATATTGCTCAAAAATATGAAATTAGTAGTATGCCAACTTTAATTTTTTTCAAAAATGGTGAACAAATTCAAAAAGTCATTGGTGCAAATCCAAGTGCAATCAAACAAGCAATTGCTTCTAACGCTTAGGCTTAATGGAATAAAAATTGTATAATGAAAGAATGTTAACGTTTGAGATTCTATTTTCGTGCAGTGTTTAAATATATTGAATTTTGAAAGACTTTTATCTCTCAAACAACCTCTTACTTCTGTGACGAAATAGAGTTCTTGATAAGTGGAGCGGCAAGATCTTGATGCAGTTCTATAAGTACGGTCATCTTTGATTGTCTTCATGAGTATATCTTGAACTCGTGCTCACTCTCCGTCTATAGATGTACATATGATCGCAAATTGACATTCGGTTGAGTTAAAAATGGAAATAGCCTTTCGTTCCGACAGTTGATAGATAATGACCCCTTGCAACTAAATCTTCCAACAATAATGGATGAGAAGTCACAATAATATCGGCGTCCATAATAACTTAGATTTACTACAACATATTCACCTAAATCATCCAAAATCAGCTACTTTTTCTTAACAACAAAGTATTTGCTGACATACAAAATATATTCAAAATTTTTCAAATTTTCAAGCGCAGTGATTGAATTCATACTGCTCTTGAAATTCAAAATTGAGTCCATTTGAACCTTGGGGTAAGACTTCTTTGTTCTTTTTTCTTGGTTCATCTTTAAAAGTTGGAACAATAGGTCGCAACTAAATTTTAAATTCTGCCTATTGTTTCACTAAAAATAAGTTGCATCACAATGCGGTTTTGACAGTATAAGCCAAAAAGAAAAAGCGATAATTTTATGTAGGGGAAGACAATTAAATCTCCCATTGATTTCCTCAAGAAGACTCAATGTTTATTGTTCCAATAGACTCAATGTTTATTGTTTCAGTATTCTTCCTTCTAAACTAAATGACCTATTTAAACCTATACACTACATACTTAATTTCCTGATGGATCTTTTTCATCAAATGGACCTGCACTACATGTCAATTCTGGACCTTCAGTTATAGTAGATGGTTTATCTGGGCAAATATCAGCAAAAGTTTTGTCTGGATCATCCAATTTATAAGTTTTAGTTTTATTTTTCTTTCTTTGAATTAATATTGGAATCAAAACAGCATTATCAACTGGGTAATTTCTATGACCAACAACATCTAAGATCGATCCAATTAATCCAGAATGTGAAACTAATGAGATTACTTTATCATCTTTATGAGCATCGAAAATGTCATTTAAAACAGACGCAGCTCTATATTTACGATGTTGACCAGTTTCTCTTTTATCACTTTTCCATAATTCATCATTGGTAGTAAAACCTTGTTCAAAAGTTGCATGTGGCCAATTTAATGATATATAATTTTTGTCATGACGTTTACTTTCAGTTTGAATACCATAAGTTTCTCTAGCAAACTCTTTAATAATCGGACCTTTACTAGTTAAATCTGACCATACATAATCCCAAGTTTCTAAAGTTCTTCTAAGTGGACTAGAATAATAATGATCTGGGTATGGGAAATCTTTTGTGTTTTTAATCTGTTGAGATAATTTTTTACTTTGATCAATACCTTGTTGAGTTAACAAAGCATCAGCCCAGACTTGACCATCATAACCATCTAAGGTTTGCCAATAACAAGTCCAATCGGTTGATGGAGTATTACATTGATGCACTCCAAATGCATGTCTGATTATGAAAAATAATTTATGATATTCATCTGTTTGATCTAAAACATCTTTCCATGAATATTGATCTTTTAAACCAAAATTTTTGGTATAATTAACGTCAGAAGGTGATATATTGGAATCACTTTGTTCGAAATATACATCTGATGACTCAAATTTAGGAAGTGTATGTGACTTATTATCTCCAAGGACAATTTGTGATAAAGCTAAAGCTAATAATGACGTAGTAAATAACATTATCGTTGATAGCATTATACAGCAAACAAAAATGTGGGATAATCTGGGTATATATAGTGATTTGTGAATTGGAATCACAAACTCTCAGACTTAATTGTTTAGCATAATTATGATTGTTTCAAGAATGAAAATTGATGCATCAAAAACTATTTTATACTAAAATTTAGATTATGATACCTTAGTAGTATTGTTTCGAAATTTGATTTTGTATTCCAAAATTGTTAGCTCCTACACGTGTAGCTAGTTTCAATAGAATGACAATAAAAAATTGTTAATGTTAACAATATAATTTATTCAAGTTGTCAATTACTGTCTCCTTATCGAATTCAGGAAGGTCACCTCGTGGATTGAAGTTTTTGAGAATGATGCAATACTATTAGATTTATTCCAAATCTTAAACACTGGATCAGTTGAAAACTTGAAATCACTGAAGCCGCACACATGTACAAATATAGGAAAAATGACTATCACTTCATATGTTGTTCCACACTGAGATCATTTGATTCATATTGAATGTCCAATATCTATACCAATTCACGTGTATATTGCTCCTCACTGAAACCATTCAATAAAAATCAAGTGGATAAGAACTACTTATTTTCATCAATTGATTTATTCTTTTGTCCAAAATGTTTATCACCAAAAGCTTTATATCAAACTTATTTTGAAATTGTTTACAAATTCTGTTCAAATTGTTTAACTGATTTCACTAGAAGCAAAGATCAACATACTTGTTCAAAAAATTGCTTCATTTGCCCGGAATGCTCATCGAATTTGGAAATATCTTTTGAAAATCATAATAATAATAGTAAATCTTTCAATTTCAAATGTGTTTATTGCAAATATTATTTCAAGACACCCATCATAAATAAACCTAAACCGCTAATCAGTATTATCAATGAATGTAAAACTGATCCTTTCAACGTACTATGCCACAAAATTAGCGATGAATTGAGGGATACGAATATGTCTGAAAAATTGAGTGAAAGGGCTATCAAAAATCTACAATTTATCAGTAAAGAATCAATAGAAGACAAGAAAGAACAAATTACAACAGCGAAATACCCAATGCCAAAGAAACTAACTACTAAAAAGTCAATTTTCTGCATGAGTTGTAGAACTGTTTTATTTGCTCCTATTGTTGAAAACGTACCACCCCTAACCAATAAAGTTTTGATTAAGTATAATGCAGTAGATTATCTACCGCATATTTCAAGCTCCAAATTGATTGATAATATTCATTTATTAAATTTCATAAATCCCTTAAAGACCAAAGTTTATCTTGAAATTTTGATACCGAATAACGAAAACTGTAAAACAGAAATAACAACGACAGAATTCATTTTAGGTCCAAAGAGTTCAAATATTGTCAAGACTATACCTACAGCTTATTTGACTGAGAGTACATCACAATCAAAATCCGAGCTAATATTGAGAAAAGGTGGTAAGATGTATCAAGAACCTACAGTTGATAATTATCACGAATTTTTCGAGAAAGGTATCAATTGGATATCCATTCCTATTGTAGTTTCATCTGACGAAAAAGAAGTGGAATTGCCCATACATGTTAAATTAACTTGTGACGAGTTACCAGAAAAAGAACTTACCAAAATTGAAACAAGTTATTGGAGCATCATTGTAATTAGATGAGTAATATTCAGTTTCGTTTACTTTTCTTCTCATCTGGACCATCAATACTTGAAATATTAATATTTATACCGCCCCTGCTTTGTCTTCGTTTTTTGTCGTTTAATTTATCAATTGAAGTTGAGCTCGGTCCAGCACTCAATGAGCTTTCACTTTCTTCTGATTCATCTTCAAATAAATGAGCATTATTGACAGGTAGTTTCGTTTCGGATAATAAGGATTCATATTCCGCTGATTTCATTTTGCCCTCTCTAACTAGCTTTTTCATTAATTCATTCAGTGTAGTTGGACTTGTATTTGAGTTTGTTGTTTCTTGAACTGTAGTCTCAGATTTGGGAAATTCAAACCGCTCTTGATTAGATTCAATAGCGCTTGGTATCGTAGGATTAGTGATTGATGTTATTAATATTTCATTTATATTCAAATTCTTTGCAGGATCAAGTCCTTTTTCATTTAATATTCTTATACTATTTTCCCCTACTGAATCTTGAGGAATTTCAGGTGTAACTTCACCACATTTTAAAGCAGCTGCATCTTGAGATGTATACTCTTTTGAATGAGCTATCCTACTATGATTCAAAAACCCCTGAGCTGATGAAAAATTAGATCGAAGACAATCTGGACAAATGAGTCTAACAACTACACCGTCTGTTCTCCGATATAAACATCCCAAATTAACATGCTTTGGTGTGGAAATTGTAGTCAGTGACGGACGTAATGAAGATGTAGTTGATCTTGTTCTATACGAATGATTTGATTGTGAAACTGTTTCAGTATTTCCCGTGGGGCCGTATTCATATGATGCATTATCCGGTAGTGTTTTAAATTTATTATATGTTGCAGTAAGATTTTGATTTAATAATGTGTAATATTTTGTAGTTAATTCGTTGGGTTGATCAGGTAAATCGAGGTCATTCTGTATGTTCAAAAAATTTCGTAGTACTAATAACTGTGATTCTATCTTACTTATTTCATTATCACTCATATTCAATTCTTTATGCTTCAATCTTATTTCCAAATCTAGTTGATTAGTCACTATTTGTTTTAATTGATCATATGGAATTTCATCAAGTTTTTTTAACAATGCATCTCTTGTGGACACATCGTGTGAATTTTTGTCATTAGTCGGTTTCTCTTTGTTATGATCAGGACTAGATGATGATGTCGGTGATAGACTCATTTTGAACTTGAATTAAAGAAGTTACTTTTGCCTACTGTTTTTCAAATTGGATTTTCAATTTTACTTAAGGGGTTTTGCAGAAACACTAAAATATTTTAGTGCTACCAATCTTTTGATTTGATTTACAAAATTATTTTTGCATAGATAAAGTCATCTCTAGAATCAATCAAATCAATAGCATCATAAGAAGTGATGTCTGGTCCAGTGTTATTCTCCGAGTTTAACTCATCAAATACATATTTGGCATCTGTCATTCAATCCTTGGATACACATCAAATTCAAGTACGATCTGTAAACACATCACAGCTGTCACTAAATACATTATTCAGCTTAGACAAGTCAAATAAGGTTACAAATATACGTTGGTTCAACACCACTGAATCAATACATTCCATTGCAATATGTCTAACAATTGGAGTTATACTAATATATTCACCCCATTCAAATGAAATCATAGCAGAATTAAGTACTTCATCAAATGTTTCAGTACTTGACTTTCATTTTTCAACACATACTTCAACTGGATGGTCTTGTGATGTTGAAGGTAATATATGTGAATGGGACATGGTATCTTACAAATTACTACAGCAGTTGAAAATAGGGGATTATGTTGAAAGCGTCGATTCCATTTACCAAATATCGAGTTGTCTATATGAGCAAGACCCATTTCTATTATTGGGTGCAAATTCCATATATTTATTCAACTTGAAATCGAAACAAATAGAGAAAACTTTTCCTGGCCATATACAACCTATAGATAGTATCATAAGTTTGGGGGATATGTTCTTAACTTGTGCAAAGGGTGATCGTTTTATAAATTTATATCAATTAAGTAAAATCACAGCAAAAGCTATATTTGTAACACAAGCATCAGTATTAAGCATAAGTATAGGAGTCAAACAAGAAAATCAATCAGTTTTAGCGGCTATAACCGAAAATGGGAATATTGAAGTGTTCAATGACCCGTTAGCTTCACATCAACCATCTACGCCAAATCCGAAAAAGAAAAGAAGACAAGTTGGAACTAGTTCACGCTCCTCAAACTCCATATTAAATGTGTCAAGATCAAAAGAAGAAATTAAAAATCCACGAGATTCAAATTTAATGATAAATGCCGTATCTATACAAGATGAAAATATTTTGTTCACATGGTTGGAAAATGGCACTATTCCATTCTTTGATACAATAAGATGGATAGATTCCGGAAATTACCTTCTCGATTCAAACAAGACAATAATTAAAAATAAAGCGGATTTGAAAGCAAATAAAGAATCTTCAATCTATGGTCACGATATAGCGGCATCAAAATTGTACAATGAAAGTCATGCAATAGTTCAGGACGGAACAAACATTAAAAATTTGGAAGCCGATGATTCAGATGAAGAAGAAGACACCATTGCTGAGAAATTAGAAAAATTAGCAATGAATAAAAGCACTCAATCTAAAAGAAAATTACAAGATAATAGAAATGGTATATCATTATCAGTTATTCTTACACAAGCGTTACAAAATAACGATCATTCATTATTGGAATCAGTTTTACAAAACAGAGATCCACAAACAATTCAAAATACAATTAGTAGATTGAACCCATTTTATTCTGTATTATTATTAGATAAATTAAGTGAAAAAATTCAAAGACAAGCATCAAGATTCAATCAATTAAACTATTGGTTGAAATGGATTTTAGTTATACATGGATCAGTTATTGCTAGATTACCAGATTTAAATACGAAATTATTTGCATTGCATTCTGTCTTAAGTAAAAAAGCAGATACATTACCAAAACTTTTGGAATTACAAGGCAGGTTAACTTTACTTTATGATCAAACTAATTTGAAGGAAGATTTAATAGCGAAAACATTGGTGGATGAGACAGAGGAAGACAGTGATGTAGAATACATTGAAGATTTTGACGATGCTCAATTTCATGGAGATATCGATGTAGAGATGGATGAGGATGAAATACCTGAAAGTGAGGAGGATATTGATGAGGCCGTAGAATCTGATGAAGGATCTAATGATGAAGATATTCCAGATATAGACGATTTGCAGCAACGAAATGATTTTTGAATTAAATTAAATACAAGTATTAATAGCTACACACTATAGTAAAAATAATCTTAAAGCCTTGCAAATATTCATAATTTGACAACAGCTCTAATACAATCTCCTGCATGCATATCTTCGAAAGCTTTATTTATATCTTTCAAGTCATGTGTATGCGTGATGAACTCTTCAACTTTTAACTTACCATCCAAATAATCATCAACTATTCCTGGTAATTGTGATCTCCCTTTCACACCACCAAAAGCGGCACCTTTCCATACTCTACCTGTTACTAATTGGAATGGTCTAGTTGAAATTTCTTTTCCTGCTGGTGCGACACCAATGATAATAGATTCACCCCATCCTTTATGACAAGCTTCTAATGCATCTCTCATTACTTGAACATTACCAGTACAATCAAAAGTATAATCACAACCACCATCAGTCATTTCAGTCAATTTTTGAACAATACTTGTACCTTCTGGTAAATTTTTTGGATTGATAAAATCTGTTGCTCCAAATTTAAAAGCCCATTCTTTCTTCTTATCACTAATGTCAACTACAATAATTTTAGCACATTGTCTTTCTTTACAACCTTGAACAACAGATAATCCAACACAACCAGCACCAAAAACAGCCACATTATCTCCTTTTTGAACATTGGCAGTAATAGTAGCTGCACCATAACCGGTGGTGACACCACAACCTAATAAACAAGCTTTATCAAATGGAGCTTTATCATTAATTTTAACAACTGAAACATCAGCAACAACAGTATATTGAGAAAATGTTGAACAACCCATGAAATGTAAAATCTCTTTACCTTTACAAGTAAATCTTGGAGTACCATCTGGCATAACTCCTTTACCTTGGGTTTCTCTTACAGCACTACATAAATTAGTTTTACCACTTTTGCACATTTTACATTTTCCACATTCTGCTGTATATAAGGCAACAACATGATCACCAACTTTAACATTTGTAACACCTTCACCAACACTTTCAACAATACCAGCACCTTCATGTCCTAAAATAACTGGAAATTGACCCTCTGGATCAACTCCACTTAAGGTATAAGCGTCGGTATGACATACCCCTGTGTCAATTATTTTGATTCTAACCTCGTGTGCTTTTGGTGGAGCTACTTCCACAGTTTCTATACTTAATGGCTTTTTAGCTTCCCATGCAACAGCAGCTTGACATGAAATTGTCTGAGATATATTGTTAGTATATTTAATTTGCTAATAACTACTAAAGTAGCAGAATTTAAAATTATAAATAGTACATACTTTTCCTGTGGTATCTGACATTTTCAATTAGTAATATTTGATTCAATTGATCTATAAAGGATGAGTTTTTATCAAAAATTTGATTAGATTTGTTGCTTTAAGATTTAAAAAGGAAACCAGAATATTTATAAATAATTTGGAATATTACAAAACTGAATCTTTGGGCGTAAATTTTAACCAAATGGGGAATTGAACTGCGTCGGATATCCTGATAAAATAAGACGCGGGACTTGTTATATTTTACTGGTATGGATTGTGTCATAAACTAGCAGAAGCAAGCAGAAATGAATAATTATCAACAGAGATAGAACAAGGATAGAGTCAGTGTTTCATTCATTTATTCATTAGGTCACCATGAGAGGCCCATCCTCAAAGAATCAGCGCAATAATTTCAGCATCAATGATTCATCTCATAGCAATCGTATCCCTATATCAAGAGCTACCAAATTTTGAAATTTTTGATTTAGACCAGATTAGCTAATTTTTCAATCTAGTCGGAGTTTCGTTGAAGAAAGCGAGTGTTGTATATGTACAAAAATATAAATCATGTATCAGTGAGACATAAATCATCAAATTTGAAAAAGCATTTGCAAAAAGTTTATAACGACCCATTCAATGATAAGAAAAGGGGTGAATTTTACAGATCTCGAGCTGCTTTCAAATTATTGGAAATCAATAAAAAATGCAAACTATTTAATAATAACACCAAAAATGTAGTTGATTTGGGATTTGCACCAGGAGCTTGGACACAAGTTGCAGTAAACGCTTTTGAACATCAAAATTTACCTTATAAAATTCTTGGAGTTGATATTAATCAAGCTACTCCTTACAAAGGTTGCAAGTATATTCAAGGTGATATCACCAAAAAAACCACACATGATCTAATTGAAATATTCTTTGAAGGTGAAAAACTTGATTTAATAATGAGTGACATGATGGTTAATTGTACTGGGGTCGATCATTATGATCATATCGGAAATATGGAGTTATGCAATGCAGCCATAATTTTGGCTTTCAATCAATTAAAAACTGGAGGAAATTTAGTTATGAAAGTGTGGACTGGATCTGAAATTAAAACATTGGAGGACAGAATGAAAATTTTATTTACCAAACTCGTTCGAATGAAACCAGACGCAAGTAGATCAGAGTCAAGTGAATTTTATTTCATTGGATTGAAAAAGAAAAATTTGAATTTAACTTTACAAGATCTATTTAAATATAGGGGTTAATTGTCTATAAAACAGCGCCAAATCCGAAAGTTATCTTTATGGCTTTAATATACATATCTTCAAAATTATCCCTAACTCTTTCCTCTTCACCGATAGGTATTCCAGAAAACTTAACAACTAATTTAGTTTCACCACTACTTTGAACCAATTTCAAATTAAGTTCAGCATAATGACCTTGCTTCCAATCTTCTAATCTCCATGATTCTATTATTTGTTCATTAGGAACCAATTTTAAAAATTTACCACTAACTGCCCCACCAAAAAATTTATAAGTTGAACCTTCCTTTGGTGGAAATTTTTCAATTATTGGATAAGATCTAGTCCAAGCTGCAATTCTTGATTCATCTAATAACGTAATATATATTTGCTCAGCTGTCGTGTTGAATGAAGGTTCAAGATGTAATGTGGTAGTGTTATATTTTGGGATATTTGATGAGTTATTGCTACTTTCAGTTGCTTTGGCTGCATTTGAAGATATCGAAGAAGTTGAACTGGTGCTAGGCTTTGCAACTTCCTTCTTGTTGTCATTCGTTTGTTTTGGTTGGGCTAAGTTTCCTTTTGTATAAGTTGATGTGACTTTATCTTGTTCAATTTGTATGTCTTTAACATTGGTCTCTATCAAATCAGGTCCAAATTTCACTAACTTTTCCCTTAATTGGGGAATTAATTTTTGTTTAATTAATGAATTAATGCTCGAATTATCACTATTTTCATTATATACTGAAATATCGAATACTAAATCGCTTTCTTCGCTATCATAAGCCAATTCAGGTATTGTTATAGATCCTGTTATATTCTTATCTTTTTCATTTGATCCTTTGTATGATAAAACAATCTTTAAATCAAACAATGAAATGACTTTACCTTTCCTTTGTGAAACATCTACATCTCCTTCAACTGATGAAACATCAACTATTTTAACACTACTGGTTTCATTTTCTCCAATTAAACCAACCAAGTTATTTTGAAAATATTCTTTTGACCAGTTTAAGCAATTCTTATCTACCCAGTGCCAGTTATTGGGATTATTGACCACCATTGTGATTCTTGTCAAACAAGTTGTAGATGTAATTATCGTGAAGAAATCTTGAATAAGAAATCCAAAACTAAATTTCTCGAAAATACCATCCTGATTTTAGAGGTGTATCCCGATTTTTAAACAGACCAAATATAATTCTAAATCATCAACTAATTACGATTATTTTTTCATCAAAAGTCGTTTATCAAACAACCTTCAAAACAACTTACAATTCAAGACAATTAATCAGTGATGTCTGGACGTCAAGGTGGTAAAGCAAAGCCTTTGAAGGCACCTAAGAAAAAACAACAAGATGAAGATGAAGATGATGCAGCTTTCAAAGCAAAACAAAAAGCAGATGCTGCTGCCAAAAAAGCCATGGCTGAAAAGGCTAAAAAAGGTGGTCCATTAGTTGGTGGAGGTATTAAAAAGAGTGGTAAGAAATAAATTGCCTACTTAACAACGAAAGTTCATACAAATGGAGAATTTAAGATGATTAAATTTGGAGAAGGTTCAAGGAAAAGAATATTTGTAGATAATATGAAAATTAAAAGTTATCTTCATTAATTTTTAAAATTGAAAGGTTCTACATTAGAAGTTGACATCAATCCGTATTCAGTGGCACACCACAGGCATCATCAATTGTTTTTCTGAATTCTAGAAACCTACTCATAAATAATATCTTGTCAATTCTCAATCATCAACAAACTTTACAATTAATTCTATTTATCGACATGTTTTAATTGAACGATTCTAATTCTAGTTGTTTCTACTCTACATGTATTTTCTTAATCTGGAGTAGTAAACACTTTGCCCCTCAGTTAGGGTCGAAAAGAATAAGTTCATTTGGGATTGGATTTAAATTAAAGAGCTAGAGTTGGCGCAAAGTGATCTAGTTTTTCAGCATCTTCGTAAATGGGGGTCTTATATATAGATCCACAAAATATTATGATGACCCTGAAAGTGAAAACAATTTTGTTTTTGTTTTTTACTTTGTATTAAAAAAGTTGCAAAATCATTTGAATTTTGATGCAAAATATTGCAATTAGTCGTTCATATCTACACTTTTTAGAACACATAGCCGATCGAGTGACATAAGTTATATACGCTAAAGCTTAACTCAAGCTAGACCACTGATCTAATAAACAATTAATAATGAAAAAAAAAAGTTAGTACTTACATGGCAGTTGAAGTGATCTATTCGTTTGATATATATTAATATTAAGGCTAGAAAAAAATAAAACAAAAGCTCAGAAAATTAAGCGACCAGAGGGAGGATTGAACTCCCGATCTTGTGATTAACAGTCACACGCCTTAACCAGCTTGGCCATCCAGTCCTATTTATTGATTTGGAAATTTTAGAAGCTACAAGTCACGCAAAGCTTGGCCCCGTTAAATTACACTTTATCAGTTAAAGTGGCTTGAAAATAAGGCGAATAAAAGGTGCCAGCTAGGACTGATGATACGATCGAGCGATGAAAGAGAACTGGAAGACTAAAAGGAGCAGCATAGAATTTGGTTATTCCACTTGAGCCAAATACCTTAGTGTATTTGAGTTATAGTCGATCAATTCGTCATACATGGGTATAGTTGGATCTGGATATGATGTTTTGACGTTTTGACAGATATGAGTGAATGAAGAACGCTTGGAAGAAGAAAACCGATCAAATCAAAGTATCAACCAATTCCACAGCCAATTCGTCCATCAAGCACAATGAGTCCATAAAGCCAATTACGATCGTCTGAATATGATGAAATCTGACTCTCTTCAGTGGTTGTAAAAGACAACTTACAATACAGAATATTACATCTTTATTTTTTTTTCATTTACTTCACGGAAAATAAAAAAAATAAAGAATTGTAAACAAACTTAAGTACACAATCAACTTGTCATACCAACTCAGTCAAATCACTTTATCAATGTTACTCGATGTCATATGTTCCATTATATAAAAACCAATATGAAAAAAGATCATCGCTTTTGCACGATGTATCAGCTTCTACGAATCGACAGTTCGAAGAAGATCAAACTTTTGTTCCACCACCTTCATTAAGTTATTATAGCATAGAAGTTTTAAATTCTAAGGGAAAACCGACAAAAAGATCACCAATAACCGGCAAATACAGTGAAGATTTTGCAGATAGACAAAGTGAGTTAAAAAAAAAATTGTCCGTCACGTATGGACATACAACTACTGCATCAACTCAAAATTCGTTCAATACTCATAATTCAGATGATATAATGGATGAGAAATCTGGATCTACCTCGAAGTCCACTACAAGCACAGATAATAAATTGAAAAGAAAGAGAAAATATGGGAAACTACTCGGAGAACCTAAACGTGCTTCAGAAATTAATATATTGGAAGATGATCCAATCCCAATTGATGAGGAGTTGATTAAAAAGAACGTAGAAGAACGAAAAGAGCAGCGACGAATAGAATTGGAAAGTCTGAAAAACGATTCAGTTGAAAACCAATTCAAAACAGAAAATTTTGAAGCTATTATCAAAACACCATTACAGTCTCCGTTCCAAGAAAATCGAAAACCATTGAGTAATATTTCACCAAATATTTTCAGAAAACCATTGGCTCCAGTTAAGATACCTCAAAAATCAAGCTACGACAAGCATGAACCTCCTGAACCACAAGCTAAGTATGAACCACCTGTTCCAAAATTTCAACCAAATACCACAGATGAAGATCTGAAAAAAAAGTTTGTAGTAAATGGGAAAGAATATGAGAAAATGGAATTGCTAGGTAGAGGAGGATCTTCGAAAGTATATCGAATTAAAGCTTCTAATGGTCATCAATATGCCTTAAAAAAAGTAATGCTTAATCAATTTGAAGATATTGATGGATTCAAGGGGGAAATTGCATTATTGAAAAAATTAAGAAATTACAAAAGAGTTGTTAAATTATATGACAGTGAAGTAACAAAATCATCATTATACTTAATTATGGAAAAAGGAGACATAGACCTAGCTATGTTATTTCAAAATAGACTAAGTATGAATTTACCTTTAGACTTACAATTTGTGAGATATCATATATCAGAGATGTTTAAATGCGTTAAAGATGTACATGATGCTGGCATCGTGCACAGTGATTTAAAACCTGCAAACTTTCTCATGGTTAGAGGAATATTAAAAATTATTGATTTTGGTATTGCAAATGCGGTTCCTGATCATACATCCAATATTTATAGAGAATCTCAGATTGGGACACCGAATTATATGGCTCCAGAAGCATTAGAAGAAGCTAATCTAGTTGAACTTAGAAATACTACTTGGAAAGTTGGTCGTCCTTCTGATATCTGGTCTTGTGGATGCATATTATATCAATTCATTTACGGAAGACCACCATACGCTTCATTAGCTGGTACTAAAAGAATTTTGGCAATCATGAATCCTCAATATAAAATTCAATATCCACCTCATGGTATAGGAAATGTCCTTGTTCCTCAAAGTGCAATAAGGTTGATTCAAAATTGTTTATGTAGAGATCCTGATGACAGATGGACAGTGGAACAATGTTTGGAAAGTGAGTTTTTCAACCCAAAAGTAGTGGATGAAAATATTATTAGTAAATTTGTTCATGAAAGTGTCAACTTTGGTTTCAACAAAAGAAAAGCTGGAGAAGGTATAACTACAGAGGCTTACGATTCAATGGTCAACAATATTATAGAGCAAATTCGCGCATATAATTGCTAATTAATGAAAAATGTAATTTTATAAAGAAATCTTTTTTGATAAGGAATTTACCTAGGCCCTAATTTTTCTAATACTCTTGGTCCTTGTTCTTCCCATTCTTGCTTCGATATCCACATATGATCTTTATCTGCCATTATATTAGCTAGAACAGCACCACCAATGAATACCATATGTTTTCTTCTTGGTGGATCTTCAATCCTTACTTTAAATTTATCTAACCTCGTTGGATCTCCATGTAATACTTTAGTTAACCATAGTTGTTTTAATTCTTTTTCTAATCTTGAAGGTAATCCTGGATACATTGATGAACCACCTGATAAAACAATAGCTTTATAAAGTGAAGATCTAACGTCCACATCAGCAGCTTGTATAGTATTGAATAAGGTTTCTCCAACTCCTGGTTGTTCTACATCCACCAAATGAGGTTGGAACAAACATTCTGGAGCTTCGAATCTTTCACTTCCAACTTTTATAACTCTTCCATCTGGTAATTCATATGATTCAACTAAAGTGGTGGTTTCATTAGCTAATTTCGCATCAAATCCTAAATCGTAACTTACATAACACAATTTCTCTTTGATTTGACGTACTGTTTCAAAATCAGCAGTTCTATTGAAAGCATAACCTCTTCGAAATAATAAATTTATTAAATGTCTTGTCACGTCTCTACCTGCAACATCTAATCTTTTAGTTAAATGATTCAAAACTACTGATTCATACACTGGCACAATGTGAGTGACACCATCACCTGAATCAACAACAACCCCGGAACTTAAACCTTGAGCATATAATGCCAATACCGCCTGTATTGCTACGTAAACACCTCCAAAACCATATTTCTCAAACATAACTTGACACATCATTTCTCGGTTTTTCAAGGGATTCATTGGAGGTTCAGTTAATAATATTTTTTGACCTTGAGGGTTTATTTTCATTTTATCATAAAATGCATAATCCCATAAATGTTCCATATCTTCCCAATTCTTAATAATACCATTTTCCATAGGATAATTGATTTGTAATAATGATCTTACTTGACTTGCTTCAGACCCACACATTATATCTTTGATTTCAATGTCATCTGGCACTAGCAAGTTTCTTTCCTCTGCTCTTAATATAGGTCTACCTACCATTGAGGGAAACGTATAATCTGGAAAGTTTGTACCAGCTCTCCCAATCTTTACAAACCCTGTACCTTGATCAAGAACTAAACAAGTTGTTAGTACATAAAGAGGTCAATTTTATTCAATAATGAAGTTGAAAACATACCAATTGGCGAGCTCATCCTGTAATTGGGTGTTATATGGTGTCTTTATTTTTTGTCTAATATGATTCAAAATCCTCTATTGATATTTATTTCAGAGTTCAACAAAGATATTAAAGTGATTTACGCTACCAAATATCGGACTTAAAAAGTGAATAGTTATAGATCTTTAAAAGGCATGAAATACTGGATTATTTAATAAACTTTTAGTTGTAAACATCTGTCTATTCCTTGTTATCATTATTTATACAATACGCAAACGTCAAATAAGAAGTGTGACTTTTTATTTCATTTTCAGTTTTCGTTACCTCTAACCAATTATAACCTTCTTCACCTTCTTTAACTTTTGCACTTTTCCTGGAAGATTTAAAATTTGATTCATTACTTTTTGCTAATTTCGTTGGTGGTTCCCCATTCTTTAAATTATCATACCCATTTTTTTTTCTTTGCTGTATATCTTTTATTCTATTTATAACATCGGCAACATCTCTTTTCATCTCTTTTCTTGCTTCCCATCTTTTTGCTGCAACTTCAACCATTTCTATATTGGTCCAACCATTTGCTTCTAATGCTACAACTGTTTTATCTACTTGTTCAATACATGGTGAAAAGCAACAGATTCCAACTCTTTTATTTTTGGCGATGACTGATTTTAAATGTGGTATTGCATCCCAAGGTGAAGGTAGGTCTAAAAAGACTGCATCTCCATTTACTTCTTGATCGATATTGAATCCATCATTACATACGTCTCTATGAGTTATAGTTGTGTTACTTAGACCATGTTGCTCCAATTCCTTTTTGGCTTCTAAATATCTTGGCTCATGAAATTCGTATGTAAATACTTTCCCTGCTTTACTGACTGTTCTTGCAAATGAATGTGTGAATGAAGCTGAACCAGTCCCAGCTTCTATAATTCTTGATCCACAAGTAACATTTAATCTTTGAATTATATATGATGAATCTGGAGTATAAACAATTTGAGTTCTATGAGGTAACGAAAGAGTCCACATTTCTGGAGTTGGAAATAACAAATGTATGAATCCATATCCTTTAGCTCCTGGCATTTGTGATCCGTATTTCATTCCTATCATTGAATTATGAGGAAAATGACCAAATCTTGTGTTTAAAATTTCTCCCTTTTTGATATAAATAGGTTTGATTGAAGTTCTACTTAAAAAAGCCAACACCAAATCTCCCTCTTCTATATAATCTTTATATTCAAAAAATGACATAGCATATGTTGTTAATTTCACTTTAATTAAAAATATGTTTTACTCTATAATAATAGGAAAATGATAAACTTTTTTTTGTGTTACTTGATTTGAAATTTCGCATCACGAAATTGATAAGATTTGCAACCAAATTAAATTTTGCAACAATTGTGATTGTAATAAAACACTTAACGAATTTCATTTTGAACCAAAATTTGGTGTAATTTTATACACAATCTGCTGACTTGTCTATGCAAAACGTAATTAATCTTGTCAATTTGAAAGTAGTCATAATACCCCAGAATAAAGCCTTGAAACGTCCCTTTGTTCAACTGCAAAATCACAATTGGTCTTACTAACATGAGTTCAGCAGTTACAAATACTTGATTTATATTGATTGATATCAACGATTGCTTAAATTCGAACCATTTGAAGCCAATTCTTTTCACTTCATTTGCCCTAGATTAAAAAGGTCGTGTAGTCCAAGTCATTTCTCGTACTCTTTTTGTAAAAGCTTCAACAAATTATTACAAGTACCTTCTTGATCAAACAATCATATATTGCTATATAATCACATATTAATGTCTAATATATCGTCAAATCCTCAGTCCGAGCAAACGAAAAATCAACAATCTCAATCTCAAACACAAAAATCAAATGATCCTTTAGCTACAAGAGTCGAAGATTTATACCTCGAGAGTTATGCATTTACAACAGCAGCTGCAATAGTTGGGTCCGTTGATAGGAAAATCTTTGTATTATTGAGAGACGGAAGAAGCTTGTTTGGAATATTGAGAACTTTCGATCAATTTGCGAATTTAGTTCTACAGGATACTTTCGAAAGAATTTACTTAAATGATCAAAATAATGAAAAATTTGGAGAAACATATAGAGGGGTATTTATGGTGAGAGGTGAAAATGTAGTTATGATGGGTGAATTAGATATAGATAAAGAAGATGATCATTTGGAGAAAATAGAGCAAATTCCCTTTGAAGAAGTAGAACACCAATTAAAAATAAGGCATTCAAATTTGATAACGGAAGAAAAACGAAAGACGAAAAATTTTCTACATAAAGGATTGGTAAATGATTTTTATAAATCCGATTTATATTAATTACTGGAATTATAATTTACTTAATTTTTTTTGATTTGTTTCGAAATTTTCAAAATATGTATCAATGTCATTAAATTTTTTGAACTCATTTCTTGCCAATTGAGCTAAATGTGCTTCATCTGGACCATCAGCAATTCTTAAGGTTCTATTTAATGCATACATTCTTGCTAACTCCGTGTCTTGAGAAACTCCTTCAGCACCAAATACTTGAATTCCCCAATCAAGAATATCACTAACGGTTCTAGGAGTTTCGATTTTTGACATAGCTATCTCTCTTTGAGCGGCTTTAGCATTCGATATATCTATTTTATGAGCAGCATTTAACACCAATAAAAAGCATCTTTCAAGATCAATCCTACTTTGAGCATATTTATATAAGAAACTTTCTCTTTGACTCATTGGTTTACCGAAAATCAATCTATGATTAGCCCTATGAGCAATTTTTAATAATGCAAATTCTCCTGTTCCAATAGCTCTCATACAATGATGGATTCTTCCTGGACCTAATCTAGATTGAATTAATTCAAAACCTCTACCTTCTCCTGCCATAACAACATTAGGCATTTCATCCGAAGGTATCTCATAGTCATTAAATTCAATTTCACAATGTCCATGTGGAGCATCATCATATCCCATTACTGATAATGGTCTAATTAATTTAGCTTTTCCTGAACTTAATGCCCTTTTAGCATCAACAATAAACAAGGTATGATTTCGATATGGTTTATCTTCGTTGGAACTTGTTTTACACATAATCAACCAAACAGCACATCTTGGATCACCTGCTCCAGATGCAAACCATTTGACTCCATTCAAAACATAATTGCCTTGCTTATTTTTAATAGCACTTGTGGAGATATTTAGGGCATTAGATGATGAAGTACCTTTCTCAGTCATTAAAAAAGCGGATCTTATTTTTCCATTTAATAATGGTTTTAGATACTTGTCCTTGTGATAAGGTGTACCATATTTTGCAAATAATTCCATATTACCAGTATCTGGAGCATTTGTATTTGTTGCTTCAGGCCCTGTGTGTGATCTTCCCAAATATCTAGCCATTAACCCATACTCTAAATTTGTATATTGAGGACCTTCCTTGTAATGTTTTGATAAAAACATATTCCATAACCCCAATTCTTTAGCTTTTGCTTTGAGAGTTTCAATAATTGGAGGTATTTCTTTCCATCTTCTAGCTGGATCAGTTGATATTTGATTGAAATATATTTCATCAGCTGGTAAACAATAATCATTTACAAAATCTTTTGTTTTTTGAATAGCTTCTAAACCTCTTGGAGAGATTTTTTCCAAAAACACAGCGGGAATCTCATCTTTAACAGACATCTTGGAGGATATTAGCAATGTATTGAAATGATGGGAAAAGATTTGTGAATTACAAGTTTCAGAACATGAATATATATATATTAATTAATCATTCCATATTTTCCCCACAAGAATCAAAATTGAAAAATAAACCAAACATTAATAACCGTTCGGAGTTATTTAACCTAAAAGAGAAGTACAAAAAATTTTCCGTTTTTCCATTTGTCACAGAACATTTTTACAAGACATTAGCAAAAGTGTCAATTCACCAAATGAATTGAAATATTAATTTCGCCATTGAATTACAGTCCAACCTATTCACGAAACTGATAGACACTGAAGGAAAATGGAGATTGAATCAGATTTACCGAAATTTCCAGACTATAAATTATCAGAACAGCAATTTCTTATACAACACACCAATTTATCGAATGAAGAAAGAACAAGTTTAATAAATGAATTAGTCAACACCATTAAAACAGAGAACCTTGCACCATATTATAAATACTTACAAAATGAAATTAAAGATTTTCCATATGATGAATCTACATATCAACAGCTAGCTTCCGAAAACGATGAGCAAATAACTGAATTGAAATCAAAAATCAAAGAAGCTGAAGGTGAAGAAGAAACTGAATTGGATGTAACCACTACCACAACCAAATTAGCAGAATATTATACAAAAATAATTGATAGAGTAAATGCTCTTGAAACGTTCAAAAAAGTATTAGAATTGACTTCTGATACTGGAAAGAAAATAGATCATTTATTAACTATGGCTAGAATAAATTTCTTCTTTAATGATCTTCCACAAGTTGGTAAAGATTTAGATCAAATTTCAAATTTAATAGAAAAAGGTGGGGATTGGGAACGTCGTAATAGATATAAAGCATATAATGGGATTTACCAATTAGCTACAAGAAATTTTGGAGAAGCAGCCAAATTACTAATTGATTCATTGGCTACTTTCACTTCAACTGAATTATGCTCATATGAACAAATTGCTCATTATGCAATTGTTGCAGGTGTTATATCTTTAGATAGAGTTGATTTAAAGATTAAAATAATAGATTCACCTGAGATTTTATCAATTTATTCATCTGCTCCAAAGTTAGAACCAATATTAAATTTAACTAATTCATTATACACTTGTCAATATAATTGTTTTTTTGAATACCTTTTACAAACATACGATCAATTATTAGTACCAAACAAATACTTACAACCTCATGCAAATTATTTTTTAAGAGAAATGAGATGTAAAGCTTATGGTCAATTATTAGAGAGTTACAAATCATTATCTTCAAAATCAATGGCACAACAATTCAATATTAGTGAAGACTTTTTAGATCAAGATTTATGTAGATTCATTCCAAATAAGAAATTGCATTGTGTGATTGATAAAGTTAATGGAATAATTGAAACTAACAGACCAGATAATAAGAATAATCAATATCATTTATTAATTAAACAAGGTGATGGATTATTAACTAAGTTACAAAAATATGGAGCTGCTGTAAAATTGAGTGGTGCTGAACGAGTTGTATAAATTATATATAGATGATGTATTGACGTAATTTAAATATTATTAAATCTTGGTAGACCATATTGAGTTCGTAATGATTGTATTCTATACTTGGCCTCTTGTGCTAAATTTTTTAAATTACTTTCTCCCAAAGACAAAATTTGGGCAGTCTTTTCCGCTTGGTCTGGTGGTAATGCCATAAGTTTTTGTTGAGTTTCTTGTGGAAATTGCGGCCATTTTGAACCAGTGATAGGTTGTTGATGTCGACTATATGGTGAATTATTGTTGTTGTTACCTGTATAAGTGTTGATATTATTGAAACCTTGATATTGTTGTTGACCTTGCTGATACTGCGGTTGACCTTGTTGATATTGTTGATATTGTTGTTGGGGTTGCTGGTATTGTTGTTGAGGTTGTTGATATTGCTGCTGAGGTGTACTTGAAGAAGAAATACTTTCCATACTTTCTTTGATAACATCATCATCTACAAATCCCATAAGCGATAATACTTGTACGGCACATAATGCAAAACTTGGATTAGTTTGAAAAAAATTTTGAGCTTTATTTATATCTGTTTGTATTGTATTTTTCATATTTGCAATCAACTCTATTAATTGTATTGGTGGAATAATACTCAAAGTTTCATTAATTTTATCGGGTGTTGATAACGGTAAACTTGCAGCATATGGATAAGTTTTAGAGGCTTGAGTTAGTTTCGTTGGCATCGGTTGGATTGCACCTCGTCCTATTGTTGATAAATTATTATTATTATTTATGTTTGGATTAAAATTTTGTTGTTGAGGTGGAGTCATATGTCTTTGCATTGGTGGGGTCATATTTCTTTGATGTATAGAAACATTTGGAGGCATTGGCGAGTTATTTCTACTCCCACTCATCATTTCTGGTGGTAATCTGACATTCGAAGGTATATTTAAATGTGCAGCATTTATTAATGGTTTTAATTCAGATGGTGTATTATTTGATTTATAGCCTTCTTTAGATCCTTCAACTCTTAATCTTTTGGTATTTCCATTAGGTTGAATTATAACAATTTGACTTAATAAAGGAGCAGCTTTTAAAGCATCTCTTGTACTTTGATATTCAACAAAACAAAATCCTTTATTTTTACCTTCATAATCAAAACTTAATCTCACATCGACCACATTCCCTGAGTTAGCAACTACACTCTTCACTATGGTCTCATTCCAATCATAGGGTAACAGCCCAAGATAGAGGATACTAGAGGTGATGGGTCTTAAAGGAGCCATTGCTGTCTTGAATATGGTGGTGATAAGATTAATTTTTTTTTTTTTGTTGATACTTAAGTAGATTTGATTTATTTATTTGATATTATTTTGAATCTATATATCAGTCTACATTTTAATTTGATCATATCATCGTTACAACACCATGGACTCACCAATGGTAATAGATTTTGAGATAACTGAAGGTAACACAGAAAATATTCCGTTCTGGTTACGTGATGTTTTCGATAGAGCATTAAACACATCTGGATTTAGAAGAAATAGACTGGCTTCAGACGAAGCTATTGCAAGTTTAATTAAAGTTGATCTGAGTCAACTTAAAGATAAGGAATGTTCAATATGTTATGAAAGCTTTACATCTGGACTCACCGAATCAAAGCAAAAACTGGAAGGTCATGAATCTAAAGGTGAAGCTAAAACTAGAGCTCTACTATCCTTGGATAAATCATTTAAAGATAAATTATTTAACGATCATAGTGTTAAATTACATACAATGGAACATAAGTCAAAATTCAATGATCCTTATTTCTTTTTCCCTACTGACGTTGGTGGAGCATCATATAGTCGTTTTCCTCAGAGACATCTATCTACATTAAAACATGTAACAATTGAAGATCAGTTTCCGGGATATAAAGGTGATGATAAAGCAATGAAAGATAAAAAAATAGAACAATACAAGAAAGAAGGTCACGTAGCTGTCAAAATGCCCGAATGTGAACATATTTTTGGACTATCATGTATAGTTGAATGGTTAAAAGCTAATGTTTCATGTCCATTATGCCGAAAAGAAGTTGAAGCAAATAATAACGATCCAAAAAGAATGAAAAGAGAAAATATTGAATATAATACTGTTGCAAATTTTAATGATGAACAAACAATGGTAAATCATATTTTAAATCATACCACAGACGTTTTCAATCCTTTTAGACGTCCGTTTAATCCTTCAATAACACCCGTGACTGATTCTTTTATGCCCCAAGATTGGGCTACACCGTCATACCAAACATTACCCCAAAGATCAAGAAATCCATCAATAGTTCTACCAAAACGCTTTCCGTTAATGGAATCATTTGGAAGTAGTCCTAGATTGTCTTCCATTCGAAGAACCTCCAGAGAAAATAGAAGAGTAAGAAGAAACAGACCAGTCAATAACAACAACAACACCAACAACAACAACAACAACACTAACGTTAATACCACTAATACCAATAATAATTTCAACCTTAATAGTAATGAAACAAACAATAACGAAGATGACGAAAACCTTAGTATTGAAGAAGACTTAGATAGTGTCGAAGAAAGACGAAGAAGAAGAAGAAGTGCTTCAAATGACTCGTCAAGGAGTGCTAGAAGAGTTAACTTCTCACCACATACTACTAATATTGATGATTTGAATGATTCTACAGATAGTGAAACTTTGTGAAACTAGTACGATAAATATATGTGAAACTTTGCAAATCAACCATCATATCTAACTAATTCTTCTTCTTTATAGTATTCCTCTTGAAAGATACTTGAATTTGGTCTGACAGATAGATTACTTTTCCTCTTTAAAACAATAGAAGTTTGTCTCAAGTTCATATATCCGTGAAAAAAATCTTTATTCAATCACCGAATGGATTTCCCCTTTTTGCTTTTAAGCCAAGTTGTCCTAGTTTTTGCAATGTCTGACGTAATGATACGAATTACAATATCTTATTATAAAATTACGATATTCCAGAATAAACATAATCTTTAATTTTTATTACATAAATGAGTTATATAAATGAATTTCTTTAATTGCTATTGCGTGAACAAATTGCAATCAAAACATAGGAATTTAGATTTTGTGTAATATCCTGAGAGTGTTCCAAAAGATGTTATAAAAGGGCAAGGATGTTTCCCCAACTTCAATTTAGCACAATTCATAGGTATTTTTGTATTAAATCATAAAAACCATTTTATAGAATTCAATTAAAAAATGTTACGTCAATCAATTATTAGATCAATTAGACCAACAGCTTATAGATCAAATAGAGTAATTGTCACTAGAAATTATGGTATAGTGAATGCCACAACTAAAGTACTATTTGGAGAAAAAGGGGTAAAGGAGAAAGATGAAAAAGAAGGAGAGATCAAAAGAGATCTTGATGAAGCAAATTTAGATGTAGGAAAAAAATTAGCAAATGATATAAATGATGCTCAAAATGCTGCCCATGATGTTTCAAAAGATGCCGATACTATTGGGGAAAAAGTTAAGTCTGCGGCCGAAACTGCTAATTTGAAAACTGGACGTGTTTTAGCAGATGGAATCCAAACTGCACAAGATGCAGCTCATGATGTAACGAAAGATGCTGACAGCTTAGGAGATAAAGTGAAATCAGCAGCTGAAACAGTCAATTTAAAAACAGGTAAAGTTCTTGCCGATGCTATTCAAGATGGTCAAGATATAGTTGATGGTACAGGTGCTACTACTCAAAATGTTAAAGACAAAGCAAAAGAAGCAGCTGACACAGTAAATAAAAAAACTGGTAATGCCATAGCTGATGGTATCGACAAAACTCAGCAAGCTGCAGACACTGTTAATAAAAAAACTGGTAATGCTATAGCTGACGCTACTGAATCTGGAGAAAAAGTAATAAATAACTTAAAGAATGAAGAAAATTTAGAAAATGAAGAAGAACAAGCTAGAAAAAAAGTTGAGAAAAATGCTGAAGGTTACGATAGCTTACAAGAGAAAGGTAGAGATGTAAAAAATATTCAAGGTAGAGTCAGTGATTTAATGTAATGTAATGGAGTTAAACACCTAATTACGTTAACTACAGATCAATTATATTTATAAAAAAATAGATTTATCAATTCTTAAGAAAACAAAATTGTGTCAGACTGTCGTTTAATTGTAGTAAATTTATCTCTATCTAATCATGAACAAAATAATATATTAAAGTGGTATTGATATTGCAAGAAACACACCGATCAAAATTTTGCAACCTTTTTTGTTGTCCATAAAATTAACCCCCTAAGGTCAAACTACTGTCGTTTTGGCAATTGCGGTTTTATTATTTGTTACTGAAATGTAGTAGATTGATTCGATACCCTTGTATCTACGTTGAATCTAAATAATACACGAAATGTAAATGATAATAATAATTGTTGATTCTCTAAATAAGAGTATATAAAATTCTATATAATTAACTTGTTTTATTTGTCCGACGAATCTCACCATCGTCGTAAAGTCAATGTCGTAAGAATTGACTGACTTGTATGATAATACACTACAACGCTAATATTCTTTACAATCGCGTTCCAACATTACATGCCTTATAAGTTCCAATAATACTTTAAGAAAGCTTTCAGTCTCACAAAATCTCCATTGTGCTCACTTTATATTAGTATGACCTAAATTTTGTTTCATGCAAGAAAATGCATTAAGGGGTTGGATGATAGTATTAAAAATGGTTGCGAAAAAATTCAAATCTACTAATTATAAATAGATCAGTTAGGATCATATCAATTTTTCCGTTATAAGCACCAACGGACAACATACATTCAAAACCATGCTTTCAAGAAAACAATCATTACATTTGTTGAGAAACTATTCATTTAAGTCACAAGCAAGTAAGACTGTTGATTGGGCAAATAGTAAAAAGCCGGTATTACAAAATCTCAAAAATCAAACCAAAAAGGCAGCAAACACAATAAACTTGAAAGCAGGTCTGTTTTTAGCAAGTCAGATTGATAAAGTAGAGCATTCAAATTTCAAGTCTGGTCAAACGAATAAAATTGATAAAGAAGAAGCTATGGATTTGAGAAAAAAAGTTGAATTGAATGCAAAAGGATATGGAAATTTACAAAACAAAGGATGGGCATTAAATCGAGATGACAGAAGACCCGAGGATGGATTTGATATACAACAATGGTAAAAACATTGAATAGTTACTAATATATGTTGAAATGGACATGTCACAAAACAACTCTACCAATGATAAAACATACGAGAACTTATAGTGGGATTGAGTAAATTCACATTCGTATTAAACACAATGATGTTAAATATAATGCACTATATCAATCTAGTTCTTGTTTGAATCATACCTCCACCAAATGATCTTACAGCTTTATGTTTAAAGTCGGTTTTTTGTAGTCTTCTCCAAGCCTCTTCGATATGATAAGGCATTATAGGACTTGCTAATTCATCAGGTTTATCAAATAAATATTTTCTCTTTTTGGGTTGTTGTTTTTCCAAACCATCTTTAAGATTTTTCTCTTTTTGAATTTGATTTAATTTATCTTCAGAATTTTTTATATTCATTGCTTCTTCTGTTAATGAACAAACAATTTCAAAAGTTAAGAAACCTAAAATATCTATAACATCATCATTTGGTCTTGAATCACATAATTGAGTTATAGATGCCCATTCTCTAAATCTTTTAGCTTTTCTAAATGTAAAACTGGCTTGTCTACATTCTGACCAATGCACATATTCTTCTCTTGTCATATTTTTCGTTCTATCATCTGCCATTTTCAATCTCTTTAGCGACGCTATTGTAGCTGCTTTTTCTTCCTCATCAACTTGTTCACTTTCTTCATTTGTTTCTAAATGTTGTTCACTAAACATAAATTGTAATTCCCAAGGTAGTCTAATTTTTGATTTTTTATATCTCGAAAGCATTTTTGACGAGTCATTAGAATTAGCATTTTTACCATCTGTATTACCTGCACCATCAGCATTACCTTCTAAAAGTGACTCAGTCCCACCACCTTCTTGATCTTTAGCATTTTTACGAACATCTTTCCAAGATAAATAAGTTCTAAGTCTATTTACTTTGGCTTTATCATGTCGTATTAAAAAAATCACGTCTTCTGGAGCTATACTCTTTGATCCTCTATTATTTGCAGTTCTAGTTGTTTGAATTAGAATCTCGATAACTTGACCTCGTACTATATCTTCAATCAAACTTGTTGTTTCAATGGGTGGATCATTTGATTCTCCAGAAACAAACATCATTTGTTGAATTTCTATTCGATACTTGTACTTGTTATCGGAGGACATTGTCAGTGAATTGAATGATTATTCTTAGGAAGTTGTAGTCTTGATCCTGAAGTTATTCGGTTAATCATTGTCAAATTAAATCAGTGTCTTAAAAGTTGTTTATTTTTTACCATGCACGACATCGAATTCCTCTTGCGATGTTTTAAATTGAATTCTGAAAAATAAAAAATTTCAATGTTTTATAATCACTTTTCTTTCATAACATTCTGCAGACTGCTACAAAAGGTTTCAAGATCATCCATTTATATATTGACATGATCCGACTATACAATCAAGCCCGTATAACTTTATAGTTGGTAATATGCATGCATAAGATTCAATTATGCATATATATTAATTCAAAACCTACACAATTCAATCATCTAAAACTAAAATCGAAATCAATTAATATCATAATGTTTATTTATTTTAATGATGAATATGAGTGCATTTGGCTCGAGACGTAATGTCGGTGTGGAAAAACTCAAGCTACCTTATTTTTACTTTTTCTGATAATATAAATAAATTAAGATATTATTGATTTAAGAGTTTGGTTTTAGATTGTTTCATTGTTTGTGTCTGTAGTGCGTGAATGGTCGTAAAAAACATACAATTTTGAATAGATCTTCTGATTTCCTTAAGACATTAATGGGAAAAGTTTACTTTACTAGTGTTGATTCTTTATTAACATGAGTGTTACAATTATATTGCAAAATTCTATAAAATTATCCAAAGAGTCGTATACCATTACTTTCATCTATCTCTTCTTCATCCTCTTCTACACCATTCTCTAAATCATCGTTTTCATTCATGTTAACTTTTTGACCTAAAAGTGATGCAAAAAATTCATCAATTTGATCATCATTCCATTTCCAACCTCCTGTTGAAGTTTCAAAATTTGCAATTTGATCTTGTACATGATATCTTAATTTCCTACCTTTTGAAGCCTTTGTATCTACATTATTTTTCAATTTATTAGATTTTTGAATTGATTTAATCATACTTGTTGAATGAGATGATTCTGATGATTGAATTTTTTTATCAACAAAATCATTTAATAAAATTCTGTAAAAATCTTCATCATCAAAAATATGAGGAATTTCTTGTCCTTGGGATTTTTTACGTATTTGATTCTCTATAGGTATATCATCATCATCTTTTAATTCATCATTTTTTTCATCGATTTCATCGGTGTAACCCATTGGTATTACTTGTCTTCTATTTAATTTAGTCCTTTTAACCAAACGATCCATATCTGATAAGTTGTTCCTAACTTGTTGCTCAAATGATTGATTTATAGATTTGAATTTGCTGTTATTTATAGCCGAACTTCCTGATGAATTTTGAATTTTAGATGACCATTTATTCAAGATTACAGCTCTTTGTGTGTTTAAGTTGGAATCTGCAGATTCCGTAACTTCTGAAAATGTTTCAAATGATCTCTTCTTAGGTTGTTTAATTGAAGTATCCTCTAATTTTGATCTTAATACAAGTAGATTCCTCAAGAATTCCATAAGCTGAATTTTTGCTTCTTCCAATAATTCATCACTATCAGCTGATTTATTTTCTTCATATACTTTTGAATTAATTGGTAACTGATTCATACTAGTAACTGATTTTTGAAATTTTATTCTCAACTCAACTAGTTTTTCATACGATTTATTCTGTTGTTCCACAGCATAACCTTTTAGCACATCGTTTATAGTCGATTGTGATAACCTGTTTACAATGTGTTTCTTCTCTTTAGCTAACAATTGTTTGACTAGATTCCGTTGATGTGAAGAAGTTGATTTGACTGGTCTTTCGTTCTCTACCTCTGACTCATCCTCATCTGAGTCTTGTGATAATTTAGACCCTAGACTTTCTTGCTCTTCACTTGAATCTTCTTCTTCCTCTTCTGAGTCATTGTTAATATTTTCCTCTTCATCTACTTCTTCTTCTTCTTCCTCATCCACATCTTCATCTTCATCAACATCTTCCTCATCATCTTCTTCGGAATCATCATATAATTGATCTCTACTAATAACATCACCTGTATATTTTTTCCCCAAATCCAAACTTTGACGATTTCTTAATTTAGACTTCAGTGTTTCAATATAATGTTGATTTTTCAATTCTTGATCTGAATTATCATCATTAGATTCGTCATCGATATCATCTTTATCTTCATGCTGAAACAAATCCTTTTGAGTTCTTCCTATATCAAAATCTTCAATATCATAATCATTTTTTGGTTTATAAAAATCTCCTATCTCATCTGCTAATGTCTTTTTACCCATAATCTGAATAGTCTTTGAGATGCTTTTGAATTGAATATATTTTACAAATAAAGCGTCTTCGCATCGTAAAGTTTATTTTTTTTACATAAATAATTTGGCTTAAACACTCGGGCGAGAATGTTTCGATTGTCGCACAAATCATTCAATTTTTGCTCGAGGCTCGACCTACAATTTCTGTGTGAGTACAGTTTCAAAACGTTTATCATCAATCGTAATTAGTTTGAATGAAAATGAAGCATTTGAAATGTAATCCACTCGACACTCCCTCGACCCAGCCAGAACTTGACACTCCTGCAAAAAATCTAGGAAGACAAAGTCTCTAACTCGTATTATGAAGATTGAGGCAGTGCTACCATCAAAAACTATACGCGATTTTCAAAAACCACTTCGAATGGTACCTCGTACGATCAATCAATAACGGGCATAAAATAACGACTGCATTGCTACTCGACTAAATGGATTATACAAAGTATTTCCGAGCTAGGACTTACATGGTTTTATCGTTTGGATTGAATTTTAAATTGCTTTTCTTATTTGTAAGGAAAAACGATCTCTTTGCTTTTTTCTACTTAATATTTTTAAATAACTTTCTCGAACTCCAATTCTTTTTTTTTTTTGTTTCTATTTTTATAAACAAATTCATTCTAAATAATAATTTATTATATCATTTTAAATTGATATATTGCTAGAGTTAAAGATTTAGTTAAAGCGTCACAGATAATCGGGCCTTATTTCGTAGAGATCATACATTAGAGAAAAAACATAGTTCAAATAGAATAGATCGGATAATAAAATTGACTCACCGACAACTTCAGCTTCAAAATTGACGGATTCATTATAGCATAGCAGATTACATTACTAGACCACATAATATACATACGATTGAAAATGCAATTTGAGAGAATACTATTATTTTTTACAATCTTCATATCTTCAGTATTTGGATTAGCAGATCAAGGTGATGGAGGAGGAGCCAAAACAAGTGAACAAACAATAGTCTGGATAACAACAACAATAAGTGGTCAATTAACAACGGTTTCAGTATTGTATACTCAATCATTTATGTCTACATATTCTGAAGCTCAAACTGAAGGAATAAGTAGTGGTAATGTTGGTTTAGGATCAATTAGTGGCTCAATCGGATCACATAGATCTTATGATCAAACTACTATATCTTCAAAAGGTGATGCTATTAATGAATTTATGAGATCATATAATGTATATGGTGGTTTATTGGGTGGAATTGTTTTAATACTAGGTTTAATTTAGAGGTTGTTTACTTATTTGTTTGTATAGATTAGAGATTGTAATTTAGATTGTTTTTTAATTTCAACATCGCATAAGTATATACATCTGACACTATGTCTTCCTATTACTACTCAGCTGAACTTTTCTTACTAAATGCTTGACGCCAGATCTCAAGTTTGACTAAAAAATCTGAGATCTCACGCGGAATTAGTTTGACAGATCGGAATTATATAAAATTTTTCAGTTATCAAAAATGCCAACCATTGTAAATTGGAGTAAATGTCATTTGAAACTGCTTCACCTGTCATAGTAACGGTTGAAGAATTGCAAAACGGAATAGATGATGCCACATTATCACAAGCGTTTGGTCCAAATTCACTAGGTATTATCTTAGTCAAAGGTTTACCTGATCATTTTCAAAGTTTAAGAGAAAAAGTATTAAAATCAGCATCAATTTTATCAAATTTACCAGAGGAACAATTACGAGATCTTGAATGTGAAGAATCCGTATGGTTAATTGGTTGGTCTTGTGGTAAAGAGAAATTAGCATCTACTGGTAAACCAGATTATAATAAAGGTTCATTTTATGTGAATTGTGCTTTTCATAATGATGATAGTTTGGAGGGTCCTTCTCAAGATTTGGTTGAAAAATTCCCGAAACATAAAGCTTATACAGAATCCAACAAATGGCCTGAAGAAAAAAGTGAATTAATTAATTTCAAAAGTAACATGAAAGAATTATGTAATTTAATTATAAATGTTGCAGCATTAGTAGCACTTAATTGTGATCAGTACATCAAAAAGATATACAGTGATTACGAAGCTGGATTTTTGGGAAGGATAGTGAATGAATCCACATGTACAAAAGCAAGATTATTACATTATTTTCCATCAAAATCTGATATAAATGGCACGAACAACGATGATTGGTGCGGAGAGCATTTAGATCATTCATGTCTAACAGGTTTAACTTCCGCGCTTTTTATAGATGAATCAGAGGGTAAATCAACAAATTTAACATCTTCCCCAGATCCATCAGCAGGTTTATACATCAAAAATCGAGACAACAAGACAATTAAAGTCAATATACCATCAAATTGTTTAGCTTTTCAATCAGGTTCAGCATTAGAAGAAGTTTCAAAGGGGAAATTCAAAGCTGTTCCACATTTTGTTAAGGGGACCAGCCAACGAAATATTGCAAGAAATACCCTAGCAGTATTTTGTCAACCTAATTTAAATGAAAAAATCAATGACACTGAAAATTTTGCTCAATACTCTGATAGGATTTTGAAAGAAAATCACTGACGGCATTAATGTCAAGGTTTTTTATTGATCTGTTAAATTATTTTATTTATTGAATCTTAACTTTGTAGTTCCTCTTGATGGATGTTCTAGTCTTCCAATTACGCGCACAAAATTTATCACTCTAATACTTAAAACCTTATCAACATGTAAGAAAATAAATGGAATTTCATGAAATACCAACGATCAATGACACGACCGTATCAAGTGAGGATGAAGTCGTAAGATCACGATTACAAAAGCTAGGTCAACCAGTTTTTATAAATGGTGAAACGGTCGAGGATAGGAAACAGAGATTACATAGTCTTTTGAATGATGATGCAATTGAAGAGGATCAAAATGGAGAGGAAGAAGATGATGAATTTGATGAAGATGAAGATGAAGATGAAGAATTTTATACTCCAGCATCAGAAGAATTGTATGATATAAGGCGACATGTTTTAAGTGATTCGTTGCAAAAATCTTCAGATCGATTGAAAATTCAAAGACAAATTGTTCAAAACAATCCCGATTATACAACTTTTTTAAAACAGCGACGTGATTTAAATTCCAAAATTTCCAAAATTGATCTTTATGGATCTCAATTTTTACCAGGAAATACAAGGGCAATTTCCAGTGTCAAATTTAATAGAAATGGTAAATTAATAGCTTGTGGGTCATGGGATGGTTCATTACATATTTTAGAATCAAACAATTTGTCACCTATTATAAAACCTTCCCAAAATCAACATCAAGAAAAAATAGGTTCATTAGATTGGAAAATGAATGAGGATGTTTTGATTTCTGGAGGTGGTGAAGGTACTATAAATTTATGGAATATTGAGGAAAATTCGACAGAAACAGTGCTAAAGCCAAAATTCACTATCAAAGACGCCCATACCAATAGAATTACAAAGACAGAATTTCATCCCATAAATCAATATGCAATATCTACATCATTTGATCAAACATGGAAGTTATGGGATCTTATTAAACAAGTAGAAATATATCAACAAGAAGGTCATTCAAAAGAAGTTTTTTGTGGTTCAATTCATCCTGATGGTTCATTATATTTATCTGGTGGATTAGATGGGATAATTTATGTATGGGATTTAAGATCAGGTAAATGTTTAATGCCTTTACAAAAACATATACAAGGAATTTATGGATTAGATTGGTCTCCTAATGGTTATAATTTTGCAAGTGGGTCAGGTGATTCTACTATTAAAATATGGGATATGAGAAAATTAAATCATTCAGGTGATGAAATATCTACTATACCAGCCCACAAAAAACTTATAAGTGGTTTGAAATACTATAAAAGTGATGATGAAAAATCAGGTAATATTTTGATGAGTAGCTCATATGATGGGACTATTAATTTATGGTCAGTTAATAATTGGATAAAAGTGAATACCCTACAAGGTACTAATGATAAAGTGATGAGTTGTGATATTACTACAATAGATAATGAGATTACTGTTGTTGGTAGTGGATGGGATCGTACTGTTAAATTATGGAAATGAGCTACTAGTCTAAATTAGGTTATGATAGTTAAGCCTTTCTTAATAAAATTTGTGGTAAATTAAAGTTTTCCTCTCTTAGCCTAAAAATAAAATTTACGAGATTTCTTGAAACAAAAACAATCTTTAACATGTTTTGAAAAATTATCAATTAGGTTAAATAGTTAAACTCACAACCACTACCATTAAAGATGAACTTACTAAAAATCCTAGATACTACGCCTGAACCTCCTATAATAGAATTAGAATTAAATGAATTAAATCATAGTGGAGACTATAATTTAGGTTGTCCAATGTATGAATATCAAAAAGAATTAACTGATCAAATAATATCACTACATTACCCAGATATATTAAAATTTTGTGAAATTAATGATTTTAAAGATATAATTATAAAATCTGTTGAAACATGTATTGAAAATTGTATGTTGGTTAGTACTCATCCTTACCTCTTAATAAGTCATTATATGCCTAAAAATTTAGCTCAAAAAGATATGCCAGCTAAAATTGCAGAAACAAGTGGAAAATTCAATGTTTTAAAAGATTTATTGAATGTTATAATTTTGAGTAGTACCACAAAAGAAAAAAGTATTGGGTTGGTAATGAGTAATAATATTAAATTATTTGATTTAATAGAAGCATTAATTTTATTATGTTCAGGAAATAAGGTCATTCGAAGATATGTGGGGAATAATATACAAAGAGAATCTAAAAAGCAAAGTAAAATGAATGGTAATGGTAATGGTAACGGCACGTCAAATGGAACAGATCATAGTGCACCAACATATATTCATCTAATACCATCAGATGGAAATATACAGAGAGATAAAGACTTATATGAACAAGCTAAATTTGACGTATTAATAACAATAGATGGAGGTGTTGATACTCAATCCGAATTTTATCAATCATTGAAAACAAAAAATCATAATTCAGACGAAAAACCAGCTGTAAATATACGACTTATTCCATTAAAAACAGTCGAACATGTTAAATTACATTATGAAAATCATAAAACTTTACCAGATTATTTATATAAATTAATTTCTTCTGTGGTTTGTTTACGTGATTATATTGGAAATTTATCTCCAGATGTATTTCCCATATATAATCAAAAGTTAAATTACTTAAGAGATACTTTTTTCAACATTTTATTTGAAAATAGTACTACATATCCATCTTGGCCATTACCTTCGTTACCAATAATACAACAATACACCCCAATAGATGTAGAGAGATCGCTACTAACGGAAGCACATTTTCATTACACGCCATATGGATTGAATGGTTTCTCCGAAGAAAAAAAAGTATTACCAACCTATTATGAAATTAAAAGATTACAACTGGACTATATTACAAACCCTTTAAAAAACTCATATAATGAGTTGATTGGTATTATAGGATCAAATGATACCGATGTAAATAATGGTGTACTAACTCATAAAATGCTTTTACAATTGAATTCTGCATTTCTTGAGTTGAATCGAATAGAAGAAGAATTACAATCTTATGAAAATTATGAAAGTGAAGAAGTTCAAAATAGAATTGGAAGACGAGAAAAAGAAATGAGATTATCAGTTTCCAAAATATTTGATGATATAGATCATGCTCAACAAAGAATAGAAAGTGGGAATAAATGGATTGTTAAGAAAATCGAGAAAATTGATAATTTAAAGAATGAGATAAAAGAGAAAAAAGAAAAACTACTGACAATGGAATCAACTGTAACTGATGAAAACCAAAAGAAGTATATAAAAAATCAATTAGAAATATGGAATTTACAAAATGAAATAAAATTATCACTTAATAGAATACTATCAAAGAATGATGAAAAAAATTATACAACCAAAGAATATCAAAACGCATTAAATTCTATTAAAGAATCTGAAGTCGAATATATTCAAATCGAAAAAGATATTGAAACAGCTAAAAGGAAATTAGAAGATATAGAAAATGATCAAGAGGAACAAAATAAAGAATTTGAATTAAAACAAAATTCAATTATTCAACAAATTAATGAAACTAAATCATCAAATGAAGAAATAGAAAAAAAATTAAACACAGCATTTAAATTTTTAAGGGATACATCTCATTTAAAAAAGAGAAAAATACGAACTGCAACACCAAATAAATAATTACTATTTACATTGAATATATAGGCATAGCTTTTTCCTTAGCATCCAATATTAATACATTATTTATAGGTGAATGGTTTTTACTTAGGTATTGTATAACATCTTGAGCTAATGTTCCACCTAAAATAGCTGCAGTTGGTGAAAATTCAGCAAATGCTTGTCTCTTAATTTCTTCAAAATAATCTTTGGAAATATTTGATGAATCTAATCCTAAATTTTCATAAGTTTGAATAAGTTTTTCCCAAAGTAATTCGGAATCTAGTATTGATTCTGGTGAATCATCCAATCTTTCTATATCAAACAACGCAAATATTATAGTTAATGCATCTAATTTTTTCAATTCTCTTCTTTTTAATGTTGTAGGTAATACTTTTGAATTAAAGATCTCTTTCAACGTAGAATATATATCCTCAATAGTAACCAAATCAATTTTGGTTTCTTTATTTGAATCAACTTTTATGATTGTTTTATTTCTAGATAATTCAGTACCAGCTTTACGAGGTATTGAACTTTCATTCATTTCATTAACTGATACATGTTTAATTAAATCAACAAGAATATATCCAAACATTCCATGCATCCCACTTATATATAAAGGAATATTTAATTCTCTTGTACTTTGATTTAATGCAAATATTTGAGATTTTGTCAATTCTGTTCCAATTATTAAATCAAATTTTTTCAAATATGAATAATCTTTACTCAATTCATTTATTGAATTGGTATTGATAGATAAATTCACTGCTGGGTTTAATTCCCTAATTTTATCAAATACTAATGGTAATTTCAATTGACCAACAATAGATTCATCGTTAGGTAAAAAAAATTGTGCAGTAAAATCTTCAATTTTAACATATGATGGATCTAAAATTTCTATTGAATTAATACCACCAAGAACTAAATTTTTTACAGCTTCTGATCCAATTGCTCCTAAATTTATTACTAATATTTTTGTTGATCTTAATCTTAATTGAGTTGCCATTCCCCATAATCTGATTTGTCTATCATAAAGAGCAATTTCATCTAGCTTGAGTTAGTGAAAGTTCAGTAAAATAAAATTTATAGTAAAACAACATACCTGCTGTTAGTTCTTCATCTTTTGTATTTGACATTGTGCATGGAGTTAGTTTTGAATTTGATTAACTATGAAATGATAAATAGAGACTCGTGATTTTATTTTTCTTTTTGGAAAAAAAAAAAAAACGGGCTACCAAAATACGCGACTTGTTTCAAGTCTGGTTGCAAAATTGTAAAATAAATCTTGTTGCAAAATATGAAAGAATTTTTTAATTGCTTGAAAAACATTACTCATTATAAATTACTACTATAAAGATCTACTCTATACAACATTAGTAATTGATTCATTTTCAAATCAAGGATTTGAAAAGATGTATAATTTCATCAATTAATCGAAACAAATGATCAATATTTTTTTCCAAAATGGTGCTTTTTTATACCGTTCCAAATCTTCTAGATTTTCCAATTCCAATAATTCAGGGTCATATATAATTCTATCTTTATTAACATCAATCTGACTGACCGGTTTATATAATTTCCAATTTCTCGTCCAAATTTTATGAATTATATAACACACCACAAATACAGGAGCACCTAAATAATTTTGAAAAAAATTATTTGCATCTGGTTTAGAACCAGGAAATAATGACGTCCAGAATTGAGCAATCAAAATTAATGAATTTATTATTATTGATGCATATGCACCTAATAAACCAGTGGGAGATTTATAAGCCAATGAATCAAGTGAAATTTTATTATATTTTAATGCTGCTCTGTACCTAACATAGGAAACACAAATGAATAACCAACATAACACAAATGAAATACCTGATATAGATAAAAGCCAATTAAATACAGTTTCTTGCTGATCAAAAGCAGCTATGTAAGCAAAAAACCCAGATATTACAACCAATACCCAAGCTCTAAAGGGCCTTCCTTCTCTATCTATGTAATCTAACCACTTTGGACCAAGTCCCTGTTGAGACATAGACTGAATTAACCTTGGTGAACTATACATTGCGGCTGTTGCGACGGAAGTGACAGAAATTAAAATAACTGAATTTATAATATGTGGTAACACCTTGACACCATTTAATTCAGCAGCTAATACGTAAGGAGATGCATGAGTAGCAGAATCTCCGGATCCCATGAGTCTATCACTATTAGAAGGGACCAAAAGTCCTACGAATGTCAAACTTCCCAAAAATAAGACAATAACTTTTACCCACACCAATTTCGATGCAGCTCTGATAGAAGTTCGGGGATTTTTGGTTTCACTTGCAGCTATACTGATAAATTCGCTTCCACCCATAGAGAAGACACCCGAAATAAACACTTTTAGGACGTTCTTGAAACCAGAGACCGGGATATAAGGGTCTCTATAGTATTTTCCACCAATAAAACCCTGTGGTCCTCCTCCTACATCAATAACCAATCCAAATATGATAAATCCACAAAGCATTAACACTTTACATGAATTAAATAATGCTTCAGCATAGGAATATGTTTTTGCTCCACCTAAATTGATCAAAATGACGATAATAAAAAATATTGTTACCCAAACGTCAGGATTAACTGAAGTATTCCAAAATTTTATAGTCATTGCAGCAGTAACTAATTCCAAACTCAAAACACAACACCATTGAAATGCATAATTCCAACCTAATGCAAATCCTAAACTTTCATCTATAAATTTTGCATAATAAGATTGAAAACCTCCAGGTAATCCCGTATAACTTATACTTAATTCAGAAACACAATTTATTGTTGGAACTAACATTAATATTCCAGTTATTGAATAAGCTATTAATACACCCCCGGGCCCAGCAGTATGTAATCTACCCCCACTTGCAACTAATAATCCAGTACCTAATCCAGTAGATAATGACATTAATCTTAATTCATTTTTCAGTATAGCTTTCTTTCTATCATCACCAACAATATCAGTTTTTGGAGCTCGTTTAAAACCATTTATGAAATTATTATATTTTGATTTTGGTGAATTGGTAGAAATATCATTTGATTTTGATGATGAAGAATATATATCTTCATCTAGATCACCCAACTCTATATCTTCTCTAGTTGGGATTTGCTTTACCGAAGACATGCCAGACTTGAGATTCATAAGTATCTAATTAGATTTTCCTTTGATTAAATCGAGATTTCAATTTCTTTATATATGAATACGTGAATATTGTGTTACTCCTCAGAATAAATCGAGATTATATATGGATAGATGAATATTGTGTAAGGATCTGATGTGTAGGAACTCTTTAGTTTGGCATAACAAAATGCCTTTGGTTTTAATCTTAAAATGAACTTGTTTCAAAAAGTAAAAGAAAGAACATTTAAAAGCTTTGGGGTAATTCAAAGCATCTTAACTTTATCATTTTATTATTGGAGGATTACAAAATCAAATTATGTTATTGTGTGTTTTAGATTCATAGGTCTTCTTGTATGTATTTTTCCTAATCTTTTAATTTTTTTTTTCAATTTTTATCAAATTTAAACAATTTGCATGAAACAAACAAATTACACAAAAGTACACAAGCTACACAAAAATAGCATTCAAACATGAACACTCTTCATAACATATAGAAACAAAAAAATTGATCTTCAATTAGTTCACGCGTTGAATAATTGAACAATTCCAAAACAGATGGGTACTTATCACTTTCTGAGTAATGAAGGATAGTTTTTGAAGCTTTTATGGTATTTGGTTGAAAAATCTTTATTTTGCTAATTTTAACTTGTTTTTGTCCTACTTCATACAGCACATCTCTTCAATTTGCAGTTTTGAAGATGAAGAGTTCAATACTTTATTTTAAATTAAGATGTTGAGCAGGTCAAATTCATGAACCGAAACTCCGAATCGAGAATTTGTGAAAATTTTTGTGAAAAACATATATTTTTATCTTCCTCATACAACCTTTGCGGTATATTAAGGGAACTAACTTGATGACAAAATTAATTCAAATTTGTTGTTTGAGAAGCTCTCTTTCTAGTTTTGAAATAGTTAACATAAACCAGGGATTGTTTGTAAGTTTAAACATGAGTAATTATTTCTCTTACTCGCTAGTTTTGACCATTTTGCTAAATAATATTGTCAGAAACTTCATTTAAGACGTTACGCATTTAAGACAAATAATTACAAGAGTTAACTTCCGCGAAGTAGTTTTATGAAGACGAAGAAGCTCGACAAGGTAGATACTTGCAAAATCAATCATTCATTACATCATTACATCATACAGTTATTTCACACAGTGGTTCTGATTATGTGGGGTAAATTTACTCATGTTTCAAAAACATTGTTTGGGCCAATACTTTTTTAATATGAACGTTATTTTTTTCGTTTTAACTTATTCAACATTGTGATTGCCAATATTGAGAAATGTCCTCATTAGTCGATACGTGATAGTCTTAAAGCTTTATATCAGGAAAAATAGCCTCTGTACTCCATAAATAATATTGTATTTTATGAAATGAATCTCTTTGTGAATTTTATTTTGCAACATTTCAAAATTTGCAAAATTTTGTTGCAAAATTGTTTTAAATAACATTTACCAAAGACAAAATCTAAAGCAACAGTTTATACGTTTCATCTCCACATTTAGCCAAAAAGCTATGGTTAAAGACAATATTAAAATCTATTTTGTGGTTTCACAGTGGCTGATGTGAAGGAGAACTTTGATTTGCAGAAATCGACCGTTAAGTTCGCAGATTAGACGACAAATAAACCCGAGTATTTTTAATTATCCTATCGACAACATCCACAATTCATAACGTCTGATCAACTCTTTAAGAACGGTAAAAATTTGTCATCATTTACTCTGTCATAAGTTGAAACAACGAAATAACAATGATGGGTATAAGTAAAGAATTTTTCGGCCGAGAACGAACGTAAGATTATTTATTTGGTGTAATATTGGTCAGATTTTATCATTTAACTAGCAAACTAATAATGTTCATATCACCTTAAAATACTCAAGTGTCAATTCAAAGCACCCTCATTATGTAAGTAGCTCGTAATCTGAACAAATTCGTTTTTGCTATGTTGAATAATGAGGAAAATTGTAGCTTTATTGGTTCCTTCGGGTCTTAAATTTAAAGTTTCTCTCTTTTAAATCCATTGAAAAAAAAATTCTCCGCTTTGAAAAATATTGAAGAATATCATAGATTGATACAATCCACATTACTCATCACTCTTGCCTTTCCAAATTCATCGAATCGACTGATCCATACTCATAAGAAGGCTCCAACTGGAAATCAAGAAATAAAATTCCGCCGACTTCGAAAAGAGATATCATCATATACATTACCATCTCACATCATATATAAGTAGGACATAATCAAATACCTCCACACCAAATAAGATTATAATATAATCAAATTCCCACATCACATAAGAACAAAATATAATCAAGTTCAACCATTCCTAATCTAAGTCCAACAAACGATGGTATTATACTTTGAAAACAAGATTCAATACAATTTTGATTTTGAAACAACAACTTTAGCACACTTAAACAGATATCCAAATCCATACGCAAAACATGTATTATCAGTAGATACATTAGATTCACATATTGATAAAGAAGGTCAATTAAATATAACTAGAATAATTGTTAAAACAGGTAGATTACCTAAATTTGTTCGACCTTTTTTAGGTTCAACAAATTTAAATTCTTGGATAATTGAAAAATTAATAATAAATCCAAAAACAAAAACAATGAAATCTTATACTTCAAATATAGATCATAGAAAATTTATAAGAATTGAAGAATTTTTAAATTTTCAAACAGATAAATCTTTATTAAATTTAATTGAATGTAATGCAAAAGTAAAATTTTCTTCAAATTTAATTGGTTTAAAACTGAAAATTGAAGAATGGAGTCATCAAAAATTTTCAAAAAATATTAATAATTCAAGAGATGGTTTAACTTATGTTATGAATAAAATGAAAGAAAAAGGAAAATATTATTTTATAAAAAAAAATATGAATAATGGATTGGGAGTTTGATTTTAGTAGGTATTTGATGAAATTTTCATATATATAAAGGAATTAATGAGTGTATATATGATAGCTTTTAATGAATGTAACGAATTATTTATGAGTGAAAATTAAAGACAATAAGTTCAAAGGAACAATATTTTAGATGATACATGGTATTGATACTTTCAACTGTATTTAATAATCTTCAGTATCTCTCACCAGTTACTGCTAAGATATGATCTACTAAAACTGAAAATCAAGCGAGCACATGGTAGCCTTATCGTAACAGTTAAAATTAATTGTATTGTGATTTAATTTTTGATAACCAATTTAATTTTTAATTTTAGGAAAGCAAGACTCATAATAATCACTACTTTTACAACCAAAATTAATAAGAATTATATCTACTAAAACTTTCTAAAACATTCAACATGACGAATATAAAGCATGGTCACAAAATACATCATCATTCTAGTTCCAATTCTTCCACTACATCAACAAAAAACAATTCACCCAAATTAACCGAATCAAAGACTACATCACCAAGACCAGAACCAACAATTATCAAAAGAAGAAATTCATCATTTGCTAATTCATCATCTCCATGGTTTAGAAGAAATTCATTTTTATCACCTACAATGATTCAAAATGAAAATTTTAATGTTTATGAATCAAATAATAATTTTTATAATCCTAACTACAACAATAATAATGGTAATGGTTTTAGTCATAATTATTCAATTATATCATTAAGAGAATGTCAAGGTTTTTTATTTAATCAAGATTTATTTGCTAGTCCTTATCAACAAGTTAGATCACAAGCTAATGAAAGAAGAATATCATCCACATCAGCCACAATTAATAATAACACAACTAAAAATAAAACTAAAACTAGAAGACATACTAGTTATCATTCACCAAGACCAACATTTACAAATAAAGATGAACCTAGTAAAAACAAAAACAACAATACAGCTATAGATGATGATGAAGACGATGATGAAATGCATGATGCATATGAAAATGCATTTGAAGAAGATGATGAAGATATGGAAGAAATGGATGATGAGGATGATGAAGAAGAAGAAGAAGAAGATGAAGATTATAGTGAAATGCATGGGTATGGTGGTGATTATAATAATAGGCGATATAAAGTCAAAGTTACTGATATTTATATTGATGAAAATGAAATAGATATTTTTCCAACGTGATTTATTCCAATTATAACTAGGACTAATACTTAGCTAGTAACTTTATACATAGTAATACCATTTATAAGTAAGAAACCTTGATTAACATGGCGACTTAAACATTTGGATCTAGACTCAATTCGTTCGTACCAGCCTTAAGCGAGAAAAATCAAAACCATTAGATCTAGGTAGAAAAAAAATTACAACCATATTGATTAAAACTACGTTAACAACCAAACTTTTATCCAATTCGCTATGACCGACGTTAACAAGAATCTAGAGAATCTATCTTTAAAATTTTCAGAACATCAACAAAATATAAATGATTTAATAAATTCAAGATCAAAATTAGAAACTCAATATCAAGAAAATAAAATAGTAAATGAAGAATTTCAACAACTTGATGAATCAACAAAGATATATAAATTAATAGGACCAATATTATTACCACAAGATTATACAGAAGCTTCAAGTAATGTAACTAAAAGAATAGAATTTATTGAAGGAGAAATTAAAAGAGTTGAAACAAAAATTGAAAATGAAGAGAAAACTATTGAAAATATAAGGAATGAAATTATTAAACTTCGATCATCCTAAGACTACTTACTGAAAATAACTCATTTATCCTCTAATCAATTGAGATTTAATCAAATTTACTAATCCAATAGCATTGAATTCACACCATTGTTCAAAATTAACAATTCCATTACTTAAATTTTCATATTCTTTTAATTTTTCATTAACAAATAATTTTGTCATTTCAAAATTATAACTTGTATCTTTCAACATAAATAATTCACTTTTTAAATATATTGATCCAATACAAAATCTTTTTGAATACCAATTAAAATCATTTGATTTATCACCTGAATAATAAGTTAAATCATCACTTAATTCCATTAATTCTTCAATTGATTGTGTTATGTTATATGGTAAAATTAAAAGACTCATTGCTTCTTGTAATTTTGATATAACTGGTTCATTATATGACAATCTTTCTATTATTAATTTTTGTAGATTCAGATATTGATTGTTTTCTAAAGTTGTTGTTTTAGCGAAATTATCTAATTCTAATCTTTTTAATTTTAACCAATATAAAGTTAATTGAAATGGGAGTGAATTTCCATTAGGATTGGATGTGAATAAGGATGTTATAGAATCTGAGTAATTTAAGTCCTTTATAGCATTTATTATAGGTTTTGTTGAATTGAATCCATATTTTGGAATATATTCTACTGCTTTATTTAATATTCGTGACTCTATTATATTTTCATTTATTATATTGTTTGTACCTGGATGACTTGACGAATGATAAAATCTGTTCTTTAGAGACGGTACTAATCTTGGTCTAATGATATTGAACATTTTTGATGATTTTACTTATAACTTTACATTCAAATTTTATTTTGTTTTTCAATTCTCTACTTTTCTAATATTACAACTAATCGAGAGGCAACCAACCAACCACCAATATGTTAATCAAACCAATTACAGAAACTAGAAATCCACATCATATAATAGACGATGAAGAGGATTTAAATACTGAATCACCAAACCCAATTCCTAAAATATCAATAGAATTGAAAGAAGACAAAGACTATGAAAATATATTAATAGTACCACATACTTTAAGTTTATTACAAGATCAATTACCTAATCAAAAGGAAATTGGAACTATATCAGTTAAATATGAAAATTTGAAGTTGTTAAATACGGAGAAATTAGAGGAATATGATGAGGATGAACAATTATATGTATCAATTCAAAATGAGTCTATACTAAAGAAATATCCCAACATTGATATAATCATATATGTGTCAAACAATTCAATAGCTATAACAATACCTCATTTTCAAAATACAATAACTTACAATTTAATATCAACTGAATTAATCAAAGCATTTGCCACTAAAGTTCAAAATTGGATCTTATTCTCCCATTCAACTTTAAATAATAATCAATCAATAAATCAATTATCTTCACCTTCAAATATAAAAGATGTACCAATTTTGAGACCTCCTCATTCAATAACTGGCATTAATGCAGCTATTGTCACCCACTTACCAACACAATCTAAATATAACTTGATAGTTTTAAATTCAGAAGGACAATTTGGATTTGAAAAATCAGATAATGAAGCAATTATAAACTCAAGTTACATATTAGTTGATCTACTCCATATTCCTGAATCAAAAGAGTATTTAAAGAATATAAGCATTAAAGTTCGTAAATTCAATGGATTTTCAAATTTAGGAATGTATATTTAAATTAATTTGTTGAATTTTTCATTGATAAAAAGCAATTCCATAAAACACTAATTGATGAACTAAAAGGAACTTGAAATGATCTAGGAACAATTAAAAAATTGAAAAATTGTATAGGAAACCAAACAGAATAATTTATAATTAATGTTTTTAAATAAATTTTTGATAATTTTAATTTTGTATCTTCCCATGTACCATTTTCCAAGATCATTGTACCATATGTAAAAAAACAAAATAAAGAAATTGGTGAATAACATAATTGATCAGTTAAAACTTTTCTTAATACTTCAATAAATTTTGGATCTTTTGAATAAATTTGTAAAAATTTATACCAAAAACATTGTATAATCCCCATTATAATACCCCAACACATAAATCCTGCTAATCTATTAAATTGAAAATATGTTAATGGAGTATATGTAATTAATTCATTTTGATTTTCTTGTTGTGATTGAAAATCATTTTGATCTCTTCTTAAATATTCTATAAATCTATCTAATCCTTCATCATCTATAATTGAATCATTATCATTATCAACAATGTTGTTATCAACTCTAAATCCTTCCTCATCTTCTAATATTACTGAATCAATAGGATCATTTAATTTAAAAGAAATCATAGGTTGATTCGACCTATAACTTAAAATCAGTTGTGCTAAACTTTCAGATATTCCATATAAAACTAAATTTGTAATGATTATTGTAATTAAAGAACTTTTCATGTAAAGGTTGGTATATTTTGTAGTCAATTTGTAAAGGAATATTCCTAAGATAAGAATAATCATAAAATTTAGTAAGGGAATGTTATAACATCTTATACTATTGATTAGTTTTATTATTAGTAGTTTTTTGGGTTTTCTTTGTGACGCTATATCATTATCCGGTAGTTGAATTGGCATTGATTTTAAACAATTGTTGATTGTAGTTTGACAAGATCTCTTATCGCAGATGTATTCTTTATGTAAGAGACCTAATCAGTATTCACGTGATAAATCACATGACTGATTTTTTTATTTTTCATTTTACCAATCAAAAAATGAGAGAAAAATCTTATGGTAAGCAAATACTGAGATAATCAAATCAACAATCAATCTCAATTCCTCACTCTTTGGTCTCATTATCATGTCATATACCCAATCTAATATACCCGTCAGGGCTCCACCTATTCAAAGTGATTATGAATTAATAGACGGTGATCCATATTTTGGAAGAGTTGTATCATATTTCAGACCATCAGATTATTTAAAATGGGGTATATCAACAGCTATAGTACCACTAGGTATACAATTATGGGAAAGACTTGAACCATCTTTGGGTAAAGGTATGAAACCATCTCCAATAAGTGGAACAACATATAGAGCTGCTACAGCAATTGGATTTTTTGGTGGTTTTTTTTTAGCATATATACATTCAAGTCAAAGATTCTTGGGATGGAGTGAAAATAAAAGAGAAGTAACAAAAGATAGATATGAAATAAAAAAATTATTAAGTCAAGGAAAATTACCATATCATGAAAATGAATCAGTATTAGATGATAGAAATAAAGATATTGCAAATAGAAATTCTCAATATAGTTCTACATTTTTATTTATAATGCCTTGGTTTAATTTAGCTTATCATCCTTATCATCAAGTTAATTTACAAAGATATTATGAAACTAGACCAGGTGAAGAAAATTGGGGATTTAATTTAAAACCTTTGGATGAAATATATGCAAAATATGAGAAAAAAGTTGAATAAATGGAGCAATTGAGGAGTGTTGTATATTAATAAAAGATTTAACTGTGATGTTTGAATTGTAGTTGTACTATCTCTACGTTTTCTTACTTAAATTTTATCTCTGGTGTAATTTTACTATCATGGTATATTTATTACACAAAATCAATCTACGTGTAAGCTAAATCAAAACATAAACATTTCAAATTATTTATTATTCTAGTAACATTACAAACTAATTTAACTTCAGTTTATCCTATCACCAACGTCATCTTGAAACATGTCAGACGACATAGATTATTCAACACTACTGTTAGAGGAAAGAATAGAACATAAAGTGTGGAAGGCAAGACTATTAGGATACGAAGAATTAAGTAAACAATTTGAAAATTCACGTAATCAAAATGATCCAATATTCAATCTAGTAACGCCGGACTTATTGAAAAAAATATTGACTGATTCCAATGTTGTTGCACAAGAAGCTGGATACAAGTGTTTTATCAGTTATCTAAAATTTGGTGGAAGTACACAATTAGTTACACGATTAGTTTCAAAAAACGGTATCATACAACCAATTTGTGAAAAAGGATTATCATCTTCCAGAAAAGGAACAAAAGATAATGCAATTGAAAGTATTTTGACCATGATTGAATACATGGATGATCCATCACCAATTGTTGAAGAAATAATACCAACTTTAAATAATAAACTTCCAAAATTAGTAGCAAGTTGTGTTTCATGTTTGGTTGCAATATATGAAAATTATGGATGTAAAATAGTATCACCGAATTTAGTTATACCAACATTACCGAAACTTTTTGCACATGCTGATAAGAATGTAAGAGCTGAAACAACAAAATTAACAGTTGAATTATACAAATGGATGAAGACCACATTATCTGACATTTTATTTCCTGATTTAAAACCCATACAACAAAAGGATTTGACAACTGCATTTGATAAAATTGCGAATGAAACTCCACAACAGAAAAGATTGACTAATGCACAAAAGGAAGAATTAAAGGCAAAAGAATCACAATCAGCAGAAGACGTTGAAATGAGTGATGTTACTGTAGAGGAAGAAGTATATGATCCATTACAATTTGTAAATCCAACTGAAGTGTTGTCAAAATTGCCTCATGATCTTGAAACTAGAATCTCATCCACTAAATGGAAGGATAGAGTTGAAGTTTTGGAAGAAGTTTATGCAATTTTACAGAAACATCCAAAATTAGTTACATCAGATGATTATGCTCCAATTTTTAGAATCTTTGCAAAGAATATGAAAGATGCTAATATACAAGTTGTTCAGATTGCCGCAAATTGTTCAAATTTGATTGCTAAAGGTCTAGGTCCTAATTTTACAAGATATCAAAATCTTATTTTATCTCCAGTGATTGAAAGAACAAAGGAAAAGAAACCAACGGTTGCAACTGCGTTGAGTGAATTACTAGATACTATGTTCAGCATTTCAGGATTAAGTGGACTGATACTTGAAGAAGCTATTTCTGGTATGAAATTAAAAGTCCCTCAAAATAAAATTTCATCAGCTAATTTTTTACAAAGATGTTTGGCAAATACCACCAAAGCACCAACTTCATCTGAAATAGATTCCATAATGGAGGTTGGGGTAAAACTATTATCTGACTCACAAGAACCAATCAGACAAGCATCAACTGAATTAATTGGAACTTTGATGAAAATTACAGGTGAAAGAGAATTAAATAAATTTTTGGAAACTACAGATGATAATAGAAAAGCTAAGATAATGAAATTTTATGAATCTGTTGAAATCAAATGTTCGAAATCGAGTGCACCACCTACAAGAGAATCATATTTGAAAAAACCAGTCCTTCCAAAATCAACTTCATCAATTCAAAGTAGTAGAACTCCATCATCAACATCAACTATCCCTAGTAAGAGAAGTGCGACTTCCCCTGCTAAAAGAAAAGACGATATAAAAGCTAGCAATTTGGGTAAAGGATTAACAACATCCAGATCATTAGCCAAACCAACAGCTCCAAATTTACGTCCACCTAAACCAAATTCGGCAACTTCGTTGAGACCATCTGAATCAATACAACAACCCCAAATACAAATTGTAAAAGAATTTGATGAAGCTAAACAAGAAGAATTAGATCAATTAAGAATTGAAGTTAAAAATTATAAAATTCAGCAAACTCAACAACAAGCTTTGATTAATAAATATGAAGAAGAAAATACACAACTAAAAGAAGAAATCAAAAATATGAAATCTCATTTTGAAAATGAAATTAGATCAAACTCAATAACTATAAATCATAAAGATACCCAACTAAACAATTTTAAAATTGAAATAGATAAGTTGAATCATCGTATTAAGGATTTAGAACTGGAACAGGAAATAAAAAAATTACAACAATCCAATCAACTGTACTTTTCGAGCACAAGATCTTCGTACAATCAACAACCCGGTTCATACAAACAACAACAACAAACACAACAAACACCACAACCTTTCCAAGCTAATGAAATTAGTTCTGGTGTAAAAAGATTATCAATAGGCAATTTAAACAGTAACGATTTTCCTGCAAGAGAATCATTAATAAATGGTGATACTACAAATAATTATAATAGATTATCTCCATCAACTTATAGACCAATTAATAAACGAGAAAATATGGATATTGACTCGGGTGATGATTGGAAAAGAGCTGCTGAAGTTACTTCTCAATTAAAGGCAAGGATTGAAAGAATGAAAGCTAGAGCTAGAACTCCATTGAATGTTGAATAATAATGTGTTCTGTTTTGTTTAGATGTTTCGTATAAAGTTTTAAAATACCATCTCTCTATTCAAACTTGATCTTAAGGTCATCTTTCTAGATCTCATACGATTGAATGCCAATTTCTTCTGATCGTGGTTTGAAAATTCCGATCCCGCAAAAAAAAAAATTAAATGGAAAAATTATTGTGTATTATATTTTTCAGCTCTAACGCATTAATCAGAACACAACCAACCAAATAACCATGTCATCTAAATTAAAAATCCTCGTACCAGTAAAACGAGTAATTGATTATGCTATAAAACCAAGAATAAATAAAACAAATACAGGTGTTGAAACAAAAGGAGTAAAATTCAGTATAAATCCATTCTGTGACATTGCATTAGAGGAAAGTATAAGACTTAAAGAAAAACAACCTGAAAAAATAGATTCAATTCATGCTGTTTCTATAGGTCCTACAAAAGCTCAAGATATTTTAAGAACTGCATTAGCTAAAGGTGCAGATGATTCTACTTTAATAGATGTTGGTGAAGATATAGTGGAACCATTACAAGTTGCAAAAATTTTGAAATCAATAGTTGAAAAAAATAATTCTAATTTAGTGGTTTTAGGAAAACAAGCCATAGATGATGATTCAAATCAAACTGGGCAAATGCTTGCGGGATTATTAAATTGGCCACAAGCTACAAATGCATCAAAAGTAGAAATTAAAGATAATGATGAAATATATGTAACTAGAGAAATAGATGGAGGTGAAGATACTATTAAAGCTAAATTACCAATGATTATAACGGTAGATTTAAGATTAAATGAACCAAGATATGCAAGTTTACCAAATATAATGAAAGCTAAAAAGAAACCATTAACAAAATTAAAATTAAAAGATGTTGGAATAGATTCAATTGATAATAGATTGGAAGTATTAAAAGTTGAAGAACCACCTGCAAGAGAAGCTGGTGTTAAAGTTGGAAATGTTGATGAATTAATTTCAAAATTAAAAGATTTAAAAGCTATTTGAAGTTAGTATATAGCAAAGTTATCATCAATGACATTAAAATACATAATTTATAATACATGATGTTATATAAGCATTCCCAAGTTAATTGATGCCATACTGTGTTCTTCTATGTTTCAAAAAGCTAGACAATTCTTGCTAGTTCTGCTCTATCCAAATTTCTACAAAACAATGACTATATATATATTCAACAAAACTCTTCAGCAGGTATGGAGAAGATTGAGATTGATCTTTTTTTTGATACTTTCGTTAAAACTAAAATATTTAGTATCTAAAAGTTAACAACTGATTTTGTTCAGAATAATCGGAATTTCATACTGATCAATAATTACAGCCTATGCTGTGGGAAGTACATTTTAAAGGGTACTAATGCTTTAAAACCATTTGACAATCTAAACCCAATGAATGAGGGTGATGCATTTCCAACAGATTAGAATTCAAAACTTTATTCACCTTTGACTTCTAATCTGTTGGAAATACGTTCGAACTGTTCTTGGATAATTAGGTTTTACGACTATGAATCAATTTATTAACATGGATTTGAAAGACTATCTTAAAATGAGGGAAATGATGTACATTTGTAGAAAGTTTAAATAATTGCGTTGAAAGACTTGATTGAACTATGAACATCCATCAATCATTCTTTCTTGTACTTTATTTATTCAGCAACAGTGTACAATTAACAGCAATTCCAATTCTCTAGTAGAATAGATACTTCTTTAATTCTTAGAACAAAATGTTATTGCAAAATCTCGATTATTTTAATTTCTTCTCCACAAAAGATGATATAAGCTAAACAAATGAATACAACTTTAAATGTATCAATTAAATTCATATCTAATATAATCAATAGTTACAATTTCCCCAATGCAACTAAGCCATTATTCATTGGAGTTAATGGTCCACAAGGTTCAGGCAAAACTTACTTGACTTTAAATTTAACTAATAAATTACAACTACAATATTCAAACTTGAATATCATTAGTTTTCTGATTGATGATTTTTATTTGACTTATGATGATCAATCAAAACTTACTCAATTGGCAAAGCTAGATGGGAATAAGTTGCTACAAGGGAGAGGATTGCCTGGTACTCATGATTTGTCGTTACTAAATACTCTTTTGGAGAAATTAGTTGAGAATTATAAGAATAACAAGTGGGAGACTGTACATTTGCCTTTTTATGACAAATCCTTACACGAGGGCCTTGGAGATCGACTGGAAAAAGACAAAATAAGTTTAGACAAACCAATTGACGTGATACTATTTGAAGGTTGGTTCAATGGATTTATGCCATTGGATTTTGATCAATTAAGGTTAAACTATTTCACGCAAACACCAAGTTCCATCCTACAACAACACCCGCTACATTTTGTGGAAGATATCAATAAGAAACTTATTCAATATGTTAAAGTATGGAAGTATTGTCAATATTTTATAATAATAAAATCAGATTCAATCGAAAATGTCTATAAATGGAGACTTGAACAAGAACATGAGTTAATTAAACTTAAAGGTATTGGAATGTCAGATGATCAAGTGGTGAAATTTGTCAATAGGTATATGCCTATTTATATTTTATATTATGGTAACTTGGTTGCAAATGGATCAGATTTTGTTAAAGAAAATTTAATTTTAAATATTGGTATAAATCGGAACTTACTATCTTATAGGACCATTGAAACAAATACTTAGCAGCAAATATAAATATGAAAACATGAATTCAAAAGTCTCAATAATTCTTTCACAGTTTAAGATGATTAATTGTATTGAATCACCAACAACTCTTTGGTTGTTTTAGTCACTGATAGACTAATTATCTAAATTTATTTTGTTTTTAAGTTGACTAGCAAAATCCGTAATTATAGCCCGTTTCAAACAAAATCAATCAATATACAATTATCGGACTTTGAATCAGCAGAGTCGCCTAATAAATTACCTATCTTTGATAATATTTCAATTTTACGAATTCAGTAATAAGCGCGCAAAAATTAGTTTTAGATAAGATAAAACAAAATTTAGTTTTCATGATGTAACAATCAATTTTAGTTTATCAGATCAACTTTCAAGCAAAATTTAGACTTCAGATAAATCATGAATTACAAGAGATGATTCAATTTAGTTTATGCAAAGTTTCATAAATTGTCATAGATAGATAAGAGGTGTCTTACTTTTGTGAGGTTATCGGTTTCCGTTGTTTAGTAAGATCCATTGATAAGGCGTAACACTATATCAAATACAATAATTTGCTTCATACACCTATTGTTTGATTGATCATTTAAGAATACAATAGATAAGAAACCGTTTAACAATGTACCTGCAACTGGTATTTAAGCTGCAAGGGATCTCGTATTTCCAACTCAAAATATTCAATAAAATTTCACTCAATATCATACAACAAAATTTCACATAATCAAAGATGTCTACATTTGATCCACTTCCAGAGGGAGCAGGTTATGCTGTTGTTGTTGGATTAGGTTCCGTTTTTGCAATTTTGATGTGTTTAACTACATTTTTCTTAAAAAGATATACAAAAGAAATCATGACATCAGAAGAGTTCGTAACTTGTAACCATGCAGTCAAAACAGGATTAATTAGTTGTGCTATAGTTTCCTCCTGGACCTGGTCAGCCACTTTATTGTATGTGTGATCTTCATCTTCAACAATAGTACCTCAACAATAGTCCATCTTCAATGTCTGCGGTACGGATGGTTAAAATTAGAATCAGATCTTTTTTTTCAGAAGAAAATTTTAAATTTGAGCCGCAGAGTTCTAAAAAGGGCAAGAGCGAGAGTTTGACAAAAAACAATCTGAAAAAAAAAAAAAACTGATTTTGATATTTTGAAACCTTTAATTAAATTCAATACTAACTAAGAAGAACGTCAACAACTCAGGTGTACTCCAATGGTATCTCCGGCGGTTTGTTCTACGCACTGGGCGCTACCGCGCAGATAGTACTCTTTGCGTCAATAGCGATTAAAGTTAAGCTAAGGTCACCTAATTGTCGTACTTACTTGGAGTTAATTTATGTAAGATATGGTAAAGTTACCCATATTGTGTTTATAATATGGGGTTTAATGACTAATATTATGGTTACTGCTATGTTATTAACAGGTGGTGCTTCTGTTGTTCATATGTTAACGGGTATGAATCCTGCAGCTGCTTGTATATTGACTGTTTTAAGTTGTGTTGGATATGCAGTTTATGGTGGCTTAAAAGCAGTTATATTAGGTGATTATGTACATACTATCTTGATGTTATCAATTATGTTAGTGTTTGGATTTGTAACATGGGTAACATCAGATAGATTAGGAAGTATTGATTTAATTTATGATTTAGTTACAGAATATGCTTTAAAAAATCCTAAAGAAGGTAATGCTGGAGGTTCTTATCTAACTATAAAATCAGAATCAGGTGGAATATTTTTCATAATTAATATAATTAGTGCTTTTGGTACAGTATTTTTGGATCAAGGTTATCTAAATAAAGCTATATCTGCTGATCCAAAATCAACATATAAAGGTTATATATTAGGAGGTTTAGCTTGGTGGCCAATTCCATGTTTTATTAGTGTTACTGCTGGGTTAGGAGCTATAGCTTTGCAACAAACAAAATATTGGCCAATTGATCGTCCATTAACACCTGATGAAGTTGCTAGTGGATTAGTATTACCAACATTTGCAGTTGCATTAATGGGTAAAGCTGGTGGAGTATTGACTTTATTAATGTTGTTTATGGCTATTACATCTGCATTTTCAGCCCAATTAATAAGTGTTTCTTCAATTTTCACTTATGATATTTATAGAACTTATTTCAATCCTAATGCTAGTGGAACACAATTGATAAGAGCTTCACATGTTGCAATTGTTGTGTTTGCTGCTTTATTATCTGGATTTTCCATAATGTTGTATTACTTAAAGGTATCAATGGGTTATTTATTTACATTATTGGGCATTGTTCTTTCATCTGGAGTATTACCACAATGTTTAACTATATTATGGAATAAACAAAGTTGGATGGCTGCAACTTTAACTCCACCAATTGGAACTTGTTTATCAATTACTTTTTGGTTAGTTGTTACAAAATTGAAATATGGATCAGTAACATATGATAATACTTTTCAAAATGATTCTGTTTTAACTGGTAATTGTGTTTCTTTATTAGCTCCATTAATTACTATACCAATTTTAACATATATTAAACCACAAAATTTTGATTGGGATAAATTTTTAATTATTAAAAGAGTTGATGAAGAAGATGAATTAAAAGAAGTTGAAAAAGAATTAGAAATTGATGTTAATAATAATTCAAGCAGTGAATCAAATTCAATGAATAAAACAATACCAATACAAACAAATATATCAATAATTACAAATGATTTAATTGAATTAAATAGAGAAAAATTTATGGAAGAAAGAAAAATATTATCTAAAGCATTTAAAAGGTGTGTAATAACATGTATTTCATTAACTTTAGCTTTACTTGTACTTTGGCCAATGCCAATGTATGGAACTTCATATATTTTTAGTAAACCATTTTTCAGAGGTTGGATAATAGTATTGTTTATTTGGTTATTTTATACTGTTTTCCAAGTTGTCTTATATCCTATTTGGGAAAGTAGACATACTCTTTCAATTATTATGAAAGGAATTTATTGGGATTTGAGTGGACAATCATACAAACTTAAGGAATGGCAATTAAGACATCCAGAAGAATTACATGTTGTTCAATCTCAAATTAATGCTCAATTGAATAATGAATTGTGTGAACAAATGAGTAGAGGTCAAGTTAGATATATAGATGATTCTGAGAAAAGGTAAAGATCGATGTATTATAATGTATACAAACACGATAGAGATATATTTATATGTAAATGATCGTTGATCTCTTGAATCGAAGTAGTAAATATTCTGTTAGGGGGTATTTTTTTGTATAATGATCAGTTTCTCATATCTCGACTAACTTTCCAAATACTTGTGCCACAATGATTGACCATGTGAATTGAATATTAATAATAAACAATTTTGATGAATGCCGGATACTATCTATTTTCATATAAAATGAGTGTAAGTATGATAAATATTGACATTATCTACTTTTAAATTAAGTTTTTAAGGCGTTTTGTTAGTATGTAAGTACAAAATTTTGTTAGTATGTAAGTACAGAAGCTAAAAGAAAGCTGTGTATAAGTTAATGGATTGAAAACGTTTGATGCTTGTTTTGTATTATCTAAATCCTTAATTTTTCATCGTATTGGTAAATCTGAAACACACCTATTGTTTGGTAAATGTAAAGGGGGTTAATTAATCTTGTATCTAAAAAAAAAACATAACAAAAACACGCGTCTTAATAAACTATGTAGATACAATACTAGCATTAAGACTATAGCGAGGATCTTCACATTAAAATTGTTGGTATCAATTAGTGTGGGACTATATTGGTTTCATTGAATGCTTAAAATTAGGTATAAGCTCAAGCGAGATCTGTGTTTAATAATATTACACAAAAACAAATACTAATTCAACAGAACACTAAAAAAATATTACTGATAACTTCATCAACACATTTTTTATTCAATACAACTAATCAAATACAGAGAAATATAAAGAAATACGAGAATTTAAACCAAAAATCAAAGTTGAAAAAGATGAGATAGCCTGAATTAGGTTGATGCTTAACCTATAAAATTTAAACTATACTTAGGGGTCTTACTTAAATGAAAAATTTATAAAGATGAAGATTAATAAGATTATGGTGAATTTATTAAAGTTTTGTGAAAATATAAACAAAAATGTATTGAGAGTAAAATTTAATCAATAAAATCTTAACATTTGACCCAATTAGTTCAAAATTTGATTGGAAAAAGTTATAAGATTTATTAAGTATGAGAAAATTTGGTTGTCATGTCAACTTATTTTCAATTTTTACACCAAAATTATTTCAACAAAGATTACACAAGTTTGAATATTACTATAAAGATTCAAGAGTCTGATACACAAAGTTTGCTTAACTATTGATCATTTTGGGTAATTATGAAAATGATTATAATTTAATTGGTCTAGATTGATGAAAAGTACAAGAGTGTATTCAAATTAAAACAATATACAGAAAGTAGAGAAATTAATCGTAAATTTTGCAATCTCATCAAGTCAGTTTAAATATAATTGAAAATCTCCGTAAATTGTTTCAAAAATTGAATGACGGAGTTTTAGATTTTCAGTTGTCAAGTATCACCATATAAAAAATTTACAAACATTACTTTACAATTATGTCTACAACTAAAAGTAGTAATAATCAAAACATTGAAGATATAATAACAGAATTAAGACAAATTTCTTCAATTTCAACTAATAAATTTATGATTATAACTCAAGAATCATTACCAAATTCAATTATAAAATTTCAAAATTCTAATCATTTTCAAAATGATCAAATTGAAAAAATTAAAACAATTTTAGGTAGAGCTACTTTAACTACTATTAAACCAACTTTAAAAGATATGTTTCCACTTAAATTAAATAAAAATGATCAATTTCACAATCAATTAATTACTCAATATCGTGATTTATTTAATTCATTATCTCAAATGGTTTGTAAAGAAATTGCAAAACAATGGATAAAAATTATTGAACCAAACAAACAAGCTTTATATCCTTATAAAAATTCATTTAAATCAAAACCAAGTTGGTGGCCACGTGATGTTAATCATATTGAACCTGATCATTTAGATAAATATGGTAGAGTTGAAGTATTAATTAATATTTTAAGATATCCTTCATTTGATTTAAGACAAGTCAAAACTTATACATTTGATTCAAATTCTGCAATACCTTCAATAATTCAAGAAATTCTTTATTTAGCTATTTATGAAAGATGCTTTTTTAACGAATATAGAGAACAAGATGAATTATTTGATTTAATTCCACATCATGAAAGACCATTGTTTGGTGGTGATGAAATTGTTTTAATGGCTAGCAAATTAACTAATTATAAAGGTGAAATAATCATGGTTAGAAATATGTATGATGAAAATTTAAATGATGTTGTATTTGGATTAAATCAAGTTAAAGGTAAAAAATCAAAATCAATAAAATCAGCAAAAAAATCAACTTCTTCAAAAATTATAAATGCAGCTTCTAAAAAATCATCAAAAGTCAATAATTTAATTACTAAACCTAAATCAAAACTTAAACCATCAGCTACTTCAAGATTTGGTCAATTATTGGAAGATCATGAATTATTAAAATCTATTAGAGCAAAAAATAAAATGGGTATTCAGCAATTAATTAATGATGAAGTTGAAGCTAATCCTGTAAATGAAGCTGCAAAATGTAAAATTGAAGATATTTTCAACAATGAAGATACAGATGTTAATGAAAATGAAAAATCTAATGAAGAAAATGGTATTGAAGCAGCAAATCAAGATGAAGTTGACAAAACAAAAGATCAAATAGAAGCTAATACTACAAATGATCAAATTGAAGCAAACACAACAAAAGATCAATTTCAAATTGACATGTTAAATAATGAAGATGAAGTAGACACAACAAATGATCAAATTGAAACTACCACCACAAATGATCAAGTTGAAGTTGAAACAGCACACAATGAAAATAAAGTTGATCCAAAAAATGGTGAAGCTAATGAAGTTAGAGTCAAAATTGAAAAAGTTACAGCTGCTGATGAAACAAGAATGGAAGTTGATTGTTGCAACAATTATGAAGATCAATTAGTTTTAAATGATGAAGGAATGGAATGGGCAAATGAATCTGATGTTGAATCTAATGAAGAGCAGGTAATTGAAAGTCATGAAGAAGTTACAAAAGTCAAAATTGAAGATGATACTGAAGCTATTAAAAGACCTGAATCTCAAATTAGATTAGTTGAGGCTTGTAATTCAATGGAAGAAGATACTCAAGTTGATTTAGTTGTTGAAAATGATGATCATAATTATGCTAAATTAACAGCTTATGGTAGTTATATGTTTGTTGAAGATGATAATATTGCAAAAGAAGGGTGTAGTAGAAGCTTACAAGATGTTTCAAATTCTACCTACACTGATGATAAAACTCCTACTGAAGAATTACAATATCATGAAGAAAGTTATTCTCTTCCAAAATTAGGTAGTCCAATTCATTTTGAATCAAGTTCTCATTTTAATAGATCAGATACATCAACTCCATTAAATTCACCAACCAGAGAAAATCAATCATCAGTTAATGTAAAACAAGAGCCTGAAGAATTAAGATATTCAACAACTGAACAATTATATGAAAGAATCATCAATCAACAACCATTTGAATGTCAAGTAGAATCAATTAGTCATGATCAATTTTTTGAAGATCCTTTAGAAGCTCCTTTAGACCATGGTCCTCATTTACAAACTAATAATAATCAAAATTTTCCAACGTATGATAGTTCAAATAATTCTTATTTACAAACCGGTCAAAATCAAAACTTTCCAAATTACGATAATTCAAATAATTCCAACAACTTTTATTATCCAAACAATGTAGGAGCTAATTCTTTTGATTACAATTGTTATGGAGTTGGACAAATGGGATATAATTTGAATGGAAATATTCAATATATCAATCATCACAATAATTTTAACAATGTTAATGCCGCTCACGAGTTATACGAATTTAAATACCCACCAAACTCAATTCACATGAACTCACAACAATAATGTTTGTTGTGTTTTTACGTTGCTTTTTAAACATATTTTGATTGCTAGGTAATTGATTTACCTACCTCTTAAGTTTAGTTCTTTTATATATAATTTTTCTAACATACATAAGTAGTTAATTTAATAAATTTATTCTTGTTTCAGATGTTAAATTCTCGCTTTGTATATTGTTTTATTTTGCAGCCAAATTTCCGGAACTTTCCTAATTGCATTCCAAAATATTTCAGATCTTTCGGGACAACCGTCTGAATCTATAGATATCACAATCTTAATACATTATCGCCTTTCAATTGAAGTCTCAATCACTCTTAATTACATCTTTCTTTTTTCTTGACTTTTTTCTTTTTTTTTTAAATGGCTACAATTCCTGAACTTCTTTCATTCCTACTATTAGCTTCCTTTTTGTCATTTCTAGATATATTGAGTTATTTATTATCAATTATGTCTGGCTCAACTAAAACAAAAGTACCAAAATTAAATTTAACTGATCAGGTACAACAACATTCACCTATTGAAGGTTCTTCTAAAGTTAAAGATTCGAATAAACAACAAGAAACAATTAAAGAAAAACCTCCAGCTACTCAAAATGGATTACCTGATTTATTAACTCCAAAACATCTTAGAAATTATCCACTTGTTACATCTACTGAATCATTAATTAAATTTTTACCATTGGTTAGTTATGTTACATCATTTTCAAAATATAGTTTTACAACTATTAGAAATTATCAACCATGTAAATATGTAATTGAAACAGGTGATTTATATCTGGACATGTTATTAAGTAAATTAGATTCATTTATTCCAAGTTTACAAACTGTTGAAGTAAATGATTTAACAAATCCAATTACAACACCAATTAATCATGCAGTTGAAACAGTAAATTCTAAAATTAATTTAGTTAATGAAACAGTTAATAAAAATGTTATAAATCCAACAAAATCAAAAATTGATAATGTTAAAAATGATATTCATCAAAGAACTCATGATGATAATGGAAAAAATATAATAACTAAATCAACAATTGATCCAATTATAGGTCCATTTAATGAAACTTTAGAACAATTTGTAACAAATCATTTTCCGGATAAGAAAATTAATCCTAACGAAGATGAAGGTAATTTAGATAATACAAATAATCGTTCTTGTGAATTTACAAGTGAATTAAAGAGAACTTTTAATATTGTTGGTAATATAATTTCAAAAGAAAGTAAAGAAACTGTTGAAGTTAATGTTGTTGATTTAAAAAATCAAAATCAAAATCAACCAGAAAAAGGTAATGTTGGTAAATCAAAAGAAAAAACTAAATTACCTAAAGATGGAGTTTTAAAAGAAGTTGTGAGTAAATGAAAGTTTAGAAATTTATTTAGTGATTGTTTCTTGTTTTTGCTAGTCCAATTTATAAAGAAGTCAGAAATTTAGTCAGATAAAAGATTTAAAATATCTCTACAGTTACCTCTACGGTTATCTCTTTGAATTTTTATCCTTTTATTTATTATATTGTACACAGTAGACCACCACTTCTCATTCATCCTATTAATCCTTCGATTTCTTCTTTTTCTTTTTAGGTGTTTCTTCTCCATCATCTGCTTTTCTTTTCTTTTCTTTCTTTTCTTTTTTATCTTTCTTATCTTTTTTATCCTTCTTTTCTTTCTTATCCTTTTTATCTTTCTTTTCCTTTTTATCTTTCTTTGATTTTTTTGGTTCATCATCTTCATTTTCATCATCAGCTTCTTCTACAACTTCATCTATTTCCATATTATCACCATTTGCACTATTCAAAGCTAATGCTGCCTTTATAGCATCTGTATTTTTCATTGGTGCAGAACCAGTATCATAAAATTTTAATCTATCTTCAACTTGTTTTTTCAATACTTCACCAAATGCAGTAGTTGGTTCGTCACTATAATTATCAATTCTTGAAGCGATTGAACATTTATTTGCTAAATATCTTGAAATTCTACCTTTATTTTTAGCACCAGCTTTACCAATAAAAGATGAATGATAAATCAAACCATATTTTGGAGTATTACCTTTTGTTTTTAAAGCTCTGAATAAAGCCTTTTCAGCACCTAATATTTGAACAGTTGATGCTGCTTGTTTTGATAAATTAGTTAATGAACCAGCATGTGAAATTAATCTTGCACCTACAACTTCACCAATTAAAGTAGATAAATTTGGTGCAACTGTATGCATTTTATCTGTAAGATATTTGTATAATTGTTGTCTATATTCAGTTAAATTAACTGTTCTTTGAGCAAATGTAATGATATTGTTCATATCTTGTTCACTTATATCTTGACCCATTGAAATTTTAGCATTATCAATGACTTTTTGAGCTAATCCAGCATCATCGTTTAAAATAGCTGTTAAATCATGTAAGTCATCTTCAGTTAAATTTGATTTATCTTTAATATATAATACTAATTTTGAATATTGATAATTATCAGGTACAATTTTAGCTAATTCTGGGAAATGCCATCCATACCATTCTTTAACTCTCATTGAGAAAGTATTTATATCTTTATCTAATTGATCCAATAAAGCAATGGCTTGTATAATATGATTATCATTTTTTTGAACTGAAAACTTAACTTTAGCTCTTGAAAAAGCATGTCCTAACCCTAATTGAGCTCTTTCAATATCTCCTTCTTGTAAATCTTTAAATAATTTTGCTCCAAATACTCTTATTCCTCTTAAAAAATCTTGTACAATTTCATTTGATAAAACATCTACATTTGGAAAAATTTCTTTTATTGAAGGACCTAAATTTTTATCACTTACTCCTAAACTTATTTTTTTAGAAGTTTTTGGTAAATTATGTTCTAATACTTCTTTTAAATAGTCGGAAACTAAACCTTCAGAAATGTCATTGGCATTTTCTAAAGCTTGTGCTGCACCTTTAAACGGAGCAAATGAAATCAATTCAACCATTTTTGAAAATTTAGATAAATCATTTGATGCTTCTTGAACTTCTTTTGATCTTGATGCTATATCATCTTGTTGTATGAGGACTTTGAAAATACCATATCCGGTAGCCTCTTCGAATAAAAGATAGTCTAACCCAGCCATGATGATTTGTGAAAATGGATGTTAGTGAGTGTTGAGGCTGCTTAAGATTCGTTAGTCTATCGCTTTAATCTTTGACTTTTCCTCTTTTTTTTTTTCAATATTGTTTAAGAGATGAGAAAATTTGAAATCTATGAGTAGCATAAAAACGCACTCGTAAACTTTTGACGCAATGACAGATATTGATGTCTTAATATTAAAGTCTTGACACACTTTATATATCCATACAAAATTATACCAGAAAACAGAAGCAAATATATCAATATATGCTATAAAGTAGATGGAGGAGATTTAAAGCAGTTAATGAAGAATTAGCAATCCAGTTTGAAATCCCCAATAAATGGAGTTGGAAACTATAAATGGAGTTGGAAATTAACCACACGCAATTGGGCAAAATTCTTTCGGAAACTTTACAAAACCAAAAGGAAATATCCTGATGGATTAGATACAATTCATCGATTTAACTTGAGACATGGAGTGTGAATGGTAATCAAATGAAACAATGTACTTTATGTGAAACAGAGATCCCGGCACGGGAGTATCATCAACATGTTTATCTCAATTGTAGTCATACCAATTTCATATGACTACAGACCAAAAATCCGGGACTTTGAAAAGACTTTTCAAATTGGATTGCCAATCCTTCATTAACTGCTTTAAATCTCCTCCATCTCAACAAATACCTTGTCGCCGTTAAGTTGTTAATTAAACGACGACGACAAGAACCAGAAAAATTAATCAATTTTCAATTTTTACAGAGATGATAAACAATTTTAACTACAATTACCCAGTTAAATGGTGATTGTATAATTAACTAAAAACTAAACATTACTTAAAACTTTGAGGTTTTCACCGGATTGTTCTTGGATAATAAATGGTTTCCTCAAAACCCAGATGAATTATATGCGTTTATTTTGTAGGTTTATATATGTACCTATAGGTAAATAACTTAATAAATTGCTTGAAAGAAAAAAAAAAAAAAGTAGAATTAAGACCCATCTTATCAAGCAAAATTTATATCCCAACCTAATTCTTTCAACATTTCATGCCAATCAACAACCTTATCACCATTAGAATTCAAATCCCATATTCTAAGCATAAATTCTTTAACTCTATTAGCATTAAACATTCCATATAATTTAATAAAAGAATCAACTCTTAAAATCATTTGTTCTTTATCATGTTTAGAAACACAATGTATACCTGATATAAATATAGGAAATACTAATGATGATTGAACTGATGTACCAATTAAAATATCAAGACATTTAATAAGATCATTATTTAATATTTGTGATTCTAAATGGGATGGATTACATTTTAAAACTGATTCTCTAAGAAACAATTTAGCACTTATTTGAAATGCTTCAAATAATGTTAATTGTAATTCTAAATCTTGATCAGATAAATTATATAAATTATTTTTATCAGGTTTTGATTCATCTATTTCTTTTTCTAAATTTTTAGCTTGATCAATTACAATTAATAATAATTTACTAGCTTTTGTATGATCACTCATAATTGATTCATCATCACCTTCATTACCATTTTGAAGTATATCTTCATCATCAAATTTATTTAAATATTCATTACTTTGTTCAAAATGATTATTTACACCTCTTGTATAATATTCTTTTAAAATTTTTTTACTTTCATATAACAAAGTTGAAATATTTCCAATAATTGTAAATAATCTTTTTGAAACACCTAATAAAGAATGAATTTGTCCTTGTAAAAAATTATCATGATCGTCAAATATTTTATCATATTCATTAGCTGCAAAATAAGTACCTCTTTCACTAGTTGAACTAGCTAATAAATCATGATAAGCAAAATTAGTAATTAACCAATTTTCTTCTTTTGATTTATTAAATTTTAATATTCCACCATTTGTTTTTAAAAGTTTTGCTCCCCATTCTAAATATATTGTCCAATTTTTAACATCACCATTACATATTTCAGCACCACATAAAATTAATAAAGTTGCTAATTTATTTATAATTGATGTTCGATTATTTTCTTTGGAATTATTAAAATGATACATTGCAACTTTAACAAATTTAATAGCTTCTGAACTCCATTCTCCACCTAATTGATAACTAGCCCATGCTAATATACTATAAAATACACCTTTATCTTTATGAGCTAATGGTAAAAATACTTTTTGATAAGAATTTGAACCAATTTGAGTTACTGGAGCTACTGATATTTTACTAGATACAACATCAACATAATAATAGTATAAAAAATAATATTGAGGATCAGCTAGTTCAGGGATATATAATGATGCTTGAGGCATTGGAGTTAAATGAGCATTTAAATTTGATATTAGTTCATTGTATGAATGCAGATTATGAGAATTATCATCAAAAGATTCTACCATTGATGAAAAATCAGGTGATGATATGAATTGTCTAAGTTCTTGACTATACGATTGTTCAGTGCCATCATCATTGCCTTCTGTTTCTTCTAATTGGTTTGAGCTACGGTGTTTATAAGTATTGTTACAGTTGTTACCATTTGATTCATTCAAGTCACGTAGTAGATTTAAAAATGCCATTGGAGATGGGGAATTGACTGGAAACAGGTTTGAACCTTTTATTGAGAAATCATGTAATGGATCTATAGTTGTTAATGGTAATGGACTCAGCTCTGGTAAGCAGTTCTGTAAATCTTTCTCTTGAACTAAAGGTTCTGTATGAGTAATTCGGTGGATCGGATTAGTTGAAAGGTTGTTGGTTTCTTGAATCTCACTTGTTTGTGTTTCTTCCATTGGATTCATTAAACTTTGAATTGTTGGAGAGTTCATTCTTATTGGTGATGTAACTTGAGATATTGGATGGATACTAGTCAAGTTAGGAGTAGTAGACGAGGGTATAGCACTTGTATTTGTCAGTTGATAATTTGTTGTATTTGTTGATGAATCTGAAATAGTTCCAGAAGTCGTTGACCTTACATCAGATACATAGCCATATACTTTTGACTTGTTATCCTCATTGACGCTTGTAATTCCAATATTATTGAACATACCATTTTTAAGATTTGAATTTAAATGAATATTTGGAGATCTTTTGTCTTTTTCATCTTCAATCTTGATTGGTTTTGACTTTATTTTCCGTTTCCTTAATTTATTTGAACTTTCTTCATTCTCAACTTTTTTCTTTAATTCTTTTATTTCCTCATTATTCATATTATGATAATCGATATAATAACAATTTTTATTTAATCTATTACAATCTCCACATTTTGGTTTAGATTCATCACATTTCTTCTTTCGAATTTTACAAGTTAAACAACCTAGTTTTGATCTTGAATTTTCTTTAAATAAATGAAAATCTGATGAATTGTTTATTCGATTTATGTTGGAATTTGAAATTGAAATTGAAGGTGTAGTTGTTGAGTTTGACGTAGACTTATTATGAATTGGTTTTGATACTTTTGAATTCGTAGTACTTGTGGATACTGAGGGTTTTGTTGTATTAACAAATGGTGTCATATTTGTTGTATGCTCATGTTTAACTTTTGTTGTTGGTCCATTTGAATTCAAATTGATTCTATTAGCTGTATTTTCGTTATCGTTATTCGAAGTAGGATTTTTGGTTCTTGAATTAAATGTGACTAACATTCAATAATTAGGTAAATTGGAAATGAAATAATTGTTACAATAAATTGTTTGCTTTCCCTAAAATTAATGCTCTATTTACAAATAAGCCTTTGGTTGGTTATTACATATATTGATAAGGTTATTGTCTAGTATAATTAAATTGACTTGTTGGTTGAAAGTTTTGTCAAAAAAGGAAGAACAATAAACTTTTGATAAAATCGATTTCTGGTATCTCTTTTATTCACAATTGATGCAAAAAAAAAAATCGTGGATTATATGGGGCTATTGATTGTTCAATTTAAGCTGAACATAAGAGCATATAAATAATGTATCAATTTAAACCCTACTTCTAATTTAGGATTTGGTTGTCCACTCTTATACTTGAATAATAAAATATTATTTTATCGTAACTACAGTATTAGGGTGCTAATTTATTAGATCTGGTAGAATCAAATATTATTTATCTAAAATTATATTTAAATCATGCAGTATCGTACGTCCGTGACTCTTATGGAGATTAACTTCTTGTTTGGGAAATCAGGTATATGGAGATCAATACGACGTGTCAATCAACATTTGTTAGTACTAATTTTGAGTTATCGTACTATGAAAATAGCTCTTGTTACGATGATAATTGAAATCCAGAATTACCGCGTGCTAAAGCCATGCCGTGATGAGATTCTGGGTCGTTCAATATGAATTACTCGTACTAGATCTAAGACGAGGACACCACCAAATCTTTTTGCTACCAAATCGAAGTTTAGATTTTTCTAAATTAGTCGATTGTACAAAAAAATTAGTTTTTTTCTGTTGATCAACAGTACACTACTTTTACTCTCACAATGCTACCAACTTCTAATAGTAAATTTCATAATTGTTTCATAATAAATTATTAAGCTACTTAAAGAAAAAGTTCAACGTTTAAAAATTTATCATAAATTAAAAAAAATATAATTTATTATTAATACAACCAAATTTATTATCAACATATATATATTTACAACACAACTTAATCCAACAATACAGTAATCAAAAATGTCATTAAAACGTATTAATAAAGAATTATCAGACTTGGGAAGGTATGTTTCAAACTAGTATTGGATTTGAAGAGAGAATATAATAGTCAAATCAAACTCGATTTTAAATTTTTTTTTGGATGACTAGATCAGATTAGCAATAATATTTCACATACGTATATGGTAGTGTAATAAGTCTAGCTTACCATTTCAAAGGTTAATATGATCGCATTAAAGTGGTGATCATCATTGTTGATGTGATAGGTTATGAAAAGCTTCGTTGATTTGGACATTTCAATTCTATTGGTGGCGTAACCTTGTGATATTTAATACAACAAATTCGAGTCACGTCATGTGAACAAATTTCGAAGATAAAGTTGAGGTTCTACACCAGATATATTTAAAGGATCGCAATCAGTTAGCCTTATCAGATATACACCTGCTTATTCTTGGAGTCAATCAAGGCATCAACGGAGATTTCAATAAATTAATGAATTTATGCTAGTGTGACTACTATTTTTTTTTCTGGACAAACCAAATTTTACTTAACATCAACATTATACTAACAATCAAATCAGAGATCCACCATCATCTTGTTCAGCAGGACCAGTGGGTGATGATTTATACCATTGGCAAGCATCAATAATGGGACCACCAGATTCTCCATATGCTGGAGGTGTATTTTTTTTAAGTATTCATTTCCCAACTGATTATCCATTTAAACCACCAAAGATTGCATTCACAACTAAAATATATCATCCAAATATTAATTCAAATGGTAACATTTGTTTAGATATTTTAAAAGATCAATGGTCTCCAGCTTTAACAATTTCAAAAGTATTATTATCAATTTGTTCTTTATTAACTGATGCTAATCCTGATGATCCATTAGTTCCAGAAATTGCTCATATTTATAAACAAGACAGAAAGAAATATGAAGCTACTGCTAAAGAATGGACAAAAAAATATGCTGTTTGATATAAATATAATGTTTAAATAGTGAAGCTAGAGAGTACATATGAATAATAAATGCATAGTTCTTTGTTCAATTATACTAAATTTAGAAAATGTAGGTGATTTTTCTTACTACTTCGAACTCTCTGAAGCTTAACATTTACGTACGAAGTATCAATAATTGTATAAAATTAATTTGTTTTAAAAATCTCTATAAAAAAAAACAAAACAAAAAATGTGAGATTTGTTTAGACCGATTGTGAATAGAAGTTTTAAATTTATCACGAAACATTTAGCTCAATCCATCTACAGCTCAATCAATCGAAAATTTTTACTTGGTATACATTACTCAAGTAAACGTCCTATACTATAACCTATTAAATTCCCCCAACCATTCTGAACAAGTTCACAGAACATAAACTTTTCACATTTTCAATCGTTTTTATTTTTTACAACCAAATTCAACTAACAAATTTACAACAATTCAGTACATAAACAACACCCAAATGATAATATAACACAGAGCTATGGAGAAACTAAATTTTTTCAGATTTAATAATCCCAAGACACTATATAATTTAGCATTAAAATTAAATAATCAACAAAATTTTTTTCAATCATTTTTAAATGAAAATCAATTTACTATTATAAATTATATATTATCTTTAGAAAATTTTGAAGTCTGGCTGTATTTCCTTGATGGGAATGTATATCTTAAATATAATAATGATCGAACGGATGAGACGGGAACTGAAGAGGATAAATCTATTGAAAAATCCGTGCTAGACAACTTGGAAGAAAGTGAAATTGACGAATATTCAAATGACAATCTGAAACGAGTGTCTACTTCAGCAGATCGAAATACACCACTAACAAATAAAAACTCAAAATCTAAAGAAACCGAAGGTGAGTCAAAGTTACTACTATCAACTCAAAATGAACTTGAAACAAATCCAGATATAATATTTGAAGAAGGAACTAAAATGATCAAAAAATTAGCACTTCACATTCGATATCTTTTATGGGAGAAAGCTATAGACTTTTATTATGAGCTTGAAAGACTGAATAATGAATTAAATAAAATTGATGAGATTGATGATGATTATGAATTAATTGATTCTATAGAAGATAATGATCATGAAGAAACTAAAAAAGTTGTGGAGCTAGAAGTAATTAAACCTAAAATACGAGAAGAAGAGGAAGATTATGATTTTGATGAAGATGAAGAAGAACAAGACAACAAGACATCCAATTTAGAAGAAAAGGCTCATCAACTGGAAGATGACAAAATTCTACAGTTTAATGAGGAAAATCAATTAATCTTAGAAATTCCTTTATCCATATTCAAACTGAAGGAACAACCACCACGAACATCTGAATCTGAAAATAACGAGAGGTCAAGTTCAAGACCACAAACATCTGAACCTGAAACTAATAAAGACGATCAAGATAAACTAATCCGTGAATTCAATAAAGTATATCATAATTTTGAATATGATAGAGAGACATTAATAAAAAGAAGAAAGTTAGAACAATCAGATTTACAAATGGAAAATGTCAAGATTGATAAAAATGATACATCAAAATTAAAATCATCCCAGCAGAATCAAAGTAACAATAACATGGATATTGCTTTGGGAATGTCTTCGACTTCACTAAGACTGTTACTTTCAAAAATTCATTACAAAAGAGATAAAATCGCTCTCAATGACCATGAATTAAGAACATTATTTATGGATGTACGAAAGAATCGAGGAAAATGGGCAAATGATGAACGAGTTGGACAAGAAGAATTATATGAAGCTTGTGAGAAAGTAGTTACGGAATTACGTAATTTTACTGAACATTCTACTTTTTTCTTAAACAAAGTATCAAAAAGAGAAGCTCCAAATTATGGATTAATTATTAAAAAACCAATGGATTTAAATACTGTTTTGAAAAAGCTAAAGAATTTGTCATATAATTCTAAGCAAGAATTTGTAGATGATTTGATGCTTATATGGAGTAATTGTTTAACTTATAATGCCGATCCAAAACATTTCATAAGAGCTCATGCGATAGCTATGCAGAAAAAATCGTTAAAATTGATACCATTGATTCCTGAAATTACTATAAAGAATAGATCTGAAATAGAGAAAGAAGAAGAAGATAATGAAATCAAGAAAGAAGAAGAAGATGAAGAAGGTGGTGGAGCTGGGAAAAAACTGGCTAAAAAAGGAAGGAAAAGAACTAGGCAAGATGAATTAAAAGCGGATGCAGTTGGAAGTAATAATGGTACTAGTAGTCCTTCCAGAGTTGGGACTCCAATTGCTGTTGATTCTGATGATTTAAGCAATAACAACGATCAGATTAACTTTCAAACAAATGGCAGCACTGCAGTACATGAGGATGAAGAAGACGAAGATGAAGATAATGATAATTTAAATAACGGTGCTTTGGCAGTTTCAAATGGATCAGCTGAAAATGAAGATGAAGAAGAATTTGATCCTGAATTACAAGCATGGAGAACTTTAACAGCAAAATCAAGAGCCAATTATTGTGAGTCTAGATCTAATTTATTTGATTCAAAATTACATTTAAAATCAGATGCACCTGCAATTCTTCGAAAATCTCATGAAATGGCAAATTTCAATCAATATTTATCAAATAAAGAAGTTATTTCTAAATCAACGAATTTATTGGAAAATGATGAACCATACTTAATGGAATATGATGTCACTGGTGGTATTCCTGGATTTGAATTTTCTGGTTTTAATGAAGAAGAAGAAGAAAAAGCAGAAAATAAATTAGTTGATATCATATTACAACAATCTAATGGTGATGCTAGTAAAATACAATCTGACTTTATACTATCTAATAAAACTGGGTTGAATAAAGTTTATTTTGAAAATATATCTGAAATTCAAGAGATAAGAAAGATTTGTTTTAAAATTTCATTAATAAGACAATTACAAACACAACAATTTATTCATCATACTCAAATGAAACAACCAGAAATAGAACTGCTTAAAGAAGTAGATGTTGACTCCATATCCAAATTATCAAACCATGATTCAAATACTCATAAGGTTCAATATGCAGTTCTACGAAGGAATATAGCGAAAATTGCTATGCAAACAGGATTTGAAACAACTGAAGCACCAGCTATAAATACTTTAGCTCAAGTTGCAGAAAAATATATTGGTAATATTGCCAAATCGATGAAATTACATTCTGAAACAAATTCTAAAAATAAATTAAATGCTAGAGAAATATTATTATTATCGTTGTTAGAAAATGGTGTTGATAAACCAGATGATCTATACACTTTCATTCAAGAAAGAATATTAAAACAAAAAGATAAATTAAAAGATTTAAGATCAGCATTATCAAATTTTTTAAAAGATTTATTAAGACCAGGATTAGAAAATTTTAATGAAAAAAATTTTGATGATAATTCTGAACAATTCATTACTGGAGATTTTTCAAATGATTTAGGTGATGATTTTTTTGGTTTTAAAGAATTAGGTTTAGATAAAGAATTAAATATGTTAAGTTCATCAATTCCAATTCATTTATTACACCTGAGATTACATAATCAATATATACTGAATGGTTCAAGTACAAAACAAAACAAATATGAAGATTTAAATGAATATGAACCATCAAGTTTAAAAGCATCAGATGTAAATCTTCAAATTGGATTATTAGTTCCATTTTATGAAAAACTTCTTGAAAAATCAAAACAACAATATATTAAAAATCAAAAGAAAAAAGGTGAATCACTTGATTTACCACCTGATTCAGAATTTTACCTTATTGAAGATGATGAATTACCTCAAAAACAAAGAAATATAAGACCGAAATTACCACCAACTGGTAAGATAACTTCTATTAAAAAGAAAATTATTGCAAATAGTTTTTTCGTTCCTGAAATTTTGGAGGAAGAGGAAGAAACAGAGGAGAAAGTTGATGGTGATGAACCCAAGAATCCACCAAAAGTGGAGGAGAAAGCTATTGATGATAAAAATGACGAAACCGCCATGAAGAAGAAAAGTTTGGACGCTCATGAAGACAAAGTAAAGGAAGACAGTCAGGAAAAGTCAAAGAAAGATGAAAATAATAATGATGATAATGATGATTCAAATAGGAAAAGTTTTTCTTCAGAAAAATCTTTGGAAGTACCAAATGAAGCAGTGGATACGGCCGATATGTAATATTAATGATAGATCTTATAAAAGATGCTTGTCTTTATTCGTAGTATTGGTTTTCTTGACTATGTACTTTCTTTAAAAAACGTGCAATGTGTCGTGTCGTTTAAGGTTGGAAAATGAAACAGCGGAAAGAAAATTCTATTAACTAAACTGCTATTATCATTTTTACAACCAAATACAAACACTTTCAACTTATTATTCATATTCAATACCTCAAATGCTATAGAATCTATAGAGCAAGTCATTAAAAATTACATATATAACTTTCAACGTCCTTACCAAAGATCCTTTTAAATTTTATATTAGTAAAATCGTATGCAAAATAATAATGAAAATGTTTTAAAATTCAAAAAATTAACAAAAGAAGATATATCCAAAAGGGATATATTTGGAAGAACTATTTTACATATTACAATCTTATTAAATGATCATGAATATTTTAGCAATGTCTTAATAAAGAATTCAAATTTAAAATCAATTTTATCATGTTGCGATTATGAAAATGGTTGGAATTGTTTACATTATATCATTCATTATAAACGATTAGCTTGTTTTAATATTTTAATTGAATATTTGAATAGTATAAATTTGACTAATAATTTATTTTCATCTAATGGAATATTTGTTGAATTGTTGAAATGTAAAGATAGATGTGGATTAACTCCTTTACAATTAATGGATAATGATTTCAAAAATCTTAGATGGATTCCAGAATATATCAATATAAATGATACCTATGAGTTTACTTATCGGTTTATAGATTCCAAATTGAATGAAATCGATGAAAAGGAAGATGCAAGTAAAATTATTTCCATGAAATCACCTCTCATTAATTGGGATGAATTTAGAGGGGGGTCAGATATTTATGTCATTGGATGTAACAGCAATAATCAACTAGGTTTAGGGGATTCAAAAGATCGATCGGTGCCTATCAATGTTTCAAATGAATCATTTGTACAAGATCAGGATGATTCGGAATCAATCAATGACAGATTGCAAAGACCAAGATTCAAGGCAATGGCTATTTCGAAATATCATTCAATTGTATTGACACATGACAGACAAGTATATTCATGTGGGGTCGGATCTAGAGGCCGTTTAGGTCATGGTGACAATTCAAGTAGTACTTTCAAATATAAAAGAATTGAGTTTTTCAATGAATTGAGTGACTCACAATACATTAGACAAGTGGCGATTTCAAATAACCATACTGTCATATTGACGTCAAACAATGAAATCTATGCATGGGGCTCAAATAGTTTCAATCAGTTAGGGGTTAGTAGTCCTGCTTCGAACAAGAAACTGAACAATTACTTGGATGATTTTATACCTACACCTACTTTAGTGATGGGAGAAATTAGAAAACATCGTGATGAAAAACTTTTGGGAATTGCAGTTTCGAAAATTCATACTGTTAGCTGGTCCAAAAATAAGTTATTCTTTTGGGGACTAAACGCTGGTCAAATGGGATTACAGTGCGTAAATGGTGATGTTGAAATCAAACTACATGATCAAATGGTCGTTGGAGAAATTCAACCTTCTCCAAAATTAGTAAGTTTAAGAGATGAAATCAAACTTGTTAGTACATCTGAACTATGCACTTGTGTTGTAACAATTTTCAATGATATTCATGTTTTTCATAATTTTCAACATTACAAATTGCCCAAAATTCCAATTAAAGGTTTAGGAGACAAATATTTTGATTTATTTAAGCCACCTAAATTAACTCAAGCTGCAATTATAGAAAAAATAGTTACTCGAGGTAGTGATGTAACTATGATTTTATTATCTAATGGCTCAATAATGAGTTTTAATGTTGATTGTTCAGATATAAAACAAACAAAATATAACGTTGTTTGGAAAGCTCATAATGACCATATGGTTGCCATAGACTTTGATTGTGGTTCAGATGGTTCAGTTATTTTATGTACAAAAGATGGATCAGTGTTTTTAAAAACGTCACAATCTTCAACTCAACGAAAAAATTCCATGAGTGCGGCTACATTGCCAATACCTGTAAATAATAAAAACAAATTCAAAAAACTCGAAAATTTAAATAAAATTGTCAAAGTCACTTGTGATTCAAAATTTTTATCATTTGGATTTATAAGAGATGATATTGATTTGTTACCTGTGGAATTAAACAAAAATGAATTTTGGGTAGATTTCAAACACTTGGCACCAATAGGTGAAAATGTCAACAATAGAAAACAAGAGCAATTAATGAAGACAACTAAGGTGTCGGAGAATAGAACTTACATCACTTCGTTCTTTGATGAATCTTTGAAAGTTGCTGAAGATGATTATCCTCGAGATAGTAATAAACCTGCCATTGACACAACTATTGAGGACCGATTAAACGAAATTTATCATCGACAAAAGTTTAAGAGTATTCATTGGTCAGAAAGGTACGTGCCGGTGTATGATAAGTCTTTGGAAGAAATGTTGAAGTCGGATGAGTCTTATCTTCTACATGAATTTTGCTCTTACAATAAGAACAACGATGATATCAAATTTTATGATGGTTGCATCAAATTTCAGAATGAACCTGGATCAGTCATTGGATTTCATATTGATGTTTTGGCTCATTTTTCACCAGTGTTTAAGTCAATTGTCAATTCAAGCAACAACATCATAGTAGGGAAGAGTTTTGAGGCAGAGTGGATGCCTGAATCTTCAACACTTATGGTTAAATCTCAAACTAGAGCTTTTTCATTGCTACTAATTCTTCAAAGTATTTATTTGGACAAAAAAATTGATCTTCAGGTAGTTTATGGGTCTCGATCAAAAGTTCCAGAGGATTTGAAGATAGTTCAAACTGAATATGATGAAATAGTTGATTTATTTAACTTGAAATTATCCCAAAATAACCTCGTCGGGTTGTCGGTTAACTTATTGGACTCAGAAGGTGATGTCATATTCAAATTAAAAGACGGAAAGTTATTTGCACATTCATACATTTTGAGAACTAGGTCTGCTTTCTTTGAAACTATCCTATCAGAGAGATGGGATACCGGCATCACAACTTTAGATTTTAGTGGAATCAGTACAACTCAAATGCAAATAATTTTGCGTCATGTTTATGGAGCAGACGATTCCACTATTTTGAACTCTTTGGATTATAAATTTGAGGAGAATGATTTATTTGTGAATGAGATTTTGGAAATGATTGAAATTGCTGATGAATTATTAATGTTTGATTTAAAATCGATTTTAGAAGTCGCTGTGATTGGATTTATCACCCTAGAAAATGTTCTTGTGTTGTTAACTCATGCGGACTACTTATCTGCTTCTAAATTATTTTTGAATTGTTGTTGGTGTATATATAACAATTTGGAGGTATTAATGTTTAATCCATCTTTTATTGCTATCCCCAAAGATGTTTTGCAAAAATTGGAAACAAATGTATTGATCTTGGATAGATGTAAGTTTTATGAAAAGAAAGATGAGAAATGGATAGAAAGTCATGTCAAAGTTGAAGAATTTGTTGAGGATATTGACAAGTTCAATAATTACTTCATGAGTGATGGAAAAGGTTTTGCTTCTTTTGAACCTTTGGTGGACAGTAAGTTGGAGGTGAAAAAGACCAAAGAGTCAGTTCCTAAGAAGAAAAAATCTAGGAAAAGCTCGACCTTGAATTCAGATATCATAGATTTTAGAGCAAACTGGGCGAAAAGCAATAACAATGGAGGTACTGGAACCAGTTCGTCGATCAAGGAATCATCGGTTGCTGTTGAAGAAGAATCCCTGGATACAGGTTTTATAACAGTTGGAAAGAGATCTCGCAAACCAAAACACATTGAATTGTCACAAGATGATTTACAAAGCTTGAAACCCAAACAGGATTTTAAAAGTAAACCCATACCTAATTCAATCAATCCAGCAACAACAATTAAATCACCACTGTTAAATGGTTTAAGTCCTCAATCAACTTGGGCTTCACCAGATTCATTCATTGCATCTGCTAGTGGGTCAAAAGCATTTACTCCCGAACCACCTACATCATTCGAGACTAAATTATCGGAATCAAAACAATTTAAACCTAAAATGGGTCCACACATTAAATTATCACAGAAAGAGCGTAAAAAAATTGCAGCTGCTGCTGCTTTGAATGAAGCAAATAAAGATACAAATACCACCCCAGAAATCGGAAATCAAAATTCAGATATTGCTCCTTGGTCTTCAATTACAAATCCATCTCCTACATCCAATTCGATTGCAAGCAAATTTCCAGCATTAGGATTAAAGAAAAACAAATCATCCGTTGCAATAAATAATACTCATCCATCATCCTCCAGTACCAATGAAACAAAATTCACAACATATCAAATCAATTCATCTAGCTCTTCACTTTCATCAATGAAATCAGCAACTCCATCTTTGACTGAAATTATGTTGAATGAAACTTTACAAAAAGAACAAGCGAGAGAGGAGAATTTAACAAGAAAATCATTATCCGAGATTCAAAAAGAACAAGAATTCGAGAGATGGTGGCAGGAAGAGAGTAAAAAAGTTCAAATGGAAATGGGATCAATGAATATCACAAATGGTAAAAAATCCAAGAATCAGAAGAATGGTAATGGATCATTTAGAAAAAGCTCTTCACCGAAATCTCAAAATACAAGAGACAAAAACTCCAAAAATGCAATGAAGAAAATAATTACGTAATAAAAGGACTTTTATAGATAAATTTAAAGAAATGAATGTCATGATAAATCAACATAATCTGGAAACCAACCAAATTCATCTAAATCGACGAAATGATTGTCAGACACGTTGACATGCTCATTCCTCAATCGATCAGCTTGTTCGTATTGACTTCTTGAATTACCTCTTTCTGATATTTTACCAGAACTAGCCAAAACTCTCCACCAAGGTAAATTCTCTATATTTAAATACTCTTCTTCTCTTGGATCAAAACCTTGGTTCAAGTCTTGAAATATCATAGAGCAATGTTTCAAGGATGACCCAACTTGTCGTGAATTCTGAGGTTTATCTAATAAATAAGCAATATGACCTTAATACGCGTTAGATTTTGTTCCATGGCGTATTTTTAAGTTAAACATACCATATGATGTAACTTTTCCAGGTGGTATTTTAAACACAATTGAATAGACACCGTAATGAAAGGCTCTGCTTTCATCGGTTAGTTTAACCATCTCCTCATTTCAATGATTGTAGTTGCCCGATGATGAGGTGATAACTGTAATCAAGTTTATTTTGCTACCAAGCAGCCGTGTGTCTTTTCTTTAAAAAAAAATTTCAGTGCATATGTTTTATAAGGGTAATTCTTTAAACTAAGCAACTACATTAAATACCTATAAAACCCTCCTTCATATTTTACAACCTTCGGATTATGTCCACAACTAGTTGTATAAAAAATTTATCGAAAAATTCCATACGATGTAATGTTTCAAATAGGAGGAATTTTTCATTATTTTGGAAAATGCTAAATATGAATCAACCAAATAGTGGGAAAAATGAAAGAAAGTTATATAACTGGGATGAATCGCCATATGAAGATATACGTATGCATGCAGCTATAATAAGAGCTAAAGCATCTTGTCCGGTCACTAAAGGGCCAGTTGAATATGTTTGTCCCTTATCGGGTATACCTACACATTCCTCAAAAGAAGCATGGGAAAACGATAAAGAATATCACGAATTAAAAAAATATGAAAATTTGAAAAAAGTGAATTTATATGAACATGATTTAAGATCGAGGAAAAAATTTGAAGAATTTGCATTTCCTGGGGAACAAGAAAGAGATTTTATGATTAATATAAGTGATTGGGATTCATTTTTTTATACTAGAGATTTCCCACCAATGAATGATGAATTCAATTTAGCTGCAGCTACAAAAGTTTTAACGTACCCAATGACAATAGCTTCAATCATACACAAATTTTCACCATATCAAATTGAACCGAAGGGACCTTTAACAATCGAAGGAGCTAAATCATTAGGAGCTTTAAGATACTCATTATATCCACCTTATCAAAAAATGGTTGAAGGTGTTACGCATTATAAAGAAAGACCAATGAGAATATTTATAGTAGGAGCAAGAATGGAATCAATGTTACCAGGATATGTATGGAAACAATTTGGATATCTTTTTCCCCGAACTAGATTTGAAATACATTTAATTGGACCTGAATCTTATTTTGACAAAGAAAGTAGATCATTTGCACCAACCAACGTTCCAAATGGAAGACCATTAATCGAAAGATTTGATGATCAAATAACTATACATCACCATTCTCAATTCTTCAATGAACTATACGATACAGGAGATTTATTCCCTTTTGATCCATATTTAGATATGTTCTTCCTTTTCCACCCTGGTTTTAAAACTGCTGATGAAATGCATTGGGACAAATCATTGAAGGGATTCTTGGAATCAAAATGTCCAATATTTATAACAGGTTTCCATAATGAAGATATAGATAAAGAAATCAGTTGGTTGAAAAACCATCCATTGTATGATGAATTGGATATTTTGATGAATAAAACCGATAATAAATTTGCATGCACAAAATTGGATATAATTGATGCTAATCCAACAGAAACTTTCAGTTTGAACAGTAAAGTATTTGGTATTAGAGGTAAGAGATATGAAGCTATTAAACAATAATTTCTGTAAATAGATTTATAATTTAGTATAAATCAATAAATCTGTACATATTGTCAACTAGGTCAGATATGTGAGACCAAAATTTAAAACTTGACGCTTCTGTCAAAACAGCAACTCCGATACACTCATACATCACGCTTTCCACTGTACTGATACACAACCTATATGGGATAAGTATTTTACAAGGGAAAGATCTATTCAATTTATAATTGGGAACCAATACCTTTCCAAAATCGACATTTATAAACTCAACTCATACATTGGCGGACTCATCAAAAAGATCAAATCTCGACGACGACAACAGTCGTCATTATCTGAGAGAGATTTGAACACGAGTCAACCAATTGTATGAATATCTTTTATTGAATCAAAGACAATGCAAACAATATATCACCACATTACCACAGGATTTTTGCTTGAATATGATATCTTATCTACTTCAAGCCTTTTACCTACTATTAGAATATCGCAAAAGTCACCAATGCGTTAGGTGACCCGGTTTTATAGAATTATATAGATAACGTCTGTATATTAAATAAATACTGTGTTTAAAAAAAAAAAAAAAAAAAAA